CCCTCCCTTCTCGAGCAATGGAAGGACTGTTGAGAGAACAGGCTCTGAAAGCACGATGGCCGTTGCCTCTCACGAAGGATGCTGTCGCCTCAGCGATTGGCTTCCTGATCTCCTGTCTGTCTACAGCAAGACGCAACAAGTTCGTTCGAGACTGCAGTTGATATCAGTCATGCCAGGCAAAGCCATCGAATCATCAGCTCGCTGAGCATTCCATCACATGAGCCGTGTCCGTGAAATGAGGCGCCCTTCTCACAACACCGCTCTACTGGAATGACTGGCTCTCTCACGCCTTCGTCCCTTGCGTTCGCCCCAATTTCACATACAGCCGGGGTTCAGCAGCAGAGTCCTCTGAATGTATGCTCATCGCTGAGAGGCTCTCCTCTGTCATCTGCTGATGGAGAACAAGTCATCTCAAATCTTGCTTCATTTCAGCTCGCTCCGTATCGCAACCTCCTCTCAATATGTTTCGACTCGAGCGAACAATGAGCCGTACTGTCTTGCGATATCGGGTCGCTCGGCTGTGCCGGCGGGAGATACGAGCTTGACTTTCGCCGCCGGAACAAGCTCGGCCGTCTCGCCGTTCGTGGCGAAGTAGCGTGGGAAGTCGCGGCGAGAAGAACTGAGATCAGGTCACTAAGACAGACGTGTCGGACGCGAAAGGCGAGAAGAAGTGGCGGTGGCGCGTGCCTCCCAATGAGGAAGTCAGACCAGGGCGGCTGAGCCTGCTCTGAACTCTCGTTGCGCGTTCCTTGCAACTTTGGGAGGCTACCCGGTCCAGGCAAGGGCTTGCTGGCTTTATTGTCGAGCTCGGACATTCCTGCTGGCCGGAACTTGAGACAATGTCCAACTGGACCATAGGCTCGCTCGCGCCCTCTTTCCCTCACAGTCATGCGACGTGCGCCGTCCTTACCGTTGCTTTAGTGTGGCTGCTTGCCTCTCCCGAGTATTTGGCAAGGTCTACTCTCATTGTGGCGAGGATCGCAGCCTCATTCAAACGACGCACATCGGTCCTCACCTCGTCAATCGAGCTTTGAATGAGGCGTTCGGAGGTTGCGACGTTGCCGGATGACCTACTCCCTGGCAGGCGGACACTAGCAGCAGCTTGCCCTTGACGGCCTCGAAAGCCTCGCTCGAGAGGTGCGAACGGCCCTGCAGGGCGTTGTTGCGGGGTAACGGCTTGTGGTGCCTTGATGTGCCAGCGTCCAGGTTCAATGCAGAAGGTCTCGCAGCCCTCGGCGCTCGGATGAGATTTAGACTAGCTTGCCCTCGGCGACGGCTAGACCGGCTGTATGGCGGACGTAGACGTAGACGAGGAAAGGCGAGATAAGGTGCCATCGTCTCGAGCTTGTGTGCGAGCAGTCAGCGGAATTGCGTAGACCGGCTCAGGGTACTTCTTGCCTCTTATTGCCGTGAGAACTTGATCTCTGAGCACGAGAGGCGTTGTATGGCCTTGCGCCATTTATCAGCAGGGCTGCCAGGCGTTTCGTCACTCCAATGCTTTCCCCCGCTGTGAGGATGGTGGTATTCCCATCCGAGTCGGGACTCAAAGGTGATTGTCTCCGGCGGGTCGGAGACGAAGACAGACCTTCTGCCGTAGACGGCGATTGTAACACGGCGAGCGCGACCCAATAAGCAGCAGCAAGGGGCGGAGGCGGGCGGAGGGAGTGAAAGAGGCAGGCGTCGGACAAGCGCCAGCAGCCAAGCGTTGGACTGGACTAGCCTTCTCGTCTGTCGGCTGACCCTGAATAGTGCTGGCGTGGCGGTGGTCAGGCGAGGGCGAAAGGAGACGAGACGTGCGGTCTGTCGCCGTCCCTGCGAGAGAGCATCCAGAACCCAACGCGAGATGATATCGAAGTAGCGCGTTGTGGCGGCCAAGGGAGCGGTGTGAGGGCGGGAAACTGGTCGTGTGCGACAGAGGCCCGCTCACTGCCTTTCAGTCTCAGTGTGGCATTCTAGCGCAATAAACGCTATCTCCCTCGTCGCACAACCCCTTGCCCTGAATGAGTGAGCGAGCGAGTAGCCGGCACTCAATCTCTCTGAGTTCCGGCGAAGACGGCGGCCGACGGGCGTGACCCGGCCGACGGCACCAAAGCACACCCACATAACGATTGGAGAGCCGTCTCGTCGTAGCAACCAGGGCTTCTTGTCCTGATAAGAAGGGCGAACATATACGCGGACTTAACGCCACCAAGCACTTCGTCCCGTTCTTCCCTCCTTACGACCACCATCCATCTGGGAGGCACGTTTGATTGCTAGTGTCACCCCCTCTCCCACTCATCTAGCCATCATGTCGTCTTGTAAGTACGCGTTGGCGTCAGCGTACAAATCTCCTCTCGCGCTGACCCTCACACTCTCACCCTCACTGTCCCTCAGCTCCCATCAATGAGAAGCCAAGCGGCAGCGACTACACGCCCGAGGCCGAGAAGGCCAGCATTGGCCTGGATGACCACCTTCCAACGATGCCCGAGATCGAGCACGACCTCAAGGAGGGCATCGCCAGGCACAATCTACTTGCCGACCCCAACATCGATCCCGAACTCCGTGACCGCATGGAGCGTGCCCTCGAGACCGGAGACGTGGCCGCAGAGAAGGAGATTGAGGAGGAGCTCCTCAATGACTCCATCTACCCAGAAGTTCGTGCCGCTGTCGCCAACATCGACGACCCCGACATGCCCGTCAACACGTTCCGCGCGTGGTTCCTCGGACTCTTCTTCGTAATTGTCCTATCTGGTCTCAACCAGCTCCTGTACTTCCGATACCCCTCCGTTCAGATCAATGGCCTCGTCGTTCAGCTCGTGTCCTTCCCCTTCGGCAAGGCTCTGGAGAAGATTCTCCCTCGCACCGGTGTCAAGACTCGCTGGGGCACAATGACCCTCAACCCTGGTCCCTTCAACGTCAAGGAGCACACGATGATCTCCATTATGGCCACCGTCGTCTGGCAGCGAGCCTACGCAACGGACATCTTCCTTGTGCAGCGCATCTACTACAACCAGACTTGGTCGTTTGGCTACCAGCTCCTCGTCACCCTCTCGACTCAATTCATTGGCTTCAGTTTTGCAGGGTTCGCCAGGCGCTTCCTCATCTGGCCCGCCTCGATGATCTGGCCCACCGTCCTGCCTTACTGCACGCTGCTCTCTACGCTCCACAAGCAGAAGGCTACCGAGCCCGGAGTCATGGGCCGTGGCAAGTTCTTTACCATTGCGTTCGCCGCCGCATTCTGCTGGTACTTCTTCCCCGGCTACATCTTCACGGCGCTCAGCACGTTCAACTGGATCTGCTGGATCGTGCCCAACAATGTTGTCGTCAACCAGCTCTTCGGCGTCACTCAGGGTCTGGGCATGTCTGTCCTCACATTCGACTGGTCGCAGATCAACTACTTTGGCGCTTCGCCCCTCGTCACGCCCATGTTTGCTCAGCTCAACACCGTGGCAGGTCTCGTCATCTTCTTCTGGATCTGCTGCCCGGCCATGATGTACACCAACACGCGCTTCTCCAAGTACCTGCCCATGAGCACCACGCACGTCTTCGACCGCTTCGGAGAGCGATACGACGTCACAAAGGTCACGACGCCCCTCGGCACCCTCGATGAGGCCGCTTACAACACCTACTCGAAGCAATACCTCTCGCCCGTCTTCTCGATGTCGTACGGTCTCTCCTTCGCCTCGATGACGGCGACTCTGGTCCACACCTACTTGTATTCGGGCAAGGACATCTGGCGACAGTTCAAGCGCTCTGTCAACGACGAGCCCGACATTCACGCCCGCCTCATGTCTGTCTACAAGGAGGTGCCCATCTACTGGTACGTCGGCACCTTCTTCCTCTCCCTCGCCATGGGTCTCGCCGCCATCGAGGCCTGGCCGACCCAGCTTCCCGTCTGGGCCCTCTTCCTCGCCATTGCCATTGGCGCACTCTACACGGTCCCGATTGCCGTCATTTACGCCGTCTCCAACGTCGAAGTCGGTCTTAACGTCATCACCGAGTTCATCATCGGTTACGCTCGCCCCGGCAAGCCTGTCGCCATGATGCTTTTCAAGACGTGGGGCTACATCTCCATGTACCAGGCCGTATCTTTCATGAGCGACCAGAAGTTCGGTCACTACATGAAGGTCAGCCCTCGCTCGGTGTTCGCCGCCCAGATGGTCGCCTCTTTCATCTCCGTCTTCGTCCTGCTTGGCGTTCAGAACTGGGCGCTTAGCAACATCGAGGGCATCTGCACGCCCGACGCAAGCGACAACTTCATCTGCCCCGGCGCTACTGTCTTCGGTACTGCCTCGATCATCTGGGGTCTGCTGGGCCCCGCGCGCAACTTCTCCGGCGGTCAGGTGTACAATGCCTTCCTCTACTTCTTCTTGGTCGGCGCCATTGTTCCCATCCCGACCTACTTCCTCGCCAAGCGATACCCCAAGAGTTGGATCCGCTACGTCAACTGGCCCGTCATCTTCTCCGGTACCGGATACATTCCCCCCGCCACGGGCATCAACTACTCCAGCTGGGCCTTTGTCGGTTTCCTCAGCCACGTCGTCTGGCGTGGAAAGAACTTTGCCCAATGGTCGCGCTACAACTACGTGTTGTCCGCTGCCCTGGACGCCGGTACGGGTATCAGCACGATTCTCATCTTCTTCGTGCTCATCTTCCCCCAGGCGCCCGCCCTGCAGAACTGGGCCGCCGGAGCGTGGTGGGGCAACACGGTGTCGTCGAACACGGCTGATGCCAACTTCGCGACTCTGTTGACCCCGCCTGAGGCTGGATTCGCTCCTCCCCCCGGTGGGTGGGGAGCCGTCCCTGCCGTCTAAGCGGCGCGGCCAAAAGTCACGTACGATTGTTCCCGTCTCCCTTGTATTCTCATCACTGCTCTTGTCTTTGCGCCGCTTTGATCCACCTTGAGCTCTGCTTCTGCAACTATTTATTCCCCACCCAAGGATGGTGTGAAGGTCGCTCTCCTTTCTGCGCTGCCTCGACTCCGTATCGATTGTGGCGTGCCGCCCAGCCGTATCGCTATCATCGTGTCCCACGTGGCGAGGTCCACGTCGTTGCGCTCGAGCCATCTATGTGAGGTCGGGCCGACAGCTGATTGCTCGCTGAGCTTTCCTTTGCTTCTCAACCCTACACGTCCTCGATTCCCTCTGCATGCCCGCCATCCAGACGACGGAGCGCACCATGCCCGTTGGAGCAGGTGCTGGAGCCGGCTGGTCGCCGCAAGTGGAGCATGGGCACCATGATCATCATGACGGAGGTGGGAGCGGGATGCATGCTGCTATGCAGCACGACGGGCACGGCGGGATGAATCATGGTGGAATGGACCATGGTGGAATGGATCACGGGGGCATGGATCACGGAGGCATGAATCATGGCGGAATGGATCACGGCGACGGTGCTTCAATGTGCAAAATGTCAATGGTCTGGAATACGGACCCAACGGACCTTTGCCTCGTCTTTCCCTGGTGGCGCATTACCTCTTCTTCCTCGTCCCTCTACTCTTCACTCTTCATCGTCGTCCTCCTCGGCGTGGGGTACGAGTGGCTGAGACTACAACTCAGGAGATTGGATAGACGATTGATGGCTTCTGGAGGAGCAGCCAGAAGGAGGAGGAAAAGGAGGGGAACAGCAGAAGGAGCAGCTACCTCGTCGGGCAGGAGGTCCTCCCCACCTACGCCTGGCAGACTTCAACAGCATCGCAGAGTAGCGAGCGTCAACAGCACTCAGAAGGGCTTGCTCGTCTCAAGCTTGCAGGACGCGGATGATGGCAATGCTAGCGGTGCTGGCGGGTCATCCCCCTCGTTGCGACGAGCGGCTACACCTTCCCACCTCTCAGACGCAAGCGGACAAGACTCTGACCCGGCGACGACAGCGACGACTCCACCTTACCTCGCAGGACGACGACACCCGACTGCCAGACGATACGTAGCCGTAGGTGGAGGTCAGGCTGGTACGGCCACGGCAAGCGTGCCTTTGAGCGCTATGTTCAGCATGTAAGTCGTCGACCCGCGGCCTCTTCTAGTACACCCTGACCGAGCTTATCGATCCATCTTCCGCTCAGCCCGGCCCTCCTTCAACCTCTCACACGACGCCAACAGTTGATTCGCTCCGTCGGCTATGCGACTTCCGTCGGCCTCTCGTTCCTGATGATGCTCCTCGCCATGACGTACAACTCGTACGTTATCGGCGCGGTACTGATTGGTGCAGGGATAGGACACTACTTGTTCCAGAGGCCTAGCGCCGAGAAGGTGGGCGTTGATGAGGATGAGCAGGATGCGCCCGGAGTGTGGGGCGAATATGTCAGTGATGAGGACGGGGAAGACGTTGTGGACAGTAAGGGTATGGCCTGCCATTAGAGGGACGCTGTTTGTATTCTGCTACACGCTTCAATTTGTCATCAATGCTCTCTCAGTCCATCATCACGCAATTCAGGCCAGGCCGGCAGTCGCTGCTCCTCGTCAAACAACATTCGATTCTGAGCCACAAGTCGCTATAAGAGCAAGAAAGAGAAGGAATGAGGTTGCGCTTTAGTAGCCTACGGGAATGCTGCTTCTCCACACACACTATCAAACCACACAATGATCGCAAGGGAAGCCCTGACTTATGCCTGGCCAGCGGCCCTCGCCTTCGCCTTGGCGGCCATCAAGTTCAGCGCCGAGCCTGCGCGGTGCCACTCGATCTGACCAGCGTTGAACGAGTGGACAAGGGGGATGCGCGCGTACTCCTCTCCGGACTTGGCGTCCTTGCACACCATCGTGACCTCGGAGCCAGGAGCAAGCTCCTTGACGCCCTCGAGGTCAACGTAGGTCGCCGGCTTGACCTTGTCGTAGTCTGCCTCGTCCTTGAAGGTGAGCGGGAGGAGACCCTGCTTCTTGCAGTTGGTCTCGTGGATACGAGCGAAGGAGCGGGTGATGATGGCGGTACCACCGAGGTATCGGGGCTCAAGAGCGGCGTGCTCACGCGAGGAGCCCTCACCATAGTTGTGGTCACCGATGACAACCCACGGCTTGCCGTTGTCACGGTAGTGAGCCGCAACCTGGGGCACGGTGCCCGTCTCGCCAGTCATGAGGTTGGTGAGCTCGTTGGGCTTGCCACCCTCGGGGACAGCGCCGATGAGGCAGTTGTTGGAGATGTTCTGCAGGTGACCACGGTACTTGAGCCACGGGCCACCAGCGGAGATGTGGTCAGTGGTGCACTTGCCGACAGCCTTGATGAGGACGGGGCAGCCCTTGGGGTCCTCCTTGTTCCAGGCCTTGAAGGGCGCAAGGAACTGCAGACGGTCAGAGTCGGGCGAGATGGCCACAGCGATGTCCTCGCGCTCCTTGAGAGACTCAGGGGGAGCAGCGAAGGTCGACTCTCCGGGGTCGTAGCCGCGCGAGGGGAGCTCAATGCCCGAGGGGTCAGAGAACTTGAACTCCTTGCCGTCGGCGCCCTTGAGCGAGTCCGTGACGGGGTTGAAGGTCAGGCTGCCAGCGAAGGCCATGGCGGTGACGAGGTCGGGCGAGGCGACGAAGGCGTGAGTGGCAGGGTTGGCATCGTTACGGCCCGTGAAGTTACGGTTGTACGAGGTAATGATCGAGTTCTTCTCGCCCTTCTTGACGTCGGTACGGTCCCACTGGCCGATGCAGGGTCCGCAGGCGTTGGCGAGCACAACACCGCCAGCCTCGGAGAGGGTCTGCATCTGGCCGTCACGCTCAATGGTGGCGCGAATCTGCTCAGATCCGGGGGTGATGGTGAACTTGGCCTTGACCTTGAGACCGTGCTTGAGGGCCTCCTCGGCGATCGAGGCAGATCGAGACATGTCCTCGTACGATGAGTTGGTGCATGAGCCAATGAGGGAGACCTTGAGCTCATCGGGCCAGTTGTTCTTCTTGACCTCCTCGGCGAACTTGGAGAGGGGGGTGGCAAGGTCAGGGGTGAAGGGGCCGTTGATGTAGGGCTCGAGGTTGTTGAGGTCAATCTCAATGTGCCTGTCGTACTCGGCGCCCTGGTCGGGCAGGAGGTTCTTCTGGAATCCCTTGGCAAGCTTGGCGATGTCACCACGCTTCGTGGCCTCGAGGTAGGCACCCATGCGGTCGTTGTAGGGGAAGACGGAGGTGGTAGCACCAATCTCGGCACCCATGTTGCAGATGGTACCCATACCAGTGGCAGAGAGTGACTCGACACCAGGGCCCTTGTACTCGATGATAGCGCCAGTTCCACCCTTGACGGTCAGCTCACCGGCGACCTTGAGGATAATGTCCTTGGGCGCGGTCCAGCCCGACAGCTTGCCCTTGAGCTCGACACCGACAACCTTGGGGCACTTGAGCTCCCAAGGAATGTCAGCCATGACGTCGACGGCGTCAGCACCACCGACACCACAGGCAATCATGCCGAGACCACCAGCGTTGGGGGTGTGCGAGTCGGTACCAATCATCATACCACCGGGGAAGGCGTAGTTCTCGAGGAGAATCTGGTGGATGATACCGGATCCGGGCTTCCAGAAGCCAATACCGTACTTGGCAGTGCAGGTGGCAAGGAAGTCGTAGACCTCCTTGTTAATCTCCTTGGCGCGGGCAAGGTCCTTGACACCGCCGACCTGAGCCTCGATCAAGTGGTCACAGTGGACAGTGGTGGGGACAGCGACCTCGGGGAGACCTGCCGACATGAATTGGAGAAGAGCCATCTGGGCGGTAGCATCTTGGCAGGCGACACGCTGAACATCACAGGAGCAGGTGGTCAGTACTGACTGCCATCATATCAGGATTTATCCTCTGCATTGCTGCACTCACGTCAGGACGGAGCTTGAGGTACGAAACACCACGGTTGATGTCCTGTCCATGGGGGTCGTCCAAGTGGCCGTAGACGATCTTTTCTGACAAGGTCAAGGGGCGGTTGAGCCTGCACGAACGAGTGAGTGGCGACAAGAGTGTTAGCATCTGCGGATTCAAAGCTGCATCGCCATGCTGACCACGCACCTCTTGCGGACGATGTCAATGTTCTCTGCGAGCTTGTTGTACTTGATGTAGTAGCCCTTGCCCTTCTCGACCTGGGACATGTCGACCTTTTGGTCGTAGAGAGACGAGGGAATCTCTGCAGCCTCCTCAGCGACAGTGGCGTAACCGCGCGAAGCAGCAGCCAATGACGAAGAGGAGGAGCGAGGGGCGACCCTAGAGGCGCTCGATCGAAGAGCGCGGAGGGCCATCATGATGGGTGAGATGTGTGGGTGGCGAGGTAAAGGGAAAGGTTGCGATTACGGCGAATGTATGCTCTCTGCTCTTCTCTCCTCTTGATGTGCGCTCTTGACGCTTGATGGCGTGAGGTAGAGGAGGGTCGAGTTGCGTTGGCAATGAGAGAAGGCGCCTGGTTGAGATGGGTTGGTGAAGAAGAGAAAGCGGGGTCGTCGCTGTGGTCGTCGTCTTCTTGGTCGATTGACAACGCAGAAGCACAGTGCACCGCGGAGCAAAGCGGACGAGAGGCCTGCGAGCGCCTGGCTGAGAAATACAACGCACACCGGCACCAGCGCCGCGAGACTCAGACTGAGAGAAAGGGCAAGGGCTAGGCCGCCCCGCCGGCGCACGCTCAGGCAGCAGCCTCAGAACCGGCCGGCTCGTTGAAACAGAGAAGAGCACACAGGGCGGCCAGCAAAGCCGGTCACGATCAACTCGCGCGCGCCAACGAGCTTCAACGCTTCAGCGATAAGAGCATGAGAGGGGCGGTCACGGCGATGTCGTGGTAACCATAGCTTGGTAATGAACGAGCGCTTCCGATTATGACCACGATCAAGATTGAACATGACTGACCACAATGATGAACGGACAAGCCGGGTCAGGAGCCTCTCTGGAGCCCTTCTGCCGGCGGACCATCCGGCCGCTGAACAGCCAGGACGGCCAGAGGACACCGTCTTCGCTGCCGCCCTTCTACCCTGTTGACCCTGCGACGCTCGACCTCGTATGGAATTTGCCATGATGTTGCTCAGGCCCCTATCATGCTCTGAGCGTCGCCCACGAGCCGCTTCTGCTTCTCCATTTCCTCAGACGGCCGCGAGCGCTGGACCCTGCCATGGGCCTCTCGTCCGCCAAATCCGCTCTCATCCGCTCCCGTCCGGACCCTCCTTCGCAGGCCAGCCGAGACCAACACCAGCCTTTGAGACGCCCGACAAAAAGACGAAAGCAGAGGTGAGATGAAGGGAAGTTAAGCAGGTGGCGACGGTGATGAGAATTGCGATGGCATGATGGTGGTGTACCGAGACATGAGAGTGTATAGCTACAAGGATTGACATGGGTTGACGGACAAGTCGTGCACTCGCATCTATGCGAAGCCGTAGTGCGCGATCCACTAGAGGGAAGCGAATGAGATGGTCAGCCTTTCTAAGTCGTCTTGCCGACTGCTACGAGATCATCGGGGTCAGTGTGCTGCTCTTTGCCGCTACCGCTGCTGCCGCTGCTTCGCCACCAGCCGACGAGGCACAAGAAGTTCAAGGTCAAGGGGCAAAGGCCGCCGCCGCTCATCATCAGACTTTTTCCTGCCATATGCTTTGTCGGCCCATGGGGCTCCGCTCGCGGGTAACAAGCGGCTCCCTGGATCAGTTGCTTCCTTTCAAGGGCGAGTGGTTCAGCAACCCGAGCACGAGAGAGCAAGTGCGTCCACCACGTCATCGCCTTTCTGCTTCCACCGCCTGCGCAGGGTGCGAACCGCGCCTCATTGTGCCGCGACGATCTTGGCATCTCGTCTGCGTGGGGCTTGAGTTAGTAGTAGAAGAGTCGAGGGAAGGAGCGAGGTTGATGGAGAGAATTAAGAGGCGTCGGGGCTTCCACTGCCCGACCGGGACCTTATGCATCGTCGCCGCAGGTCGTTGGGCCTGGCGGGGCCGGGCTTTCCCTACTCCCCGCCACCGCCAATGCTTAAGTTTCGTTTCTTGTAGTCGGTCGTGCCGCTAGCTTCGCATCTTTTTCTGCTCTTATGGTCTCGTTCCGGTAGTATCTGTTCGTGAGTGAGAATGGCGGGTAGAAGACGCGGTCGCGCTGCTGTTTGTCCAGAAGAGGGGATAGCTCGTTGTGGTGTTCGCTCGCTCGCTCGGTAGTTGCACACACTCTGCTCGGTCGAGCGACGCCCCCCCAAGTATGTCGCACAAGGTGGTAGGGTACTTTGAAGCTTCATGTTACCCGCTTAAGGGGTAGCTTCAAGGGAGGCGCCGTCGAATCCGATGCCAGAGGCCTCAGCGAGTAGAGCAGTCGTGGTGGCCGTGAGTAGGAGCGTAAGCCGTCAGCAAGGTAGCTGGGAAGTCGGTGAGTCCGTGAGCTCCAGCCGTCGGTCGCAAATCCGTCCTGAGAGAAGGGTCCGAGGTACAAGAGGAGAAGAAGAATCGAGGAGCCAAGCCAAGAGTCCTGTCTGCCCACCGTACCATATACCCTCCTTCTAGTATCTACCTCCGCCGCATCCGTTGCCGCTTGTAGAGAGAGAAAGAGCTAGTCGCTATAGGGATAGAAGCTGCTCGCAGAGTCCTGCCCCCTTTGCTTTGGATTAGGGCGTTGATGATAATCGCGCGCGTCGTCGGTACTTGCAAATATGCTAAGCCAGCTTGATCACGAGCTCAGCGGTGAGGTTGCCTTCGACTCAAGGAGCCGCCGTAGCCGTCGTCGTCGTCGCTAAGAGATGCTGCCACGCCCGCTCGAGGGATAGGGCGAGACCGTATGACCCTCGAAGCGGTACAGTCCAAAGAGAAATCACACGCACACAGGTGCACGCGTTAGAGAGAGATCGCCGTCGGTCCTCGTCTCGTCTCGCCTTCGCCATCATCTTCACCACCGTCGTCAACACTCGCCGCCATGGAACGGGTCGCGCAGTCGCGGGGTCGTAATCGTCACCTTTTGCCGGTCGTCAAGGCTGATCTCGCGGAATCAGGCCTCACACCTTCAACACACAGGGTTGTAGCCTGACTCGGCCCGCTCGCTGACCCGACTGGACACTCCGGTGATGCTTACGGTCACCAGAGGCCAGCCAGGAGCTTGTGGGACCTCAACCCAACAACCTGGCCCTTTCATCCCTCCTTCGAGACCTCGCCAGACCTCTCGATTCACCTGCTCTCTTGCCGCGCGACAAGTAGACGGACGCTACGCCTGGCTGAGGCGAGTTCACGTCACCCGCACAGAAGAGGAAGCAGCGACGAGGGCAAGCGCACAATCGTCTCGCTCCCAGGGTACCGTCGCCCAATGAAGGTATGTGCCATGTTTCGTCATCATCGATGGCGGCGTCGTGCGGGGGTCCTCTCACCGATCAACCTCAACTTCAAGGTCCTTCGACGGTGGCGGCGGTAGCAGCAGCAGCAGCAGCGCAGCGAGGCAGCACACGATCCAACGACCCAGAGGACTGCCACTCACCGAACCGTGGATAAGCAGAGCACCAAAGGAGGCCAGGTTGAGTAGACTGGAAAAGCCGTGGAGCTTGGCGAACTGCTTGTTCATGGCCTTGATCTTGGGCGAGATGCGATCCTTGTCCTTGTGAGCATCCACTCCCTCCTTCTTCTCTTGCGCATGCCTCTCAAACATGAGCTTTGTCGCCTTGGGCCCGAGGTAGACCCAATTGATGAGGTTGGCGACGAATGGGACGGCGAGGATGGAGAGGGGGAGAGTGGGAAGATCATTGAAGCCGCCATTAGCATATGCGATGTTGCCAGCGAGGGCTGCAGGGATGATTGTGCCGGCTGCGAAGTAGATAGGGAAAATCTTTGACTGGATGAGGCCGAAAGTCTGGCGAGGGAGCGCCTTGAATGTGACTGGCCCACCAATGAAGCCGTGCCACAGGTGGCCACCGAACAACGCTGCCCAGAGCGTCAGATGGGTGGATGCTGCATTCGGAACGAGGAGCGACTTCCAAAGATCTAGGCCCCCGATGTTGGCGAAGTTATGCTTGGGCGTGGTGGCGGCCATGGTTGATGATGGGGCAGGAGGTAGTGATGGGTGGAGTGGATGGATGGCAAGCTGCATTGCCGCCGCCCTGGATGCACTCTCCAGAGTAGTCAGCAGAATGCGGGCCAAAACACGTGGGTCGCTGCTGCTCGCTCGAGCCATCCCCAATCCACTCCGCTCCGCCGACTGGCTCTGGCTGAGTGACCCGATTGGCCGCCTTACCATCAGACGCTGTTGCCCACCTTTTCCTTCTTTCTTCCGACCCCTAACGATCCGCGAACAGGACGGGGTATGCTAATCGGCTGGCCGACTCCAACCCTTCGTAGAGGCATTCCACGCATCGCATCGATCGCATCGACGTCGTTGAGACCCGCGACTACTCCCCTCCCTCGTCGCATACACTCAGCAACCCCTCGAGTGACCGGCTCAAAGACCCAGACAGCATCTTATCAACGTCCTAGATACGCTCATTCTTCTCAAACACCAGCAAGCGCCATGGTTCTCCCACCGTTTCCCACTGCGGGTCTGCTGCCCAAGGACGCCACAAATGCGGCCAAGTTCATCGAGAAGCATCCCAAGTTCGACGGCAGGAACATTCGAGTTGGGATTCTCGACACTGGCGTCGATCCAGCAGCCCGTGGTCTAGATGGCAAAGTGAGTCGGCGCAGTGAAATGCCCACGATGCGACAGAGCTGACACTCCTCGCGTGCTCTCGCAGGGCAAAGTCGTCGACATCATCGACTGCACTGGAACAGGCGATGTCCCCTTGGCCCCGGTCGAAGCTACTTCTGTCAGCTCCGACGCGATCGAGCTCAAGTCCCCGACCACAGGCAGGAAGCTTCTCGCCGACCCTTCCTGGGCGTCAAAGGGGAGCTCAGACAAGCCTACCTTTCTCTTGGGCTTCAAACGGGCGTACGAAGTCTGGCCAAAGGATCTCGTCGCTCGTCGCAAGGTCCAGCGCAAGAGGAATTGGACCGTCGAGACGGCAAAGATCGTCGACCAGGTGCAACGAGAGCTTGCCGATCTCGACTCGAAGCCAGCAGCTGCAGCCGCCGCCAAAGGCGCCGAGAAGGCAGACAGCAAGGAGGCCAGCGCCGACGCGCAAAAGGCCGAGCTCAAGGCCAAGCTTGCCGTGTTGACCGACCTCTCTTCCAGCTACAGCGATCCAGGTCCGCTCCTCGAGACTATAACGTTCCACGACGGCAAGACATGGCGTACCGTCGTCGGTGGCGCAGAGGGAGACATCCGGGAGTCCACTTTCGGCTGGCCAGACGAAGGCCTGCAAAAGCTCGAAGGCCAAGTCCTGGACCTGCGCAAGGCAAAGAGGCTCGCCGACTTTCACCTCGAGCAAGAGCACGACGTCTTTGGCGCTGCAGATCTCTTGACTTACTCGGTCAACCACATCTTTGACTCAGCCAACAACGATGGCAAGCCCTCGGCCGTTTCTCTCGTTACCCTTTCTGGCGCGCACGGCACCCACGTCGCTGGAATTGTAGGCGCCCACGTTCCAGACTCTCCCGACGAGAATGGCGTGGCTCCTGGCGTCGAGATTGTTTCGCTCAAGATCGGGGATACTCGCGTCGAGGGGATGGAGACGGGCGTCGCTCTTTTGCGGGCTGCACAGGCAGCCATTGCCACTCGCTGCGACATTCTCAACATGAGCTTTGGCGAAGATGGCGCTTTTGGGACAGAGGGCAAGGGAGCATTTGCCGAGGCGATGCGAGACTTCGTCATTCGTCAAAAGGATATCCTCTTCGTCTCGAGTGCAGGCAACTCTGCCCCTGCTTTGACCACGCTGGGCCAGCCGGCGGGTACGACAGACGGCGTCTTCACCATTGGCGCGTACGTCACTGCTGGCTCGATGCAGAGTGCCGAGTATGCCTTGATTGAGAAAGATGTGAAGGACCACCCTACGACTTGGTCGTCGCGTGGGCCGGCTGCAGATGGCGCTTCTGGTGTTACAGCGTGGGCTCCGGGCGCTGCTATCACCTCGATTCCCAAGTACTGTCTGAGCGCAACGCAGCTCATGAATGGAACGTCGATGGCGTCACCCAATGCCTGCGGATGCATCGCTCTGCTTCTTTCAGGTATGAAGCAAGAGGGCATCCCGATTACCTCCGCTCGCGTTCACAAGGCCATTCTCGCCACGAACAAGGACGTGGACGATGAGCTGGGCATCGGCTTCATCCAAGTCGACAAGGCGTGGGAGTACATTGTCGCCAACAAGGACCGACCCGATGCCGATTTTGAGTACCAAGTCAAGGTGACGCCTTTCAACCGCCCTCAAGGTGGCAACAGCGACAAGCGTGGCGTCTACCTGCGGGAGAAGCTCGAGACCCGTCGCGTCAACCAGTTCAACGTCAATGTTCGCCCGACCCTCAAGGGCACGGAGCCGGAGAAGGCTTATGCTCTGCAGCTCAAGGCTAGCCTCTCACCTTCGGCTTCGTGGATCACTGCGCCCGACTTCTTGCATCTCGGTGGTAATGGACGTAGCTTCGAAATCCGCGTCGATCCCACGCAGCTGCACCCTGGCCTGCACTCCGCCACCGTCCGAGGCTACGACGCTGAGCAGCCTGGCATGCTCCTCTTCGAGGTTCCCATCACGGTCACAAAGCCCGAGGTCTCTCCGACTCCTACAGTTCGATACAATAAGACGCTCAAGTCTGGTTCAATTACTCGCAATTTCCTCCACGTCCCCGAAGGGGCCACGTGGGTTGAAGCACGCTTCCGCTCCTCCAACCACGCATCCTCAGGTACGGCTGCGAAGTTCTGGGCGCACTTGGTCGCCGTAGAGCCACAGCGTCGTCTGTCGCACGTCGAGGAGGCGTACGTGCTGCAGCTTACTGAAGGGGAGCCTGTCACCAAGCGCTTCTCGGTCAAGGGAGGGCAGACCTTGGAGGTCTGCTTGGCGGAGATGTGGAACCAGAGTGCCGCTTTCGATTTGGAATGCGAGTTGGAGTTCCATGGCATTACCATTGGGCACAGCGTTGCGGGACGGGATGAGTTGACGTTGATTGGTGGAGATGGATTGGCCAAGATTGAGACGATGTCTCAGATCCGGCTCGAATCATTCAAGCCGTCCATCTCATTCAGCAAGAGGCGCACCTTCGTCCGCCCGGCATCGAGCGTCGTACGCCCGCTGCTTTCGGAGCGCAATGCTCACCCGTCGGGACGCCAGCTGCACGAGGTCGTCAACACGTACAACTTCTCGCTCTCTGAGGCGGGGACCGTCAAGCTTTCCTGGCCAACATCGAGCCCGCTCTCCAATCTGTACGACTCAGCCGTGCCGATGCTGAGCTCGCTGTACGAGGCGCAATCGAAGAAACTCGTTGCCTTCGGAGATGTGTATGCGAAGGACAAGTGAGTAGCGCAGGGCACAGAAATGTATGGCATTCGCGGCTGACTCACATTGTCTTGCTTCCTCTCCACCCATGCACAGGGAGCTCAAGAAGGGCGAATACACAGTGCGCTGTCAATGGATCAACGAGGACCCCTCTGTAGTTGACAAGCTCAAGACGGCGACCATGCGCATGGACCAGAAGCTCACAAAGGGCAAAGACGTCTCCCTCTCCCTCTACGAGGACCATGTCGATGCATTCGGCAAGGCAAGTCCAGCTACATTCAAGGGCAATCTCAAGCTCTTCCCCGGCGAGCGCAAGGTGCTCAACCTCGATCTCAACCTGCACGGCGATTCTCTGCCCAAGGAGGCCCAGCCTGGGGACGTGTTGGTGGGCGAGTTTGGCTTCGCGCCTGAGGGCAAGTACGAACTGAGATACATTGTGGCGCCAGCGCCTAAGAAGGAGGAGGAGGCGTCGAAGGATCCCAAACCCAGCCCCGAGGATGAAGCGGAAGAGCTCCCACGCCTTCTTGCACCCATGGCAAAGAAGCTCAAGAGCCAAGAGCAGAAGCGTCGCTTCCTCGACTCGCTCATCAAAGACCACCCAAACTCCCTTCCCGTACTGCTTGCCCGTCTCGACTCTCCCGAGAACATCAACGCGCAATCCAAGCCGGAGGACCTCGACGCCATGATCAAAGCAGCGGAAGCCGTTGAAGCTCAGGTAGACGAGAAGGACGTCCTGCTGTGGATGGCAGAGAAGCGAGCGCCCGTCGCAGAGCAGAGCGACGAAGTGAAGCGCGAGAACAAGAAGCAGGAAGAGCGGAAGAAGGCTCTTTTGGCCGCTAGGCTCGCAAAGGTCAAGGCCATCCTGCATCGTCACGGCTCGTCGGGCGGCGAGTTCCAAGAGGCGTACGAGGCTGCTCGCAAGCTCCTTGGGGAAGGCTCCGCTTCGGAGAATCCGGCCTGGGCTACTGTACGTGTTGCGTACCACATTGAGCGTAAGAGGTTGGGCCTGGCGTTGCAGGGTGTGAGGAAGGCGATCAAGGAGCTCGGGGCCGGAGAGCAGGGCAAGGGTGAAGAGCTGAAGCGACTCCAAGAGCAGGAGAGGGAATTGCTTGACCGCGTGGGCTGGAGAGCTTGGGCTGCTTACCGCGAGAGGTGGGGTGTGCTGGATTGGCCGCGCGATTATGCGCCCTTCTGAAGCCCATTAGACTTGCATCTGTCCATTCTGTCTTCTAGTCTTTCGTCCGTCCCCCTAATCAGAACAAACATCCGTAAGTGCTTCCCTTGTTGCAGATTCCGAGGCACCAGGCGCACGGCTGTGGGCGAAGCCAACGCAGTACAAGACGGTCAGCATCTCAGCGCGCCTTTGGCCTACGAGTCTATCGGTGCCTCGAACTCACAAGGCACAAAGTGCGCACCACGGGTTGCTGAACAGGCTGCGGCAGTCCCCATCCGGCCTCATGGTCCTCCTGTTCTGCTTCGATGTGCAAGGTGTTGGAGGCCTGCCGCCTTTGTGTCTGCGAATCGTCATGCGCCTCCTCTGCGCCTAGTTCAGGAGGTGGAGGAGACTCGTCATGCCTACTGTAGGTAGACATCGGAGGCTGAACAGAGGGTGCAGTCGTCGTAGTGGATTGGAAGGACGTCCGTGGAGGTGGGGCGGCTTCGTAGGAGGGATAGTACTGCGGCTGCGTCTGCACCTGCATCTGCGGCCCCGCCTGCTGCTCTGATGCCGCTACCTGTGTCTGCTCAGCTAGCTGTCGATCCGCAGGGCCTCCAGGGCTGTATGCGTCGCTAGAAGAGTGTAGGGCAGGGCCAGAGGTCGTTGCGGAAGGGGCGTGAGCGTCGCCACCTGGCCGGGCCGCCGTAGAATCCATTGCCGCTGTGACTGACTCGCTCGCTCTTTTCCGTCTCGAGGTCAGCTACGAGATGCTGTCAGATGGACGAGATGTCGATAGGCTGGAAAGGATCGAATGGTACGGACGGCAGATTGACAGAAAATCAAATCACCGGCCTCGATCGAGCCGTGTTGCTTTGTTCCTGTGCTCCTCATTTGCTCCGCTGCGTGGCTGTGCTTCCCATCTGCAAAACGGCGCACGGACATCTTGCGCCCCGGGTGGAGGCGGCGAGAGCAGAAGACCGATTGCGGTACACGGAAGCTCGCTCTCTCTACAGCAGCTTGTAAATGGAACATATGCATTGCAATCTTGATCCTCTCTCTCTCTCCTCTCTTTACACTGTGATCTGGCTCGCATCCAAGTTCAAGGCATTCAAGAAAATGTTGACCAACCTCAACTTGCGACGCCCCGCCTGCTCCAACTCTACCGATCCGCCCTTGCTTCTCGCCTCGAGGACATTCTCCAGAATCTTCTCCCTAAGCTCCTGGACAAGGACTGACTGCTCCTCCATGCTCGCTGAGACGGCGAGGGCAGCAAAAAGATTCCAGGCAGGTTCGTCGGACTCGTCGAGGCGACGTTGACGCTCGAGATCGGCGACGGATGAGGAGCCGCCGTAGTACAGGTGAGAGGAGAAGCCGAACGGCTGGGCTGCCTTTGCTCGAGTGGAGGGTAGGAGCGATGCGAGAGAGCCAGAGCGGGTGACGAGGCGCTCGAAGAGGAGACGGAAGATTTGGGTCCATTGAGCTTGTTCTTCCGGCGATGGGGGAGGTGGTGAGGACGACTCTGCACCTCCTTCGGGGGCGGGGGCGTTGTTACCGCTGCCTTGCTTGAGCGCCTCTGCCCTTGAGAGTAGGATAGTGAGGAACGCAATGCCCGCGCGAGATCGTGCAACAAGTACGACATCGTTCCTCTCGACGAATAGCGCCAGCATGCCAATCACGATCTTGAATGGGCTGGTTGCCATCAACCCCAGCATGGCAGGCACAATCGTGTTGCTGAATACGTCCGTCTGCGTTTCCATCTCCCTGCGTGCTTCACTGCCCTCCGCGCGCTCGTCGTCCAAAATGGCTGCATGGCGGACCACGTCGAGCGAGTCGAACGAGGCCACGATCATCGTGAGCGCGGTCAGGGTCTGCTCTGAGCTCAAGTGACGAAGAGCGCGGGGGAGGAGTCTCTTTCCCTTGGTAGTGTTGAGCAGCGAGACGAATGGGTGCGGGTCCGAAATCTCCAGAGGCTCCAAGACGCGGAGCTCCTTCCAGAGGTGAGACGTGAGCGACTCCTGCTCTGCGCGAGCCTCAGCATCCCCGTCGACTGAGCGACGCAGCTGCTCGAGGGCGAGGGTCGTGTCGTAGAGCTCCTCGAGAATGCGAAGAGCTTGATGACGTGTGAGGGGCGGGCGCTTCCCGTCTGCGGAGGTGGCAGCGGCGGAGCCTGAGTTCTTGTCCAGGCTGGCTCCCTCCAGCGCTTGACGCACGACGTCTGCCGCAGTCGTCGCTCCACCGCTGGCAGCAGCAGCATCGCTGTCCCCACCCTTCTTGCCGATCTGCAGTGCTTGCCTCGGGTTGCCAGCCACATTGAGCCCGACTTTGCCCAGGGCTCCCTCCAAATTCGGGTTCGCAGTCCCTTGCGCTGCCTTTTCAATGCGGCTCTTCCTGTCCGCTACCAGCCGCTCAACCTGCTGCTGCATACGCAGCATAGCCTTTTGCTGGGCGTTCATCCTCTTCGGTCCCTTGGGTGGCTGCTTTTGTTGCGCCGCAGGCTGTTGAGGCGCTGCACCCATGAGGCCTGGGTTGGGCCCGGGGCGACCACGAAGTGCAAAGTAGATGTGGGCATAGAAGTCCTCGGCGTAGGGGTCGTTGGGCAGGATCTGGGAAATTTGAATGCGTGTGATAAACTCCTTGTCCGATACACTCATCAGGTTGTTGTATCGCGACATGGCGGCGATCTTTGCTGCGCGCTGGTTGCGCTTCTCCTCGAAGCGATGGATGCCCCGCAGCTTGTTGACGGCTGCCGCAGTTGCTCGGGCCTGCACCTCACGGTCCTCGTCCGTTGCTGCAGGTTGAAGCAGCACGGCGAACTCACGCCCGACACCCTGAAGAACATCGAAGTGGAGCTGAGGAGGGAGCGAAGTGATCCCTTGCTGGACTGGCTCGGGCAGGGCGCGGAGCATTGCTTGCATGCGGGCGAAGTGCTCTGCTTGTTGGGCTTGCATCGAGGCGTGGGATTGCTGCATCGCCATCGCTGCCGGTGGTAGAGGGCCAGCACCGCGAGCTGGACCTGTCGGAGGCGGAGGACCGCCAGCGAGAGGACCGGTAGGTGGGGGTGGGCGAGCTCCCAGTGCGGGGAAGTCGACATCGTTGCGAGGCCCGAGAGGAGGGGCTGCGGTGGTTTGTTGAGAAGCGCCGGAGGGAGGAGGCTGCATGAGGCCGGCGAATGGTCCTGAGGGAGGCTGTGCGCCACTGGGCATCGGCATCGGCTGCTGTTGAGTCGGCTGCTGCTGCTGCTGGGGAGCTGGTCGACCGCCCCTCATCTCAGCCTCGATCTCCTCCATAGTCATCGGTCGACGTCCTCCCGGGGCAGGAGAGCTCGAGGCGGCTGGCGGTTGAGGCTGTTGCGAGATCCTTGAAGCGCGCAGCTCTGCCTCGATCTCCTCCATCGTCTTGGCAGCACGGGCTGGGGGAGGCGGTAGCTGCTGCTGCTGCTGCTGCTGGACAGGCGCAGGTGGGGCAGCCTTTTTCGTCATGCTAGGCAATGCCCAGAAATCGTCGAAGTTACTGGCGAACATCGAGTCGTTTGCCTTTGATGCTGGCTTGGCTGGCGCTGCGGGGGCTGAAGGGCCGTGACCGAAGTCGAAATCCTTGCCTGGCGGAGCGGGAGGCAGCGAGACGTTAGAAGCTGCGGAAGAAGCTCGAGGTCGGTGGGAGGGGGCTGCTCACCGATATCACTGGGCTCAGCGCCAAACGTGTCAGCATTAAGGTCATCTCCAGCCTCGTCGAGCATGTCGCCAAGGCCGTCGTAACCTTCTCCTCCCCATTCGTAAATCTGCGAGTGGGCCAATGACGGAGATGAGTTCGAGCTCGATGAGCGCGTTTCATACTGTCAATAGCGCGCCTACCCACCTGTACATCCTCCTGAGCCCCCGCAGTCAAGCCGCGAATCTTGGCGTCTAGCTGCTCATCATCCAATGCTCCACCAGCTGCGCCTGACCCGAGCGAGGCAAAGGGATCGTCGAGCCCGCCTCCCTTTTTGTCGCGGGGCAGGCTCGTGTCGAAGCCAAAGAAGCTCATGGCCGAGCGAGGCGTGCGTGCGTGCGTGCGTGCGTGTGATGAGGATGCAGTGATTGGAAAGAAGTGGGTGCTGCCTATGGGTGGAGTTGATGGTGTCGTAGTTGCGAAGATGCGAATCAATGCGCCCGCTCGCACTCGTCAGCGTCTCCGTCGTCGGCCCACGCGCGCTGGACTCGAGTCGACTGAAGCCAAGTCGAGGCTCGTCTCTGTCCGCTTTCATTGAGCGAAGTCGCCCGACGTTGGCCTGAGCGCAGCTCCGCTCGTCCTCATTTCAACTCGAGACTCCACCCCAAACTCCACCCCCTCTTTTCCTCACTCCCATCTACCCCTCTCCATCGCACACGGCCGCAATGTCACTCCCCTACGCAGCCGACGCAGAGACGCCTCTCACAAGCGCAGAGCTCTCTGTCCTCGAGTCGCAATACCAAAAGGAGCTGGCATCGGGGCATGCCTCTACCCAGTCGAGATTCAATTTGGCTTGGGGACTGGTTAAGTCGAGGAATAGGGATGAGATGGCTAGGGGTATTGGGTTATTGACTGGTGAGTGCAGCGAGGCTTGAGAGGGGGTTGTCGAGTGTCGAGGAGAATGACAGCTGATGATGGATGCCGGCCATGCTTGGCCCCACGCCCGCAGAGATCTACCGCTCAGACCCGCCACGAAGAAGGGAGTGCCTCTACTACCTGTCATTGGGCCACTTCAAGATGGGCAACTTCGATGAGGCTCGACGCTTCAATGGTGAGTCGTGTTTGCCTCTCGTTTAGATCCTCGTGCCACCCTCCCTCCGCTTCTCGTACTGACCGAACGCTCATCTACCTACACTGCGCTCGCAGCCCTCCTCATCGAGCGCGAACCCAACAACCTTCAAGCGCAGTCGCTTCAGGAGCTCATTGAGAAGGGTGTGGCAAGGGAAGGCTACATCGGTATGGCGCTTATGGGTGGAGCGGCTGCTTTGGGTGGCGTGGTACTTGCTGGACTGCTGAGGAGGAGACGATAGTCGGAGGTGGCGAGGCGAGGCGAGAGGGAGCAGGAGGAGGCCTTGTATTATAGCAGACGACAATGGCGATGACGAATGGGACGCTGGAGGGTATATATCAATGATCCAAATGAGCAAATATCCACACCTACTCAAGCCACTGGCCATTTTAGTGTCTACTGCGACGCCTCAAAGGGGCATCGCCGTCGCCGCTGACGACCCGCCCGCAAATTCATCCCATCTTCCCACCTCGCTCCTCCAAACCTCTTGCACCCACGCAAAGCTATCCATCCCCCTCGCCTCAACGCAGGACAAGTCGCGCCATGTTGTAAGCACTTCTTTGCGCAGCCGTGAGGAAGCTGAGGGGTTGTAGGTGCGAGGACGTCGTGGCTTCGATGATGCTGCAGTGGTGTCATCGGGGTGAGCCCCATTCGTGAAGAGGTCCGTGACCGCAGGCGCAACGAGACTGCCAAGAGGGGAGCACTCCACGAAGAGAGTAGAGAGGGAGGTCCGCAGCTGTTGAGTCTGAAGCTGGGCTTGCAGTGAGAGGGTGGCCGTGGCTGCGACTGAGCGTGGCGATGAGATGTAGAGGGCAGTATTGTCGTCAGTACTCTTCGCCCGCCGATGGACCTTGAGCTCTCGCAACTCACCCATCTCCTCTCCCCCAACTGGTCCCCATCTCACATCCTCGCTCCTGGTCATCCACTCCCTCTCCAGCGCCGCAGCCTCGTCTCGCAGCTTCAGCAGGGCCTGTGCTGCCCCCTCGATTCGTCTCCATGCCACATCCAGCTCAGAGTATGTCGCATCCAGATCCTCAAGGGCTTCGCGAACGGCTCCCGCCGCTACCCCTCCCGCGACCTCCCGTCGCTTCGTCCGCTCCTTCATCTCATCCTCCAATTCACCCAGCGCGCCCGCATACTTTGCAACAAGCTCTGCTGCCTCTTCTATCTCGTCTGCCCAGAGCTGCCTTGTCCTGGCGAATTCGATGAGAAGGGTGCGCAGACGGCGATGATATGTCGTTTCTTGCTCGCGAGACAGGAGATATGGGCGTTCCGAGCTGGACGACAACGACGACGGCGACGCATCATTGTTGCCTCCATTCTTGGCTGCTGAAGCTCGTCGATTCGGAGAGTTGTGGTTCAGGTTGGCGCTTCCACTCGCGACCCGTCTAGGCGAGGAGGTGGAAGGGGGTCCCGCTCCTCCATGCTGCGATGGTGAGCCTGGCGGAGGCGTTGATGGCGAGGGCGAAAGGGACGAGCCCCTCAATGTTCGGCCGGCGAGTGGGCCAAGCTTAGAGGGAGGCATCGTTGCTGATGGATGATGAGACGCAGGCAGTAAAGGACGCGGACAGGCACGACGGAAAGGGAAGAGCCAAGTCGCGAGGGTCGACTTCATCTCAGCGAGAGCGGGGCGGCGCACGCTCAGGCCAATTGGGGTCGGGCTGGAGAGATACAACGACTTTTCCTCCTTTCCATTCGTCCCATCGCATCCTGCCTCGACGACCCACATTGAGAGTGCCTCAGCACACTCGACATGGCGAGAGGGTGACCTGCCCGAGAGGTCGTACGCAGCGGTCACAAGGGAGCAAATTAGGTCCAAGAGCTCCTCTGCCGCCAACAGCAAGAGCCGCCTGACTCCCACCTCGCTCCTGCTCAGCATACCTCATGGCCACACCCACCACACACCACAAGTCGCTCGCGAAGCGTGATCTCATTCAGCTCAAGCTCCACCAAGACAACAGGCTTTCTCGCCTTCATTCTGTCGCCCACGGCGCGTGACGCACGCCACCCGAACAACACCGCTCATCATTCGCCTTTCCCCTCACCATCACCCACGCCCACGGCACTTGACAGACGCCACGCACCTCAACCGATACCTCTCGAATTTGAGCTTTACAACATTCAGTCACCTTCTTCAACACAAGAGTCAAAGCATCCGATCACCGATTGGCCGACTTAGTGAGCTCTTGGGATTCATGGGCAGACGCCAGAGGCACTCTTCAGCTTGGAGTGGGTCTCCCGTCCTCGTTGCTTAGACCACTCGTGCTACTCGGCGGGCCGTCCTGCCTCACGTGGAGCCTCCCTCGACCGTGCGCTTGCCCATCGCGGCACCGCCGCCGCTCGCCTTTGTCGCCGAGGATAAACAGCAGGGCCGCGTGCCTCGTCGACGACGAGGTGGTAGCAACAGCTTCTTTATTGGCCGCGATGCAACGACGCAAGCAGGATTCAGGCACCATTGCTGCACTTTTCTTAGCCTTGCTGAGCCTTGTATGCTGTCTCTGGCCCGCGCACATTGCCCTAGTCCCCCGCCAGACCAGCATACACCCGGCTCAAATTCGCGTACCAAGCCATCTCAGGGCGCACTCGGCTCAGATTCGTCTTCAGAGCGCCATCTATTCGTACAAATGCCTGATTCCAGTGCCACGAAGGGTGTCGCAAGGCCAAGGCAGCAGCCCACGGCGCGGACAACAACACGGCTGGCGAAGCGTCCGAGCCCCAGCCTCAAGCAAGCGGCAGTGGAAACGCCGGGGTTCCTATGGAAGACGACGATCTCGAGGACTCCGATGATGAGGATGAGGATGATGGGCAGAAGCAAGTCGGCACCGAGTTCAGCGTCATCCGTGCCCTCGCGAGCTCCAACGCCGCCGAAGCTCTCGAAGACCTTCTCGACATCGACGCTGCCGCCTTCCCTCGAGGTGACGCCCTCAGCCGCGCCCTCCTCCCCGCCAAGAGCAGCATCATCAGCGACGGCCAAGACACGGACGGAGCCGATGAGGCCGTCGAGGATCCCGGCACCTCCTCGCTGCCTGCTACTAAGTTCATAGACGGCAAGCAATGGGAGCTCAAGCGCTACGGCTCAGGGCGCTACTACGAGTCGCCAGACGGCAGCAGCAGGGAGTACGTTGCCTTTGCCCGTCCTCAGCCTTCGCCCCTCAAAGACGCGGAGACGGTCCTCGCCGGTGCCAAGCGGTTCGTTCTCGCCGCCGCCAATGGTGAGCCTCGACGGAGAGTAGGCCGCACGTGGGGCGCATGCTGACTGTCCTCCCCTCTCTCTTCCCCATCTTCACTCGCGCAGGCCGCATCGACCTGGGTACGACGACCTCTGGCGTAGCTTGGCAACAGGGAGCCGCCCGTGACAGGGTCAAGAGGTGGCTCGATGGAGGCTACTTCAAGCTTACGCCCTTCTTCGAGCAGCTGCTCAATGACGTTGGCTCCGGCAAGTCAGACGTCTGGGAGGCAAGCTACTTCGAGGCCAAGGCCGGCCAGTCGCTCTCTCCACCCTTCGCCGCCACCCAGCCTCCTTCGGCAGCCGGCAGCGCCAGCAAAGACGGCGTGTATGGACGCATCGTCTTCAGGAGCAACCGCTAGGCGACCCTCTACTGCGGGCAGGCGCAAGACCCCGTGGCGCGGCACTACTCACACGAGGCTACCCTCCTGAGGACGGAGTTGAGCGGGGGCCGTGGGCGGGCCTCCTACCACTACCAGCAGGAGACCGACAACGACGCGCACGCAGCCTTCCTCCTCGGCCAGGTTACGGGGCTGGCGGACCTCAACGAGAGCGCCGAGTGCCTCGCCGTCTGGGAGGAGCTGATCTGTGTCCTGATGGGTGGCTACTGCCTCGATGAGCAGTATCTTAAGTCGAGAGCGCGTTTCGGGCAGTGGCAGCTCTCGACCATCAAGGGCATCAAAGGCGCAAGGTGCATGGAGGGGCCGCGAGACCATAACAAGCAGCAAGGAGAGGAGCCTAGCATCGCCGACCCTCAGTACAAGTTCCTGCTGCACTTGTACCGCACGGCCGTTATGAACCTCACGACCGCCCACTGCCGCGCCCACGCCACGCCCACGCCCACGCCCGCCGCCGATGCTGCCCTGTCCTCGGCCTCGTCCGCCGCCCACGCCGCCTCGTCCACCACCGCCGCCTACACCGCCGCCCCCTCGCCTGCCCGCACCAAGCCCTCCGCCGGCCAAGCTGTCACGCGCGCCGCTGCCACGTACGATGCCGTCCGCTCCGCAGAGCATGCTCGCGCCAACGAGATTACGCTGACGGGCAAGATGCTGTATCGATGGCCCCTCAACAACGAGGCCACCCACAACGTTAGCATCTTCGGCAAGAGGCTCAGGAGGTGCGAGGTCCGCGAGCTCCAGCGTCTCGCTCGCAACGGCGGGTCCAAGGGGTCCAGTGCGCTTTTCTGCGTCCTCTACGAAACCACTTTCAGAAAATAGGCTATTTCATAAGCCACTTCACTTTGACAAAATATTGCTCCTGAAGTCTTTATAAGGTCTGCAAGGGTCGTTACGACTCCAAGAGGCATCTCCTTCGAACCTGTCGCCCTCCAGCATAGTCTATGTCTATCGAATCAATGTGCGCCTCGCCGCAACACTCGTACTCCTTTATGCATTTCCCTCTACTCGCGTGAATTCTAAGGCTTCGTCGCAGCGTCGCCTGGTCTCTCGCTGAAACACTTTCCACGTGACACACCTCGCAATCAATGCTACTCTCACATTCAGTGCTTGTTGGAGAACGCAAGTCTTGATGCACGGCGAATGAGCTGCCAGTCAATGAGGCGGGCGATGCGAAGTCGTGGCGCGCTCGTGGCGCGTTAGATGAGTCTTCGAGAGCAGGGTCGCGACGAGACGTGGTGACGCACAGCGAGGGATGAGCGTCGACTAAATGGATGAAGTTCTTTTTTCGATTTCAGAGCAGATTGTCATAGGGGGAGAGGCAACAGTAGAGTCAAGTCAAAGGGCGGTGGACGCGAATGCGGATCGCCCCTTGCTGACTGCGTGCTGCGGCGCGCGCCTTTAGACGGTGCCCGACTTGGCGATGGTGATCTTGGTCTTGGTCTTGCCCGAGCCAGATCCCTCACCCTCGATCTTCTTGACAATGTCCATTCCCTCGGTGACCTCACCGAAGACGACGTGCTGTGCGGGGAGAGAGGGGGCGGGAAAGGGACGCGTCAGCGTCAAAGGCTCGTACGGCGACTGCGGCTGCTCCTTCTACTCCTCCTGATGCTATTAATGCTCACCTTTCCATCAAGCCAGCTGGTGACAACGGTGGTAATGAAGAACTGCGAGCCGTTAGTGTTGGGTCCTGAGAGTTCAGAGAAGGTATTGAAGGTCGGGAGGGAGTACAAGGTCAGTCGTGCCGCCTTTCCGACGCGTGGTAGCGAGCTCACTCACCGGCGTTGGCCATGGAGAGAAGTCCGGGCTTAGTGTGAGCGATCTTGAAGTTCTCATCCTCGAACTTGTTGCCGTAGATTGACTTGCCACCAGTACCGTTACCGGCAGTGAAGTCACCACCCTGGAGCATGAACTGGGGGATGACGCTGCGGCGGGGGGGCGGAACGATCGCGTCAGTTGATGGTAGCGCACACGGGCCATGAAAGAACAAGCTCACCGGTGGAACGAGGAGCCCTCGTAACCGAAGCCCTTGGAGCCAGTGCAGAGCTCACGGAAGTTGGTAGCCGTCTTGGGGACGACGCTGTGGGCCAAGGGAGAGCAGGGAGAGGAGGGCGTCAGCGGGTCGCGCACGCAAGAACGGGCTCCGTCCATGCACCCCGCGCACTCACTCGTCGTAGAGCTTGAAGACGATGCGGCCAAGAGGCTCGCCGTTCTTGGTGATGTCAAAGAAGACGTTGGACATGTTGAGAGCTGAGCGGGTCGACGCAAAGGAGCGCAGCAGGGTGGGGTGCATTGGAAAGAAGAGGGTGGGCTGAAGCGGTCAGCAGAGATGCACGTCAGAATACCGCTGGCCAAAGAAACGGGGGTAAGGCCAGGCGATTGATGCTCACAAGTTCTTGGTAGGTTGTGTTGGTGGTGGTGAGAGGGTTGGAAGAAGTGCTATGCTCGCAGCTCACGTCAACGGGCGAGCGCAGAGTGGAACCTCGCCGATGCCTTGGCCCCCGGCGCTCGGGCAGCTGCGTGGCTCGCGGTGGAGGGGGGCTGCCAGCGAATATTGGCGAGGCGCGCACGTGGCCCTGCCGAGGCGTGACTGACACAGCAGCGTCTACGAGAGAGACAGACAGAGAGAGAGAGAGAGCACGCCACGCCACGCGGTCGTCCGAAAGCTGTCATTACGATTGTATCATGGCGAGAAGGAGGAGACACGAGAGATGATACGAGACGCAAAGCAAGGTGTAGAAGAGAGGAGCGCAGTGTAGGTATGGGAGGCGCAGAGAGAAGTAAGCTTGGCGTAATGACCGGCCCCGCAAGAGGAGCAAAGGTGGTATACAGGAGAAGCCGGTTGCAATGCTCTTCTGTACGCCGCCTCATCACCACCCCTTGCCATCTCGTGCGCTCAGCCATCCTTGTCGCCACGCGTGGAAACGACCGTCGCCTGGACAATGTGATGCTTGTGCTCCGTCGACACGCCATTCTCGCAAAGCGGCACGCTCTGCAGCCACGGATCCTTGAGGATCTCATCGAGCCCCCACCGTCCCTTGGGATCCGGGCAGAGCATCTTCTTGAGGAGAGGTCGACACTCGCGTGGGCTCAGATTGGAGAGCGGGGATGGAGCGGGCGATCCGTGGTACGAGTGGACAAACTCCTTGAACGTCGGATCTGACATCTTTGCTACTCTCCACGGGAGTTCTTGAAACTGCATGCAGTAGAAGACGACAGCAGCCGCCCAGACGTCGACGAGGCGAGCGTCGTACTCCTTTGCCTCGAACTGCTCCGGCGCAATGTAGGGCTCAGAACCGCAGAGTCCCTTGGAGTAGTGGGTCGACTTCTCCCAGCACATGCGGAAGACGTCTGACACGCCAAAGTCGGTGATCTTCACGTGGCCGCTGGCGTCCAGTAGCAGGTTTTCCGGCTTGATATCGCGATGCGCCACGCCCATTGAGTGGAGGTAGGCGATACCGTTCAGAATTTGCTTGAAGCAGCACTCGACCTCGCCCTGACTCATGCCACCGCGCTTGATCGCAGCGTAGAGGTCTCCGCCGGGGCAGTACTCCATAACCTCGCACCAGTGCCGATTCTCGTCCTGCACTAGGTCGACCGTCTCGACGATGTTGATGTGGTGGAGTGTCGAGGAGATACAGAACTCCGAGGTCAGCTTCTTGACGTACTCCTTTTCGGTCTCGTTTTTGCGACGTTTTCTAAATTCCTTGACCGCGTAGAGCTTCTCGGTGCTGCGGTCCCACTTGTGAGCGAGGCGGACGACAGCCGTGGCTCCCTTGCCGATGGCGGCCTTTTCGCAGACGCCGTACTTCTTGAGCAGCGAAGTGGTATTCTCACTGCCTGCTGTTGAGCCTTTACCCCAACCTTTGCCATCGCCTGCCTGCGAGCCGCCGCCCTTTTCTGAGCCAGACTTATCTGAGCGAGCGCCGTGAGAGACATTGGAGCCACGACGTGCGAGCTTGCCGGGACCAGAGCCGCCCAGGCCGGCGATCATGTCGCGCAGCGTGGACGAGGCCGTAGAGCGAGCATCCTTGTCCTTTGGTGGAGCTGCTTGCTTGCTCGACTTCGACTCCATATCGCGGAGCGCTGCGGCTGTAAGGCGATTGCCCCCAGCATCTGACGATGACGCTCCGCTCTCAGATGGCTCCCTGCCGCCAGCGACTTGCCTCTTGATTGACTGAGCTCGACTAGGAGGCTGCGATACGCTTGGTGATTGCCCGTCCCGCTTCTCGCCGGTATTGAGGTTCATCGACTGGACTGCGTGCATGAGACTCGCTCCATCCGGAGTGCCGACGTGCTCGTGCTTGGGCGTGCCCGGCGGGGTCGATGCAGAGGGAGAGCGAGTGCCATGGGTGTAGGCGGATGCTGAGCGGTTGTTTGGTATTCTCGAGGGCGAATGTTGGCCGGACCCAGATCGGTCCTTCTCGTGTCCGCCAGAAAGCATGCGCTTCAAAATACCGCGCCCCCCCTCACGCTCACCCTTGTCGCGCCCCTGCTGATGTTGCTGCGCCGCCTCGGCATGCTGCCCGGCTGGCTGCGCAGGTGGCTGCTTGATCGTTGCCAGAGACGACGTCGAGTTGTTGGACACGAACGGAGGCGGCGTGAAGCCTCCATTGCCTCCCTTGAGCGTGTTGTTGCTCACCTTGGTCGTGGCAGCCACCTTGGGAGGGGGCGACATTGCTCGAGGTGGCGGCGATGAGGCTCGCGATGGAGACGCAGCACGTCGAGGTGATGCGCCATTCGCGGCGGCGTTGGCAGCCACTTTGCCAATCTCGGCAGGATCTGACGTCGATCCATTGACGTTGGGAGCTTTGGTGGTGTCGTAGGGCGTAGGCTCTCGTACGAGCTCGAGCCTACCACCCTCCTCGCTAGGCTCGTGCCTCAGTGCTTTGCCGTCCTTGCTCTGCATACCGCTCAATCGATGCTTTGGGTAGTGATGACGCTCAGGCGTGGGTGGCCGCGAGAGGTTGGACTCGGTCTCGGAGTCGGACATGAGTTCGCCAGCTTTGAGTTCGCGGTCTCGAGCCGTGGGGACTGAAGTGAGTGACACCATGTTGCGAGTGGCGGGCGGCGGGCGGCGAGCGGCGAGGGGCAGTGGGCGCAGCAGCCAACGAGGCTAAGCAGGGGAGGATGGAGGTAGCGGCTTAGGGCGGATCGAGTCGCTGCGCAGACGATGCCGTCGCAATCCCCTCGAGAGGGGAAATTGCAAGTGGTGGCGGCCTGGTTAAGAAGCAGCGAGTCGATGTCGTCGTCGGCGGCGTCGTCGATGAGGGATGAGGACGGCGTGACGAGTGGACTCAGTGCCGTGTGCAGCGAGCGCGAGCGCGACCCTCTGACCGCCAGGCAGCGGCGGCAGGCGGCAAGGCGGGCGAGCGAGGCCAGGCCGGGCTCACGGAGACGGAGACGGAGGCGACTCCGAGGCAGGCAAGCGCGAAACACAAATGAACAAGAGCGAGCGAGAGAGAGCGAGCGAGAGAGAGCGAGCGAGAGAGAGCGCGCGAGCTGTAAGTGGGCAAGGGGCATTGACGATCAAGCGTCGAGCAAGGCCCTCCGAGGTGCTCAATGACGACGACAAAGACGACGAGGGTTGATTTGCGAGAGGCGCTCAGATTGCGCTAGAGCGTACAATTGGATTGAGTGAAGCTGCAAGACTCGGTCGTGTGCGCACCTAGGAAAAGGACTGACGAGGACGAGGCTGTGCCTGCTACCTAGCAATCAGCGGACAAGCAAAGAAGCAGCAGCCATCGCGACGAGGGAGAGGCGTGTATGAGACCTCTCCATCGACGCAACGAGAGCTCAACTTTGTGCAAAGGCGGGATAGTGAGCAGGTCTGATCAAATACGCAAGTCCTTGTCAGCGTTGGCGCCTCATCGCTGCATCATCCTCAAAGCTCAGCGCACTTGAAGCTTAGAGCCGCCACCGTCGAGAGCGCCCGCACCACCCGTCCTCACGTGGCAGCGGGTCCGCGCTGCTGCTGATGTCGAACGACTCGACATCCGCGAGAGTCGCGCCTAGGGTTTTTTCGCTCCTCATCCTTCATCGCCTCACAAATCTCTCTACTTCGACCAAACAAGCTCTTACAAGATGGCCTTTGCTTCTCGTGGTTGTTACAAATGTGGTCAGCGTGCGTAAGAGGTCGTGAGCACAATTGAGCGCGTCCCAGAGATCTACTTGGAGGCCAAAGAGGCGGCGAACGAGGTCGTACGACATCACGCGCCGATGCTGCGGGCGCGAGGAGAGCTCTCATCGTGACGGCTGCCTGTATGGGATCATAAGGGGACATCAAGGGATGCAGGGCCGCCTTTCGGACACTTACTTGTTTCATATCCAGGCGAGAGAGAGGAGCTGACGAGGCGTAATACCAATGCGTTCCCCCTTCATTCCCCTACCCCTCCGTCCGTCTCGCACATGCTTCCCTACCTAATCTACCTTGCCTGCTCTGCTGCTCCCTTCCCGTCTTCTACACGGCGTCCGGTGTCGTACGGCGATGGCGATTGGCGATGGCGACGATGTGCTGCTCTGCTCACCTCCACTATTTAACCCGGCCGGCAACTTCTACTCTCGACGACTCTCCTCACAGCCGGCCACATGGCTGCTGCCTGCACTGCTGAGCAGCCCACTTGCTACCGATGCGGTGGTCAAGGCAAGCATCAAGGGTTTGGCGTCGCCACATTCTCTGGTTGTTATCGCTAACATGGTCCCACCTCTGCCCAACGCCTCCTCACAGGTCACATCTCCAACGCCTGCGGCATGGCAGCTCCCCCTCGCACCTGCCATTCTTGCGGTCAAGAAGGTGTGTAGCGCGCGTAGAGCCATCGATGTGAACCTGTGCGAGATTTTTGCGATTCGGGGCAGTGCAGGAGGGGTCACGGTTCAGTCGCAGGCTCGCGCGTAGAAGGTCTCGTGCGGCTGCTATGGCCCTGCCTCCGACCCGCCTCACGTCCTTCACACTCTCCAGGCTGCCGACATCGACTCGCTACTGACACGACCGCCTTCTCCCCGCCTCCGCTACTTCGCAACAGGCCACATCGCCCGTGAATGCCCCCAGGGAGGACAAGGCGGTTACGGCGCTTTCGGCGGCTTCTCTGGCACGTGCCACCAATGCCAGCAGCCGGGCCACCGAGCTCGTGACTGCCCTCAGGGTGGTGCCGGCCAGGGAGGCTTCGGCGGAGGGTATGGAGGCGGATTCGGAGGAGGCATGAAGTGCTTCAACTGTGGCCAGATGGTGGGTGGCTGGAAATTCTTGGTCCGCCGCTGATTGAGTCGATCGCTAACGCAAAGCCCTTCGCCACGCAGGGCCACAAGTCCGCTGCCTGCGGCCAGCCTCAACGCAAGGCTTGCTACGTGTGCCAGGAAGAAGGCGAGCATACGGCGAGGAGCTGGACACTTGAGTAGAAGTTGTAGGCTGACCCAACGCTTCCCCACCTTCGCAAATCTCTGCCTTCCCACCTCACTCCAAATCCGGCAACGACACGTGAGCAGGCCATCTCGCCCGAGACTGCCCTAGCCAGGGCGGCGCCGCTGGCGGCTTCGGTCAGCAGCAGTAAGCGCTGCTTGAACATCGAGGCTCCTCCGACACGGTTAAGCCAAGACTGAGCGTCACGGCCAGCTGCGAAGCGTTCCTCGGGTACAAGCGCCTGCCGATCTCTTTGGTCTGACCACCTGCCCTACTAGCCCTGTCCAGCTCTGATCAGCTCTCGGCTTTCGTAACATGAATCAGATCGCGTTCTCCACTCACTAAGCTCGGTGTGCTCGCGTTGAGTCGTAGAAGCATGGCTGCTGCTTGCGATGCGCAACCTCACTTGATCTGACAGTGGCAGGAGAAGTAGCTCGTCGGTCACAAATAGTGCACCTTGCCGTTGATCGTAGCTGCCTACAGCGAGGTGCAGCGCAGCGAAGACTCCCTTGTAGCCAGGGACGCGTTGAGGATCAGCACGTGGCTTATCTCGGATGGCTCGAGCGCAAGGCAACTCACTTGATCGTAATTTCTCCTCATTCGACTTTTGACCACTACCAGTCAGTCCACCTTCACGTGACCATGCAGTGAAAGCGTAGAGCATGCCCAGCTCACCGCAGCACGATGCCACATTGGCACTGAGCTCACGATGGAGCTGCATCGGGCCCTGGCCTGCGGGGATGCGCGAGGAGAGTTTTGGTCCCGATCCACGATTCCTCGAGGAAGTTGGAGGAGCATATACGGTGGATCCGCCTGGTGTGAAGCAGGTACATGCGATCACCGAGGCTAGCGAGAATGCAACGGCTGCTCGACACTCGATCAGCATCTCATACCCCCGCGACGCAATCGACTGGACCGGGGCTCACGATACGGCTGGATGGGCCGCCCTTCAATGGCAAGGCCTGGCGTGGACGAAGCTCGACATCCGGCATAGAGATAGCAAGAGGCCCCTTGTGCTCAGTGTTGACGTTCGAGGCGCCATACAGTTCGCCATCGTGGCTCACGATGAGGCTTTCACACCCGCTCACTTCAAGTGGCACCTCGCCGACTACTACTCGTACGATGGCGACCACCTTCCTCACCTGATTGCGTTGGATGAGCAGCCCGGCGACTACTGGTTCATTGTTCGCCCGCTGTACGAGGTGCGCGTCTTCGGGGGATTCCCACCCGACACCACTCCCACCGTCGACCTCGACGTACGCCTCGCCCTCATCGAGTCCAGCGGTCGTCATCACTTGCCGACGGTCATCACGCAAGGTCACCTCTGCATTGCCCCAGACGTCGTTGAAGGGCGTCTTGCCAGCCCGTACTTCAGCGTCGCCCTCCGCAACGACGACACCGGCGAGACATGGCGCATCATCGACATCCACGAGACGTACGAGCAGGAGCCAGTCTTCGCAAGGCTGTCCCTTCTCCGACCACCGGACCAGCCATCTCGAGCAGCGGCGGCTCTCGTTCATCCTCTGCAGACAACCAAGGTCGGATTTCAGGCTGAAGCGGGCAGAGCTCTGACGGCGCTCGTGTCGTCAGGAGAGATCGCTGTCAAGCTGGTGCTCCTGATCGCAGACCAGTCGGGTCAGGAGCATGTCCTGACCTTTACGCTCTCCCTTGGCTGCGTGCGCGAGCCTCCCTCGCTCGACGAACACTTCTCGTACAGGTACACGTACTTGAGCAAATCCGGTCTCGGTCCTCATTACGCCATCGTGGTCCCTCCAAGACAATTGAGACAAGAGGGAGCTTCCAACGAGCAGCACCAGCAACCGGTCATCGTCGCCCTCCATGGTGCAGGGGTGGAGACTGACTCACCCTTCTGGCGAACTTCTCTCCCTCGCCACTCCACATGCTGGATCGTCCTCCCTACCGGGCTCACCCCGTGGGGTCTCGACTGGCAGCAAGCCTCACGAACAATGTGGCAGGATCTCGTCTCTGACCTCCGATTCCAGCAGGCCCTTCTTCCCTCCGCCGTCGCCACAACTACACCCCCTCCGGTCGTGCTGCTCGGTCACTCCAACGGCGGCCAAGGAGCATGGCACGGTCTCGTCCACGGCGGAGAGCAGGTCATTGCAGGCATAGTATGCGCGGGCTACATCAAGATGGAGGACTACGTCGCGCCCGTCTGGCGAGCAGAGCGTCACACAATCGACCCAGTATTGCGCGGCATCCTTGAGTCGGCGCGGACCGTATTCGCAAATGACGTGCACCTGTCTAATCTCGTTGCGGCGAAAGGGCCTGTGCCCCTAACGATCAAGTACGGCAGTGAAGACGACAATGTTCCGCCTTGGCATTCGCGGGAGATGGGAGCGCTTTTGCGGACCTGGGCGAGCCGGGCCGGGCTGGGCAAGGAAAGCTGGCCGAAGGTGATCGAGGTGAAGGGGAGGGGACATTGGTGGGATGAGATGCTCAGGGAGGAGGATGTGCAGAGGGCTGTTGATGAAGCGTGCGAGCATAAGAAGGTCAGGCTTCCAAAGCGCTTCACGGTCACTTGCGTCATTCCGTCTACGACTAGGGCGAGAAATGGCTGGCGCATCGTGCAGACAGAGGTCCCGGGACGAATCGCGAGGCTTGAGGTCGAGTATCGCAATGCAGCCGCAGCTGAGGGCTCATGCTGTACTGTGGTAGCCGCCAGCAACGTAAGGCAGATCGGGGTCGCTGCAACCACAGGTCTCTCGGTCAACGTTGGCTCCTCGACCCTTCAGCTGGCAGCCGGCCGCCAGCATCGCCTCGTCAAGGTACCTCGCACTTCTTCAACCGAGTGGCAGCTTCTTGACGGCACCTTTCCACCACCACGTCTGCTTTGCCCCGTCACTCTCCTCCTCGACACGCCATCGCGCTTCCTCCTGATCCAACCTACCAGTGTTCACGCCTTAGACAGCCGCAAGGCAGCCTACGCCTCCATCTCGGCCAGGTGGGCGCACGACTTGCTCGCGTACACGACCATTCCAGCTCACACTATCCAGGATCGCGAAATCTCTTCTATGCCCTCATCGTCGTCGCACGTCTACCTCGGCGGCCCAGATGAGAATCTCGCCCTCTCCACCGTGAACGGTGGCACAGGCATCCCTTTTATCACTCACCTCGGCTCTGGCCAGTTCAAGATACGTGATCGTCTGTTCGCCGAGCCTGGAATCGGTCTACTTTACTCAATTCCGCACCGTGGCCACCTTGATGCTGAAGAAGGCGCGCAACAACGTAGCGTCGTGCTGAGTGGAACGGACGCTGAGGGGATCGAGCGTGCTGCTCGCCTTTTGCCGGTGAGGACGGGTGTGCCCCTGCCCGAGTGGATCGTCGTGGGGAGGGATTGCGATCGATTTGGGATGGGTGGAGTGCTGGCAGCTGGGTGGTATGATAATCAGTGGGGCTGGTCAGAGGCGATGTCGTATATAGGCGACTGAGTCGTACCCGGCGTCAGCACCTCGACGCCTTTGGGCCCTCTCGTCACCGCTTCTCCCACACTCGATACCGATCTGTGATGCTCAAATATATGTCATTGTCTCAGCGTGACAAGGCCGTGAGCCCGGCGGAGCGCCATGATGACGAGAAGATCGTTGGCCGAAGCGCAACGAAGTGTGGGTTGTAGTACAGAGAACGAAACGCGAAAATGGCAGCCGCCAAGATCGAAATCGATTCGGGCGCGCTTACTTCTTGCTCGTCTTCTTCTTAGCGTCAAGGACGGTGACGTTAAGAGTAGGAGGAAGCGACTGCTGGAGCTTAGCTGCCTTCTCGGCGTCGTCGACGACGAGGGTGTAGAGGTAGCGGGAGCAACGGACCTTGAACTTGGTCACGTAGCCGGAGCCGACCTTCTTGGGCGTCTTCTTGACGCGGGCGGCTGTGGTGCGAGAGTAGCGAGCACAAAGGGAGAGAGAGAGGTCAGTGACATGGCATGTGAGACTGAGACGGCGATCGTGGCCATACGTACAGGTGGCGTCCTTCCTGCGGGCGATCTCGAGGAACGACTTGATGTCGGTGATTTGCTTGGGCTGTGAGAGAGAGGGACCAAAGAGACCGATACAAATCAGCGACAACGTTCTACGGAGCGAAAGGAGGTGTAGCATGCAGCGGGTGGCAGCAGCGCCTCTTCGTCTCCGATTCCTCGAGGGCGGCTGAGACGATGCGATCAAAATACCTGCACGCACATCAACAGAGTGATGGCTTCAGGGAGTTCGATAGTAGCGCCCCAGCCGCCCCCCAGTAACGACGATGCGCTGAGGTTGACAATAAGGACGAGGACGAGGACGAGGAGTTTCGAGGACCTCCTCCTCCTCCCTAGACTTCCAGAGTCAATGCGCCCTCGACTTCGGCGCTGCCACCACTGCCATTGCTAGCTGTGCCGCCGCGAGGTGGGCTGCTCGCTCATGAATCCTTTGTGATATTCACCATGATGAAGAAGGTTGAGGGGTTGGTGGTATGAGGGTACGAGGACGGAAGAGAGCAAGCGCAGTAAGTGCTGCGATTCTTCCTCTCGCTCAATTCTGGCCGCTTGCCCGCCCGCACGGCGAGGGAGAGACGGACGCACGCCTCGGAGCCGACAAAGTTCTGCGCGCACGCGGGCGAAATGCAACGCCACGGCTTGAGGATCGTACGAATGGAGATGTGGTGATAGCATCGAGGAGCATAGTTCAACGAAGCTCAAGCAATGTTGTATCGCTAGCGTGAGCTCACATGACTCATGAGGAAGGACAAGACATTTCGCCTTGCTCATGGCCAAATCTTCCGAGCATGTCTGCTCAATCCCTCTGCTTTGCGGTTCCGCGTTTACGACGACTGAGTAGAATCGACTATCGCCGCCGGTAGCGGCCATGCCATCGACCTGGCCTTTGCGATCCGCTTGACGACATCGAGACGACGAGCCGCTACCACGATGCAGTCAGGCTTGGCTTGAGCCGGCCACCGGGCCGGCGGACTGAGAGCGCCCCACCCTGTTGTGCTCGGCAGTCCGCCCTCTCCGCTCTCTCTCCGCTCTTGGCCGGCCCCACCGGTCCAACACTTCCTACCTTTCCCCCCCCTCACGGCCCTGTCCTCTCCTACGCCCACCTCGACCATGCTCGACACCCTCTACATAACACGACACGGGTTTCGTATGCCATGGCGAGGCAATGAGGTGAATCTCTCCCCAACGGGTCGACCACGCGATCCCGTATTGACTGCTCACGGGGTAGATCAAGTCAAATTGCTCGCTGAGCATTTCATGAGCTTGCCCGAGGAGCAAAGACCTCAAGGGATTGTCAGTAGTCCGTACTACCGGTGTGTGCAGACTAGTGAGCCTACAAGCAAAGCATTGGGACTGCCGATCCATATTGAGCCGGGTGAGTTGTGGCTGGCGGAGAGGTGGTGCGCGAGCCTGCAGCTGAGTCCTCGGTATCATCGTTAGGTCTGGCTGAATGGTTCCCTCCTGTCGTGCCCTCGACTGGCCCACATCCGATCCCCATGCGGGCCTCGACCGCTGCTCAATACTCTGACCACGTAGCTCCTGCCTCCGAATGGGCCCCGCTTGCGTACCCATCACGACAGGGCGAGAGCATCGAGGAGCTCCATGCGCGGGCGAGAGGGGTGGTCAAGTTGATCGAGAGGAGGTGTGAGGAGCGTGGTTGGAAGCGGGTGCTGCTGGTCAGTCATGCTGCGACGATCATTGCGTTGGGTAGGGGTCTGCTGGATCATGGCGAGGGGAATGAGGAGGCGGGGCCATCAACACCAAAGACGGACTGGAGCACAGGCTCAGGCAGGGAAATCGGAGCAGGCACAGCTGGGCTCAGCCTCTACGTGCGTCCAGACAGCCCTTGCCTCCCCCTCTCCTCAACGCACTATACCACGTCCAGCCCCACTGCCGTCCTCCCACCTCATCCCTCCTCAACCTGGCAACAACTGCTCAACGGCTGGTGTGGCCACCTCCCGAACGGCGTCGAGAGGGAGTGGACTTTTGCCGATATACCGGGCAATGTCGAGGAGCCTGGAATGGGCAAGGACGGCAAGTGGGTCGACGAGGAGATGCCTGATGGTGGTGAGGAGGGGATGAAGCGGCTGGAGGAGGCGCCTTTCAGGATTTTGAGGGAGGGTCGGGAGAGCAGGCGAGGAGGCGCAAGGCGGCCAGTGGAAGGGGAGAGAGCTACGATGCCGCGGATGGAGGGCGAGGCAGAGGCCCCAAGGTCCAAATTCTGATGCGCAAGGTGCCGTAATGACAAGAGTCACGAGACAAGCAAGCTCGATACCCATTGATCTCGATTAATAACAAAGCATACACTTTCCCTCTTCCCATGGCCTACTTCATCGCCCCCACGAACGCCTGAATCCTGGCCGTGTCCTTCCTCCCATCCTCGCCTTCAACGCCTGAGCTGGTATCAACAGCCAGCACCTGCACGCCCGCCTGCTGGGCAAGCTCGACCGCCTGGCGCACATTACCCGGGTGGAGGCCACCAGCGAGGATGATCGGCATAGGGTGACAAGGAGGGAGAGAGCTGGGGGCTGCCGAAGCTGCACCGTCAGAGGAGGCAGCGAGAGATCGACGCAGCCCTTCGAGGGCAGGCTCGGTCTGAGCGAGGTTGGGTAGAAGCGAGTGGTCGAAAGTCTTGCCACTCCCACCATCTCCCTGCCCACCAGCCCCACCTGCGCCCGCCGTATCCAACGCAACAAAATGGTGGTATCCTCTGCGGCCCAACTCGCGGAGTGGCCCGCCTACAGCCCCGTCTTTGCCGACGTGGAATACTTTTGTCACCCACACACCCGGAAGAAGTCTCGCCCACTCCACATCCTCCGTACGGCCGTGCAATTGTACGCCGTCAAGGCGAAGGGTAGTTGCCACGCGTACAACCTCATCGACCGTTTGGTCACGGAAGACACCGAAGATCAGCGGCTTAGAGCGCAGAGTCGCCCGGCGAACAGTCGACGCCGTATAGTCGAACCAGTCCTGCGGGGTGGATGCGGATGCCAACGCCGCAGCAGCCGCAACGTCCGAGGAAGTGGGAGCGGCTTGAGCTGCCGTTGTACCAGCGCCTGAGCGAAGGGAGCGGACGACGGAGATGATCTCGGCAGCTTGTGCTTCGCTGACTGTTCGTTTCGTGCCCTGCGCGAAGATGAGGCCAAGCATGTCGGCGCCGGCGAGTGTGGCAGTCACCGCTGCATCGACCGTGGAGAGGCCGCAGATCTTGACCAGGGGCTTCTCCGGCGTCGTAGTAGGCGCGCCGTCCTCGTTGAATCCAACCAGCTCGTTCACAAACGCCCGCTTATCCTGGCTGCGCATTAATGCCTCGCCCACCAATACTGCACCAACACCCTCTCGCTGGTAGCCAAGCACATCGCTCCTCTTCGATATCCCACTCAGCGCGCAGAGGGTCACCCCACCCTGTCTCGCCGCGTCCGCCAATCGACTGGTCGTGCCCATATCCACATTGAAGTCGTGCAAATTCCTGTTATTCACGCCCACCACCTTCGCTCCCAACTGTAGTGCTCGCTCCATCTCTGCTGAGTTGTTTACCTCGACCAGAGGCTCCATACCCAGACTGACCGAGTAGTCGTAGAGTTGCTTAAGGAGGATGTCGTCGAGCATAGCCACGATGAGCAAGACCGTGTCGGCGCCATGCAGACGGGCTTCGTCGATTTGGTAGGGGTCAACGATGAAGTCTTTGCGAAGGATAGCGGGACGGTTGGGAAGACCTTCAACCGCTCGACGGGCAAGGGCAAGGTCGCTCAGCGAGCCCTTGAACCACTTTGGTTCGGTGAGCACCGAGATGACGTCGGCTCCTGCTCGGGCGTAGGCGAGGGCTTGGGCACCTGCATGCGCTGCGAGTGCGATATCGCCTTTGGAGGGGGAGGCGCGCTTCATCTCTGCCATCAAGCCGACGACGCCAAGATGGGAGCGTGCGGCCAGTCGACGAGGGAAGGAGATGAGCGGCGGAGAGAGGTGCATAGAGAGGGAGAGGTGGAGGTCGAGTGGGGAGAGGCCTGGGGTCGATTTGGAGACGGCAATGTCCTTGAGGCGCTGCAGGTGGATACGCTGAAGGATCGTGCCTACGGAAGAGGGGTTGATGGCTGATTGGTCGGCGGCGCCCGTGGAAGGGGAGGACCCATTTGTGGCCCCGTTGACAGCAGCTACCGCTCCCGCCGCTCCCGCCGCGCCAGCCGCGGCCGCACCAGCTCCCATAGCCATGACGGGCGCGCTCGTCTTCTCCGCCCTCTTGATGGCGACCTCATCGATTCCTGCTTGTGGGTTGTCAGCCCAGTCAGGCCCAGTCCAGCGCAAGAAGTTGGCGATCATCTCCCTACCCCCAACGCTGAGGATCGATTCAGGATGGTACTGCACGGCCTCGATTGCGTGTCGGGTATGCCTGATGCCCATGACCACACCGGACGCCGTCTTGCTGGTCACTACTAGCTCGGGCGGTAGCGAGCTGACGTTGGCTGCCAAGGAGTGATATCGTGTCCCCACCACCTGACCCAATCCGGCATAGAGTCCCTTGCCATCATGTTCGATCTTTGACGTCTTGCCGTGCAGAATCTCCCCCGCAAAGTCAACTACACCCGTATAGGCTGCATAGAGGCATTGCAGACCCATGCAGACGCCCAGGATGGGAATCTTGCCAGCAAAGTGCTTGATGGCCTCGATGGAGATGCCGCTGTCCTTCAGGGGGTGGCCGGGCCCAGGCGAGATGATGAGGCGGGAGGGTTGCAGGGCAATCAGTTCTGCCAGGGTGAGCTCGTCATTACGATAGACGTGCAGATCTGCTCCGAGCTCGGCGAGGAACTGTGGGCGAGGGGGCAGAGAGTGTGAGAGGGCGAGGGGCGAGAGGGGTGGTAAGGGCTACGAGTGCTCACCTGTACGATATTGTAGGTAAAGGAGTCATAGTTGTCGATGAAGAGGGTCTTGCCCTGCGCAATGTTCTCGATGGCCTGCGCCGATGAGGACGAAGCCGTCCTAGGAGGAATGTGCTCGGGCATGGCTATTGTGATGTCCGAGTAGTACGTTGATGGGGACAAGAAGGACGAACACCTGGGCGGAGTCATTGGGTGCATGTCCGTGCTGAGGTCGCTCACGAGTCGAGTCGAGCCGCGCGCGGGCGGGCGGAAAAGGGCAAAGTCGTAGGATCTCGAGGGCGGCATACAATCATCCTTCTCAACGACAATCGAAAGTCATGGCGGCTTCAGCTATGGCTTCGTCATCATCGTCCGCCCTCCTCAGGCGAACAGTCATCGCCTCTTCCTCAAGGCATTGCGCCTCCACCTCATCAGCTGCCCGTCTGACAGCCACTGCGCAGCGTCACAACTCGACGTCGACTTCTGAGTCATCCTCAGCATCGTTCCCCCGTCCTCTTCCCCCTCTTTCAAAGCTCACCTCCCGCCGGGGCCGTGAACCCGCCCCACCTAGTCGCATCAAGCCCACGACACCCACCTTCTTCACCGCGAAGCCAACTTACATATCCCTCGTTCTCAAACTTCAATCACTTCTCGAGCAATCGCGCTCCCTCCTACAGTCGGCCGACATCCTTCCGCGAGACGCCAAGCCCCCTACAACAGAGGAGGCAGCCTTGTACGAAGCTCAAGCGGAAATAGCTGCGGAAGGGGGCGATATGGCGAGTGTCAGCATGGCAAAGGCGATGCAGAAGGTTCAAAGGCAGAGCCCCTGGAAGAAGAGGGTGGAGATGAGCGAAGGGTTGGGACTCACATTGAGTGCTAGTCAGTACAGGCAGCTCGCGACGAGCTTGACGACCTTGTCGCGCTACAATGGGCTGGTGCAACTTCACTTCGCTGGAAATGGAGAAGCGCCCACTGCTCCCCACCTTGGCGGAGCGGCCGTGGATCAGGGAACGAAGTTGGCACAAGAGATGCAGAGCACCTTGGATGAACATCGCCGAGACCTTGGGCTCAACGCACGAAGAGGGGATGGCTTTACGACGAAGAGTGGGGTGGATGAGCAAGGGAGGATCTGGGCCGTCGGTGGGCGCAAGGACAGCAGCGCCCGCGTTTGGATCGCACCCGTCTCCCAAGCTACGAGCGGCGCTGAGGAGTCCCAGCTCCCCGTCGGCGACATTCTAATCAATGGCTCCCCCCTCTCGACCTACTTCACTCGTCAATCACACCGCGAATCCATCGTCCACCCTCTTCGCCTCGTAGGGCTGGTTGGCCAGTTCAACATCTTCGCTCTCACATCCGGCGGAGGCCACTCCGGCCAAGCAGGCGCGATTGCACACGGCCTGTCAAAGTGTGTGGTTCGGTACTTTGAGGAGAAGGTTGCGACAGAAGAGGAGGGTAGCGTCAAGAGGGAGGAGTGGGAGAAGTTGAGGGCAGGTGTCAGAAGTACGCTCGCCAAGGATGGGGTGTACAAGAGGGACCCAAGAATGGTGGAGCGCAAGAAGACAGGCCTGGCCAAGGCGAGGAAGGCTTATACTTGGGTCAAGAGATGAGCACGAGAGAGGTCAAGGTGCAATGCAACCATGTTCCAAGCGGACAACGAGTGGCTGCGGTGCGTCGTATTTGCTCGCTGCGACACCGTACATTGCATGACCCAGACCAGGTAGGCGGCTGTGCTCCTTTAATCCTTCTTCTCTCCCTCCTCTCCGTCCTTATCCTTCTCCCCACCAAACATGATCTTCCCTCCCGCCTTCGCGAAATCAAACTGCCCTGGCTGTTGCACGCCTTTGGTCGCTGATGAGTTCGCAAAAGAGAAACCAGTGCTTGCGGCCGGGGCGCCAAACGCGTTGCCTGATGCTGAGGCAGGGGAGCCGCCAAAGGAGAAGGATGTGCTTGGCGTCGCAGAGGAGGCAGGAGGAGGAGTAAAGGCCGAGCTGCCACCTGAGGATCCGCCAAAGGAGAAGGGCTTTGTTGCTCCCGAACCGCTGCTGGCTCCACCGCCGAAGCTGAACCCGGTGCTCGAGGTGAATGGGTTCGAGGCCGGAGGCGAGGCTGAAGACCCGCCAGCGGCAGCGGGCTTGGCAGAGCCGTTGGCAGCAGTCGTGTTCGCTGACCCAAACGAGAAGCCTCCTGTTGTGGTGAAGGGCGAGACGGAGCCTGCGGTCGAGGCGGGTGAGGCCGACTTGGGTGCAAAGGAGAAGGACGGAGCAGGCTTGGGCGGGGCTGCTGACGCTGGAGAGGCGGCTGCCTTGTCTGCCTGCTTCTCCTGTGATGCTGCTGATGCCTCCTCCTTGCCGCTCTCCGAGCTCGAAGATGCTGCCGCGCCAAAGTCCACCTTCTTCCCACCGAAAGCGAACCCGCCCTTGGGCAGCTCGAATGTGGGTAGGTCCTTTGGCTTCTCTACGGGGGAAGACGAGGCGGAGTCGGCGCTGTTGAAGGCTTTGCCGCCAAAGGAGAAACCGCCTGTCGGGGCTGGCGCGAATTTGGGCGGGCCGCTAGAGGATGAGGATGCCGCAGGGGCGGTCGAGGAGGAGGCAGCGGCAGGAGCGGCGGGCTTGGCGGGAGCAGGAGCTTGTGCAGGTTTGAAGACGAAGCTGCCTGTCGAAGCCGCGGGCGCTGCCGTTGAGGAGCTTGACACCGCTGCAGCAGGCTTCGCAGCAGGCGCTGTCCCATTCGTTGCGCCCCCAGCTGCCGCCTTCCCCTTTCCTGCAGGCGCCGGCGCCAGCGTAGGTGGTGCTGGCCATGCGCTGCTACTGACCGTAGTCACGCTTGGCCCACTCTGCCCTCTACCCTCTCTATCCTTGACCAGCTGCGCCCTCTTCCCCTTGTATCGCGACAGGATCATCTCCACCACGGGCGCAAGGTCTTCAAACTCTTGGTCCACATCCTTGCCGTCGAGGGGAATGGCTACGTCAAGTGTGCTTTTCAGCGAGTGGTTCAGCCCTCTCAGGGCACGCAGGTAGTTGACTTCGGCTATCGAGGAGTCTGACGCGGCTGAGGATGGAGTGACAGACCCATCGGACGACCCCTCGAGCGCGTCGAGGAATGTGACCTTCCTCTGCATCCCCACCTCATCCGGTCCCAAGTTCTGTCGCGCAGGCAATGAGTCGCCATTACGCTTTCGAGACGCATCGTCGTCGCCTTTCTTTTGAAGAGACTTCAATGCCTGGAGGGCAGCCTGGTCCCGGTACCCGGCTATGTCGCCCTTTGCAGCAGGAGCGGAGACGGGTTGCTCGTTGGCCCAGGCGTCTCGGCCCCAAGGGATCGGGACGATGCTGTCTGCTGCAGGAGCCTTGGACACTGCGGGAGCTGGTGCGCCAAAGGAGAAGGCTGGTGTGGACGAGGTGCTTGAAGGAGCGGCAAAGGGACTGGCTGATGGGGCCGGTGCTGGGGCTCCGCCGCCGCCAAGACCTTTGCGCTTGGGAAGGCCTCGGATGCTGTGAGGAGGGGATGGGCAACGAGTTGATCAGATAAGCTGTGCGCGCCGCGGCACCGTAGCCAACTCACACTCGCTCTGGCGCTGCTCCACCGGCCGCTGCTCCTCCCTCGGCATCATTGCCCGCAGCCTCGACTGCATGAGGATCGTCGCCGTCCTCTCTTTGAATCTGTCTCTCTGCTCCTCGCTTCATTGTTGCTGTTGCTGTTGCTGTTGCTGTTGCTGTCGCTATTGCTGTCCGAATGATTAGATGCTGACTTGCTTGTTTGCTTTGAAGGAGAAGAGGAAGTGTGAGGAGAGGCGGGGTGAATATATGCCAATCCTGAACGACGAGCGACAGTGGGCGTGGATGAGCGGGAAGGAGAAAGGAACGAGTGAGAGGCGACCAGTCGAGGGCGGACAGGGCAAAGCCGGCGGCGTATTTCTTTGTTTGCGCCCTTCTCCACGCCCAAAGCATCAAGATCTCATTGTCCCTGGTCAAGCTCGTACCTGTTCAAGCTCATTGCCCGTGTACGCCATCTGGGGTTTAATTTTGAGACAAAGGCAGCACAGCGCCACTTCAACATGCATCCGGTGAGCAGCTGGCGGCTACCATTGTCCCCTCCTAGCTCTACGCTGACCAATGCCGACTTCCTTGTCCGCCTACGCCCCCACAGCACCTCGTACAAGGCAAGCAGCAGAGTCAGTTGGTCCTTCTGGCATTTTCGAGGATGCCCGCATCGAGCTGATCATTGTCTCTCACTTCTCTTTCCCGCGCAGAATGCGGCGATCTCATTGCCGCCCTGGACGAGTGCCACAACCGCGGCCTCATGGCACGCATGACCGGCGCTTGCAACGACATCAAGCATCGCCTCAACATGTGTCTCCGAGAGGAGGTGAGTCTGCAAAGCAAGCGTTTGGCCGCATTTGCCACTGTCAGGGCGCTGAATCTCCGAATCGCTTTGTCCGTTGGCAGCGCCTCGAGAGGACGGCAAAGCATGTTGAGGAGAGCAAGGCCAAGCGCGAGGCCAAGCAGAAGGTTTGGGCAAAGATTGATGAGGAGAGCTGAGCAGACGGACGCATCGCCAGAGAGCATCAAGACACAACACAAGCATCGATACCCGACATCGTCTCATGCTTCTCTTCCATTCCTGCCCATCGTACCAATGCGGTGGCCGCGCGGGTTTGCTGGGCGATCCTGGCGCAAGGCAGGCTGGTGCAGGTAGCAGCGAATAGCAAATAGCATAAGCTGGCGAATAAATAAGAAGGCACAAGGCCATAGGACTAAGAGGAGGAGGAGGTCAAGAGGGAATACGTAAAGAGGAAGGAGCGAGGAGGGGGCGGACAAGCAAGCGCCCAGCGGTGACAGCGAGGCTAGGCAGGCACGACTTTCCCAACTTGCCGCCAACAAACGTCTCGTCAGTGCCCTGCGCCGGCGCTAATTGTGGCCCAGAGCCGTCTCAGGAAGCTGATCGAGGAAAACCTTGTGAATCTTCAGGGCAAGTTCGGGCTCTTGCTCTGCGGGCGAGAGGCGGAAGCACATGATGTCGTCGTCAGCTTGTTCATCTCCATGCGCATGCACAGCATAGCGTCTACATACTGGGGATCATATGGCCGGCATACTCAGGTCGGATCCAAGTCAAGCCACGCTCCGTGTGCCAGGTACCACGCCACTCGCCCTTGCTGCCAGCGAGCATACCTCGCGGCTCGTGGAGGAAGCCCTGCTGGCCGCGCCACGTCGTGTTCTGGAAGGTAGGGAGATGGAGCTTAGCTCATCAATCAAAGTCATCACGCCTGCTGTCACACACCTGAATCGTCAGGATATTCCCATCAGCTAGCAGCCTGAAGTCCAAGTCGCCGTGCCAGATGAACGTCTTGTTGACCCCCTGGATGGCCTTTACGAACGTTCCATCCTCCTCCGGCGGCTTGCTCGAGTCGCCGTTGCCGAGGAAGACGGGATCTTCGCTGCACTGCGTGAAAGTGGTGTTGCCCTCGTTAACATGGATGGCCGCCTTGAAGGGCTTGCGATCCAGCCAGGAGTGGCCCTGCGGGAGATTCAGCCCGCCAATGGGCTGGGATACGTCCGGGCACGTCTCGCCGATGAAGTAGATCTGTGCGAGAGGAGTGTAGAGTGCCGTGAGTGGGGGCAAGGCTCTGGCTCATCAGCCGCAACGACTCACGTTGAAGCAGGGCTTGTACTTGTCGAGGTGATCCAGCACGCTGCTCCACACGCTCTCTTTGGTCTTGGAGAACTTCTCTGGCCAATGCAAGGGGCCCTTCATGGCCGGGAACTTGCTGCGCAACGCGAGCGATCACCACATGAGCACGTATGCAAATCACCAAGTCCCCGTAGCCCACACACACTCACAGGTTATTCTTCACAAAGTCCTTGAGGCCCAGCACCTCGGTCACATTCTTCTCAAATTCGGCCATGAGCTTCTCCGGGAAGCCAAAGTAGCGCTTGTTATACTTGCGGAGGTAGGGCATGACGGGGATGTCGAGGTACCAGTTAATGCTGCGCGAGCGTGGCGCACTCCAGATCAGCTCAAACGCACAAGCTGCTCTTACACACAAGCGTGCAACTCACTCGCTAATCACCCCGTCAATGATTCCGATGCCATGCAAGCCAAACTTGTTGCCCTGCTCGACAATGTAGGACGCGATGTTGGGCACGTAGTAGCCGGCGTAGGACTCGCCGGTCAGGTAAAGCTTCTTGCCTTTCATCTCGGTAAAGGTCTCGTAGAAGCTGTCGAGGAAACCGGAGAAGGCAACGGCAACATCACGTTCATTGCGCGCTGAGGGCTTGGCGGTACGCGAGAAGCCAGTGCCCTCCTGCAAAGTCCCACGGAGAAGGAATGGTCAGTTCGAGCGTCAGTCATGTCATAGCCCTCACTGACACGCACGGGCTGGTCCACGTAGACGATCCATCCCGCCTGGTTCCACCCATGCGGATTTCTCGTCACGACGGTCTTGTTCTCTGGCGTCCCGCGCACATTGAAAGGTCCATTCTCATCCAGCATCCCAGTCATGGAGCTGCATCCTGGCCCGCCGTTGATCCAAATGGTCAGCGTGTCGTTCCCTACCTTCCCCGCAGGAGGCCATAGCCAAAAGAAATATTTTGCCTTATTCTTCGGATCCTTGCTGACAGGCATGAGACCAGCCCAGCTGTCCCCGACATCACCGATGGCCTCAGACACGCCGGGGAGGTGCTTGCCATCGACGTGGAAGTCAGACTTGGGCCTGAGCCTAGGTGGACCCTTTGTCACAGGGTGGGCGCCCTTGTGAGTGGCATTGCCGTTGTTGCGGGGGACGAGATGGAACTCGGTGTGACTGTCGAACGATGTATGATCGTAGCGGAAGCAGCCCGCATCGAAGCCAGGACGCTGCGTGCTGACGCTAAGCGCTGGTATGCAAAGAAGAGGGAGGAGGGCGAGCGCCAGTCGCCAGTGCTTTGTGAGGGCTGTGAGCATGCTGGCGGGCGAGCAAGGCTGGTAGGGAGCGTGGCAGAGAGACTGGGAAGGGGCGTGTAAAGTAAAAGATGGAGCCGAAGAGAGGGCGAGGGTGGGTGGGCCAGTAACTGGATGGGGCAAGTCCCGTCACCTTTGGTCAAAAGCATGCCATTATTTGGTCAGCTACCGGCGACGCGGAAAAGCGTAGTCAGGCCAAGGGCGGCGGCATTCAAGTGGTACGGGCCGCTCCTACCTCATCATGTTCCGACCAAAGGGCCGTGCCCCTGTCTGTCTTCTCATCATGCTGAGCTGAGCCGCCTGCTGGCTAACAATGGAATCGCGAGAGCGCCGCAGGATTCCCTCGGTCGCGGTCGCGCAATACCGCGTCGATACAATGAAAACCCTTGAGCCCTTTACTCAGGGCGCAAATACTATTAGGCAAATATTGCTTTCTCGAGCGCGGAGATCAGCGAATCCTTGCTCTCCTCCAGTGGATCGCGAGCAACTTCGACCCTCCCATCGGCCCTCAAGATTCTCATCCTCCCTGAAGCCCCTCCTGCCGCTGTTGTGCGCACGCTCTCAGTGTCGCCTGTTGAGCCGGTAAGCCATTGCTTTGCTACGCTCGCTTGGTCTCTACCCCGTACCCATTCGAGGAAGGGAGCACAGAATTCTTCGAAAGACGAGAGATCCTTCCGAGCCGTCGTCTTCGCAGCCGCCTCCCCAACTTGCTCCTGGGCGAGGATCGCCTCCTCCATGTAGAGGAAGACGGCCTCACACGCACCGTGATACACACCCGTCTCGCGCGGCATGACCTCGTCCAAGAACCCAGCCCTGCGCTCCAGCCGGTAATGAAGTACATCATCCTGGGTCAGTCCACCCTCGTCCGGACGGATGAGATAGCGAATGAGGAGACGCTCGGCAGCAAAGACTTGGGCGTCGCTTGTGATCCGGCCGAACGTGGTTGCCCAGGCGTCGCTGTCTTTGTTGGTATTGGCCGGAAGGGCGTCGGCGTAAGCTCGGAGCAGGGCCTCAGTGGTACGGAGTGGATAGTAGTTGTGCAATTCGAGCTGGAGAGACTCGCCGAAGCTGGGCGTGGGGTTTGGTGGGTTGATAAGACGATAAAGCTGGTCTTCATTGGCGCATTCGCCGCTGAGGACGGGAGAGTCAGGTCAGCCACGTCGCGCAGCCTCTTCGATTGGCCGTGTTTGGCGCGCTCACATCATGAAGGCGATCCCCTGCTTCTTACACCATCGTGAGAAGGCACCGCTCCTCATATCCTCGGCCCATGAGCTGCTCACGAAGCCGCCCTCTGCCGGTCCGCCATCATCCACGCTGCGGAAAGTGTGCATCTTGAGTTTGTCAATGGCCGCTACGAGCTTCTCGGCTGGCACCGCGCGCATGGTCTGAAGTCGATCTGAGGCGGTCTGCTTTTCAATGTCGAGGCATCTCGCCAGCTCCTCCAGCTGCGGCCTTGTCTCCTCAAGGCTCTTGGGCGGAAGCATCGCAGTACCCGAGCGAAGGAGGCAGCGTCGGATGAGAGGGCGGTACGACTCGTCTTGCTGGGCGCGACTGAACTCGTACAGGACTTGAGCATGGGCAGATTGTGCTCCAGCAGAGAGGCCCGAGACGGTGATGCTGGACGGGTTACCGCCAAGGCTTCGCGCGTGGCTATGCACCCATTCTAGGGCGAGGCGTTGGTCGAAGAAGCCGCTGGCGGAGCGCAGCAAGGGGAATCCCAAATCAATAGCAGTAGTAGGAAGTATCCAGCGCTAATACTCACAAGTTCCCCTTCCCCGCCTCCTTGTCAAGCGCATCGCTACCCAGGAAGCCAAAGACGTTGAGCCGATACGCCGGGAACACGACGACACATTGCAATCCCATCCCTGCACGGTCTCTCGGCGCTATCAGATGTGCCAGATCCTTCAATGGGCTCTGATTTGCATCACCTGTCTGCAGCCATCCGCCGTGAATTTGGAACCAGATTGGCCATCCTCCCTCTGGCGGATCACCACAGGGAGTCCAGATATTGAGGTAGAGACAATCCTCGCTCTCTCTTGGTGGCTCGGGCGGGTCTATGCTGTACTGATGCCTGTACTTGGGTTGAAGGCATTGCGGTGCGAAGCTGTCGTAGCAAGACTGGGATGAATAGGAGAAACCAGCGGGTAAAGGTTGCGGAAGCGCCCAGCGACGAGGGCCGATGGGGGGCTGAGCATATGGTACACCTAGGTAGCGGTTGCACAGGGGCTGACCCGTAGCCGCATCGCTGATCTCTTGTCCGCTGATAAAGCCATGCGGCTCGATGGCAATTCTGCTCGTAGAGGGACCGGCTTTGGTGCTGTTCATGCTGGTCGAGTTGAAGAAGTGGATGTGGAGTCTGGTCGACGCCAAGTGCGGGGTAAATCGACGATGATCGAGCCGGCGGCATCTGTCCTTTTGCCGTCGCTCGCGTGGCGTCAAAGTCAATGGGTCCGTGCCACTTTTTTGGCCCCTGTTCTCTTTGCTTTCCTTTCCAAGGCCCCTATCCCACCGTCAGGGCGCCTGAGGGGGCAGCGATGGGCGCCATGACCTCCGATGGGTGTCTATCATTCTCTATTCCTTTCTTGCCGCATTCAAATCCCATCAATCGACGCTCACCGCAGCGATGAGCCATCTGCCATCTCCTGCTCGCGAGACGCGCGTTCTCTTCAATCATCACGCAGCTCGCCTGGTCAAATCAATTCCTCCCTCTCACCCGCCCAATCGCGTCAATGGTCACATTCCACGCGACCATCTGGGACCAGGATCGATCTATCAGGCACACGCAGAGACAATCGGAGTAGTCCTGCAAGATTGGCAGGGGAAGCTCCAACTGTGCGCCGTCCCTGACATCCCGCTCAGCAGCGACTCGGACCATCACGATAATGGCGGTGGAAGCCTCGTCCTCACAATCGAGCAGCCTTATAATGCTCTCGCGCAAGTCTATGGTGCACAACGTCGGCAAGTTCTCCCCTTTCGATCGTACACCACCTCTGCTCGAGAAGAAGGGCAGGCAATGCCGGAGAATACAGTACCGCGCGACACTTTTGTCGGACTTGGGGCAGGAGAGGATGGACAGTATGGAGGCAGCTTTTGGTTCTTCGAAGATGTGAGCGAGCCCGGAGCTGAAGGAAGGTATCGGGCTGAAATGGCAGGGATGGGAAAGCGGGCTATCTGGACTCTGTGGCTTTTCGATGCCCAACCGCACTTGGTGGGAGGACTAAGGGATGTCTTGGCACATTATCCTTTGCCATCGGCCGAGAAGACGGTAATCGAGGTCAATGGCTCCACTACGTCGCCACCTGCGCCCGCGCCCAAGCCAGAGGAGCTCAAGGCTCCGGCCAAGGCTCGTCGGCCTCTACCTACTCCGCCGGCAAAGAAAAGCGACACCGAAGGCAGCCCTCCTCGACGTATGCCTCTCGGGGACATCACCAACGTCGTGGCCAAAGAGCAGCAAGACAGCGAAGAGCAGCAGCCACAGCACCAGCAGCCGCAGCCGCTACCATCGTCGCCCCTGCCAGCCACGCCTGCAGCGGTTCCTGTCAAACCCGAGTCCCTACGCCACACCAGCTCGCCGGAAGAGCCCCTCGCAGACGCTGATGAAGTTGGCGAAGCTCTTCGCGCTGTCCCACGCACTCCCTCCCCGACTCAACCGGGACCGAGCTCCCTTCGCCACTCTCTCGTAGCAGTCGATGACGCGACCGGCGCAATCGTAGCCGTCGTTGCACACAATGTCGAGCTCTCCACAACCTCCTCTGCCTCCTCGCACGGCACCATCTCATCATCAACGGCGCCTACACCAAAGCCTTCGGTGCTTCGTGCAGCAGACATCTACCGCGATCCGGACGTGCTTCGCTCCCCTAGCCGCAAGGGCTCAGAGCTTGGGGCGGATACATTTGCTCCTCCCCCGATCCCGGCAAAGGATCAAGAGGAGGCAATTAGAGACAGTGTAGCCTCGTCCGCCAACTTTTTCTCCGCGCAAGAGGAGATCAGCGATGCTGACTCGAGCGAGGAGGGCGATGAGGTCGACGAGGTCGAGCTGCGCAATGGCGCTGCTCAGCAGGACGGGTTCACTTCGTTGACGCGCAAAGCCGCCAAGCACGGGATCGCTTCCCATCGTCCCGAACTTCTACGAGACGACGGAGAAGACGATGATGGAGCGGTATCCGATGCGTCTGGGTCTACCGTGGGCGGGCCAGCTGTCCAGCTTTGGCGCAAGGCGAGGGGTGGTAGGGAGGGGGAGAAGAAGAGGGCAGCCAAAAAGCAGGAGAAGGAGGACAGGAAGATCGCTGAGGCTGAGGCGAAGGAGGCTGCGATTAGGGAGGCAAAGGAGGCTGCTGAGCGAGAGGCAAAAGCCAAAGAGCAGGTCAAAAACACCGAGAAGACTTTGCCTCGTCCAGCTCAGCGCGACTCGATAGCCACACTCGAGGACCTTTCACCGCAGGAGACGACCCCCGCAACGAATGCGGACGACACTCTAGCCGCCGAGACCCACAAGCTCCTCCTACACGGGCATGTCCCCCGCGCCCTGATGTGCACGACGGACTTCGTGTCAGCAGAGGACCGCGTATGGCGTGAGGCAATCGAGGCCGGCCACTTGCCTATCGACGGCGCCTACACGCATCTCGTCGCTCTCCCCGGAACGTCGCCCTCGGCTGTGGCCACGCCCATTGAGGAGAAGGACGAGGGCGAAGATGACCTCAGCTTGGATCCAGCAGCGAGAGATGCGCAAGAGATCCGACTACCTGCGAGGAAGTACCTGCAGGGCGGGACGGTGCTGATCGAATTTCTTGCTGGTGGATCTAGGATCGGCGCCTCGTTACTGGGCACCAGCGGACCTGAGGAGCAAGAAGAGGAGGCAATAAAGGGTACCTCTGAAGGCGCCGCTCCTGCCGCCAGCAGCAATGGTAACGGCGTTCTATCCCTCATTCCCGCCCTCCCCTCTCACTTCCTCGCGTACTTCACTGCGGCTGCGTCTGCCTCGACCACTGCCCTACCTAGCGCAGCCTCCTCATCCTGGGAGACTGCAACGACTCTGGCCACGGGTTCGCGTAACCTCCTCGCCACCTCGGTCACGTCCGCCATCTCGGGCATCTCTGGATTCACAAGCTACGCCCTCTCCGCTCCCGGCGCGCTGATGAGTTGGTTCGCCATGCCTGACGAGCCGATCCTATCCGCTAGCAAAGAGGAAGAAGAGGACGACGATTGGGAATACGCCATCCCCGACTTCGACCCGACCTCGCTGGCTTCGACGCCGAGGCCGGTGTACAGGCGCAAGAGGCCCGCTCCCTCCTTTGAGGCTGGCTTCAATGTCAGGCGCGCGGGAGACTCAAATGACGAAACCGCGATCAAAGGCAAAGAAGGTGGGGATGATGCCGCCCAGCTTGCGCCTATCCCGTCATCCTTTTCCAGGAGGACGGGCCAGCAGGCCTTGCGTGACGCCCAGCGAAGTCCTCAGGCAGAACAGCGCTACTCTATTATTCACTTTGACGGGGATGGCGTGGGAAGGCGAGCTTTCTTTCGGGGCGAGGGAATGGGTCATTCACCGTACACGAGCCCATTGGGACCGCTTTAGTTCCTGGAGGAGGGCAGGGCCAGGTTTTGTAGGAGGACAGGGTGGCCCAAGTCCGGGAACCAGAGTGAGTCGATGGCGCCCATGCCCTCACATCAGTCAGTGAGACTCTCAATCTTTATATCCTTATCGTTCTTCATATTCGAAAGTGCTTTGCAATACCGCCTATTTCCACCTCCCTCATCGTCCTGTTCTGTGATGTTGCGAGAGGTGAAAGACGGAAGGAAGGCCGAGCCGTGAAGGGACGTCCGCCAAGGAAATCTGTGGCCCGTCCGCAATGCGGCCCCCTTGATTGAACCAACCAACACTTTCGCCTCCCGCCTTGCTCATTTGTTACAAACCCCCTTCTCCCTCCTCACCTAACCTCACTTCCTTTACGCAGCCATGTCCTCCTCATCAACAGTTGACATCCCCCCACCGCTCCTCAAGCGCCTCGAAGCATTCCGCATGGCGAAACGCTCGGCCTCGAGCGCTGCTGTGGTGATCAAGATCGACAAGGCCAAGCTGACGATGGATGTCGAGGAGGAGTACGAGAACATTGGCTTGGAGGAGCTGGAAGAGGGTGAGTGCGAGCGGCAGTGAGGGCACAGCTTGGGCTCATTGCTGACCACTCTCTTATTACTCTCGCATCCCTTCTGCTCGTCCATCGCCTCGCTCGTACAGAGCTTCCCGAGAATACCCCACGTTTCATACTCTTGTCCTACCGTCTTGCTCACTCAGACGGACGTGTCTCTTTCCCCCTCGTACTTGTGTACTGGGCGCCAGCGACAAGCAGTACAGAGATGTCGACGTTATACACGAGCGCCCTGAGTGCGCTGAGCGTCAAGGCGGACGTGGGAAAGGTGGTTGATATGAGGGATGGAACCATGGACAGGAAGACGCTTGAGAGTAGACTGGGGGCATGAGGCGGAGCGTAGGGCTGCGAGATAGAGCATGGAGTGGCAACGATCATGATTATTGCTCGAGACCGGATAGCATAGATTTGCTTGACGTCCTGATCGGGACTGCATGGGAGACAGGAGGCTGAGGAGCGAGGACTACTTTCGCCCGTTCACCACGACAATCCCTCGACTTCGCATGGTCCCCCCACTGATCGTGGTAGTGACCGCTGTTATTGATAATCTTCTGACCCTTCCAACCAACAGAGCTTTGCTGCTCTCATATCCATCGCCTTACCTCCGACCGGCGGCCCTCTGGCTTGCTACCCGCTGCCGGGAACCCGGCTCAGGGCCGTGCGGTTGTTCCTCTCCGCTAGTGACGTCAGGGCCTTTCCTGGCGCTTCATCAGGGTCCACTATCCCAGTCGCAGCCGGGTAAAGCCCTCTCTCTGCCTCTCTCGTCTACGAGGGTGCATTTCCCCGATGCTCGAGCAGCGGAAGTCGACGACCGCCGCCACTGGGACAGCACCCGCTTTCTCAGATTGAAGAGCTCCACTCTTGAAGGAGATTTGATTTGCTGCATCGTCTCCACCTTTGCGCTCCTTCCTCCTGTCCAAGCTCCTATTCACAACCACCTCGATACCTCCATCAGCGATACCAGCCAAACAAACGCGCAAAGATGGCAGTGAGTTGCCAAGACATCACATCTTGGAGACTGACCGGACACTATGCTGATACGCATCTCATCACTCCGCCAGCCCTCGCGCTCAAGCACGCATGGCTCAACTGCCCTCTCGTCGATGTTCAAAGGAAGCCATCTCCACCATCACAACAATGACTCTCGCCACTCTCTCGACGGCAAGCCCGTCACAGGACCACTACCCAAGCACCCTACGAACAAGAAGCCCTACCCTCACTCACCAGCGGGTAGCATCCCAAATCCGCACGGCGATACCATCTCGCTCACATACGACCACCTTGACATCGAGCGCTCAGCAAAAGAGGTGCAAAGCAAATGGGCGGGGGCGACGGTCCTGTTTCTCGGGTCGACGAGGGAAGACTGGGCAGACACGACCGCAGCGGCGTCCACTAGCTCGCTACGGGTCACACGCCTAGAGTACGAATGCTACACCCCCCTCGCCCTCAAGACCATGCGCGCCATCCTTCAGCGTGCCCGCTCTACCCCCTCTGGCTCTTGGCCGCCCGCAGACCTGACGTCGAGAGATGTCACGCAGATCGATGAGAGTGTCGAGGCCGAGCTCACGGCGAGGGACATGGCCGGCGGATCCGCCAATGGGGCGTCAGGAGCCTCTTCCCCTCGAGCCAGTTTCAGTCCAGGGAAGAAGGACAAGAAACGCTCCTTCGAAGAGGAGCAACGTCCTCCTTCTGCACCGCAAGACGCCGTCCTCCGTATCCACCTCACCCATCGACTCGGCCCTGTTCCGGTGGGACAGCCGTCCATCCTCCTCGCTGTTAGTTCGCCTCATCGTCGCCGCGCATTCGAGGTTGCGGAATGGGTCTTGGAGGAGGTGAAGCGTGTGGTGCCCATTTGGAAGCGGGAGGTGCGAGAGTCCTTGGGAGGGAAGGAGAGCACAGAGGGTGCGAATGACTCAAGTGAGTGGGTGGGGCTGAACGATGAGAGGAAGAAGAAAGCGACAAACGGTGCTGCGGCGGAGGCTGGCAATGGCGCATCGACAACAGCAACGACGGGGAAGGGCGCAGAGGAAGAGCGTGCGGGGAAGGGCGAGGACCTTGCGAACGTCACGTCGAGAGACGATGTCTTCCAAGACGCAGCATTGGCTCCCTCCATGTCCCGCATACCGTGACCGCGATCCGTCAAAGGCATATACACGTAGCATAATCAGAGCATCTGCATCGCACCCATCAGGACGACGCTGACGTGACGTGACGTGTATGCCTTTTTTGTGCGTATTTTGTTGTGATAGGATATGAGAAGCAGTGGAGTAAAAGAGAAAGACGAGGGCAGAACCTTGCAGCCCGCTCGTGCGCATCCCATCGTCACACCGTCATTTCGCCACCAGCTCTATCAGGTCGCAACATGCCCAACTTCATCCGTCAAACAGTATCTTATTCCAGAACCTCTCGAATGCGTTCGATCCCGGCGGGACAGTGTCTCTTTCATCTCTTGTGCCGTCGGCCTGCAAAGGAGAGTCACCGCCCTCTCTGCGGCATTGTGACGTTCGAGGCGTGAGCGTCGGCACCGTGTCGACGATATCGGGATGGAGCGTCATGCCGGACTTGAGGGCGGAGGTTTCGAAAGAAGACAAAGGGGGCGAGGGGAATCGCTGCTGCTGCTGCTGCTGCTGCTGCTCGGCCTCCATGCTGGACCCACCGACGTGATCAGGTTGCCGCAGGGTCGCCAGCGGCCGACCGTAGGCGTCGCGCCTTTCCTGCACCCCCTTTCCCAGCTTGACGTCCGTGTCGTTCACCGTCGCCTTTGGTGTTTTCAGCCTTTCGCCAGCCAAGTCATGCTCTTCCGTCTCGTCAAGATGGTCTAGTAAGGCCTGCAATACCCATTCGATGACGGCGTCGAGTGTTTGACGTTCCTCGTCATCGTCGGCAGACGTTCGGTTGACCATCGTGCTTGCAGTCGTCGCGGCGGAGGGACTGGCAGAGCTGATTGTCCTGGCGTTGGGTGGCTTCGATTTGGCAAAGATTGGATTGGCTGCCTCGAAGGCCAGGCGCTCGGGCGAGTTGAATGGTGCGGTGGACTGGCTGGAACAACCGAGGGAGGCGGAATTGGAGCAGGTCATCGGGTTGACAGGGCCGCCCGGCTGTGGTACTGAAACAGCCGTAGACATGTGTATGGGGGCGGCATGCGCAGTGTGAAGGACGAAAAGGAGGGTGGTGCTGATGATCAGCAGTTGGCGTAGGGTAGTGAGGACACTGCGAGTGGTGAGGGAATAAGGAGGGAACAATGTCTGAGAGCGTCGACGGCGCGTTGTGCTGCTGCCGCCATCGGTGACAGAGGTAGCGGAGATGGTGGGACGCCTGCCAGAGGTCATCACGGTCAGCATGATCGTAGAGAGATATGCGGGTGAGCCGGTGAGAGGACAAATGTTGCGACTTCTTCGAGAGCCAGCTCGAAGATAGGGATACCAAGAGAAGTGTGAAGTTGGAGGAGAGTAGCAGTGGCACAGTGTACGATCGTGCCTTTATGCTCACGTCGACATCTCTCACCACCAGGCGAGTGGCTGTACCTCGTTCCCTCACCTCGACCCTTTGCTTTGCTCCTGTTGCGGTGAAGAGGTCCGTGGCACGTTGCAAGCATGGCCTCTTTGTTCTCCCGCGTAGCTGCTGACAGCGAGTTCCAGCCTGCGATTGCGGCGAAGCGCGAGCAGTGCTCTTTGATTCTGTCCATGCGAGGTGAGCAGAAGCGCTACTGCGGTCAGTCATCTTAGATGCGCCGCTCTGCTCTTACTGTCTCTTTTGGCTTACACCAATGGCCTCAGACCTCGTAGCCGCAAGCAGGCCGCAAGGCCCCATCTCACATTCGCAGGCAAGCAGACAGCCCGAGTTGAGCGCGAGGAGAATGTCAGTGCATTGAGATTAGAGAAAGCGGGTTTGGTGGAAAGAAGAGTATCGAGAAGTATGGCGCTGCTCTATGCGGCCACGACGACGATCACTGCTCCATGCCTCTGTCTGCACAACAGCTGCTAGGCGCTGCTGGTGATGCCTCTTGCGCTTTTACATTGTCGGACCCTTCACTGCCTTCCTTCAGCAGCTGTCCGTCCTGCGGCCGAGCGAGACTTTTGCTTCGTTTCGTTGGTGCTTGAAGAAAAAGGGCGGGAGAATTACAACGGAGCGCGAGAAGTGTAGCGATGTGAAATGATGGGGGCGAGTCGAGCAAGAGGGAGAGGGGCGGTGTCGAAAAGAGTGAGAGAATATTTGGCGAAGCGAAGTAGTAGAGGGGTAAGCTGGGTGAATCAGCGATGATGATGCCCAGACGATCCAGGTCGCAGCGGTGGCGCACTCCCTCCTGCGGCCCCGTCGGAGGCGTAGAGCATCCTTGCCTCATGCGGGAGGTGAGCAGGATGGTGAGGGTGGTGCAGCGGCCCAGGAGGAGGAGGGCCAGATGCGGATGGGTGGACGAGTGCCGGGGCGCCCATGCTCGATGGTGGGGGGAGCATATTGGCAGGTGGTGGTGCGCCACCGTGGTAAGGGGGCAGCTCATCATCAGGCAGGCCAGTGGGTCCGTCAGCGTGCGGGCCGCGCTTCTTGACCATCTTTGCAAAGTGGAGACCGCAAGCATTGCACAGCGTCCTTGCTCCATCAGGACCACGACGCCATTCTGGCGTCTCGTTTGTCCCGCAGTTCTTGCACGAGGAGGGAGCTGGAGCACGGCTGCGCTTCTTGTACTTGTTGGGCCCCTCGAGCGAATTGCGACGATCATCATCCATGTCAGCCGCCGCAGCAGCTTGATACTCCCGACTCATGGGCGGGAAGGCACGAGGGTCATGCCAGTGCGTGGGCGGAGGCCCGACTGCGAAGCCATCATGATGTGGGGGCGGGGGCTGGGGTGCGTAAGGCGAGGCAGGGTGGTGATGATGGTGGTGGTGGTAGGGGGCTGATGATGCCGGGGTCTCCAGCCCACGGTGCGATGTCGGAGGAGGCGGCGAGGCGGGACCTTTGCGCATGGCAGCGAGACGGTTGCGGATGCTGGCGGGCGCATACATATAGCTTCGCTCAGCTTCGACCGACGAGGACGAAGGTGCTTGCGAGAGAGGAGCGTACGTAGGGTGCGAGCGCGACGGTGGCCTTTGCCCTTTGATGCCTTGTGAGGAGATCTCGTTTGCTCGATAAATGGGCACTGGGGGTCGCGGGTGGCCGTCTTCGTACTGGCGAGGTGGCGAGGTGGCGAGTGGCGAGGTGATGAGCGTCTTGGGCAAATGGCAACGCTGCTACGTCTCCAGTACTTACATCGGGATCCTGCGCTTCGTAAGCCAACCTCGGTTGATCTGGAGGAGCTGCTGGCGAGGAAGGAGGGAGAGGTGCGTGCTTGTTGAGCCCCCAGATGCTCTCTCTCGGTGGGTTGTACGACGGGTGAGGAGGTGGGGCCAGACGGCTCCCCACCCCTGCACCACTCTCTCCCTCCCTCTGACTCTCACGCCAGCTGTCGTGCGCACCTGAAGTAGAGTGCTGATGATGCAGAGCCCAGTGTGTCGATGCTGATGGCGTCGGTCCAGCTCTGTCCATTGATTCTCCTGCTCCACCTGTGCCGCCAGACGATGTCTCTGAAGGCACCCGACCAGGGCCTGCCGGTCGCTGAGGCTGCTGTCGTGGGAACATCATTGCTGCACCAGAAGCAGGCGTTGACACAGGGCGGTCTGCAATGCGCGAGTCGAGATATCAGGGAATGTGCTCATCGACGATGTGCTCAACGGTCGCACTCACCACTCAAGCTGTTGAGGACGTACCACGCCTGTCCCGCAGCATCTCGTGCCGAAGCGATGGCCTCGAGGGAAGGCATGACATTTTCAACGGGCGACATGGCTTGCTCCAGGGTGGTGCGGGCGATGTTGAGGTCGTGCAGGGCCTGCGTAGGTACTGAGTGGATCAGCGAGGAATGCACGATAGGAGCGTCTCGCGCAGCTCTCACCTCTGTCGAGTGAAGCCGAACTTGACTCACATGAGCCAGACGAGATTCCATCTCATTTGATGATCCTCGCTGCTCATCCACCGGCTTTTCGTTGCGGCGTCCCGCATCGAAGAAGGGATGAGGGAAACGCTGTGCCGTCGACGATGCAGCAGCCTCTGCCGGCATGCGCTGCTCTTGTCGTTGGTCAGCTGCCATTTCTCCGTGCGTGTCGACTCGCGGCCTGGTAGGCGAAGAAGAGGTAGAGGCGACGTCGACTGGCGGCAACTTCTGCATCGAAGATGAAGACGACGACGAGCGAAGATGGTTGTCAAAGTGAGGAAGACTGCGAATGGGAGGTAGCTTGACGTCCGAGGCGGGCCGAGCCGTGGAAGACGACGACGACGATGACGACGACGACGCCGCTGCCGCCGCAGCCGCAACTCCAGGTGATGCTTGTTGTGGCGTCAACATCCCTCCGCCTCCTCCGTTGCCGCTGGCGCCACTGCCGCTACTGCTGGAAAGTGGCTGAGCAGTCATGAGCTGACAAGGGCGTCGCAGGAACGAGGGGCCAGGGAGTGGGAAGGAAGATGAGAGGGGATGGAGGTGCTACAGCGAGTTGCGGATGTCGTTGCCTTCGGTCGTTGCCAGCCGATCTCAAGGTCGCAGCTACCAGATCGATCGACGAAGATCAAGATGGCGGCGGCGGCTAAGGCGCAAGGGGGGCGGCGGCGGCCAAGGCGGCTGCGGAGGGGAATAGCGGGAGGCGGGTGACGAAACGGCGTATTTAGTCGTTCCCAAGTGGCCGGCGTCACGAGGTCGAGAGTGGTCCTCGATGCGATTGCTGGCAATGACGTTGTTGATCGGTGCGGACGACACCTTGTGGCTCAAACGTTAACTGTTGAGCGATCGAGCCAAGTGCGGGCGGATGAAACGAGGATGCGGTGCCTCGCGGGTGCGATGTGCGATGTGCGATGATCCTTGATTGATCACTGCCAAAGGAAGCCGTGCGCGGGTACGAGGTCGTCGAGGGTACGTCGATGACGACAGAGATGACGATCGAGCGTCAACTTATCACAGAGGAGGAAGAGGAAAAAAAGAAGAAGCCGTCGTCGCGGGGACGGAGGATAATTGAGGTACCAGATAGCGCGGTGGGGAGTGATCGATCAGAGACACTGACGGCGCGAGACCAGCAATTTCATCTGGCGCTGCAAGTTGCTGGTGGTCCTCGTAGCGATGATTGCGAGAGATGCGGTGGGAGAGATGCGCTGAGTATGGGATAGAGAGAGGCAGAGAGTTGGTTGGGATGGCACTCGCTCTCTCGTGGAGCGTTCCCGCCTGTCAGACCGACCAAGCCATCTTTTCGCTTGCGACGTCGCCACGACTGGCGGCCCCCCGATCCCTCGTCTTTCGCTCCCCGTTCGCTACTGAAGGGCGGCATGTCACTCGCAACATGCCACCAGCGGAGAACACGGAGAGAGGGCTGAGCGACAGGCGGCGGGCTGTGTGGAGCAAAAGGCTGCGATCAAAGACGACGTCCGACGTCCCCTCGACAAGAACAGACTCGATTCAAGCCCCGAAACACATTGAAGCGAAAGCTCAGTTTTGCATGATTGACCGATTGATGCTGATCCTCGGGCGCCCACCAAATCTCATCTTGCAGGAAGCAGAAGCAAGAAAGGGGGCTAACGCACGTAGAGCAGGCAAGCAAGCAAGCTGTGGTACTTGCAGCACGATGCGGTTCAAGGAGTGGTCGTGGTCAGACCGCCGATTCTACTCTGTCGCACGATGGCAACCACGATAATGGATACGGAGGAGCTGAGATGAATAGGCACTAGCGCGAGTTCTCGGCCTAGACTCTTGGCCCTCGTCGCCGCCGCCGATTACCACTCAATTTGTGTCTCCGTGTGTGTGTGTGTGTGAAGTTCCGGGATCCATACAAGCGGGAGTGTCGTTGCAGTGAGTTCCGCCCACAGCTGCCACGCTTCTGCTCTCGTGCGAATCCGAGACGATGCAGAACTCCGACCAGCATTCGGCAGTGTGGTGTGCTCGATAGAGCTCGTCCTCATCGGGCGGCGCTAGCACGGGGACACGACGACGGAGACAGCGTCGACGAGGAAAGCAAAGATGCGCCTAGGCAAGCGCGTGCCTCCCTTTTTCTTCTTCGGGCCGTTGTCGACAGTCGTGAGGTGTGCTCAGGGTGCAATTTATGCTTCCCCTCGCCATTCTGCAGCTTGGGAAGAGAAGCAATGACGGGAGAACCGCGTGCAAGAATTTGAGCTCGAGCTCGAGCCTACGCACTCGATTTTACGCGCGAATCTATTCCAGAAATGCTGACCGGGTAGGGGGTCAGCATGCTCTGCGTTTCGACGAATGACGCCCGAGCTAGTCGAGTTGAGTCCAGTCGAGTCGAGTCGAGCTAGCTGAGATCCTGATCGATCCCACTTGATCCGTGATCAACGGAGCTGAGCCAGAGGCATCGTGCCAGTCTAGCAAAGCCAGCAGTCAAGCAGGCCAAGCCGCCGGGCCGGGGCTGGGATACACACACATCGCAGACTCAATCTTGTTGGCAGCTCGGCGGTGGCGCGAGAGGAGCAGTGTTGCGCCTTGACTCCCACGCACCTCCAGCTCTGCCTGCATTCCGGAAGACGGGCAAAAGGGAGAAGTGTCGATGATCAATCGCAATCTGGTACGCTGTGATCGAGGGTCGAGGGTGAGGACGTACAAGATACGAGACTTGCCGTGACTCCGCGAGTGTTCACCGCACCGCGAGCATCAATGCTTGCATCACCGCTTGCATCACCGCCAACCTCGGACACCGCCCAGCGCCATCGCTCATGTGTATAATTATGGTACTACCTCGCTCGTAGGCTTACCTCGGTCGTGACGATGGAGGTCGTCACGGGGGCGGATCTGATCTGGCAGAAGGTGAATGCACTGCACTCTGCGTCAGGGCGTCTTACAGGGTAGCGTTGAGCAATGAAGGTCCATCGCTGCGTGATCTCCGAGCATTGCGTGCCCACGACGACCTGTACACGGTGCCCCGAGATAAGGTAGCAAAGCAAGGGTGTCGGTGAGCACGGCAGCTACCACGATAGCCCCCTTATCCCACACGTCTCCCTCTCCTCTTTGCTGGCTCCCCCACGCCGACGTGTGCAACTGCGACATCGCACTGGATGTTGCGCTCTGTCGCGCGCCTGCTCTTCTTCTTCATCTTGCATCTGAGGGTGCGCGTGGCGCGTTGCTGACCGCCCTTTTGGAGAAGCTTGGGCAAGGAAGGGGCAGGGAGAGCAAGTCGTAGCCGGCGAAGATCCCGATGGTGCCTGACAGGTCGGAGAGGGGCGTCAAGCAAGCAAAGAGACTTCACAACGTTTACTTCAGGGCGGTGTCATTGAGAATGGAGTCTGCGGTCAGCGAGGCGCGGCGAGCGAGGCGCGAGATACAGGAAAACGTTTGACAAGGTAACCGCGCCTCCGATGATGCAGGTCAGTACGCCGTGAAGGGGTCGCCGTGAAGGGGTCGCCGTGAAGGGGTCCCACCCCGTGGACGCTCTGTGCTGTCAAGGAGAGGGCCTGTATTCAATTGATGCCGGCCAGAGCGCTCCTGGGCTCAGCGCGCTGTCAAGGGAGCGGCTCGAATATTGACAGCGTGACAGGGCAATGTGATGATGATCATTCATTCGATCGTCACACGACTCGCGTCTCTCGCGCTCTCACGACGCCGAGGGCCGAGATTGAATCGTGTAGAGAAGTGAGATGAGAATGATGAGTGAGATCGATGATGAAGGTGGGGGGCAGGTTCGCGCTGGCCTGGGCGGGCGGAATCGTGCGTGCGTGCAGGCGGCGGCGGGCGGCAGGCACTCAGACGACGCACACACACACGCGCACACACACGCGGGAGTCGATCCTGTGTGAGCGTCTGGAACTGGACTGGCACTGCGAGGGAGAGAGCGAGACGAGAAAGCGGGGTCGACGTCGACGTCGGCGGGCATCAATTGAGACTTGTCTCCATCATACCACCTCCTGCCTTGACACCGCCACAGACGGGCATTCGAGCATTGCAGTCAGAGCGCTCTCTTCGACTCTCACCATCATCTTGTGCCAAATACCTTTCGCCTTGGCCGGCCCTGATCAGCTTTCGTGGAGCAAATTGGCAGCGGCGTCAGGAGAGGTCAGGGCACGCGACCAATTGGTCAGAGGGCCCACACATCATCCTCACTCAGTCACGACGGCGACGACGACGACGACGGCAGCTAGTCGTCGCTGCTTAGACGCCCGACGCCCTCTGATAGATCTCGAAACGGGGCGCGCGCCAACATGGCGTCGTCTTCGTCCGGTCCTCCATCATCGTCGCGAGATGACCAGGCCAAAAAGGTCCGCCGACAACCATCAGCGCTTGCCTTTTGGCAATCAAGATCCGCCGACGGGGCTTCCGGGGCGACTCAAAGCAACAATAGTAGCAATGTCAGCTCGGCCAGCCTAGCACCGCCGACATCGGACGTGCGGCCACCTCGGCCGCTTCGGCCAGTGACTCACGACGTTGTCGTCGAAGGCGCAGCCCTGTCGTCGTCGACACTCCCCGCGACGCTCCCCGCTTCGTCCTCCTCATCTGCTTCTTCTTCGGCTCCATCCTCGCCGAGTCAAACGCCGAAAGAATCTGTCGACACGACTCCCAAGCAGTCACAGACGACTCGCAAGCAGCGGCTGGTCATGGACCTCAAGCGGAGGCGAGCAAAGCAGGCTCAGGGCGGCGGCGGCGGCGGCGGCGGCGGCGGCAGCGGTGGGGAGAGCAACGACGTAGCGTCGCCGACGAGGAGTGATCGCAGTCGCAGCTCAGAAGACGAGTCTGGCGTGCACGACTCCAGTGATCCCGCCGCGGACGAACGCCTAGGACAATTGATGGCCGGCATGGGATTGAACGAACAAACTCAGCCTATCCAGACTGCACCTCCGCCGACCATCCATCATCGACCAAGTCGATCATACCAAGGCGCCGAGTCTCCACGCAACCATCGAGGTGCAGCATCTTCGCTCTCATACGATTCGGGTGCTCGAGCGAGATCTTCCTCAGAGACAGCCGGCAACGACTCCTTCTTTGACGTCGGCGACATGGACGACGATCCCGTCGACTTTGAACTGCCTGGCGTCGTCAACGCGCCACTGAGCAGGGCATCCGCTACTGCATCGTCTTCAACTCTTCGCCAGCAATCGCACGATAGCGCCGCAGAGCGTGTACCCAGCCCAGTCTCCAAGGACAGCGCTTACATGACTTCCTTCCTGCCCTCGCCCCCGACAAAGACGACGGGGCCGACAGCGGAGACGACACATCCACGCCGAACGAATCCTTCGCGTCGAAGACAAAGTCTGCATCTTCCGCCATCGGGTCCGCTACCACCTACACCTCCTGCCAAGTCGGCCAACGACTCCATCTCGCCCTCGTCCTCACTCGTAGCTAGCTCGAGCTTTGCGTCCGAGGTTTCGGGGACCACCTCCTCTGCTCGTACAGACGCAAGTGCATCGTCGCCGGAGAGGCCAACATTCAAGACGGCCGGAGCACCGGCGGCGGCGGCGGCAGCAGCAGCGACGCCAGCTGTGAGCCCATCGCTGGCTCCTCCCACGTCTCTCGGCCCCAATGGTACGATTCGAGGCCGTCCACGCGGGGCTACCGTCGGCGCTATGCCCAGCAGCATCAACCCCCGCAGCTCGAGCTTCATGGGTCGGCTGAGCAGCTCTACTCGTCCTCGCTCGCTCTTGTCGCACGAGCTCATATTACCTGGCGCCGATGGCCTGCCATCGTCTACGAGCTCGCCAGCGGACTTGCATTCGATTCAGGCGGCAGCTCCTTCCTCTGCAGGCGGCGAGTCTAGCGCTTCGAGAAGGACATCGTACAGCGCCGGGCTGGAGAGCTCGATGACCAGCCTGAGCGTGCCTCAGGTCGAGGGCAGCAGCCTCGGCGATGCGACGACTTCAACAAGCTCCGCAACATCGGAGGAGCGACGTCCAGCTTCGGGCCGCAGTCGGAGTGGGAGCACCGCGAGCGTTCTGTTACAGCAAGTCCAATACCCACCGCGTAGCCAAGCCAGCTTTGTCATTGCGGTCGTGGGCCACCGCGGGGCAGGCAAGTCGACGGTCATCCGCAAAGGGCTGCGCCAGTTTGGCCTGAGCAAGCCGCAGGTGCTTTCGGAAAAGGTTACGTCCCACTACACGGTCTGCATCGTCGACCACGAGCAGCGTACCATCGAGGTGCTGGAAGTAGACACATCTGTGCTCATCAACGGACCCAGCAAGCGATTCGCGTGGCCCCGCTTCCTCCCCAACATCGACGCCGTCATTCTATGCTACGACGCATCGCAGCTCTCGTCGTTCCGCGGAATGTCTGAGCTGCTGGAGAACTTTGCGATCAGCAACCTGAGCATCGTGATGTTGGCTTGCAAGTCGGACATTGAGCCGAGGGGCATCGATCCGTTCTACGCGAGCGATATGGCGGGTGTATACAACGTGGGTCTGGCGGAGTGCACCATGGAGAGCGAGGAGGGGAAGAAGAGGATGCGCGACTGCTTCTCGTACTTGGTGAAAGAGGTGGCCAAGGCGAGGGCGGGCAAGGGGAAACGAACGGAGCGAGTCGGCGCAGGGACACAGCCTGAGCGCGAGGAGCGCGAGCCGCAGACGGAGCGTGAGCCACAGACAGAGCGCGAGGCGCGCGAGGCACGCGAGGCACGCGAAGCACAGCCATCGCAAGGATCGCTGGCTCTTGATGGTCGGCCGCGAGGTCCGCAGCAGGCGGAGGGTCCTCCCAACGTCCGCCACGCTAGCGACTCGACGACTCGCTCGGACGACGATGCGGTTCAGCAGAGCATCAATCGCGCGCAGTTGGGCTTGCAGAGCGCCAAGTCGGCGGGCGGCTACGTGACGCTGGAGGAGCTTTGGGACAAGTTGTTCTTTGCTGCAGTGACGGGAACGGACGAGCGCTTCCTGCTCATGTTCATGGTCTTTTACAGAGGTGAGCGAGCGCGACGCAGCGCGAAGTGGGAGATTCCGAGCTGACATCTACGACCCGCGCGCCGCGCCGCACCAGGCTTCGTCCGGCCCATCGAGCTGCTTCGCCAGATGATCTCGCGCTTCGACTCCCTCGCGCAACGAGAGCAAAAGGACAGCTTGATTCGCTACTCCCTGCTGCGATTGGCTGCCATGCTAGGCGACTGGATGCAAGACTACCCAGGCGACCTCTCGGGCCCAGAGACGTTGCCTCTACTCTGCGACTTCTTCGAGCGTCTCTGCGTCCACCCGATGACAGCGCACATTGCCCGCGATCTGCGCCCGCTGCTCGAGGTGGTCAAGACGGCTCCTGATCTGGATGCGATTTGGAGCAAGGATCAGGACAGCTCGAAGCCCAAGAGCGTTGCGGCGGATGTGCCGCCCATCAAGCCTCACACAGAGTTGCGCGATCGCTCTGCCTCGGATGCGTCGCGCCCCTCGTTCAATCGCGATCGCAGCGGGAGCGATGCGACGGCGAATAGTGGGAGTGATGCACCGCCGTCGTCCGCATCAGGTCACAGCTTGTCGTCGGGCAGTATGGCCGTCCCGGATCGTCATGACCCCCTCAACCATCCTCTCCCTCCGCCGCCCATCACCCCGCAACGTCAGATGGCCACTCTGCGCGCAGTAAGCAACGCGCTCCTCGATACCCCGGACGCGGCCATCGCTTCGGAGCTCACCCGCGTGGAATGGTACCTCTTCATGGCCATTCGCCCGCGCGACCTCCTGCGTCACATCCTCGTGCCGCGAGAGCTGCGACGTGGGGTTGGAGGACGCGGCGCCGGCCCCGTCGCTCGCTCCATCGATCACTTCAACTACGTCTCTTACTGGGTATGCTCGATGGTCCTCGTGCAGCACCGCTCCAAGGGTCGTGCGAAGATGATTGACAAATACATGAACATCGCATCGATCCTACGACACGACAACAACTACAATACCCTTCAAGCCGTACTCGCAGGACTAGGGAATGCGGCCGTCCACCGCCTCAAGCACTCCCCTCACCACCACAACGCCGAGCTCGCAAAGCCATTTGCCAGTCTACAGAAGCTCATGGGCGTCGGCTCCTCTTACCGCTCGTACCGCATGGCCCTGGAGAATAGCGAGGGCCGCACGATTCCGTACCTGGGCGTGCACCTGCAGGACATTCTCTCGATGAGCGACGGGAACCCATCCAAACGCGCGTCAGACGGGATGATCCACTGGCGCAAGTTCTCGCTCATGGACGAAGCCGTCATGGCCATTGTGCATTGCCAGCAGTGGGGCCAGAAGCCGCTGCCTGCCAATCACGCCGTCGAGCGGCTGGTCATGGATCTGCCGGTGATGGACGAGGATGCGCTTTATGAGAGGAGTTTGGAGGTGGAGCCGCGGGCGAGGGAGCTCGCGCCGGCAGGGGGAGGAAGCGTCGCGCGAGCAGGGGGTAATGGCGGCGCCGCATCGACGGATGGGTCTAGTAGTGTAGCCTCTTCGCTCTCGGCGGCGCTGCCGGGGAGCAAGTACATATCGCGCGTCTTCTAGGCTCGAGAAGACGAGAAGAATCATGATACCTTTTTGCGATCGCGCGGCGTGCGCGGGGGTGCGATATACAAGTGCGACGTCCGTGACGAGCAGTTCCCGTCGCCCCGCCCCGCCTCGCCCGCCTACTTGCCGTCACGCAGCCTGAGCAAAGCGAGGCGGCGGTCATTGGCCTCCTGAGCCCACCATTCGGTCCACCTGTTGTGGTTCTCACGCGTCTGCTCCAGCCTAGCCTCTGCATCACGCCCCGCTTCCCTCGCGCGGTTGCCCGCGTTCTCGACCGACTGAGCCGCCGAGCGGTAGGTACGCTGCGCCTCGTCACTGGCACGCTGCCCCTGCTCCTTGACGTTGGACCATCCACGTTGCGCCTCATTCTCGACGGTGTTCTTTGCGGATTCCGCGCCAGACTTCATGGCATCCCAGCGTCTCTGCGCCTCCTTGGCAGCGTACGAGGCCTCGGCAGCTGCTGCGTCGCGGGCTTGGAACCAGTTCTGTTTGGCCTCCTTGCCCGCCTCGTCCGCCTTGTCCTTTGCCGTGAACCAACCAGACTTGGCGCGAGACTCGGCCTGGCGAGCAGCGTCGTCTGCGGAGGACTTGGCGCTGAACCACGACGACTTGACCTGCTCACCCGCCTTGTTGGCTTCGCGCTGAGCCTCGTCCTTTGCGCTGAACCAGCTCGACTTGGCCTCCTTTGCAGCGTCGTCGGCCTTGTCCTTTGCGGCGAACCATCCTTGCTTGGCCTGCTCGCCTGCCTTGTCGGCCTCGCGCTGAGCTTCATTCTTTGCGCTGAACCACGACGACTTGGCATCCTGCGCAGCGTCCTCTGCCTTGTCCTTTGTCTGGAACCAGCCAGATTTCGCGTGCTGCTCGGCCTGCTTCGCCGCATCGTCGGCCTTGTCTTTTGCGCTGAACCACCCGGACTTGGCCTGCTGCTCCGCGTGCTTGGCCTCAGTCTCGGCCTTGTCCTTTGCAGAGAAGAGCGAGGACTTGGCATCACGCGCGGCATCACTGGCCTTGTCTTGAGCCTGCGACAAGATGGACTTTGCCTCCTTGCCCGCCTCGTCCGCCTTGTCCTTCGCAGCGAACCATCCCTTGTTGGCCTCCTTCTCAGTCCTGCCCGCACCCTCCTGCGTACCGGCCTTGGCAGCCTGCCACCCAGCCTGAGCCGCCTCGCTCACTTTGGTGGCTCCCTCGCCCGCCTTGTCCTTTGCGTCCTGCAGCGCCTGAACGGCTTGGGCGTTGTTGTCCTTGCGCACGTCTGCGAGGTCGGAGAAGTCGTCCTGCTTGACCTTGTGAATCGACCACCAGTAGACGCCGCCCACAAAGGCGACCAAGCCGAGGCCCATGACAGCGTTTCCCATGCGATACGGCTCGCGGGCGCGCTTCAGACCTTCAGACACTCCAAAGCCGCCAGGGTGATAGCTAGAAGAGCCATGTCCAGGCTTGCCAGGGGCCATGGGGCGGCCAGTCTGAGAAGGACCGTCTTTGGGAGGTTGAGGAGCGCTCATGGTGGGCGTGCGTGCGTGTGTGTGTGTGTGCGCGCGAGAGTGTTGGAGTGGATCAATGGGGAAAGGGGAGATGAGACTGAACGTGGGGGTTTTGGGTGGAGGAGCCGGGTCGGGTCTCGTCGCTGTGACGTCAAGCGCGGGGCGACGACGCACGGCCAGGCCCACCTGGGCCTTGAGTTGTCGCGCCTCACGTCTCGCACCTCGCGCCTCGCTTCCTCGCAGGAGGCGTTCAAGGCTTGACGAAGTAGCTAACATGCATTCAGGAGCTACAGACGAAAGCAGACTCAGGCTACTGTTAGAGGGCAAAATTCAGTCTCATTTCACCCGCCTGCGAGAGGAGGCACCCAATCTTTGACCCCTTGGGTTGGGCCCTTGGGAGTAGATCAAGGCCGGCTGTCGGACGCCTCCTGCTCGGCTCTCTGTGAGATCTTGCCGGTCGCGCGTCGCGCTCCTCAACGATGGCCACTCATCATCACCACAGCGATCGAGAGGTGACCACAGTCGAGCCCAACTCCTAATCACGGCGGCTGATCCATTACGCAAGCTCATCACGGCGGCTGAGTCCTGTGGCTAATCACGACGGCGGTGCGGTGCGGAGCGGCTCGCGGCCGTGCCTGACTGCGCCGTTCGCGAGCGTTCCTGTGATGAGTCAAGGACACAGCCCATCTCTGCCAGCTGGCGCCAGCGCATCTTGACCTCCTATCCATCACTGCCACTTCGCCTGCCGCCGCACGACCTCGATGTGGAAGCCACCTAGACCCAAACGCTCTCACCAACAAAACAAGCCCGACACGCCTGGTCTACCGATGGCCCCTCCTGCCCCCTTCCTGCCCCCTCTCTGCCCCCTCCCTCCCCACGCATATACCCTGTACCCCCACGCCACCGCCACTGCCGCCGCCGCCGCCGCCACCACCATCATCGTCGAGCAGTGGAACTTCAGTCAACAAGCGCGCACGAGCTCAGCACCGGCTCCCGCGACAGCTGTCGGCTCAGTGCCCGTAACGAGGACTTCCAACCTCTGCACCAAGAGCTCAGCAATCCCTCCAAGTCACGCTCGCCATCACTTCGCTCATGCTCAGTCATCACTCAACCTCAACTCCTCTCAAGCTCGCTCGCCCATCTCGCAACATCCACCGGCCTCTCACTCTGGCTTCAGCACGCCACCTCAAGCTCTCTGACCTGTCATAGTCTTGCTAGCGTCGGTGCCGTGCGCGCCACGTCATCGTCACGGTCACCTCGCCACACATCTCCACTCGTGCCACGCACCAACCTCCGGATACCCTGCGTCTACGCCTGGTCCCAGTCACCGTGGCCTGCGCGACCCACCTCACAGCTACGCTCCATAAGCTCGCGGTGCGCTCCGAGCGTACGGTCAAGCACCCTGGTCACGACACCTCGACACGCAACACCGATCATAGGTCTTCGTCTCTGAGCGCGCACGATACCAGTCCCTCCCGCCAGCGCCACGATCAAGATGGTCAGAGGAAACGGCTCGCGCCAGGCGCTGCAAGTGTGACTGGCTTCGTGTGTGAGTAACTTGCCGACATGCTCTGGCTTGGCTTGCACATCAGCTCACAGCTCCCAAGCTCTCCCTCCCCGGCAAAGGTGGCCAATCGTCCTCGTCACAAGCCCAACGCACTCGAGATGGCCGGGAGAAACGAGGTGTACGCTGAGCCTCGCAAATGCGAGCGACCAGGCTGGTGAGTGCTTTGCCATCTACCTATGGTTTGGCTCGCACATCAGCTCATAGCTCACCAGCTGTGATTCTTCTCACTGCACAGTGGAAAGTCCTTCACTTCGCCTTACTCATATCATTCACACATGCAGGACCACAAATTACGAGACGAAAATGTCTCATTTAAGTGTCCAGTAGCGGGGTGGTGAGTGAACTAAGCGATAGACCGAGCCCTCCAACTCATCACGCTGAATCACCGCCTCGCTGTGCTCCCGCATCATAGTGGCAAGGAGTACACTCGGCAGTCGAATCTAAATGAGCACATGAAGATTCACACTGACCGAGAGGACGGCAAGGTGCACAAGTGTGGCGAGTGGTAAGTATCCACCTCCGTCGCTGAGACTTGATTGTTTCTTCCCCAGACTGACCTTGCTGTCCTTGTGATGTACGCTGGGCAGCGGGCTGGTCGTGGGCTCCGAGACGGCCTTGACCAAGCACAAACGGCGTCACGAGGTCGAGAGGGCTGGGACGATGTACGCGTGCACGGTGGCCGGCTGGTGAGCTTCTCTCTAGCCCCCGAAGGCGAGTAGGCTGCTCACACATTCGCACCTTCTCTTGCCGCAGCACGAAGAAGTACAAAGCAACCAGACGGTCTATACGCGCACGTCCGCAACGTGCACCAGGCTGTCGTGCTCTTCTGTCCGGTCGAGGGATGGTGAGCACGAGGGCATCTTGATCCTACGTTGCATAAGTTCATTCGCTGAGACTAAGCCTTCACTTCACAGCTCGTCGACCTTCACGACGCATCTCGGCAGGCAGAAGCACGTCGAGGGGCACAAGGCCGACCGTCCTCGCCTGGCCTGTCCGCACCCGGGGTGGTGAGTATATTAGTCAACGACGTCTCGTCACCGCATCCCTCCGCTGAGATACGGGAGCCCCTTCACATCCTCGCCGCTCTGTCCAGCAAGAAGACGGTTTTGACTCAGCAGAGTCTCGACTACCATCTTCAAACGCATCTTGAGGACAGGGAGCTGTTCTGCTGCCCGCACCCGACGTGGTGAGCATACGGACTCTCTTCTCTCCCGCATCCCTGGCACTGACGAACCAGGCCTCCCCATCGTTCTCAGCCCCGAAGCATACCTGGACCCCAAATACACCAAGGTCCACTTCGGGAAGGAGCACAAAGGAGAGTGGCCGGGAGTCCCTCGGACGATTCGCCAGTCTGAGAGAGATGGCCAGCGTCGTGGCGGCAGCAACCCTGCTGGGCCGTCACGCTCGCGTGCAGCGGGGCCAAGCCGCAGCAGCGCCTCCTCCGCCTCCGCCTCCGCCGCCACCGCCAGCACCACCGCCACCGCCACCGCCAGCACCAGCACCGCCGCCCTCGCCAGCACCAGCACCAGCACCAGCACCAGCACCAGCAACAGCACCAGCAGCAGCAACAGCAACAGCACCAGGACCAAGACGTCCGCGGTGCAGCTGCCGCCCATACGCCTGCAGGACGGGCGATGGATTTGCGACTGGCCGGGATGGTAAGTCCTCGCATATGAGCGGCGATTGTGCATGCTCTTACTGATCCCCTTCTCTTTCCTCCGCTCGTCTCCTGACATTAAAAGCTCCAACCAGCAAGATAAGCGTCGGCCGCCACGCGCTCGTCAACCTTGCACCAAGACCAACCTGCATGACAGACCGGCGTCACGTACAGTAGCTTCAGGATGCCAGGACAAAAGAAAAAGTGGGACCCACCTCGCAAGTGCGAGTGGAAGGGGTGGTGAGTGGCTCGCCATAAGCTCCTTCTGTGCTGTCGATCCTAGTCGTCCGCTCACTACTACTACTTCTCCCCGTTCCGCAGCGAGAAAACATTCACTGCGCCCGATACCTACAGAGACCACCTTCAGCTACACAGGGACAAGGAGCAGGGCAAACGCTACCCTTGCACCCACACTGGCTGGTGAGTGAGCTGCATTCGAGGATGGTGAGAAAGACTTTGAATCAGCTCACCCCCTTTTGCCTAATCTATCCGCCGCAGCGGCAAGGACTTCCCTTCCAAACGTGGACTGCGACAGCACGAGCAGATCCATGTGAGGGAGAAGGAAGGGTCAGGCTCCCGTGCGACGAGTGGTGAGTGGACTCTGAGCCTTGCTATCTCCCTCGTCTCGTCTGACAACAGCTACCCGTCGCGCCTGCAGCGGTCAGACTTTCGTCAGCCAGACGACCCTGGACCAGCACAAAGCGCTGCACGCGGAGCGCAAGGCGGGCAAGACATACCCCTGCACACGGCCTGGCTGGTGAGTTTCCTGCGGCGTGATGGGAGTTTGCGCGGGCACGATATATGCTGACCTTCTCACTACCCTCGCTCATCCCTCACCTCGGTCTCGAACAGCGGGAAAGTCTGCACCACGAGGGCGTTGTGGAAGGCGCACGAGAAGGTCCATGACAAGGAGACCTTCTCTTGCCCTCGGGACTGGTGAGTCCCAGAGCAAAGCATCTCACCGCTCGACCCCTTCTACATACTGAATCTGCACTTCACAGCGGCTCCGTCTTCACCGTCAAATCGGCTCGAGACAGGCACGTCTTGCACCAGCACGAGGGCAAGGAGAAGACGTTGCGCTGCACTCGCCCCGGCTGGTGAGCATGTGACAGCGCCCCATCGCCACGTTACCCCTCTGACCCACAGCCCCCTCCTCGCTCGCTTTCAACTTGCATTTTCCTCACCCCGCGCCTCCCTTGGATCGTCCAGCGAAAAGGTCTTCAGCGACCGTACGCGGCTCAAGGAGCATGAGGCAACGCATGAGGAGCGTCCGCGCATTCCCTGCCCGAAGAGTCGCTGGTGTGTATGTCTGCCCCCTCGCTTACGTAGCCATCGGCGCTGATTTGGAACTACTACTCTGCGCCCTACGTCAGCTCAAAGTCGTACGTGAAGCTTCAGGATGTCAAGATCCATTGAAGCAAGAAGCACGCCGACTGTGGGCCTTGGCCAGGGCTGGAGGAGTCGTTGGGCAGCTCTGGCGGGGACGCAGCCGGGACCAGCAGGGTCGCAGGCACCTCAAGCGCGCGGGATGAGGGCAGCCCAGCCTCAGAGCTCGGTCGCAGCACCAGCAGCGCCACCAGCAGCAGCAGCAGCAGCAGCATCAGCGCCGCCACCACCAACACCACTACCACCACCAACACCAGCGGCGGCGCATTGGCCCCGCTGTTCTCCACCTCGGGCAGGCCCAAGACAACGATCGGCCTTGTTGGTGACAAGTGGCAATGCGGCTGGCGCGGCTGGTGTGTGCCCTTGACTCAAAATGGTCACCCCAGCACCCTCACGCTCACGCTCGCGTTCATCTCTTCTCTTTGCGAAACTCTCTCATGCTTAGCTCTCGTCGCTTCAAGCTCAAACGACACTGCCGTCGCCACGCAGACGCTCATTCTGCTCGCAACACCGTCGCAACCTCAAGCTGGGCCGCCAATTGGCGAACAAGGGTCCATTCGGCAACAAGAACGTCTTCAACCTCGGCAGAGCAGACTTCGTCCTCCTCAAGAGGGGGCAAGCACACTGCGACAACGTGGAGAAAGAGGATGGACAGCGTTGGAAGTTGGTGGGACTCGAAGCAACCACCCTCCGTCTCATCTGGATCTCGTTCGCTCAGACGCTGCATCACAGCTCTTCTACTCTCACGCTCAAGCAGAGTCGCGACGAACACATCGCACACATTCACGGCGATAGGGAGCGCGTGATCTGCCCCCATCCCGGGTGGTGAGTAGCCAGGAGCGTCATGCATATTCTCGAGCGCCATGGAGCTGATCGGCACCTTTTCAATCATATAGCGGAAAGTCGCTCGCCGACGTAAAGACCCTGCGAAGGCATCAAGCGACTCATCAGGGTCGCCCACGCCTCCCCTGCCCCTATGCCGACTGGTACGTACAGTATGAACACAGCTGCTACTTGCTCGTCTCTTTGCACTGAGTCACTCCTACCTCTTCCCACCGTCCTCAGCCCGCAAGACTAGCAGAACCGCAAGTCCGTGCGACAGCACGTCCATAATAAGCACGGAGGAGTTTGGCCAGAGGCTCACGACGGCGGCACCACCACCACCCCAACAACAACAACAACAACAGCAACAGCAACAGCAGCAGCAGCAGCAGCAGCAGCGTTACCGTGCCATCCTTCGCGTTAGCTTACGTCCATCTGATACGAGGCTGAATGGTGCATCTGCGGCTCGCCCGATTGGTGAGTGCTCGCGTCTCGGCGGTAGTCGCATATGCTGATACTGACCGCGTACGATTCTTTCTCTTCACTCCGTCGCCGACACCACACGCTCACCAATCCTGAACCAGATACTCCGCTCACATTCGAGTCGACAGGGGTTCGAGGCGAGAGGTGGGATTAGAAATGAGTTGGCCGAGGGGTCGAGCGAGGCCATTCATGCTCGACTCAGCACTTCTACCACGCTCCTCTTTCGACATCTTCCTCGAAGTCCTTTCACACCTCAAATGACGCAACTTGAGGATGCCAACGAATCAGAACACCCCGTACATCAAGCGCCGCAAGTGCGAATGGCCGGGCTGGTGAGTGCACCCTTAATGCTCGTAGTACAGTACGACCATTGCCTTCCGCTCACAATCTCTGCTGTGCTCCATCACGCGGTGAGCAGACTTTTCTCACGGTGGGCACGTAGGAGGCTCACATGAAGAAGCATCGAGACGGCAAAGAGAACGAAAGGTATTGGGGCACTGTGCCAGGCTGGTGAGTAGGTCTCGTACGAGGATGGCTCCCATACGCGAGAGCTCACCAACACCGTGATCTGATCGTTGCAGCAACAAGAGGTACCCGACGTCAGCCTCGCGCAGCAGGCACGTCACAAACCACAAGAGGGCCTTGGAGGGGGTAATGCACACCTGCGATGAGTGGTGAGTTCAACGCCAGCCATGGTGTCTTTCTCGTCTGACATGTTAAGCCACGATTTGTATCCGCAGCGAGAAGAATTTCTCGACTCAAGCGGCTCTGAACAGGCACAGCTGCAAGTGAGTTGGTTTTCACGCAGATGCGAGCTAGTAGGCACACCATATGCTGACTTCCCTCATCACCTTCGCTGCCTCCCCACGCCCGCCTTATTGTCCGATGCTAGACCCGAGAAGTACAAGATCGTTGAAAAGGATGGGCGCTTCCTCTGCCCGGTCGAGTCTTGGTGAGCTCAAAAGCAAAGCATCTCTTTCTCACTTCGCTCCGCTGACGTACCCCTTCTGCGCATGTCAGCTCGTCGAGCTTCACGACAAAGGGCTACGCCAAGAAGCACGTCAAGGACCGTCACGAGAGGAAGCGCGAGGCGGTCGAGTGCCCTCCACCCCAGCTGGTGAGTAGGCACCAGATGTGCTCTATCGAGGCCCCTCTGACCCGCAGCTCATTCCTCGCCCGCTCTCCACTCGCACCCACCTCGCTGCAATCCTTCAGCGGCAAGGTGCTCAAGAGCGAAATGCTCCTGAGTAGGCACATGGTGGTGCACACCGAGAGGCAGCGCATCCCCTGTCCGAAAGCCGGCCGGTGGGTACTATTTCCTCACGCAGCATCTCGGCACTGACTTGCAACTCACATTCTGCCTCCTCCTTCAGCCCCGAGGCCTACTTGCGGGTCAGCAACGTCCGAGACGACTGGCACCGGTCTCACGACGGGCCCTTCCCGGGGATTTGCAAGTCTGCAATGGGGGACGATCAGGCCAGTGGCAGCAGCAGCGCCGTCTCTGGCCCCTCGGGCACGACTGCTGCCCACGGGAGCCCTAACGACGGCAGCAGCGGCAGCAGTGAAACCACGGCATCCTCCTCCTCCTCTTCCTCCTCCTCCTCTGCCCCTCTCATCCTTGCGCAGGGCCCTTCGATCCGCTGGGACGGCAAGAGCACGCAGGCTGGTACGTGGTCGCGCTTTGTGAACTACCATGAAGCCTCGTACTCACCCTGCATCCTGCTTTCCATCCCTGCCGTCAGCTCTCGTGGCTTCAACGACAAGGAGCAATGCCGCCGACGTGCCGACGCCCACTGGCTCTTGATTCATCCCCGAGGCACCGTCATCCACGCAACCCTCTCCTATCCCCCATTTTCATTCTCTTGCATAATACTACTATAGAATGGTGGACTCCGGGCCCCTACCTTGCAGCACGAGCACCTCAGCATCGAGGGTTTTCTGTGTCTAGGATTTACGGCAGCGGACAAGTTCACAAGCCAATCACCGGCCACAGCACGCTTCCCGGCTTCCTCAATAGCCTCCATGCGCAACGCGGGGCGACCATGCTTTCTGCAAGCGTCACAAGGTCAATGAAAATGCGAAAGGACGAAGCTCAGGGTCTCGATCTTGCGCTCGCTTCCTCAGCTCTCGTGCCAAGACGTGGACGGTCAGCAAATAGTGGATGTGGACGGTTGCACCACGAAGGAAGCTTTCGAGCGACGGCACGACAACATCATCTTCTCACACGTCGTCTTACATCGTCAGCACTGCCTGTCGCCTGTCACGATTGCTCCAAGCCCAACTGGCTTCGCCATTGTGCTCTCGCGGGCACCACGCTCGTTCAAGCTGGTGAGATAGCAGCGCACAACTATCGCAGCAAGGTCTCGGTCCGTCTTCCTACGCAGATATCATCACCACCAACTTGGCAAGCCGTGTCGGGCATCTCTCCAACCTCGTCCGCGCCAGCGAGGGTGAAGGCAGGATGGACCAAGGCCGGGGCTGTCGCAGCACCGCTAGAAGTCACCTTGCGCGTGCATTGGCCTACGGCGAGGTGGCAATGACCAAAGAGCAGGGGCCAAGACAATGCCGGATCTGGCTGTGCTCTCTCTTCGTCTCTCGCCCGCCATTCGTCAGCGTCTGCAGCTGGGCACAGATATGCGCGAGGCAGTCAGAGCCAGCAGGAGACGTCTACTCATACCCGTCGACCCTCACGCAAGCACCCTACCATCGCCAATGCCAAACGCGATGGCACCGCCTTCTCGTCCAACCACCAAACCCCCGACGTAGCGATGCAGTCTCGTCTCAAGCTGGCGACAGCCAGTCCGATGGCGGCGAACATACGCTGACAGCGGCTCTTGCTGAGCTTGCCCTGCAAGACGTCGAGCAAGGGGACGAAGAGGAAGAGGAAGAGGGAGAGGAGGAGGAGATCAACGATGGATCCGTCATCCACAGTCGAACGTACGGCAAGAAGAAGATCTGGCCGGACGGCACCACGGAGTTCCTCCACCACTGCAGAGGACAAGGTCGCTTCGACAACGTGGAGCCCGAAGACAGATACTTGAGCAGGGCCGTCGACTGCCAAAGGGACTTTGCGCAGAGGGTGCCGGATGAGGGCATGGTGGGATTCAGTGTGCCGGGGTGGATGGAGGGAGTGAGTGGCGAGGAGTGGTAGGCGCTCAAGGAGGTAGAGCTGGAGGAGGCTGCGGTCAGACTCTTCGCGGCCCTCCAAGCAGGCACCACCGAGCTGCATTCGCAAGCCTTTTGGGACGCCTTGCCCAGCTCTCTCGTTGCGGCCGACCTGCCCGCCTCAGTCTCACTGGAGGAGCTGCCTTCCGGTCTCTTCCGTAGCGAGCTCACGAGAGGCATCTATCTTTGCCTGGGCTTCCTCAATGCCCTCCTCGCGGCGATCTACACAGGCAAGACCGGCTGGATTCCGGCTCGCCTTCTCAACCACATCATTTCTATCCTTCAGGCCATCCACGACTCTCGCACATTCTTCTACTCTACACTTACTGGGTGCGATCACTTCAAGTTCTTTCTTCTTTGGATTTGGAAGCCATCTGGAGAGAGCGAGGAGAAGGACGCCAAGACGATGGCGAGCGCACCTCAAAAGGACTTCACCGAAGGCTCGACTCCTGACGGGGAGCTCGACCTCTGCGGCGGCACCAGCAGCAGCGCGATCTCTGCCCCGTCCACCTCTTCACTCTGAGCCCACGCTAATTGAACTCTGGAGAGAAGTGACAATGTGGCTGTCTGGCTGGTACGTGCTCGCGAACTCAGAGAGACTGAGAGACTCACGGTTGCTGTATTACACGCTCACGCTCCTCTTTACCCGTCTCTTGTGCTCAGCAAACGCCGCTTCAAGCTCAGGAGGGGATTGCCGTCGCCAAGCCAACGTCCAAGGATCTTGCGTCTACACTCCGCCGCAATATCCTGCAGTCACGGTTCTCAGCATTGAACGATCCAGATCGGATGTCTCCCGTTGCGGCACTTCTTCTCTCCTCGCTGTCCATCATAAGCAAGAGACGAGGCGTTGCCGTCGCATTGTCACAGGTGATCGAACAATGTCCATCAACGCCCCAACTCAACCACCAACAACAGCAGCTGAACTCGCCGGCGGGCAGTCGCTAGCTTCCGCTCTTGCGGAGCTGGCCACTAACAGCATCCCGGGCGAGGAGGAGGAGAAGATTGAAGAAGAGGATGAAAGCGACTCGGAGTATGAAGAAGAGGAGCCAGAAGACGTTGACGGTTCCAAGGTCAAGAAGGGGCCCTACGGCGACAAGAGGGTCCACAAAGATGGCCGCTCCGAATACTTCCTCTGCTCCCGCGGTGAGCCCAGGTTCGCCAACGTCGAGCCAGGCACTCCCTCCTTCGTACGAGCAGTCCTCTGCCAGCAAGACCTGGCTGATGAGGTGTCGATGCCGGGGACGGCGGGGTTCAACGCGTGGGAGTGGATGAAGGGGGTGACGGAGGAAGAGTGGGAAGCGGTCAAGGGGATCCAGCTGGCACCGGCCGGGGTGAGGCTGATGGCAGCCCTCGACGACGGCGAGGACGTTCATCCACGGGCATTCTGAGACGCCATGCCAGAGCCTCTCCTCGCCACGGATCTGCCCTGGACCAGCATGCAGGAACTCCCCTCAGGCGTCTGGCAGAATACCAAGACTGGAGGGATTTATTTGCTGGTTGGCTTCCTGAGAGAACTTCTCAAGGCCATCTTCGTCGGCAAGACCGGCTCAATTCCCTCGCGTCATCCCTCACACCTTCTCAAGATCATGAAGGCGTCTCAAGGCCAGACCGCTAAGCAACTGGTCTACGACGTCATCTCTCGCTGTGATCACTTCAAATTTCTCCTTCTCTGGAGTCTGTCGGCGGACGAGAGGGAAGAGGGAGCGGCCAGGAAGATGGCAATGCTCGAGTGCATATTCTGCCGCCTCTTCGCCTCGTACACGAGGAAGGAGAAGTGGCTTGCCTTTGAGCGCAAGTACAGCCTTGGCTGGTTGAGAGATGAGGTGATCGGCTGCAATAGTGAGTTGCAGACCGCGGAGCATTGCAGCCTGGCGCGCGTGCACCTCGACGAAGGACAGTCCATCGACGACTCGGACGAAGGCAGAGGCCTCGCTACCTCATCGTTCTGTCCATCGGCGCCGACAACGACGACTTGCCATCCTCTGAGCCTGCGACAAACGCCAACTTCCATTCAGCACTCTGCTCTACTCGGTCCTCGCCAACTGCGACCACTTCAAGTTCTTCTTGCTCTGGAGGCCAAGTCCGGCTCGAGAGATGGGAGAGGAAGAGGAGGAGGCCAAGTTGATGGCCATGTTAGAGGGAGTCTTCTACAACGCGATGGTCAGCTTCACCAGAAAGGTGCAATGGCAGCAGAACATCTGCGCATGCGGAGTGGGAGGGCTCGACGATGGCGTGAAAGGGTGCAATGGTGAGTGTGAAGGCTATCGAGAAAGTGACTTGGCGTGCGTACTGATGCTACGCCCTCCTTCCTATTCTCGCAGGGACTTCTTGCCTCGAGATCACCCGCATGAGCCCACGTACGCTCCAGAAGGGAATACAATGATCTCTCTCTCTCTTGCCTCGAGGCGCCGCACACGCCCGGCAAGCACAGCCCAATCCTCAACGGCGACTACGGCTGCGCTCAATATCTGATGCGCAAGAGCCAGCAAGAGGCCCTGTCTGCGACGGCTGCCAAGTCTCAACTCTGGCAGTGGATCCACGAAACGGCCAGGGAAGACTGGCTGGAGATCCTTCGACGCCGCTTCGCAGCCAAGACGCTGCTGTACCAGGTCATTTATGGGCAAGAAGCCGGCCGGCCGAAGCGATGGCTGGAGCTGCGCCCTCCAAAGGCACTTAGTGATGGGCTGCGACCGGGCAAGTGGTTGCTCGGCGCTGAGTCCCTTGGGAGGGGGGCAGCATCAAACGGGTCAAGCGTGCGAGGCATCTCGAGGGCAGAGAGGTACCTCTTTGCCGACCTGAAGATCGTCGCAACGGATACCAGTGGGAAGTCGATGCCATGGACACTCGAGGGCAAGCCCGACTCAGAGCTCTCGGGCGCTGCTCGCCGGTTGATGGACCTCGTGCTCTCAACGCGACCGGAGGAGGAGCAAAGGGCACGACACCAGGCGCACGATGCCTGTGTCGCAGAGGAGCAGTCGGACCCCCTCCTCAAACACCCTGGTTTCCTTCAGCTGGCGCCCGAGTATCAGAGGGCAATCTTGGGCAAGCTAAGCTTGACGGCCAGCGGGAGCCTCTACCTGGGACCGGCCAACTCCTTCGTCATCACCCCGTCAAAGTTGCGAAAGCTCCGTGAGGTCGGCAACATGGAGCCTAGGAGCTCGACACTCGCCCGACTTCTTTGCAGGCGCCCAGAGGACGCCATTGAGGGCGAAGCCAACTTCGTACACACTTACCCTATGTTTCCATCCACTCCGCGTCCGGCGCTGAAACCTGACGGCCGAGGGACCAACAGCACACGCCGCTCAGGGTCGAGCCGTCCAGCGCCCGCCCGTCAAGCCTAGTGACCTACGCTTACACGCAACATGCCCGCCTTCGTAGGCGATACAAAGCGACCTCAAAGCTCCTCGCCACCCGGCTCAGCTGCCGCCGAGCTCAGCGCATCTGCACCCCATCGTGCTCAGCACTACGCCCTCTCACCCAAGCTCCTCAAGGGCGACGAGATGGACCCAGGAAGCGAAGAGGATGATGCCACCTTGACACTCGCGGCGGAGTCATCTCTGCAAGACGCTGAGGAAGAGGAGATGGACGATGAGGATGAGGACAGTGACCTCGAGGAGGACTACGAGGAGATTGGTTAAGGCGAGGATGGGGCCATCATCAAGAAGGGACCCTTCGGCGATAGGAAGGTCTTCCCAGACGGCAGAGTAGGTCCTGCTTGGGAGGGGTCCACCACGCTGCGAGAGTGTCACCGAAGACACCTCTCACTTCCACCGAGGCGTGCTGTGCCAGACAGACTTCGCTCAGGGAGTTTTGGCGAGGATTAGACGGGGTTGAACGTCCCTCAGTGGATGAGGGACATCAGCAACCAAGAGTGGAAAGCCTTGCTGGACGTGCAGCTGGAGCCGGCAGGTCTCAAGCTGATGGAGGCGCTAGACAACGGCGTCGACATCCGGGCCCAAGCCTTCTGGGATGGCCTTCCCGATCCTGTGGTTGCGCTAGACTTGCCTTGGTCGGCCGTGGAGCTCCCTTCTGGTTGCTGGGTAGACTCCAAAACAGGTGGCATCTACCTCGCCGTCGGCTTCCTGGCAGCAATTCTCGCAGCCATTTACGTCGGCAAATCGAGCTACGTCCCCTCGCGTCTGGCCTCCCACCTCATCTAGATTGTCGATAGCGCCAGTAGCGATTCTCCCTCGCCGACTCTCCTCTATCAGACTCTCGCTGGCTGCCAGCACTTCAAACTTTTTCTTTAGTGAAAGCCGCGAGAGGGACAAAGCGAGGCGGAGGCAAGCAACACGATGGCAATGCTGGAGAGTGTGTTTTGCGGAATCATGGACAGCTTCGTCGAGGAAGCAGGCGTGGCTGGACTTGGGGGAGGAGTATGGGTTGGGAAATGCGCTGAAAGACAGCGTGATCGGGTGCAATGGTGAGTACAAGACTGTGCGCAATTCGTGGGGAAAGGTCGGATGAAAGAGAAACGGAAGCTCAGTGGAGGCGGGCTACACGCCGTCGCGCGCATAGAGAGACCACTCAGACCAGAGAAGCGAGCGCAGACTGACGCCCGATGTCCATCGCGCTCGTCAGCTACGCCTTGCCTGGAAGCGCCGGAGAAGCCGCACGAGGGCCAGACCATCCTCAAACCGGAGTACCATGCCGCTTGGTGCCACATGCGCAGGAACCAGCGAGCCCTGGGCGTAGCGCAGGCATGTGGACGCAGCAACGAGGCAAGGATGCTGGAGGGGGTCATCGTCGACGCGAAGGAGCAATGGCTAGCCATCTTGCTGCAACTCTTCGGCAGCGGCAGGCTCCTCTACCTGCTCATGCTTGCCTCGTCGGGTCAAGCCAAGATGTGGTTGGGCATGCACCCGCCAATAGCGCTGACGCAGGGGCTTGGTATGGTGGTGTGGGTGCTCAGCGTCGAAGACGACGGGAAAGGGATCGCGTCGACCGAGTCGAGCGTGCGCGGGATGTCGATGGCAATTCGACACCGCTTCGGAGGCATCAGGATCGTCGCAACTGCAGGAGGCGAAGCAATGACTTGGACCTTCGACGGCAACCCTGACGGCTCATTGACCGGTGCTCCTCGACGGATGATGGAGCTCGCACTTTCGACGAGGCCGAAGGAGGAGCAAGATGCTCGCGACGAGGCGTATAAAGATTGCCTTGCTGCAGAGGCATTGGAGACCCTTAAGCCCGGAGTCGATCCCGAAAAGAAGTCATGGGCAAGATTCGCATCACCGGCAAAGAGGTCCTGCCGTTCGGGTCGCAGAAGTAATCCAGGCTCCCCTTGACATGATCTCAGAGCAGCAGTGGTCCGCCAACCTGATCACTACATCCCCACGTCCCCTCCGGCTGCGAGCGAATTGAGTCCTTCCTTTTAGTGGAGCCGGAAGTGAGAGCAACGAGGAGGCGGCAAAGGTGATGGCGATGCTCGGAAGGTGAAGGGCAAGAATGGCTGGCTGGAGTGGGGGCGATACTACGCGCTCGGTGGGCTGGATGACGGCGTCAAAGGCTGCAACGGTGAGTGTGACGCGGCGCTATCGACTAGCATGAGCCAGCGCGCGTACTGATGCTGCCGCCCTTCCCCCGCAGCCACGCCTTGCCTCGAGGGACCCACGAAGCCCCTCGACTGGCATGTCATCACCAATGCCGACTATCGCTGCGCCCGCTACCAGATGCTGAGCTGCCAGCGAGCGCTTCAGAGTGCGAGGGAGCAGGGAGGCGCGGTCAGGCTCTGGGAGGAGCTCCTGGAAGAGGCAACGGAGCAATGGCTGGGGATCCTGCGTCGTCGCTTGGCAGGCAACACCCTCCTCTACCAGGCCGTTTGCCGCTCTTCTGGGTCGTGGAGGAGGTGGCTGCAGGTCTGCCCTCCCCTGCGGGTAGTCGAGGAGCTGGGGGAAGAGTCGGAGGAGGACGAGGTGTGGCGGCTCGTGGTGGAGAGTGACGGGTTGCGGGCGGCATCGAAGGAGTCGAGCGTCCGAGCAATGACGAGGGCCCAAAGGCACCTCTACGGCGGCCTCAGGATCCTCGCCTCCACCAGCAAGAAGACGGCTCTCTGGACCGTCGACGGAAATGCTGCGGACGGTCTCTCTGGCGCCTCGCTCCACTTCATGGAGCTGGTACTGTCAACGAGGCCCGCTGAGGAGCAAGCCGCGAGGAGGCAGGCCGAGAAGGATTGCCTGGCCCAGGAGGAAGCAGAGGCAGAGGAGTTGGGGCCCGCGCTCGAGCAGCTTGCGCCGCCCAAGTACAAGAGGGGAGTACTGGGCGGCATCACGGTCTCTTCGACTGGCGGTGTGTGGCTGGGGCCGAAGACGCACGTGAACATCTCACCAACAAAGGCCAAACTGCTGCGAGACATCTCGCACATGCAAGAGGGCGAGTCGGTGCCTGCGTGGGTCCGCAGGGTATGGACGCAGGATGATGGGGAGGACAACTTTGTGGGCGGGAGGTGCAAGGCGTGGTGGACGTTTGAGATCCTGCCAGTGGGGTCTCACGAGTGGGTCAGGGTTCCCTTCACTATTTTGACGGACAACTCGCCCCTGCGGGACCCAAACGAGCTCCTCGCCATGATGATGGAGATCGAGAGGGTGGGTCTGGCTAGGAGGACGATGACTATGGATAAAGCAAGATGATCCGCACAAAGTCATCAACGTAGCGTCTTCTACGCGTACGCCTCACCTAGCGCGGCTTCCTTACCAGCTCAGCAAGTCGACGCCCAAACCTGGCTGGGCAGGTGAAGGAGTTCGATTCTATTCGCGACGAGCCAGAAATCTCACCGGTCCAAACAGCACCACCGGCGTTGTGCCTTTATCGCCCACCAGGAGCAGCAGCGCAGTCAGTTTCACGGAGACGCCCTCTCCAGCTAACGGGGCAGCAAACCTACGAGATGCGGACGTGCGACTTAAGCTCTCTCGACCGCAAGCTTGCGAAACAAACTCTTCTGTAGCCGATAGAAGGCTACGCCACCACCCATTCGATGCAAGACGCCAGACTGTCTCCTCTCACTTATGGAGAGATGCATCGCCGCGCTCCAGATCGCTCAGCATAGCAAGGAGGAGACGGAGGACAGATGTGTGCAAGACACTGCTCCAGCTGAGATTCAAGACCGCCTTCTTTCGCAGCATGCACAAAGATCAGTGACACCTGGTCGGCCGCGCCCACCACCCTAGCCCCACCCTCTCGGCAGCAACGGGCTTGTCACCAAACTTCACTGTGGCCCGGACACTTCACCTGCTCTTGCGCAAAGTCTTCGCTCATCGTCCAGCTTCCTGAGCACATCGTCAAGCGCGGACATCTCTTCTGCGAGATGAGGCTATTCCGGCCGTACGCCCTGGGCCATTGACTCCTGCGCAGTACGCTCCTCTCCAAAGTCGCCTGGCCACCCCATCGTCGCCGCGACGACTCCGACGATCCAGGCATCGGTCTGAAGCTCAGCTATTTTTGGCCCTCAGCGCATTCCTCTCGAGGCCTATGTGTTCGCGCATGAGACACCATCCCGTCATTCCTGCTTGCGCGCTCCTTCAGCCTGACTTCACCGAGACGCTCGAGCGCGCAGAGTGGGGAGAAGGCGGCAACGCTTGATGGCAAGCCAATGGACATGCTTCGCCGGCAAGGATCGTGCTGACAAGCGGTGCAGCGTGGCGACGAGATGGTCACGACAAACGCGAAGGAGCAAATGGCTTGGCAGGTCCATGAGAGCCATTGATGATAGCAGGACGAAGTCGTGAGCGATACCGGGAGAAGAGAGTAATCTGGGCTGGAGGCGGTATGCTGAGATCAAGATGAGATCCACTCTCAATGCCAACGATGATTTCAGCCTCCTCCGTTTTGCTATCCTCATTCGCAGTGCCGCCTTGGTCTCGCGGCGTGCTCACGCTCAATCCCTGAACTTGCTCTTTCTAGCCAGCGAAGGCACGACTGCGGTGGAGAATGGCTGGCCCACCGTCTTCTGTGCGCTACATTCAGCTCGAGCGAGAGCGTCGACGCAGTCGCTTTGCAGTCAGCGAAAATTGCGAGCTCGATTCGATTGCAGCACACCACTCCAGTCACATGTCCGCATCCAATTCGAGTCGATCATTCACGGAGATACATCCGTATGTCCCCTGTCGCCGTCTCTGACAACCGATGAGCGAGCCACTAGTGATCCTGCAGTGCGAGAGGAGGGGACGAAGAAGCGTGTCAGTGCCTTTGTCATCGTATCGCTTGAGGGAATTCACGGCTCCCTCGTTTCCTCCTTCGCCGGCCTTGCATGCTTCTCGCCTGGCTCGCCGGCATCGCGATGGGCGACTGCGGCTCCCCTGCCCTCTCTGCGCGACATCAGATAGGGGTGAAAGACATTTTGATGGTTGCTTTGTAGTCACGGTGATTCCCTGTGGGAAATCTCATATGGAACTATGCTTTGTTGTTGATGTGACTCATCTTGTTCGTAGGCGCGAGGAGCGAGAAGTCGGCCCACCAGGAGGCTGAGGTGCCAGAGAGGTAAAGCGCAGCGAGGAGGCGAGGAAGGGCCTGTCCGACGAGGATGCGGAAACGTTGCAAAGCTGGTACTCACCCTGTGATGGCCCAGTCTGCCCCCACGTCGCCTTTTGACATCATGCACGACGACGACTAGGGTAGACTGGTGGATAGAAGAGAGAGGTCAGGAAATGTCGAACGTTGCGAAAAGGGCGTGGCCAGCCTGGACAGGCCGGCGTCGGCCTTCCGTTCCGTCCAGTTGCGCTTACCAAGCACGGTAAAGTCCCCCTTGAGGCACCCTGTGAGGTCTGTGACGCTCGGAAGCAGAACCGTTCTCTCAGTCTGCGTCAGTCAGAAGGGCAGGGCCAAGGAGTCCGAGCTTCGAGCTGCAAAGTGCGCGACGGTTTACTTGAGGGCTCGCTCCGCTTTCGTGAGTGATCGGGGATCGACGAGCCTGACGGCGCCGGGCGGCCGGGCCACGTGGTTGCCGAGCTGAGAAATCGGGTTCGGACGGAATCTGCCTCTTCATTCTCTCCTCTCACCAATCATCCCTCTGATCCCCATTCTTCGGCCATCGCCACCAACATAACTCATTCCACAAAGCTTCACCGCCAACACCGACAGCTAGCTTCACGTCTACAAAAATGGGATTCCAAGACGGGGACACTAAGAAAGGAAAGTAAAAATTCTAGGCTATCGCACCATCTCATGTTTCGTCACTAACCAACTCCTCCACCCTTCCCCATCCTCTATACCCCTTCAATCCCCTCGTAGGAGCTGGTTTGTTCAAAACGCGTTGTGCACAATGCCATACTCTTGAATCCGGAGGACCTAATAAGGGTGAGTTGTAGCATCGGTATTGGTAGCTGAAGGAGGAGGTGTGGGTGGCGTGGAGTGACGCGGCGCGGCGCCAGATGCTGCGATGGTAGTGAGGGCCGCTGGCAGCGAGTGGCGGGGCGAGAGGCACTGTGGAGGCAGACAGTATGCTTCCTGCTCCTTTGTGGGCCAGGCGCTGCCCTCTGAACATCATCACACTCGTCGCCACCATCGCCAGGCACCCACCTCTCGAGGTCCGAGCCAGTCCCCCTTCCCCACCTTCTTCCCCTCTTGCCCCTGTCTTCGAGCAGACTCGGAGCAGTTGTGCAGCACTCTTGCCGCACTCTTGCCGTTCCGCACTTCTGCCGCACTCTTGACCACGCCTCCCGCGAGAGCAAGCCCTTGCTGACAACGCGACTCCCGCTTCTCTCGCGCCGCAGTTGGACCCAATCTTCATGGTCTTTTTGGACGAAAGAGTGGGCAAGTAGAAGGGTTCTCTTACACCGCTGCGAACGTGAACAAGGGAGTCACTTGGGATGAATCGACTCTCTTTGACTATCTCGAGAACCCGAAGAAGTACATCCCCGGTACCAAGATGGCCTTGTGCGTCTGACCGGCCCGAATCGAGCTGCTCGCGGCTGAGGGTCTTCACGAGTGCTTACGCCCTTTCCCTTGTTCGCTATCCTCTCTACTTGACCATCGTCCTCGTCATCATCAGCGCTGGACTCAAAAAAGAAAAGGACAGGCGAGTTGTTGCACGTACTTGTTGCACGCCTTTCGATCCTTGCTGACCTCCCTCGTACACCTTCTGCCAGGAATGACCTGATTACCTTCCTGCGAGAGCAAACGAAGTAGACGGTTGACGACTCGAGAGCCACAGCGCATCCATCAAGAAGGCCGAATCAGGCTTCCTTGGTCGCTACTACTTGGTCTACTGGTCGCGTCTGTCCACCCCGCCCTCAAGCCCTCTCTACTTCCTCCTTCAGCCCCCTCCACTCCATTCTGCTGTCTTCTCTGCAGCAACGTGGCTCTCTCCATAGATCTCCAAGAATTTGGTGCGACAAGTCAGTCAGCGGCTCGCCCATGGCCGTCTACGGTGCGCCACGGAGCATGGGAGCCTTACCCCCTTGCTCCTCTATCTGATGTCGTCGTCACCCCTCACCACTCTCTGTACGCCCGCTCTATAAAGATTGAATAAAAGCATCCATCATCATTTCATCATAAGTGATTAGCGTGGCTGGCGAGTGATACGCTGACTATGGTCTGAGCATGTCGAAGCAGCAAGACGCGGAGAAGGAGCGAGGTCCGGCCGACGCGTCGCAGCCTGCCCCCAGCAGTTGCCTTCTTTGTCCCGAGCCACCACGATGCTTGCGTCATTAAAACGAACGTCTTGTCCTTGGTATCGGCCTCGAGCCCCTTTCGTGCGCTCGATTCAGTCCTAATCGCTCCCGCCTCACGCGAAGGCTCCTGGAAGGAACAACTCAAACGTCTTCCGCGCTCCTTATCTGATGCTGACAAATTGAGGAAACGCAGGCGGCGCCAATAATCTGCTCGATTGGTCCTGGATTCCTCGCTACTCGCCTGCAACATCCTCCGTCAATTTCCCGCCTAATGTGAAACGAGCATCGTCATCATCTGCACGCCATAGTGTAGCACATCAAGCATCTGCCCTTACATCTTCGGCTCGACTTTCGGGCGCCAGACACAGAGAAGTCCACCGAAAGACGATCAAGTCTATGGCCAGGCGCTATGTCAAGGCGAGATGATCCAGACCGCATCGTCCTGGACTATGGCGACTGTACCTTACGCAGGAGTGACATCGAGGTGAACGGTCACGCATTACAGGCGAGCGACTGCTGCTTCAGCGGCTAAACGATTCTTCTGTTGCTTGACAGACTGTTGCTGAAGGTCAATGGATCAACGATGCCGTCATCTCCTTTTATTATGAGCTGCTTACTTCCCAGCTCAAAAGTGAAGGATCAGAAGGGGTGATTACATGTACTTTCTGGCAGCCGCCAGCGGTCGAGATCCTGTGTAGCCTGGCGAAGGAAGAGCGTGAGTTTGGTGGCAGGCAGGACAATCAGCTACCGTAGCTCATCCGTGAAGCTCTGTGCCTTAGTCGGTCCACAAAGCTCTCCTCTCTTCCCATCAGACTTAAGCAAAGACGCATGCATCGTCTTGCCTATCAGTGATCGCTACGATGTGGCCCTCAAAGACAACGATGGAGGCCGTGTTGTGGGCACGCATTGGTCTCTCCTCGTCGTCAGGCGACTGGATAATCCGAATGAAGATGGAGCAACGAGGTGGATCAGCACGCACTACGACTCTTCAATGCCTTCAAGAAATGTTTCTGCGGCAAGGGAGGTGTCACGGCGTTTGCAACTGCTTGCTGGGGAGGACATTGGAAGACGAGAAGCGGACGTTTCGGAGAATGCCAGTCTTCCCCGGCAAGAAGGAGGTGAGGCGCTCAGGATCAATGCAAGGCCAAAGGACTGGATGCTGACCAATTGTAACCCTCTCAGCATCTGACTGCGGCCTCTACCCACTGCTCATAGCAGACGGAATCGCTCGCCATCAACAGGCTCTCTATGGAAGCGACAAGACCAACTTCTCCTTGACAGCACCGCAAGATCTCTTCGACGAGAGCATCAGGCAATTGACGCCCTCGTTGGTGCGCAGCTTTCGTCTGTCGCTGTATGCTTGGCTACTGCGGTGGGCTTCAGAGGAAGACAAGGGAGAAACAAAAGCGGCTTCAGGTGCCTTTGAACACATCGAGCAGGCCCCCGAGCATATACCAAGACACTTCCCTTGACAGCAGAGCGAAGCAGGCTCAAAATCAGCCAAAGGCTGGGTGGACTCACTACGATCTTCTCTATACCGCGGGATTAACAGGCCACAGTAAGATCCATTGCTCTGCTCTCGTTCGACATGCGTGGCCTTGCCGCTATATCTACGGTCAGCCTGTTACTCTTGGGCAAGGCTTCTGACACGACTCGACAAAGATCGTCGGCGAGTGTAGCCCCGCGAGGAGTTGGCTTCCCCTCAAGCCAAGACGTCGCCTTGCCCAGCAGCTCGTCAGCCAGGTGATCGGGAGGTGTGAGGTTGGACGCTTCTGCGCATATAGCAATCGCCACGTCGAGTGGCCCCTCTGTCTCGGCGTTTGTCGAGGCATTGAGCAGCTGTCGTTGGGAGCAGGGCTCCGAAACTGCCCTGTCTGACCTCCCACCCACCTCAACGATGGTCTTCCATACGACGCCCGATCCTACGACTGTCATGATGCCTCCCATTGTGTTCCTCAATCCGAGCCTCTCCGCCTTGGCTCTCCCTTCCAGAGTCATAGCCAGGCAGAGGCAGAGCAGCAGGGTTGTCCAGCGCGGGTTGACTACGACGAGGCGGAGCGAGAGGAGAAGCGAGAGGTAGTGTAGGAGCGTTGCTAGGGAGGGGCTCGTTGAGAGCAGCCAAAGAAGGAGCTGCTGTGGAGTGTTGGCGCGAGGCTGGGGAGATGCGAGGTAATGGGAGCTAGGCGGGGTCGAGGCGCGTGAGGAGGGCGCGGAGGAGAAGGACGTCTCTCGACGCGCGGGATAGCGTCGCATGGTCAAGTGAGGTTCATGGTCGTGGTAGGGAAAGAAAGGGATGGCAAGGTCTCGCCGGACTCAGCACATGTCACTCGCCGTGGCAACGTGCGTCCGGTGTCACACGATGTGTGTGACCTTTTGTGCGAGGGAGATCTGTGGAGGGCGGGGAGTCGTGCGGGGAATACATTGCTCGACTCGCAGACATTCGAAGATCTGTTAGAACGATGATGCCGAGCCTTCGGCATGGTAAGCAGACAAGCTGGTGCTCGACAAGAGTGGCCGGACGTGGCCCTCTTGGTCGCTCCACCCGGTCCACCTTTCTCGCTCGCTCGGTCCCTCGGTCCGCCCTGCCGCTGTCCGCCCCACTCTTCGCTCAGACCGAGCGCTGAGCCCAGATCCAACACTTCTCTCTTCCCTAACCATCACTTCCATTACATCGCAATGCCACCCAAGAGCAAGGCCAAGTCGGGCTCGTCCGCTCCCCGCGAGCAGCCACTCGCTCTGCGCGGATACCTCATCGCCTTCAACCTCGTTTCCTTCTTTGGATGGGTCCTCATTCTCTCCACCCTCGTCAAGCACTTGGCAGTCGGAGCCCAGATGCCTTCCTACCCCATCGTGTTTTCGTCCAAGGTCCTCGCCCGCTTCAGACCGCTGCGCGTCTTCCTCACCAGCACGTATGCTCACGTTCCCGAGCCCCTGGGCGAGCTGCTCCGCCGTGCTTCGACGACGATGATGTCGCTCGGGTCGCTCGTGGCATTTGTGCAGAGCCTGGCCATCTTGGAGGTCGTTCACGCCGCGTTGGGATGGGTGCGGTCTCCCGTGCCTACGACGGCAATTCAAGTCGCTTCGCGCCTTTTCATGGTCTGGGGAGTCTCGGAGCGTTTCGCTGCCGCTAGTGGGAGCCCGTGGTATGCTAGCATGGTGTTGGCATGGAGCGTTACGGAGAGTGTGCGATATCCGTTTTACGCCAACGCATTGATGGGGCAGGAGAGCGAGGGGCTGCTTTGGGCAAGGTGAGCGCGCGCGTGCAAGGATGAAGTGACAGCTGGCCTCTCGCGCTGACATCGTGCCCCCCGCCCGCCCAGGTACACCCTCTTCTACATCCTCTACCCCCTCGGAGCAGGCAGCGAAGCGATGCTCATCTTCTCGACTCTCCCGTCCAACCTCCCGCCCAAGGGCTGGGATCTGCGCTCTTACGTCTTCCTCGCTCTGTTCACCATCTGGTGGCCCGGACTCTACGTCATGTACACGCACATGATGAAGCAGAGGAAGAAGGCCATTGGCAAGGGATTCTGGGGCGACAAGCGTGCGCATGAGAAGGCGGAGAAGAGGAGGGAGCAGGTGCAAAAGGCGGCGAGGGACGTGCAGAAGAAGAGCAAGTGAGGGTGTGGGGCGAGCGACGGGTAATCTGCAATGCGACTTCAATTCGCGCACGCCTGCAAAGCTCTGACCGGGTCCCAAGCCCTGTAGAGCTTCATCATCCTGACCTCCGTCCTGTTCTCTGCGCCCGGCAGCTTGACCACCTGCGTCGTCACACCTTCCACCCCCTCCGCTCCTTCAATATACAATGCCCACCGCGGCACGTCCTTGGCGTCCGCGTTCCCCTCGCCCGCCTCCACGCCATTGATCAGCGCATCGATGAGCAGGAGTAGTCGGACGCGCGTGACCCCCTCCCTCTTCAGCAACGCAGGCTTGGCCTCGTCCGCAAACCACTTCGCTACCTCTGCCTCCGACTGCTCCGCATGAAAGCCTGTGACCTCTACGCGACACGCCTCCTCCTCGATCTGCTCCTTAGGCTGCGGCCTCACGTCGCCACGCGGTTCCTTTGAAGCTCGCGAATCGCCCATCGTCTTGTATATCCGGCGGTCCAGCACACCCAGCCTCTTGACCAAATCCGCCTCCCTCGGGCTGCGATTCGAGCGCAGGGCAGTGTATCTCGCGTCGTTGTACAAGGCGTTGGAGCTGATGGTGTAGGCGGCGCCCCACTCGGCCTGGAATGCGGGAGATGCCGTGGCTGAGGGGGAGGTAAGCGTGGAGCACGAATATCTCGCTGCTGACCGGAATTCAGGAAAGCCCCGCGCACCTACACGCAGGGGTACGTGTTCCTCGTCGTACCACTCGTGGAACTCGCTTTGCGTGGCCTGCGTGCCCGGGGAGGAGAAGACGAGGAGCAAGCCCGAGTCGGCCGCGAGATACGGCGACGAGGACGTGTCAGGAGCTGCGGCTGGGCTGAAGAGGCGGGAGAGAATGTCCGCCAGAGCCTCCGCACTGGGCGTCTCTTTGAGCGCCTCGAGATGCTGGGCTTCCCGATCTTGAATACCGCGCCAGCTCTTCGTCGGCTCCGCACTCGGCCCAGCTCCAGGCTGATCAAAGTCCTGCACCTTGACTCCACTCGTCACTCGCATCGCCTCGCACGATTCGAGAGTGATTGGCGAGGCCACCCCGCCCGCAGCGACATCCACCACTGCACGCTTCGAAGAGTAGACGCGCAATTGCCTGCAAGCCTCGACGACCAGCAGCGAGTCCTCGAGTCGCGTGAGCATCAGGCTTCCGTCTATGCGCGGGAGGAGGACGGCGCAGCGCTTGAGGTTAGTGGCCGTGAGGGCTACGATGTGCGGGCGATCTCCGCGCAAGTCGACGATGCAGTCCGTGAGGTGTGAGAGGGACAACGAGAGCGGCGCATCCTGCGAGCTCGCGGCCTTGGCCAGGTCCTTGAAGGTGATCGTGCGGTTTGTCTGGAGAGTGACTTGGATGCCGCCTGCCGTCTCGCCTTGCTCGAGGGGTGGCGAAGGAGCGGGCGACATGGCGAGGTTGTACGAGGAAGATGCGCTGCCTTCTGACGTTGCCGCCTCTGCCTTGGCGGCCGTCCTTCGAAAGGAGAAGCGCGAGGATGAGGCTGCGGGTTGGAGCGTGGACCTGCGTGAGATGACCTGGCTCTGTAGTCGGGCAAGGCGCTGATAGCGGGGAAGAGACGATGAGCCGCGAGGCTATATGCTACGTCTCCGCGCCGCCTGCTCACCCGCTCGTACTGCTCGCGATCACGCTTCGTAAGTCCAGCTTCTCGGTCCCTTTCTTGTAGCGTGGCACGAGCGTCGATCACGGCTTGTAGCGCTTCGTCGAGATCGCTGGGCTGAGCAGCCGCTTGTATGCGCTGGTCGATACCGTCCAAGACGGGGGCGAAGAAGGTATGAAATGCCGTCGCCTGCTCAGCGGCCGTGGCCATGATGGAATCGTTGGCGTGGAGCAGGAAGAAGGCCGAGAGGCGCGGCGAGAAGCGCAGCGAGTGGGCACGGCAAACGCGGAGAGCGACCACTCGCAAAGCGTCGCGTGGCTCTTCCCGCCCTGTTGGACTCGCGTCGTGCATCCAGAGGTAGACTGGCGCTCGCTCAGCTCTTTCGTTCCTACTCCACACTCTGATCCTCGCGGCCATGTCGCTGCAACGCACCTTGACGACGTTCATCGTCGACATTTCGCCGACGATGGGCAGGCAGAGGACCATCATCGAGGACGTCGTCACACCAGAGGGGGAGGTTCTGCAAAAGGAGAGGACGATGAGCAACGTCGAGTGGTGTCTCGAGTTCGTCAATCGCAAGACGCAGGCCATTGTGGGTCCGCCGAGCGAGGTAGAATAGCGCTTATCCTTGACAGCCAAGACTGATCGCCATTGCCTTCGCCCTCGCACCGCCCTCACGCCGCCCTCGCGCCGTCCCCGCCCCGCGCCCGCAGATGTTCTCCAAGCTCAAGACGGCGACCATGAGCATCGTCACATTCGGCTCCCCCCGCACCAACAACGGCATCGTAGACAAGAATCCCGAAATCGAAGGCTATCGCGGCGTGGACGAGCTGACGGGGATCGGACAGCCCACCGTAGCTACGCTCGATCTGCTCGCCTCTTTGCGAGCCGTGCGCGAGGATGAGGGAGGGGAGCCGCCCGATCCGCTGGACGCCCTCATCTGCGCGCTCGATACCATGTCGGACAAGTCGCGCGGAGGCGTCGCGCCCACGGCCAAGAGTTGGAGAAAGACAATCTACTTGATCACGGATGGGAGCTATCAGATGAATCGCGACTCGACGGAGGCCATCGCTGAGCGTATCAAGGAGGACAACGTCAGCTTGCGCGTGATTGGTGTGGACTTTGACGACGAGGAGTACGGGTTCAAGGAGGTGCGACGCGAGCGCAGAGAGTGCGGGACTCCCAATGAGCGCTAATCATCTGCCCCCCTGCACACGCGCGCTTCCCCTGCACACCCGCGCAGGAAGACAAAGACCCCGTCAAGGCGGACAACGAAGCTTGGTGGCACGAATGGCTCGCTACCCTCCCCAACGCCCGCATTGCAACAGCCGCTCACGCCCTCGAGCAAGCCACTCTCCCCACCGTCTCGCTCAAGAGCTCTACGCCTTACAATACCCGTCTCACCTTTGGCGACCGCGCCCACGCCCTTGACAGCGAAGAGGTGCTAGGCATACCCGTCAAGATGTACAAGCTCACCTCGCGCGCTCTTCCCATGTCCAGACGACCGATCAGCAAGTTTGCAGAGGAGGCAGAGAAGCAGCGCAGAGCAGCGCGCAGCGCGAATGGTGGCGGCGGCGGCGGCGGCGGCGGCGGTTCACCCAACATTCTTCACCCGCCCAACATCGCTCCCACCGCTACGCCCTCGATTGCCATGATCGACGCCTCGAGCCTCGGCGCTGATGCATTTGGAATCGAGAATCGCAAGGTACACTTTCTCGCCGACCAAGTCAAGCAGCTGGGCACGGAAAACGCCACGGCGCTGCCAGAGGGCGCCGAGCATCACTTTGGCAAGGCCTTTCGACTGGGCGCAAGCTTGATCCCGATCACGCCGGATCTCGACGTCAAGTGGCAGAGCGAGCAGGGTGCGTGTGGCGTGGCTTCGCAGGATTGGTGCGCGCGTGGACTGACCCTTATCCTCCACGCCACGCGCAGGCCTCGAGATCATCAACTTCGTCAAGCACTCGACGTTGCGCCGCCATTACCTCCTCGGCGAAATCTCCAACGTCTTCGCAGACGACAAGAATGTTCAAGCGCAATGCACGATGAGCGCCATGGTCAAGGCCATGCGACAGCAGGACAAGGTGGCGATCGTTCGCTTCGTCAGGCGCGACAATGCCGAGCCCAAGATCGGAATCCTCTTCCCGGTCGAGCGAGTCGAGGGGGAGACGCGAGCCGAGTACTTCCACTTCGCAGAGGCGCCCTTCAGCGAGGTGCGTATGAGCGGCGTCGCGGCGCCTGGCGCGCCAAACACTGACCCAGCTACACACCTCGCCAGGACCTGAAACGCTACCTCTTCAAACCTCTCACGCGCGCCATCAACCTCGAAGGCCAAGAGCTCGAGAAGCACTCTGTGCTGCCCACCGATCGCATGGTAGCCGCCATGGACCGCCTCGTAGACAGTATGGATCTCATGCACGCCTTCAAAGACGAAGAGGGTCAAGACCAGCCGTGGTTTGCCGTAGAAGACTCATTCAACCCGGGCATCCACCGAATGAAGGAGGCCGTCGCGTTTCGCTGTCTGCGCCGCCAATCTGACGGCAGCAACACGCGCGACATCCCTCGCCCGCATTGGGAGGTGGACAAGTTTCTCGATCGACCGCTCGAGGTCAAGGAGAAGAGTGCTGGCCCGGCAGAGGAGTGCAAGCGACTGTTCAGGATTCACAACGTGCCAGAGGTCAGGGCAAAGGGGCGCGCGCTGTTCAGCAAGCGACGCAATGGAAATCGGGTCATGGGGGCGCGAGTCGATGCCGGAGAGCGGGTGGGAGAGGAGACCGAGCTGGACCTGTCTCTCGCTGAGGATCATGGCGAGTCTTCGAAGCGATTGAAGGACGCGAGCGGGCAGGCAGTCGCTGCTGCACCACCCGAGGACAGCGACAGTGAGGAGGAGATGATCAGCAGCGCTAGGCGCGCGCCCGCCGCAGAAAGCCCCGAGGCGTACCGCATCGACGACGACGACGACGACCAGGCGCGCCCCGTTCGCCTGATCCCCTCAGACCCAGTCACTTCGTTCAACGCATATCTCGAAGACGTTCAACAGGATACGGCTGCCGTACTCCGTGCCCTCGAGGTGCTCATCGTCTCCAAGCTCATCGCTGAAAGGAACGACGAATTGGCTGTGGAGGCATTGAAAGCGGGTCGCAAGGCGGCTTCGGAATACGACGAGGCGAGGCAGTGGAATTGGTTCGTCGCAAGGCTGAAGGGTACGAGTGGGCAGGGGGCGGACGCCGAGCACGACGTTGACGGCGCTGTCAGCAAAGCTCTCCGCGCTGTGGACAGCGAGACGGTACGCGCCTTTTGGGAGACGCACTGCAAGGGAAAGATGGAGGTTGCGGGGATGATTACGCGCGAGGAGGACGAAGGTGGGAGGAGTGAGGTCACCGCCGAGGAGGCGAGGAACTTTGTTGAGTGAGAGAGGCGGGGTTATGGGTCTTTTCATCTTTATATCCCCATGAGCATCATCTTTGTCACCAACGAGCTGGGCACGTCGTCCGCCTACCCGCCCTTATGCCGGCCCGCAAACGCAAGGCGGGTAGGATGTTGATTGCCACGTAGCTTGCCTGCACGCGCGAGGGCGGATGCGCAGCCAAACATCCATCCTCTCCATCCGACCTCTCCATCCCCCATTTGCTCACGACCTCGACCAGCCAAATTTCCTCCCATTGAACTCTCCCTCATCCACTCGCCCCCATCATCGCATCGGCACGCCAGCTACGCTGCTGGCGATGGTGTCAGGTACACCTCGCGCGTGTAGCATATACCGCCGCGACAGCCGAGCATCCACTCGTAGCTACAGCACCTGAGCTTTGTAGCTCCTTCGGCAATTCTGTCGCGCTGGTCGTCATCATCAACCTCGCAAGACAATCAGCTCGCAAGACACTCTCGCTTCTCTCACTTGTCCCACATGCTCGCCCGCGTGCAGGGGATTACGCGCAAGACAAGATCATTCTCGATCTCACCATCATCATCACTGCCACTCGCCGCTATCAAAGCACGAGATTCACCTCCGCCACCTCTCACGCTCCTGCGCGCACTGCAGCCAGCAGGCAAGACAGTTCGCTCTGGCTGCATTCAGCCGCCTTCGCGTCACCGTAGAGGTACGCGTTGACCTGGCGCTGCGCTCACGTTCGCGCCTATCTCTCTCTCTTCTTCAAGGCTGATGGCAGCGGGCAAGACATCTGCTCGTCCTACCCAAGTCATCCTCGACTTCAGACCTGTCAAGTGGAAGCACGTTGATTCAAAGTGATAAATCAAGAGGGAGGAAGCTGAAGGAGACACACACTCGACTCATAGGCACCATCTGCCTGCTATCAGTTCAACTGCCCGAAGAGGGTGCCTACGGGGATGCCGACGATGACCGGTAAGGTCAAGAGGCTACAGGCCCGGCTCGAGTCGCAGGAGCAAGCGGCACCGGGTGGAGCCCGACTTGTCGCTGTAACACCTCGACGAGAGCCCCGCCAGCACTCTGAGGGCGCTCACGCTGGAGCGGGTTGGCAACGTCAGAACATGTCTCCGTTCAATGTTGCCCATCACCGGATCATACGGCGAGCAGGCGCGGTGATGGAGCTCGTCAATCTTTCCCTTCTGCGCACGGTTATGGAGATCACCGCTCTGTCGTCTGGAGACGCCGTGGCTGACGTTGCCCGCGTCACTGCGACCTCTGCGGAGTCGATCGGCCAATTGCGCCAATTTGAAGACTGACCGGGCGGCAGCAGAGGACCGACTGGACATACGGTCGAGACAACGGGCATTGTCTCAAGCTCGTTCAACAGGTCTCGGATGAACGGGCTGCCGTTGGTCCACGCGCTCTGCCTGATGCCTGTTGCAGCCAACGCTTCTTCACCTCCCGGCGCTTCCATCCCCAACACGGTCCAACGACATCCTCTGCTGCTGCAGCTCGAAGAGCGAATCAATGCTCTCACTCCTCTACATCAAAGCTACGCCGCATTGCGCAAAAAGAGGGTCACATTGTCAGAGTCGGAGGCGGCGCTGGCGGACGGATGCCACGCTCTGTTCATGGGCAACGGGGAGGGCTCTGCCACTGGACTGCACAACCTCTTCGCCTCCGCCCAAAAACCTGTCCCCAATCTGCTCGCTCACATGGACAGCTACTCCCACAAATTCGGCTCATACGAGGAGTCCGCTGGCTGGTTCCAGCGTATGAGCTACGACGACTTCTTGGTCATGATGAGGAACAACCACAATCGCGTGGTTGGCCTGGATGACGAGGAAGTCGCCGCGTGGGAGCAGCGCTTCATAGAATTCGACGCCACTCTTGGCAGGGCTCGGGCATGCCTCGTCTGTCGGGGATGGGAGATATCTTCTGGCCGGGAGCGAGGGCAGAAGACGTCTTTCTCTTTGCTGCAAGGGTAGGCATGAGAGGGTTCGTGACCTGCGACCGCGCCTTCGTCGACAATTGGGCAGATGTTGCCCAAGGTGGACGCGAAGACTGGTTCGCAAAGGTAAGTGTAGCTGAGTGAGCCGCAACGCTACTGAGTCGACTTGCTGACAGCTCGCACTTGTCCTCGTTGCCTACGCACCAGGTCATCGTCAGCTGTCTGGACCTCCGGCCACCAGCAGGGCGAGTGCGACCCTCTCAGCGGACTTGCCCTCGACTTCTGCGGGTAGAAGCACCATCCCCTCCGGCCCACACTCCTCGCCAAGAAGTGTCACTCGCGCCCGTTCTTCTCTCCAGATTGCCTGGAGATGGACCTGATGCTCGAGTTTGACGCAGATGTCTGGAGAGAGGGGTGCAACGCCACGATACAGGCCAAGGAGACAAATTGGGCGCTGCGAAGCTTGAGGGCTCACGTCTTTGCTGCCTGCATCGACGGCATTAGGGATGCCGTGGGATCGTGGCTGCGAAGCCTGGCAGCGCAGGAGTTGATCGAAGTCGTCGAGGTGGAGAGAGAGGCCGTCGTCCCCAGGAACCACGCCCTGCGTCCAGAGACGTTGCGATATCTTGCGCATGAAGACAGGTATTTGAGGGCAGGCGGCGAAGACTGGGTCAGTGAGGACGAAGACAAGCTGGGAAAAATCAAGGGACAGGACGACAACCGTGACTCATGTGCAGAGAGAGCGGCAAACAGAACAGGAAGGATGGCGAGCGATGTGAGGAGCAGCTCTGAGAAGCGGAACATATGGCGATGAGTGAAACATCGTGTGCGGCGACTCTGGGCAGCAACGAGAAAGAATGACTTGCGGGCGAGCATTCAGCCAGGAGGCGTCAGGAATCTTTGGCGAGCGGGCGAGGGCGAATACACGAAACCTAGCAAGCGCTTGTAAGCGAGTGATGTAGATAGCAAGAATAACGTCGCCTTACACAGCGTAAGAGACGATCGTAATCGCTCGGCCCTGAAAGAGAGTCTCATCACCGTAGACAGCTAGCGTGATGTTTTGAGGTATTATTGGAGACGTAGCCTAACGCGAGCTCAGCCCTGCGCAGTCCTTGCCCAAGACCAATGGCTACGATCGGATGACGCTGCACACCGTGCTCACAGCAGAAGCCACACATCAGCAGGTCCAGCCGGGCGACAGATGATACTGGAGGAGTCTGAGACAACCAGATCATTGGGTCAGTTGGACTCATGGCCCCATGGCGCTGACGCTCTGCCAAGCAGTGAGAGAACATCGAGCCAGCCGGTCGCCCAGGAGATGGATTACGCACCACCTCTCCCGAAGATCGCACGATCGCGGAGCATCGTCGCTATGATCGAGTGCGACTCAATTCGAGTGTCTAGCGCGCCTCTTCTGCCTGCTTTTCCCTGCGAATCATGGCCTCTGACTCCGTGACGAAGTAGGCAGAAAGTGCAACGGCCGTAGGTCGCAACGGAACAGGACGATGCGGATCTAGCGCAGACGTCTTTGCGGAGCTGCACTCAGAGTGCGAGGTGTGCGAGGGGGTCGTCTGATCCTTTGCCAGAGCCTTCGGCCTTGACTAGGGTCCACCGTCAGCGTCGCCTTCGCCGTCGTCTTCTCAGTCGTCCGACCGACAATGGGGGCGCCGACCGACGCGTTAGAGGCGGCGGCTTGAGTGAACGTCTGTGCGTTGCGCTGCCATTGCATTGGGGAGGGAGAGGGCGAAATTCGCGCCCCATGAGCCGACGTCCCATGCCGTCTGCACTGGGCCAGTCGAGTCCCGAGACCCGATGCCGCCTCGTCGAGATTTCGCCTCGAGTGTTGGACGTCGTCGACGTCGCCGTCGCCGCCCCAACTCGCGTGGAAGCGCAGGGCAGCTGGCTCGCTCAGGGCGGGGCGGAGCGGCGCGGGCGCACTTTTGAGCTGCTTTTGCTTTTTGGGTGGGTGGGTGGGTGTCCAGCCGGCGCCTCACCGACCAACGACGTCGACAGGCGGGAGGAGCAGGCAGACGACGAGGCAAGCGGCAGGCAGCGCTTCGGGCTTGGACCTTCCTCAACACGCACCAACCAAAAGTCAATCTTTCCTTCCTTCCCATCACTCTCTCTCCTCGTTCGTGCTGCCTCACTCGTGTTCATACCCACCACCTCGAGCGCAGCCTGCACGCACACCTTACCTCACTTCACCTCACCTCATCACCCGCATCACCCCGTTCCCTTCCCGCTAGCGCCTCACCACCATGTCGTCGAAGCGTGGGTAGCAAACTGAGAGCCAAGTTGTAGTCGTGACATGGGACCCCGCACACTAACACCATCACTCACGCTCCCCACGCCGCCAGCGATTCGCGAGCTCGACGCCAAGTTGCTCGTCAACTACTGGCTGCCTCGCTCCCCGGCTGCTCACCCTTCCATCGAGGCTTCGTCGTCCTTTGTCGCACCGGCGCCCAAGGTCGCTCAAGTTGCCTGGGATGCGGCAACCAACACCATCACCGGCGATGAGTCGATGCCCTCGTGGGTCAAGACGACCAAGCTCGTCGCCAAGCCTGACCAGCTCATCAAGAGGAGAGGAAAGGCCGGCCTCCTCAAGCTCAATGCTGATTGGGAGGATGCAAAGCAGTGGATCGTCGAGCGAGCAGGGAAGCCCCAGAAGGTGCGGCGAGCTGCGCCCCTCACCTTGAGCACGAGCTGACACTCTCTACTCCCCTGCCGCGCACGCGCACACGCAGGTCGAGGCTGTTACGGGCACTCTGAGCAACTTCATCGTCGAGCCTTTCGTCCCTCACCCCGCTGAGACCGAGTTTTACGTCTGCATCAACTCAGCTCGTGAAGGCGACTACATCCTCTTCACACACGAGGGCGGTGTTGACGTCGGAGACGTCGATGCTAAGGCTCTCAAGCTCCTCATCCCAGCAGACCCAGCAGAGCCATTCCCGTCTCGCGAGCAATGGACCTCGACGCTTCTCACCAACGTGCCCGCCGCCAAGAAGGAGATCCTCACCGACTTCCTCGTCCGCCTATACTCCGTCTATGTCGACCTGCACTTTGCCTACCTCGAGATCAATCCCCTCGTCGTCATGGACAATGGCCTCATCACATACCTTGACATGGCAGCCAAGCTCGACCAGACGGCAGACTACCTTTGCGGGCCCAAGTGGTCCATTGCCCGTGACCCCAGCGTTTACGTCGAAGGCGCAGCCGCAGCCGCCGTCCCCACGCTCAAGGGTGGTGACCGTGGACCGCCCATGTACTGGCCCGCTCCCTTTGGCCGTGACCTGACCAAAGAAGAGGCCTGGATCGCCAAGCTTGACTCTGGAACAGGTGCTTCCCTCAAGCTCACCGTCCTCAACCCCACTGGTCGCATCTGGACCATGGTGGCCGGTGGTGGTGCCTCGGTCGTCTACTCAGATGCCATCGCCGCCCACGGCTTCGCTCACGAGCTGGCCAACTACGGAGAGTACTCTGGTGCCCCCACTGAGGGTCAGACGTACGAGTACGCCAAGACTCTCCTCGACCTCATGACCCGCGGCGAAGTCAACCCGGAGGGCAAGCTCCTCATCATCGGTGGTGGTATCGCCAACTTCACCAACGTCGCTGCTACCTTCAAGGGTATCATTCGCGCTCTCAAGGAGTACAAGGTCGCTCTCGCAAAGTACGGTGTTCGCATCTTCGTCCGCCGTGGTGGCCCCAACTACCAGGAGGGTCTGCGTATGATGCGCCTCCTCGGTGAGGACCTCGGCGTCGAAATCCAAGTCTTTGGCCCCGACACGCACATCACCGACATTGTGCCCCTCGCTCTTGGCCTCAAGACGTCCGAGGACATCAACCTTGCCAACGCCCAGCGCGAGGTTCCCTCTGGCGCCGTCACGCCGGCAGCTGCGCCCAACGGCAGCACTCCGGCCGAGGCTAGCACCGGCACCATCGACCCCGTCACTGGTAACCGCGCCCAGCCCCAGGACCAGATCGTCCACTTCCCCGCCGCAGCTGGTGGCTCTGGCCGACCCGCTCACATGCCCTTTGACGAGAACACTCGCTCTCTCGTCTTCGGTCTCCAGCCCCGTGCTATTCAGGGCATGCTCGACTTTGACTTCTCGTGCGGCCGTGCTCAGCCCTCGGTCGCTGCCATGATCTACCCCTTCGGCGGCCACCACATCCAGAAGTTCTACTGGGGAACCAAGGAGACTCTCCTTCCCGTCTACACTAGCGTCAAGGAGGCCGTCGCCAAGCATCCCGACGCCGACGTCATTGTCAACTTTGCTTCGAGCCGCTCCGTCTACCAGTCGACCCTCGAGATCCTCCAGTACCCTCAGATCCGCGCACTCGCCCTCATCGCCGAGGGTGTGCCCGAGCGCTTCGCTCGTGAGATCCTCCACCGTGCCGCTCGCGCTGGTGTCCTCATCATCGGCCCCGCTACCGTCGGTGGTATCAAGCCTGGCTGCTTCCGTATCGGTAACTCTGGCGGTATGATGGACAACATCCTCTCGTCGAAGCTCTACCGTGCTGGCTCCGTCGGCTACGTATCCAAGTCCGGTGGTATGTCCAACGAGCTCAACAACATCCTCTCCCTCACGACAAACGGTACCTACGAGGGTATCGCCATTGGCGGTGACCGCTACCCGTCGACGACGTTCATCGACCACCTCCTGCGCTACCAGGCGGACCCCAACTGCAAGCTTCTCGTCTTGCTCGGTGAGGTCGGTGGTGTCGAGGAGTACCGCGTCATCGACGCTGTCAAGCAGGGCATCATCACCAAGCCCATCGTCGCCTGGGCCATCGGCACGTGCGCTAAGATGTTCACCACCGACGTCCAGTTCGGCCACGCCGGCTCCATGGCCAACTCTGACCTCGAGACTGCCTCGGCCAAGAACGCCGCCATGAAGGCTGCTGGCTTCCTTGTCCCCGACACGTTCGAGGAGCTCCCCATGCTCCTCCGCGAAGTCTACGCCAAGCTCGTCTCGCAGGGCACCATCGCCCCCAAGCCTGAGCGCCCTCCCCCGGCCATCCCCATCGACTACAAGTGGGCTCAGGAGCTTGGCATGATCCGCAAGCCTGCCGCCTTCATCTCGACCATCTCCGACGAGCGTGGCTCCGAGCTCATGTACTCGGGCGTCAAGATCTCCGAGGTCTTCGAGTCCGGCATGGGCATTGGTGGCGTTCTCTCGCTCCTCTGGTTCAAGCGTCGTCTCCCCGCTTACTGCACCAAGTTCATCGAGATGGCTCTCATGCTCACGGCCGACCACGGACCTGCCGTCTCCGGCGCGATGAACACGATCATCACCTCGCGTGCGGGCAAGGACCTCGTCTCGTCGCTCGTCTCTGGTCTCCTCACCATTGGTGACCGCTTCGGTGGTGCCTTGGACGACGCTGCCAAGACCTTCTCGCAGGCCAAGGACCGTGGGCTCACCCCTCGCGAGTTCGTCGACGAGATGCGTCGCGGCAACAAGCTCATCCCTGGTATTGGCCACAAGGTCAAGTCAGTAACTAACCCGGACTTCCGTGTTCAGGTCCTCGTCGAGCACGTGCGCAAGGAGTTCCCCGCCCACTCCATGCTCGACTACGCTCTGGCTGTCCAGGCCGTCACGACGGCGAAGAAGGACTCCCTCATCCTCAACGTCGACGGCGCCCTGGCAGTCTGCTTTGTCGACCTGCTGCGCGACTCGGGTGCCTTCACCCGTGAAGAGGCCGACGAGGCCATTCAGATCGGCACTCTCAACGGTCTCTTCGTCATTGGTCGCTCCATCGGCTTCGTCGGACACCACCTCGACCAGAAGCGTCTCAAGGCGCCTCTGTACCGCCACCCTGCCGACGACATCTTCGTCGACATGCCCATGCGCGTCCTCGCCAAGGGCAAGTAAGCCGGTGCCCCACGCACGGCGTGAGATAGTGCTACGGTCTCTTCTCCCTCTATACTCTCCTTCTCGTATTTTCACCTTAGACACTTGCGATCGACGATTGAGAAATACAAAATCTAGCCAGCGATTCGCACGCCTGGACGACTCGCGTGCTTTCTGTCGGCGACTAGACTGACGGTGGGAAAATCACCGATCCGAGGCAGAGAGTCCAAGACGCACGCATCGGACTTTGACCCCGTCTTGAGCCGCCCGCCCGCCCCCTTGCCCTGCCGCCGTTTCGCAGCCGCCCCAGTCGTCGATTGGCGGACCGTCGAGTGCGAGGTTGCAGTTGGTCGAAGCAAAGCAAAATTGCCCGGGTGAACTCGACACAAGGCGTTCTAGCTCGAAAGTCGAGGGAGATAGGAGCACGCAGCTGTGACTGCGCCATTTCTTCCTTCTCCTCCTTACCACTATCACGCCACAACGAAGTAGAGCAACCATGTCCGAGCCTCAATCCCCTTCAAAGAAGAGCTTTTTTGGCCTTGGAAAGGAAAAGAAGGAGGGAAGTGGATTGAAGACGCCCACGCACGAGGTGAGTTCGCAAGCCGTTGACGACAACAGTTGCGGTGTGATGCTCACCCTCCTTGTACTCGTGCCATGCGCTACTGCAGATCGCCCAAACTCCTGCCCTCGAGTCGGCCAACCCTCTTGAGAAGCACAACATCCCTTCTGAGGCTAGGCAGCAGCAGATCGTTGGACAGACTGGAGAGGGGTGAGTCTGAGCCAACACACCGCCATCTCAGCAGGCTTTCCCAGTATACTCATGCACTCCTCTCGCGCCTCTCCCTTCCCGCGCAGCGTCACCAAGGAGTCATCGATCCTCATCGCAATCGACGGAACCGAGGCAGGAGACAAGGCCTTCCACTACCTCCTCAAGAGCAAGGTCCTCTCTACCAACGCTCACATCTTCATCGTTACCATCCTCCCCGCCAATGTGCTCTCTGGCCCTTGGGTCTCCGGCCCGCTGTCCATCGACACAAAGCGCCAGAATGAGATGCTCAAGGCGCTGAGGGAGCAGGCTCTGCAGAAGCTGACTCCGTACAGGGACCAGCTGAGGGAGGCCGGGTACGAGACTGTGAGTTGCGCGCCTTGCGCTTGTTGCTCCAAGTCATCTCCATACTGACCCCTCAACCCCACATCCCGACTCGCTCGCGCAGACCCTCCACGTAGCGCACGGCGACCCTCGCCAGACGATCGTGCGCGTCTCGTCCTACCACAAGGTCGACCTCGCCCTCGTTGGCAAGCGTGGCAAGAAGGGCATCTCCGGCCTTACGGGCGGCAGCACCAGCTCGTACATTGTCAACCACAGCCCTTGCCCTGTGCTTGTCATCAAGTAGAGGTGGTGCTGTCGTGACTTGAACGGAGCAGACGAGGGGCCTCGAGGGAGGAAACACTAGACGACGAGCAGGCGATTGCTCGCAAAGCAGATGATGGCATAGAAGTACCACAGATGACTGGTTGGGCAGCTCTGGTGGTCGATTAGATCTTCGAATTGCTTTTCCTTCGAAATACCACCTATCAATCCCACCTCTCCGCTCCGCGGGCTACTCGTTAGCTAGCAATCCTCGCACTGCCTCGCCTTGGTCTCAGCCTGCTCTGCAGCCGATTGCGTAGCCTCTTTCGTCGTCACGGGCTCTGCAGTTCCCTTTTTATCTGAATGTCCCAGCGATGCTCCGGGCGAGATGATATCCCTCACGAGCTGTTTCTACATGGGAGAAGCGCAGCGTCAGCTTGTTTGCCCGGTAGCGTGAAGAGAGGAATCGGGCGCGCTGCTCACCAGCTCCTTCATCTCTGGAAAGCGCCCCATAGTCTTCCTGTCGTATATGCATGTCGCTTTCACCTCCTCACCTGCCCCTTGCCCCTCATTGGGACGATGGTACACCCACACCCTGAACCTGCCCGCCGAATCCTCTTCCACCTTGGGCAGGATGGCTACGCAGCTGAGTGATGCTGAGCCATACTTGCCACCTTTTTCCTCCTCTTGACCGGCTGAAGGCGCTGGCTTTGGTCCAAAGGTGACAAGCAGCTCAGTCTGTGTCCACGAAGCACGATGCTGCCATCGACAGCGATCGCAGTATTCTATTGCGATAGAGTTGGGCGGAAGGTGGAGGGTGGACGGGGGTTGAAATGAGGAGTAGGTCGATGGAAGGGCAGAAGATGAGGCAGCTGCGCTGGTCGTTGCTGACGAAGAGGGGCCCGAGCTGCTCATGTTCGGGCTGCTGTTGAGGCTGAGCAGGCACAACGGCGAGATGTGAGGGTGAGGAGACGAGATAGCCAAATCTCTCTGGCTGCCGCTTGGGCGTAGCAGTGGAGGCTCGCGCCAGTCCGCGTCTGGTCTCACGTGGCGCTCAGTCGAGTCTCAGAGCCAGATGCAACCGGCACTCGTATCCGCCTCAGCCTCGGGTCTCAGCTTCCTTCCTTCCTCACCAACACCTCACCAAGCTCGCGCAGGATGGCATCAACCTCCCGCCTCCCGCCCACAGCATGGGATTCGGCCCGCCGCACGGCTCGCAACCTCGAATCGCAGCTAGACGCCAAGCTCACCCAGTACTCCAGCCTCGCCTCCGCAATCGCGCGTGGGGAGGATGGCGCGTCTTCATCCTCCGCCCCGGCCTGGCCATCATCGAATCACAAGGACGCCCTTCTCGAGCAAGGAGACGCCTCTCATCCACCAGCAGCAAAGGCTCAATCGCTAGAAAGCGAGATTACTTCCCTACTCTCTTCCCTGTCCTCCTCCCTCTCTACCCTCTCCCACTTCCTCGACGATCCGGAGATCCCGCCGAGTCCGGTTCAGCATCACGCTGTTCAGCGACATCGCGAAGTGCTCGCGGACTTTGAGCGAGACTTTCGTCGGTGTAGGGATAATGTCAGACATGCGTTGGACAGGCGAGAGCTAGTTGGCCGGGTACGAGGGGATATTGATGCATATAGGGCTGCGCAGGTGGGGAGCGATGAGGACCGATTGCTCGCTGAGAGGGGCAGGTTGGATAACTCGCATAGCATGATCGACGGGACGCTCGAGTGAGTGGCGTGCTTCCTCTCACCCCAAATGACTCCGCCCGGCTCACCTCCTCAACCCATTCCTCGCAACGCAGACAAGCCTACGCAACTCTGACCGACTTCCGCGGCCAACGCCAGATGCTCAATAACGTCACTGCCCGTATGAGCAATACGGCTGCTCAGGTTCCGGCGCTGAACGGGATCATGACGATGATCGGACGCAGAAGGAGGAGGGACAGTATAGTGATGGGATGCATCATTGGATGCGGGACCGTATTGCTGCTCATGTACATCACACGATGAGCTGCGCGTGGAGGTCGAGGCATGCAATCATGATACCAAGCAGAGCAAGCAAAGAGAATCAAAGCCTCGCTCGCTCCTTTGACTCCTTGTCCCTCGCCATTCTCTGCGCCTGTGCCGCCTTGAGAAGCGCATACATGCTCTGCAACCTAGGCATCTCCAGGCCCCTCTCCCTCGCTATCCTAACTGGGTTGCCCAAGATGACCTCCAGCTCCATAGGCCGTCCCGCCTCCCAATCCAGCAGCATGCTCGGTTTTGCAGCCTTATCGTTCCGCTCGGTACTCTTGACTATCTTCTCCGGCCTCGCCAGGTGATCGGGGAAACGCTCCACGTTTAGTACTCGCGGGCCAACGGAGAAGATCTCTGCCATACATCCTTCGATGTGCCTTCTCAGCTCGCCTGCCTCATCGAGGACCATGAGCGCATTACCCAACCCGCCGGATAGGACGGCAGAAGGATTGAAGGCGGCATTGATGGTCAACTTGTGCCAGCGGATCAGCTGCAGCTCCTTCTCACTGTGCGGCTCTGCGTCTTTGATACCGCCTGCTGACCACCAGGAGCAGAGCTGCTCTGTTGCCTCTTTTCCACGTTGCGCCAGAGAAGAAGAGGTATCGTCCCCGACTCCATCCGTATAAGGTCCAAGTGATATCCTTGTCCATCGATTCTGCGTGATCTGCCCGTGCGAGGTCTGTTCGGCGCTAATGACTGTTACGCAAGAGACTACCGGATTGCTAGGGAAGCGACTGCGGTGAGGTTGCTCGATGCCTACCCCATTTTGGATGAGGGAAACGACCGTACGCCCCTCGCTGACCAGCGGAGCGATGGAGGCCGAATCGTCCACCTGATCTGGGAGCGCTTTTGTGGTCACGACGACGTGCTGCCAGCCTCCGAGCGTTTTGCCGTCCTCAGCAGCCTCAGCAATACTGCCATATGCGCGATGAGGGGTAAAGTGATACTCTCCAAAGTCGCGCGTCTTGAGATGGACGCCCTTAGCCTTGATCGTGGGATAGTTGGATCGGCAGACTAGAGAGACGAGGACGCCACGTTCGGGAGAGTGAAGGCGGGACGCGTAGAAACAGCCGACGGCGCCTGCACCTACTACGAGGATGTGGGTGGGTTGTGAGGAGGAGCTACTCGCCATGCTTGAGGGGATGTGAGGTGAGAAAGAAAGGCGAATGGAAGGGGCAAGGAGGATGTGAAGTGGATCGGCGTCCGGCCCGCATCGGCAATGCCGGCAGCGCGAGTCGAGCGCTCGAGCCACGCCCCGACTCAATGTCTGTCCGCCCTTGAACAACTTCGTTACATGAGCTCGCTCGTACGCTCCGCATTGTTTCTCTCCGGGCCCAATCAATCACCATGTCCTCTCATCCGACGGATCCTCTTCCCTCTTCAGACGACCTCACCAAAGCCAAGTCATGCACTCTGGTGAACGCCGAAGGCAAGGAGCATGCCTTTGGCTCTCTCCTCTCCACCTCACCTGACGCAACGGACATCATCCTCTTTGTCCGCCACTACCACTGTGGGGCCTGTCTCTCCTTTTTGCAATCCTTCTTCTCACACCCAGAGGCACAGAGCTACAACGTCGTAGTCATTGGGCACGGTGATCGCACTCTGATCCCCGCGTACGTTCAGAAGGTCCAGAGTGGCGTAAAGGACGGTGCTTCTCCGCCGAGCATTCGTGTCTACTCTGACCCGACGAAATCACTCTACCATTCCCTCGGATTCACACGTCGCAACCTCAAGCTCGGGGAGAAAACGCCAGAGTACTATGGAGAGGGCAAGGGGCACACGGGAATGGTTCTCGGGTCGATTGTGGATATGGTCAAGAGTGGGCCGAGCGCGATTTGGAAGAGTGGAGACTTTGCGCAGTTGGGCGGGGAAGTGGTGATCAAGGGGAATGAGGTGGTCTATGCGCACTATATGGAGACTACGACTGATCATACGGAGGTTGCGGAGCTGTTCAGGAGCGCGGGGGAGTCGCATGGGGAGAAGTGAGCAGCATGAGGGTGCGAGGGGGAGAGAGGGGCGCAGCGATGCTCGATGTCGACAAGACCGAACTACGATACCCATCAATTACACCTTGACGGCCACCGCGACCTGGTCTGATTGTCCCTCCCCCTCCGTCTCTCTTGCCTTCACCACGCCCTCCATCGCCCTCAGCCCCTCTCTCCCCCACCCAACCATTTCATCCCAATTATCGGGCAGTTCCACCTTCTCCAATGGAAACATCTCGATGAAGCGCAGCGCACTCGCGGTGCTGGGTAGTTGGCCCGGTTGCGCCCTTGCCGCATTCACCGTTGCCCCTGGAGAGGAAGACGAGGCGAATGCGCGATACTCGACGCATATGCTGGCGAAGGACCTCCGTTGCATTCGTCGGAGGCAGCCTACCACGAGTGACGTCTGAGCCAGGCCGGATGGATCGCAGATGAGTGTTGGGGAGGTGGCAGAAGTGAGGAGGAGCGTGATGAGGGAGAGAGTCATGAGCGCGTCGGCACTCTCTTGCTGTTCCGCAGCCTCCTCGCTTTTCTCATCCGGGCTGGCCTCTCTGCCCTTGTCCCGCCTCTTTGACCTTGCCGCATGTCTGGACGCAAATCTCCTGAGCGCCTTGACCTCTCCCTCCTCCGCAATAGAGCGGGCCCTCCAGACTTTTGGGCCCGTTAGGTCCCACTGGATGAGATTGAGGTCGAGCTGGTGTGCCAGCTTGAGCAATGCGCAGGGAAGCAGTGAGGGCGAGAGGTATACCAGTGTGCGTAGGGAGATGGAGTGCAGGAATGCCACAAGCGGAGAGGGGGAAGGGTTCGGTATCGATGGGGAGAGGTGGGACGTCGGAGAGGAAGGAGGATAGAAGGAGGTTTGGCTGCGTGATGGATGTCGAGCGCCAACATGGTCCGAGTAGCGATCGTCGACTTCGCTGGCCCTTCGAGCGTCTAGTGATGGCATGCGAGCATTTGAAGAGCCATTGGACCCCGATGTTGAGGCGGGCGCAACATGCTGTCTTCTCCTCGTTGCAGCCTCCTCTTCTGCCCAGGCTTCGTTCAGCGCCTCCTCGAGTCCGATGGCTGAGCAGCGATGTAGCCCAGGCATGACCAGCGAGTAGAGCGGCGGTGGCGTGAGTGGAATGGCATGTTGCGGCGATGGATGCCGTGAGGGACCGGCTGTTGGAGAGGCCATGGATGTGGAGCGAGAGAGGCAGAGTGACAAAGACAACGTCGAGGCGTTGGCCAAATGCACGTCGAGCCCGAGTGCACGGAAGCAAGCACGTGGCGCGTCCAACCAACACTCGGCAGCCAATGCTCGCGTCCTTTCTTGCCTTCCTTCCTTTCACCCTCTGAGGAGCCTGTGTGGCCCATCATGGCTTCGATGCAGCACCTCGCGTCGCTTTCGCTACCTTCGAGCTCAGCAGCGTCAAGCTCGGGTCCCGGCGCGTCTCGTCACCACATGCTCCCCTCCTCCCTCTCGCCGGCCATGGACCTCGCCCTCGTCTTCACAACCACGGCCCCTTCAGCCGCCGCGCCAGCAGCAGCCCCTACTCTCCCGAACCAAGCCGGCCTGTCAGCAGCACAGCGCCTCATTCAGCAGCGAATGGCCATGATGCGGGCAAGAGCCGCAGCAGCAGCAGGCCTGGCCACCTCTTCAGCATCGGGCGAGGACGCGAGTGGACCTGTGAAAGGGCAGCCGGTACAGATGACCCTCTGGCGTACAGGCAGTGGGACCGAGGTGGTATGGCAGAAGACTGTGACCGTTCCTGATGCTCTCTTCGGTCGAGATGGCGCGACTTCATCATCGTCTCGCCCCCATCAGACTTTGGAAGTCGCTGGCATGCAATGGAGTCCCGAAGGACGTCGTATCGCCCTACACATCATTGCCTCACGCGCAGAATCGTCTGGCAAATCAATCATCTCGCACTCTCTCCTGGCGACATACAACATCCAAAATGGCACGCTTCTCAAACTCATACCGCTCTCGCAAGCTGCAAGCCCAGACCTCCTGCCCCGCAAGCCTGCCGTCCTAGCCTGGACAAAACTCCACAATCGTCGCTCCCCGTACACGCGCAGCGCCCGGAGTCTGCGACACGGCATCGTTGTGTCAGGCGTTGCCTCCTACCTTGAAGCACGGAGTAAAGGCAGCGCCGGTCCGGGAGGACATGCACGCTTCCAGCAATACGCGGCCGGCGGCAGTGGCAAGGGCAGCGGGCGCGAGCAAAGGGACATTGATTCGCTGCTCCCCTCGCTCAAGGGGCTGGACTCGGAGCATGCTGCGGCGCAAAGTGGGGAGGAGGATGAGGAGGGCGGAGATTACCTGCGCGGATGGTATGCACAGCCCGAAGATCAGGAGTTGAGCATGCTCGCTGTTCCGGGGTACAAGGATGGGAGGCAAGGGATCCATCTGCTCCTCTACGCACGGATACCAATCGCGTTCGTTCCCTTGGAGGCGCAGGCGAAGCTTCTGGCAGCGCACATACTTCCCGGAGACGATGAAGGCGACGATCAAAGAGGAGGCTTGCTCATGCAGAGCAGAGGCGGGGACTCTCCCTCCCTTTTCCATCACGTCGTCCGCCTTCCTCACCTCAGCAACCCAACCGATTCCCTACTACGTTTGATGTCCGAGCTTCACGCCTCCTCCGCTCAGCTATTAGACCACGCCTGCATGCTGCGGCTAGTCTTTTCGTCCCTCACCACTCCAGCACCCGCCGACCTGCGCTCCCTCTCAGAAGCTCAGTTGGCCTCCCTGCCGCCTCTACGGCGCTTCACCTGGACTCTGGCCCGCCTAGCAGCCGCACAAGACGAGAACGTCAAAGCCTCCATCGTGACCGCCCTGGCGACAGGAACGTACACGGCGATGGTAGAAAGCATGCTGCTCAACACCTTCAGCGAGAGCAAGTGGCGCTTGGAGCGCGATGCCATAGTAGAGGCATACAAGGTCGTCGAGTTTGTAGCGGCTGAGCTGCTTGCTACTTGTAGCGATACGATCTCGCAGCTGTGCGAGCTCAAGGGCTGGGCAGGGCTTGGGGACTGCCCACTTCTGGCGCCATGCGTGGATGAGCAGGGAGCCTATCTCGAACGTCAGATCAGCGCCATCAGCCTTGCGCACGCCTCGGCCTTGCAAATCGCGCAGTACGCTCAGGGAGAGCGACTCGCCTGGGACGAGATGGACAAGTGGGTGCGATGGGAGCGCGACAGGCTCGAGGGGATCAAGAGCGATAACCAAGATCCGCTTGACGCCAAGACGTTCGACCCTGTGGTGGTTACGGAGCTTGTGATGCGCGAATTTAGCTGCAAAGAGCTGACGTGGATATTGCTTGGCGTGAGGGATGAGGGCGGGGCACTCGATGCTGGGAAAGAGGATGGAGAGGGAGATGAGACTGAGGAGAGCTTTCAGGTCGCGAGGCGGCATGATGAAGGCGGGGCCGAGCACAACGAATCGACTGCCGAGGACACCCCAGATGCCGGCTTGTCTATGGCAGAGAGTAAGGGCAGCAAGACCCGCCCCTCACTTCACGCCTCGCTCGAAACGTCCCTGGACTGGCTACGCACCGGGAAGGACTCCCAAGCAGCAGTTGCACCGCCAGTCGCCCCTCCTCGGCAAGCAGACCCCTTTGAGCACCTCTTCCAATCCGGTCATTTGCCTAACAGCGACGATCGCCCGGCTGTCTACGCGCAGCAACCGCTCGAGAAGTCACTCCGCAGCAGCGTACTCGCGATCAAGGCGGCGTTCATGGGAGTAAGTGAGAGGATATCGGAGGAGTGCGAGATTCTGTTCAAGCACAGGGAGACGGAGGCTGACCTTCACGAGGACAAAGAGGACGACGATGCGATTGTCAGTCTGCCAACTCCGCGAAGTCAGTCCGTTGAGGCAGACGGGTCATCGCGCAACGTGCATGCGCGCAGCATCGTAGGCTCGGGCTCTGGTCGACTGATCACGGCGATCCTCGTCTTGCCTGAGGGGCAGACGATCCTTTTGAAGTGGCACGACATAAGTGAAGGTGCTAATGGCCAATCCACCGGGCTGAAAATGCGACTACGCAGCTCTTTCATCGAGCGCATGGAGATCATGGACGAGGAGCGCCTCTTTTGCGTTTGCAAGGACGCACCCTCGACGCCGAACAGTGCCGCCGTTCGCTACCTGGAATGCTTCTCCCTATCGACCCTCTACTCCATGGCTCAGAGCTTGGCAGGCAGCGAGCTAGAGCGGGACGCCCTCGAGGCTCACGGAGCCCTGCTGTATCGTCAGACGTTGGGTGCCGCAGAAGAGTGGAAGGGATCCATCGCACTCAGCAGTGGAAGGAACACGGCTGGCTTGTTGCAGATCAAGAAGGGGGAGCCTGCGGCAGCGAGCACAGCGACGCTGGTTCTATGGGACGTGAGCGCTGCGGAAGGCGAAGAAGATGAGACGATGCAATCTTGATATTGAGCGCGTCGGCCGCGTAGAGGTTCGTCGACTGACTGCAATGCACTTGCGATGCAATGCGTTGCGTTGCGTTTACGTTGACGAATGCGATTGCCGAGTGATTGCGGTAGATCGATTGTTCCGCTTCTGGAGAGGACAGCGCTGCGTTTGAGCGTCCAGTCATCCATCCTCTGTCTCGCCCATCTCGTTGCGACTCGCGGTCTCGATCTTCGCGGTACGATCCATGCACTCTGGACGAATCTCACCGTGGGGATTGGGCTGTTGGACTGGCGCTGCTGCCCTCTAAATCTCAGCCGCGTCTCCACCTTTTTCTTGCCCTGCGTCATGCGGGGCCTCTAGCAGTGCAGGGCGGCGGCGTCGAGGCCGAGGGAGGGCCAGCGTCAGGCAGGGCAGCGCGGCGCCCCACGCTAGGCTGGGGCTAGGCGTGGGCTAGGCGCGAGCTGCTAGCTGTCGAGTAGAGTGAAGTGAAGCAGAGCTCTCTCAGGGCCAGGGCCAGACGCCTGAGAGCGTGACGCGCCCGGGCCTTCTTCCTATTCGAGCGAGTAAGAGCAACTCAAACCCACATCACCGATCGACTGGCCTGGCCGCCTCCACTGCCGCTTGCCCCACGCTCCCTCACTTCTTTTCCTATTTTGCCAACCGCATTACCATTACCTCCAACACTCTTCACACCGTCACCTCTACCTCACAGCCTATTGCCGCCCTTCCATCTGGCTAGCACCCATTAACGTGCCCTCGCAACTTCACTTGCCAGCATGTCGTCGTCATCGGCTCCGCCTATGCGAGATGTGCATAACCACTTGCTCTTCGAGTGCGCTTGGGAGGTAGCCAACAAGGGTGGGTGCAGCGTGCGTGGTATCGATACAACCGAGAATAGCAGCTGACCGTCTCGCTCCTTGCCCACAGTCGGAGGTATCTACACCGTCATCAAGACCAAGGTGAGTGCCGACGAGCATAGGCAGCCCGCTCGAGCATGAGCATGGAGCTGACCTGCCTTCTCCCTCTGCGCTCTGACAGGCCCCTGTGACAGCCGCCGAGTATGGCGATCGCCTCACCCTCATTGGTCCCCTCAACTACAAGACGGCTCCTATGGAGGTCGACCCCGTCGAGCCAGACAACGAGCCTCTCCGCCTTACCCTCGAGTCCATGGCTTCACGCGGCGTCAAGTTCCTCTACGGTCGCTGGCTCATTGACCGTGCCCCTCGAGTCCTACTCTTCGACACCGGCAGCATGTACTCGAAGCTCGACGAGTGGAAGGGCGACCTCTGGAACTCGGCCGGTATTCCGACGCCTCAAAATGACCACGAGACAAATGAGACGCTCGTCTTTGGCTACTTGGTTGCTTGGTTCCTGGGAGAATTCGCAGTCAGAGAGAGGCAGAAGGCCATCGTGGCGCATTTCCACGAGTGGCAGGCTGGCCTGGCTATCCCGCTTTGCAGGCAGAGGCGAATCGATGTCACGACCATCTTTACTACGCACGCTACGCTCTTGGGAAGGTACCTGTGCGCGGGAAGCGTCGATTTCTACAACAACTTGCAGTACTTTGACGTGGACCACGAGGCGGGCAAGAGGGGCATCTATCATCGTTACTGTGAGTGCTCGAGCGACGATGCAGGCGATAGGATCAAAGAGCTCACAACCTCCTCCCTTCGCGCACAGGCATCGAGCGAGCAGCGGCTCACTGCGCAGACGTCTTCACGACCGTCTCTCACATCACAGCCTACGAGAGCGAGCACTTATTGAAGCGTAAGCCGGACGGTGTGCTCCCGAATGGCCTCAACGTCGTCAAGTTCTCGGCCATGCACGAGTTCCAGAATCTCCACGCCCAGGCAAAGAACAAGTGCGTACGAGAAGCGTGCCCGCGAGCGATGTGAGGGCGGGGATGACGCTGACCTCTCTGCCTGCGCCTCGTAGGATCGCCGAGTTCATCAAGGGCCACTTCTACGGCCACTACGACTTTGACCTTGACAACACGCTCTACTTCTTCACTGCTGGCCGATACGAGTACCGCAACAAGGTGAGCACAAAGCGCTGAACCCGCTCAGACCACAGCGAGCACGCGGCTGATTCATTCTTCCTGACACGCACACGCAGGGAGTCGACATGTTCATCGAGGCGCTGGCCCGCCTCAACTACCGCCTCCAAAAGGCTGGCAGCAAGACGACGGTCGTCGCCTTCATCATCATGCCCGCAGCCACCAACTCGTACACCATCGAAGCGCTCAAGGGCCAGGCGGTGACAAAGCAGCTCCGCGACACCGTCGAGCAGATCCAGGCACGCATCGGCGAGCGCCTCTTCGAGAGGACAGCAAGGTACCAAGGCGAAGCTCATGGCGCCGATCTCGTGGACCCCGCTACGCTGCTTTCCGAGTCGGACAAGATCCTGCTCAAGCGCCGCATCTTTGCCCTCAAGCGCAACTCGCTCCCTCCCGTCGTCACACACAACATGGCAGACGACGCCAACGACCCCATCTTGAACCAGATCCGACGCGTTCAGCTCTTCAATCGCCCGCAGGACCGAGTCAAGGTCATCTTCCACCCTGAATTCCTCAACGCCAACAACCCAATCCTGGGTCTTGACTACGAAGAGTTCGTGCGAGGCTGTCACCTGGGCGTCTTCCCATCCTACTACGAGCCCTGGGGTTACACGCCAGCCGAGTGCACAGTCATGGGCGTACCGAGTATCACGACAAACCTGTCTGGGTTCGGCTGCTTCATGGAGGATCTTCTCGAGACGCCAGAGCAGTACGGTATCGGGATCGTGGACCGTCGTACATGCTCAGTAGAGGAGTCCGTTGAGGGACTCGCGTCCTCGATGGAGAAGATGGCGCTCATGAACAGGCGACAGCGTATCGCGCTGCGCAACCGTACAGAGAGGCTGAGCGATCTTCTCGACTGGAAGAAGCTAGGCCTCGAATACGCCAAGGCTCGTCAACTCGCGCTTCGTCGCGCCTACCCGGACTCCTTTGCGCAGGAAGACGACGAGGATGGCGGGCTTGGCTACTTCGACGAGTCCAACAGCAAGGTACCACCTCCCGCGTCTATCCCGGGCAGCCCTCGAGTCCGCACGCCGGGCGACCTGGCTACCCTCACGGAGGACATGCAAGGGCTGGGCACGAGTGACTACCGTGGCTCTGCGGCCTTTTGGCAAGCGATTGGCAAGAACGACGATGAGGACGAGGAGATCTTCAAGTTCCCCCTCGTCATGAAGCAACGTCATCGCGGTAGCTCGGTCGGGTCTGCTTCTGGAGTCTCGACGCCGGGCTTGTTGGGCGGCAAGACTTTGAGTGCTACGGATTTGGATAGGGCGGACGAGGCTTTGAGCCAGCATCAGAGCGGGGTGAACGGGAACGGTAGGAACGGGCATTGAGGTAGAAATGGGCGGCTAGCGTATGCATGGGCGCGGGCGTGGTTCCGCGTGAAGATCGGTCGAAAGGTAAGGCGACGACGGCTATAGGCGCAGCGAGGCGACTTTGTGCCCATGCCCCTCCTTCTTCTTCTGCTCTGCTCTGCTCTATTCACTGCTGCGGCCGGTACGCTATCGTTGACTTGATCTTTTTGAACATATTTTAATGCAGTCTCTCCAATGCAGTCTCTCCAGAGCCCATGTTTCCTTTACCATCGCGCTGGGTCGGCCCATCCTTTGCTTCTGCTTGACCGCCTCCTTGCATCGGGATGCTCTCTTGTCGAGCTGCCTGCCCGCCTCATCTCACCCCACCCATAATATCTCGGCCCTTGGCTCTCGCCGGGCGGCGGCCTCCTGCGTCTGCATTGTCGTCGTCGTCCTTTGTGGCCGAGCCTCGTGGCCCACAGAAGTGTCGACGAGGCCCGGCTAAGACGGCGGCTACTTACCACGACTTTTTGGTCTTCGACTGGGCAGTACCCCGGCACTAGCGAGAGAAGCGGGGTCGATTTAGTTGGACGAAGCGAGGCTCTAGGGGGGAGGTGAAGTGTTGCATTGTTTAGCTGGGAGTTTTCTCATGCCGGCCAAGGAGAGAACAGACGAGACGCTAAAAGGAAGGGGTACTTCGGACCAATTGGAGACAGAGGTGCATTGTGCTGACCAAGTGATGTGATGGATGGTAGTGGTGAACAAAGAGAATGGTATTGCAAGGGCGCATCATTGCAATTCGACGACGATGAGCAACGACGAGGGCCGCAATCTTTTTTGGCGCTAGCATTGCGACGTCGATCTCCATTTTGAAGCGGAGCGGAGCACCGTCGTCTTCTGGTTCGCCCATCGGACGGACGGACGGACGGACGGAGCGAGGGACGGCTGGTCACCCTGAGCTGAGCCTGGCTTTGCTCGGCCGCTTGAGTGGGCGAGCGGACGGAGTCAGATGCACCAGGGCCAGGGAGACGAGGGTGGCTGGTGCTGCTGCTTGCTGCTGCTCCTGGCTGCTTGCTGGGTGTGGTGGACGTCCTCCCATGGGACTGATTGAGCCGGCATTCAATGAAACGTCTCATCTTCTCCTTCTCCTAACCACATTGGATTGCTCATTCACAGCATCACCCGCTCTTTGTTGCCCTCGTCGCTGTCAACTGCATAATCACCCCTTTGCAGTGGGCGGGTGACTGTCGTTGTCAAGTCACCCTCGTGAGGCACGCGGCGCTGCACGCACTGCCGCCCATCGACGACGACCGTCTCGACGGATCTTGGCGTACCGTCCTCCGCCGGCTCAATCAACCAATCATCCTCACGCGTAACTCGAGACGCAAACTACTACCGTCATCATCATCGCTGTGAATCGTCCCCCTTGCGCCCGCTTTGCCAACCCCTCCACGCTAGGCAGCGGCGTGGCATCGAGCCGCTCCTGGCCATGCCCATCCTACAGGGGATCGCTGCAGCCTCCTCTCCACCTCAGCACGCACAGTACAGCGGCGGCGGCGGCGGCGCCGGCGCAGGACCAAGCGCATTCAACAATGGCTCGCAGCATCACATCTACCAGGCCCAGCTTCAGCAGCAGAGACCGCAACAGCATCAGCAGCAGCAACATCAATATCAGCAACAGCAGCCATCCTATGCCCAAGCAGGCCCATCTTCGCAGCCAGCCGCGTCAACGCTGACGGCGCCCACCACCGCAGCATCCCTGATGCGAGAGGGCCCCCGCGACTTTACTGTCATCAAGGCAGTCGGAGATGGGTCCTTCGGCACAGTTTGCTTGGCGGATTGGAAAAGCCCATTGCCCAGCGGCACGATGCTGAGTCCGATGCAGCACCCAACGACGAGGCCAGAGTACGTTGGCAAGAGGCTGGTGGCGATCAAGAGGATGAAGAAGCCATTCAAATCGTGGAACGACTGCATGAGGTTGAAGGAGCTCAAGGTGAGCAACGGCGGCGCAGAAGTTGCTACCAGGGAAGTGAGCTGACATTATATCCGCCCTCGCAGTCGCTCCTCGATATCCCTCATCACCCCAACATCATCCCACTCTACGACGCCTTCCTCGACCCGACGTCGAAAGAGCTCCACTTCGTGTTCGAATGCATGGAGGGCAACCTCTATCAGCTGACCAAGTCCCGAAAAGGACGTCCATTGGCAGGAGGTCTCGTCGCCTCCGTCTTCAAGCAGATCATTCAAGGTCTTCACCACATTCACAGCCATGGCTACTTCCATCGCGACATGAAGCCAGAGAACCTCCTAATCACTACGACGGGGCTCGACGACTACCCAGCCAGCAAGCTAGGCGCACCGCCCGAGCGAGACGTCATCGTGATCGTCAAGCTCGCCGACTTTGGACTAGCAAGGGAGACAGCCTCTGTCCCTCCGTACACCGAGTACGTCTCCACGAGGTGGTACCGAGCGCCAGAGGTGCTGCTGCGCTCGCGCGACTATTCCAACCCGGTCGACATGTGGGCGCTGGGCACGATTCTAGCTGAGCTAGTCAATCTCAAGCCACTCTTCCCCGGCGAGAGCGAAGTCGATCAGGTGACGCAAATCTGCGAGGTCCTTGGCGATCCTACGGCCGACTACGGTCTTGACTCCAGGGGCAGGGTCAGAGGAGGTGGGCCATGGGAGAGGGGGATCAGGATGGCAGCGAGTGTAGGCTTCCAGTGGCCGCGGGTGAGTACGCGCGCGCGAAGAGTACCGAATGGTCCTGGACGCTGACATGCTGCTGATTCGTCGTCCCGCGTGCAGACACCACCAATCAAGTTTGCGAGCCTTTTCAGCTCGCGCGTTCCCATGGAGCTCATTCAATGCATTGAAGACCTCCTCAGATACGATCCAACACGCCGCGCAACCACAGCAGACTGCATCGAGCACCCCTACTTCTCGCAAATTGCACCGCGCCTCCTGCCTATCAAGGGTCGAGCACCGCAGCAGCCAGCTCGAGTACCTGCGCCGCTCGGCGTCGACCCTACGGCAGCTCGTCAGGGCCTGCCTCCTTCGCACTCTCACATGGCTGCCAGCGCTAGGCCAGCCTTTGGCGAGGCGCCCCAGCAGCAGCAGCAGCAGCAGCAGCAGCAGCAGCAGCAGCAACGTATTCCCTTCTACCGCCCTCCGCCGCAAAACGTCGAGGACTCGCTGCCGATCTACCGCGGTGGTGCCGCTGAACAGCAGTATCCGAGCGTTCCCGAGTCGGTCTCCATGAACTCGATGAATAGCCAGCAGAGCAGCGGCATCCCCCAGCGTAACGACATCGGAGAGTTTGCTGCTGGCGTTGGTGCCGCCGCTCCCTCCAACGGTGCATGGCTCTCCCCTCCCGCCCAGGGCTCTCGCAATCCTTCATTCTCTCTCACGCGTCCCACGCAGCAACAACTTGGCGTCGCAGCATACAGCGACGGCTACTCGCGGACCTCGTTCGAGACTGCATCTCCAGCAGCAGCATCTTCCGCAGCGCCCACTTCGTCAGATCCCAAGAAGGCAAAGAAAGAAGCGGACAAGGCTGCGAAGCAGGCAGAGAAGGCAAAGCGTCTAGCGCAAGAGAAGGCGGCGAGGGATCGAGCGCGTGCCGTCATGCAGAAGCGCAACCAGATCTTAGCCTCGAGTACCGTCAAGGAGCAAGTGGAGTGGCTGTCGAGCTCGTCACCGCCTGGCAGGCAGAGCGACAAGTCGAGGGGTAAGCAGTCGACAAGTAATGCTTCATCGCAAAGCTCTCAGCCATCGGGACTCTCCCCACTGGAGTCGCCCATCTCGCCCTACAGTCCTGCAGCGCCATACTCTCCCAGCCAGTACCTTGCATCGCAGCGCGGTCCGCCGACCAATCAGCAGTTCTACGAGATGCGAGACAACGGCCGACCAATCTCGATGCAGTCGTACGCCACCGGCGACAGCGACCCGGGACCGCAAGGTCGACGTCAGATGGCTGGCTACCCCAATGAACTGCAGAGACAGGGCTCCGCTTCGAGCTTGAGCTCTGGGCTTGACATCATGGCAGCGCAGAACCAGCAAGGATACCATCCTTCTCGCCTCTACCACCCTTCACAAGCCGGCTCCTTCGACTCGTTCCGCTCAGGCGGCGGGCACAATGGCGAGAACTCGCTTGATCACCAGCTCGTCTCCAATATGGAAGCCATGACTGCAGCAGAGCGACAGTCGGGCAGCATGTCCCCCGGTCCCATTCACCTCATTGGCGGGCGCCCCTCGATCAGCCGGCAGAGCGGCAAGAGCCGTAGCAGAGCGTCTTCCATACATCGAGCAGGCTCGGCCTCTCCTTTGCACCATACAATGGCCCCTCGCTTCCATCCCTACGGCCTCCCAGGTCCGCCACCGCCGCAGTCCTCCCATTCGCAGTCGTCGTCGCATTCGCACTTCTCTGGTGGTATTCACCTCCCGTCTCTGCAGCAGAGTCTGGAAGAGGAGCGTCGTCGCAGTGGAGCTTCATCCGCTAATCGTCCAGGACAGCAGGGCGTCGCAGGTCGACGCTCATCGCAAAGTCAGACGAGGCCCACAGCTAGCCGAGGAAGCGCTTGGAGCAGTGGGGGTGGCGAGCCAGGGGTAGGTACAGGTGGCGGCGGAGCAAGCATGGGCGTCGCGTATGGCTACTCCAATTCGCCCGCAGCGGCCTCGGTCAACCTGCACTACGCTGGCGAGCGCGAGCGCGGCATAAATCCAATGTGGGGCGGTGGCGGACACGGAGCAGACACCAGCTCCTCACCAGCCGGCTACGGCCAGCAGGCGCGTCTACCTCCAATCAGTTCGCTGATGAGCGCAGCGGAGAGCAGCGAGGACAATGAAACAGTCGGGCAGCCAGACAGTGAAATGAGCGTCTACTCGTATCAGCCGACGCAGCAGCAGGTGCCGCCGCCCCACCGTCGCTAAGGAGCGGCAACATCCTCTCGTGCCTACGCTCATCGCTTCTCCCTCGACGCAAACCTTCTCTCCCATCATCAACAGATACCCGCGCGACCTTGGTTGTGCATCACGTCACTTCGCGTTGCGTGCGTCCCTCCTACTCCCCCCCTCTCTCACCAGTCCCCTCTCAGCGAAACACACATCATCCCCTCAGCAGCGCGTCGCAAGAGCAAGCACTGCAGCTTGGCTTGCTCGCCCGCTACCGCTCCGATCCTGACGCTTTCTCGCTCTCTAATACTCATCGTCTCACAACACAATCATCTGTCACATCATCAGCTCTCCTACAGCGTTCACAATGACATCAATCAATTTCAAACTCACTGCCGATTACGGACGACGAGAGGCTCAAAGATTGATAGCGATTCCGCACGCGCAGAGGTACGAAGAGGGAGAAAAGGGAGACCAACACCGGGACGCGAAGGGACACCTCACGCCTCCTCTACATTTGACCTGTGCCCATGGTCCCCATAGCCGGCTGCATCATGTGCGTGTTGGACATGCCTCCATGAGGCGCCGCGTACGTAGGGCCCTGCTGCATCCCATGAACGCCCATAGGCTGCGGGCCGCCGTACTGCTGGTAAGGGAGAGGTTGAGGAGCCTGCTGCATGTTGCCACTCTGCTTTCCGTAGTCATAGCCTTGGCTGTTGCCGGAGTCCCACTGAGGATTCGGGTCAGCTCCTCCGCCGCGGAAGCCGCCAAGGGTGCGGGGCATCTTGAGGGCGAAGATGAGGCTGATGATGCAGAAGAGGGAGACGAGGAGCCAAGTCCCCCATAGTATGCCGCCGTAGGCCGGGGCTACTTTGCTGCCGGGCGGAGGTGAGTGGGCATGGTGTAAGATGACGATGACGATGACGACGGTGCACGCGCTTGCGACGTACTTACCAGACGCCCTCGTATTTGCCGGTGAAGCGGCAGTCGTTAGTGAAGATGTTGATTTGGGTCGCCTTCGCAGCAACGGCTAGCCAGGTGATCCACTCCACCGCCAACAGACAACCCCAACCCGCAGGACCAGCTAGGAAGCGGACGGCCGTCCTTGCTGCGCCGCCTCCCTGCATCTTGTCGCCATTGCCCCAGATGAGGAGCAGGATGAGGAACAGCAGCGTGTTGACAAAGGTCCAGGCCCCGATGACAGCAGAGAAGTAGGAGCTGGCAACGAGGTTGTTCGCTCTCGCCTGGGCATTCAGATAGAGGTTCTGCAACCGTAAGGTGCGCGAAGGTCAGCAAGCCTGGCTCTCCATGCTGCAGGGATGTCCTGAACGTACTCGTTCTGAGTTGTATTCGAAGCGATTAGAGGGGTCATAGGTCTGGTTCTTGATGTAGTCGTTGACTATATTTCGAAGCTCGATAGACCTGTTCGTCAGATAGGCTGCGAGTCCCGTGACAACGAGGCTGAGCGCAAGAATGAGGATGCCCGAGGGCAGAGCGAAGGTGCGGTAGCCGCGAGTGCTGGGCATAGTCGGCACTTGAGGAGGAGAGAAACGTCGAGGGGGGAGAGAGTAGTTGCAAGTCACCAACGCCTCTTCTTAAGTAGCAAACGATGCCAGAGAGGCTACTCTACGACCACCAGGCAAGACGTGCCCGCCCGGAGGTTGAGTCGCTCGCGTCCCCATTAGCTTCAAGTCGCGTAGTTAGCGCAAAGACTAGCATGGGAGCCCACGATGCAAGTCACCGAATAAGGCCCATGGTCCGTCCGTCCTCTCGTCCGCCTCACTCAGATCCCGCGTCGTCCGAAGCGAGGGCGTGCTCGGAGATTGACGCCAACGCCATGCGGCGCCACGCCGCGCCACGCTTTCATGCCCGCTCGCCGTTTTCAAGAGGGGAGCAACAAGCTGAGAGCCACACGCTTCAAGCTGCCTTTGGCTTTGCACTCGGACAGCTGACAATATGTTTGGCAAGCTTCAAGCCAGCCTCGCGCTCCTGGTGAAAGATATGAGGCGTCGATTGAGCGACAGAGGAGCTCACAGCGGAAGGAGCAAGCGCGAGAGGGATTCCGCGATCCTCTTCGATGCTGTGTCGAGTGGAACGGCGTCACCTTGGACCTTGATAAGTGCGATCGGGCATCGTCCATGATCTCTGCGCCGCATATCGCCCGCTGCAACTTCCAGCCACCTGAGCAGGACCTCATGCTCTCGAGGCATGTTGAAACAGGCATCGTCGCTCAATCAATCCGCCGCGTCTCGCATCGACCACATTGGTGAGCTGGAGAAGATGTGAGTGGGTACCATCAGACAAGATAAAGATTGCTAGAGTACAGGATTGCATTGGCGAAAATGGCAGGCACGGGCGTATAGAGAGCAGAGACAGCAACGTCGACAAGGTGGCGATGAGACGATCACGCCGGGCCTGCTCTCATCGCCCTGCGACGCCATTGTTGCTACTGACTGCCGCGGCCGTACCGCCCATCATGGTGCCCAGCATCTCGCTCCTCCATTTGCGCTGCGCCACTTCAATCCGCGTACGCTGCGCCGCCTGATCCAATCGTGTCGTCCCGGCCAGCAAGTCGAGTGTGGCTCCCGTCGCCGCAACGCCCGAAGCGTTGGTCAGAGCGGCGATGCGCGCCTCGTCCGCCTTCACACCTACTTGAACAGCGACATCGTACAGCTCCTTGCTTGCCGCGTGCGCCTGCTCCTCGAAGCGGTCCAGCGCCTGCTGCAGGGCGTGAGCCGCAAGCCGGTGGGAGGGGCCAAGAACCACCAGGTTTGGAATTAAGCGGGCAGCATCGTCTTGGACTGCTCCGAGCCTCTCGTTCAGCAGTTTGCGCAACGACTCGTAGAGGTAGTCCTCCTCGTAGACGCTGCCCTTCTTACCCGATGCCTTTGCCATTGCGTCCTTCTTCTTCTGCTTCTTGCCTTTCTTACTGCTGCCATCTCCCTGCGAGGTGGCTGAGAGCGAAGAGAGGGTGCCCGCGTGCGTAGGTGCCTTTGTATAGCGCGTAAAGCGGGTGAGCTGCGTAGACGTGTCCGACTGGACGTCAATGTCCGCCGCTGCTCCAGCGGGGCCGTCGTCACCATCTCCATAGAAGACGCCCGGCTGCTCCTCGCTCCTCTGCCTCAGCTCAGCGAGGCGAGCAACCTGCTTGGACATCTGCTCACTCATCTCAGCTATGTCATCCATGATCACAGACTGGGAATGCAGTGCCGCCGGCTTGACGTGCGTCTCCACCAGATCCATGCGACCGTACCTTGCGCAGACGCGCCGACACTCCGTAATGTCGTGCGCGCGCGCAAAGCTGTCCAGCGCTCCTTCTACATCGCGCCCGTACTCGAGCTTGACCCTTGCCGCTTCGGAGTATCGGGCCGTGTCTTCCAATCTCTCGGCCATGCTCGTCGCTAGCTGCGGAATAGACTGCGGGGCATGCACTGCCGCCAGAGCAAAGCAGTCGTGCCAGGCCCCTGCAGACTGGAAAGCATCCAGCGCTCTGTTGACGTCCCCTGCAAGCTGGAAGGCAAGCCCAGCGTCGGACCACTTTTGCCTTCCGAGAAGGTACTCCCCGTACAAGCCTTGGGCGCGTCGCCACTTCTTGGGCTCGCCTTGCCAGATCTCAAAGGCTTCAGCGAAGAGGCGATGTGTGAAGGTATATTCCATAGCCTCGTCCTCCGCATCATTGCACTGTGCCAGCCAGCGGAGCGCTTTGCCGTAACGTCGGAGGTGGTCGTCTATACGGTACCTCTGCCTCTCGAGGGGCTTGACTTCCCTCAGCTCTCGCAGGAAGGGCAGGTACTCCCTTGGGTCCTTCTTTTTACTGTGCTGCGCGACCATGAGCGCAAGCGTGAGGTCGTACATGCCCAGTGCCACGTCGAAGAGCGAGTCCAGTGGCGCGAGAAAGATGACATATTCCAAAGCCTCGGAGGCCGCATGCTGGTCCTGGTCTCGCACGAGGGCCAGAGCGGCTTCGTAGTCCGCGGGAAGCTTCTTGACGTGCGCGGTCAGGATAGAGTGGAGGTGCTTCTTCCCCCTCTTTGTGAGCTCTGAGATGAAGGCAGAGCAAATCGCGTTCGTCGCTTCGGGAGCAACGTGCTTGAGGCCCGAGAGGAAGAGATTCAGTAGATCCGTCTCATCCACCTGGTCCACGAAATGCTCAACGTCGCTGATAAACTTGGCCGGGTTGTGATCGTACAGAAAGTTGAGGTCGATCCGATGGGAGCGGCAGTGCAGCAATGCCTGGCGGTAGCGCCCGCGGTCGAGCTCGGAGCGTACCCTGTCGAGCACCATGCAGCGAGGAAAGACGCGCTCCAGATTACCTCGCGGCATCTGAAGGACGAGAGCCATCTGACGAGGGCAAGACACGACGATACGTGAGCCGCGCTCTACGCGACGGTCTAGAGATTCAGAGGGGGAGGTGGTGAGGGAGTCGAGAGGGAGGAAACGGGCCTCGTGACTTGTGTTGGTCCAGATCAGGAAGGGCGGGGAGAGGGTGAAAGACGTGGCGTCGTGCGCCAACTTGGAGGGGGTGACAGCATTCTCAACGCTGCAGAGGAGGGTATTGGAGGGGGAGAGGCCAATGAAGAGGGGCTGTAAGTCCGAGGTGGCTTGCACTTGCAATGACGGGCAGAAGGTGCCTAGGTCCGCAAGGGGCAGACGATCCTCTTGCGCAGCCAGTGCCGGCTCGATCGCGCCAGTGCTGGTGTGGAGGACGAAAGCGTCCTTGCCTGAGCGACTTGGATCTACGGCAAGAACGGCGGAACGCTGAGGAAGAGAGACCGATGCAAGAGAGCTTTCGCCTTCCATCTTCAGCTGATGCGACTCAGCTTGAAGCCGAAGAGCAGCGGATCGATGCCACGTCGTCCCGCTGCCCAGCACACAGACATCCAAACGCGTACATGCAGCGTCGATGTTGATGGCGACCTGGTGACCTTGCAATTGACCCTCGACGACGACCATGCAGCTGACGACTGGCTTTGCCTTCCTTGACGCCCAGACAATGGCATACGTGAAGACGCGCTTGCCGTCAGGATGTAGCAATGCGAGCACGTTGACGAGCTTCTTGCCCACACTCCTCTCAGCCCACGCCTTGTCTCTTGGTGTGAAGCCGCCCATTGCATCGCCGTCCTCCATCCACTGCTCCAAGTCAAGCACCGACCGCCAGACGGCCGATTTGGTCGTCGGAAGGACCAAGCTGCACATGGGCGGCGGGACGGTCTGCTGGTCGAAGAAGGTGAGCCTCTGTGCTCCTCCGTCCGTGACCGCTACCGCGGAGGAAGTGGCTGTCTTGTCTGCTATGCGTTGTGCGTACGTTGTTGAGTGGAATTGCCACGATTGCAGAAGCGAGCCGGTGCCTGCTTCGTGATGACGCCAGAGCAGGATGAGCTGGGTGTCCTCTTGACGACCCCATTGCATCGAGCGTAGCAGTGCGTCTTCCTGCGTAAGCTCTTGCTTGAGGTACCAGTGCCAATTAGCCATGGTCCACAGCTGCACCGCGTCGCTTCCATCCTCGCGCCGAAGCCAGACGGCGAGACAGCTCCCGTCAGCGTTCCACTGAAGCTCGACGATCTTGTGTGGGCGAGACCACGAAGCTTGCTGATCGAGCCTGCCCTTAGCTTCTTTGTCCATCAAGGGCGGCTCAGTGATTCCTCCCTCCTTGCCATCAAGTGCAGCACCCGACTCTTCCCTGAGCGAGAAGCCTCCCCTCCTCAACCCATTACGCTCAAAGAAGACAATATCGTGTCGACCCTCCCTTCCGCGAGCAAATGAATCGTCCTCGCCCTCGGCACCCGCAGAGAAGCGCTGCGAAGTGGCAATGATGTTCCCCACAGGCTTGATGGCCACAATGTGGCTCAGCCCCTTCTCTCCCTCGTCGCTTAGGGCACTCAGCTGACCGGACCGCTCAAATGTTCGGATAAGGCGACGCGATCCACGGCCTGAGACTGGCTCGAGAGAAGACACGACGAAGTAGGCGCAGTCTTCGCGCCAGGAGATGTGGGGAAGGCCATCATCATCATCGAGGGGGCGGAGCTGCTGAGTAGCTGAAGAGTCTGAGGAGGCATTGGCGGCGGCGGCAGCAGCGGCAGCGGCTCCCTTTCCTGCTGATCCATGAAATTGTGTTGCCTTGGATCCCCATCCTACATTGACGGGCTCCTCACCCCTACCCTGCTCACGTATCAGCCTCTCCTCGAGCACCTCAAAGTCTCTGCTCATGACGAGGAGCTTCTCTCGCGCTCCCGCCGCAGACGAACTCGAAGGGGCGTCCTCATCTGCCACGATGAGAATGACTGACTCTTCGTCCGGGCTCCAGGAGGCGGCAAGGATGCCTTGCTCTACGGATCCCATAATCTGCGCTGGCGGTGCTGGTGAGCCATCAGGGTCTTCGGTATCATCATCGCTGGTGCCGAGTGGAATGAGGAGGATGTCTCCCCCCGCTGTGATGAGGCAGAGCGCTGCTTCATCTCCTGCTGCTGAGCCGCCATCGGATAGGTACACGAGAGAGCGCACTTGAGATTGCGGTGACGAAGACGTGTCTGACGAGGCGACGAGATCGATGTTAAGAATGTGCTTGCTGGCGCCAGTTTCGATGTCGATGGATTCGATGTCGAAGGTGCACTGGCCATCAGGTGACGGTCTAGTGTGGGAGACGAGGTATGCCACCTTGCTATGGCTCGTGAGCGCCGTCGCATGGCTGTGTGTAAGCGCATGCTCCGCTCGTTGTATGCAGCGAAGGTCCCTCATGCTTTGCGATTAAGGGAGCAAGGTGGAAAAGGCAGCGAGGGAAGCAGCTTCTCTCTCACTCCGTCTGAATTGAAATTGCTTGCCGCGGCTGACGTAATCATCGGACTGAGGAGCTGCTCCCGCTTCCCACTTTTCTGACGCGAGCACGACTGTCCTGACGTCCTTGCATATCAATCTCTTCTGCCGCTCGCTCGCCCGCTCGCCATCATATCCGCCTTTGCCTCCTTCCGCACGACGCTACTTGGTGCAATACGTAGATATCGCACCATGGCTGCAGCAGAACGGGCAGCTGGCTCTGCACCGGCTGCGTCGTCGTCGTCGTCGTCATCGTCATCGTCGCCTTCGGTGGTGCCTCACATGCTTTCATCGCTGCGCATCCTCCATTCCCCTTCCTCCTCATCTAATACCTCTCTGCACCCAGTCATTATTCTCACCCTTCAGGGACGCAAAGTCGTCTTCAATGCTCCCGAGGGAACGGTCAGAACGATGAGCAGCAGGAAGACGAACCTTGCTGGAGTGGCTCGTGGCTCGATTCACCTCTACGTGCAGGATGCCACGCTCGCTGCTGGTGGTTTGCCAGGGGTGCTCATGACACTGGGCGATGCACCGACGAAGGAGGAGATTCATCTACATGGTCCACCATTGACGGCTCATGCGCTGGCTACTGCACGCTTTTGTGCCAAGAGAAAGAGCAGGCAGTTGCGCGTTCACGAGATGCACGAGGCCGCCACGAGTAGGGCCGCAGCTGCGACGGTGTGGCCTGCTGCTAGGACGGAGAGAAGGGAGGAGATTATCAGGCCGCTGCTTGCGTGGAGGACGAGCTCCACTGCAGCGCAGCAAACCACTTCGCCTGTAGCCATGGAAGTTGACTCCGCCGCGGCCTCGTCTTCCTCATCATCATCAAACGGCAGTCGCAAGCGGCGACGCTCATCTGACGTCCCCCAAGACCTCAACGGAGCAGGACCGACGTCGAATGTAGAGCATGACGCCGCTTCGTACATCCGATCTCGCAATTCCTCATCGTCCTCGAGCGCAGCTCATTCCTCGTACTCCCCATTCACGCCTCTCCAAACGGCAGAGGACATGTTCAAGTCAGGCAAGCCAGACGGCAACTCTCTCGACGATCCCAGCACAGTGCGCGGCAAGCCCTCAGCGGCCTGGGTCCAGAAACGACTGGCCCCGCCCTCCCATTCCTCACTATCCCGCCAAGATCTAGCGGTCAGCTACGCCATTACCCTGCCGACCGTATCGGGCAAGATGGATATGCAGCGCGCCTCACTCGCGGGCGTCAGGCCGGGTCCCAACTTGGGTCTGCTGCAACAGGGGCAAAGCATCAAGATCCAACGTCCGAAGAAGTGGGAGGAGTGGAGCGAGGAGGCCAAATTGAGCTGGGTTAAGCCGGCGAAGCCGCAGAAGGGAAAGAAGCAGAGGCAGCAACAGCAGCAGCAGGGTAAAGCGCCAGCGGCACCAGCAGACTCTGCCGAAGCAGCAACCGACAGTGCCTCCGAGCTGGAAGAAGTCACAATCTCCAGCTCAGAATGTGTCGCCCCTCCCATCCCCGGCCCCGTTGTGCTCCTCATCTACATTCCCTCCCCCGCCCATCTCGACTCGTTCCTCTCCCACCCACCCAACAGTTCCGCCCTACAGGAAGCCACTCATGCTCAAGCGGGCAAAGTACACTTGATGGTTCACACAAGCCCCGCAGATGTCCTGCGCGACGAGCGCTACAGGCGCTGGGTGTCGAGTGTCAGCGACGAAGGAACGCAACACATTGTGACCGCGAAGGAGATTGGAGCAAACACGATCCTCTTTCCCTCCTCAGCACTCCTTCTGCTGCGTCTTTCCCAGCTGGACGAAGGGCTGTTCCGCTTCCCTCCCTACTCGCTCAAGCGCAACGAAAAGCTCCTCCAGGAGGTCGGTGCCGGCTTCTCGAGCGGCGAGGATGGCAAGGGCAAGAGCTCGGTATGGGTCGCCGACCGCGACACGACCATCGACCTTCAACCACGCCTCGGCGCACCAGGCCTGACGGATCATGCATGGCAGGCCTCTTCTGCTGATGTGACTTTCGACGCTTTTGCGAGCGAAGGGCAGGACTACGAAAGGAAGATGGCTTTCCTCAGCTTTGGCAAGTGGAGGGAGAGTGATACGAAGGAAGATAAGGAGCGAGAGGCAGCAGAAGAGCGGAGCTCCCCGGTGACGAAGGGCAAGGCGAATGGCAAGGCGAACGGCAAGGACAAGAGCAATAGCAACGGCGATGCTGCTGCAACGGCTGGTGCGACTCGTAAGGCGGAGCAGCGCGAAGCGTGGCTCGAGTTCAGCAAGATCGGCGAGCGCGTGCGAGAGGAAGTAGCTTCTGCCTCTGCGGCCAGCGACAAAGCTGCCGCCGGTGTCGTGCGCTCCTCGGCCTGGGAAGGGATACGTATCACCACCCTCGGCACAGGGTCTGCCGCTCCCACCAAATACAGGACCGTCTCTGCCACTCTGGTCGAGCTTCCCGCCCGTCTCTTTCCCAGCAGTGGATTGGACGAGCCGGTGTACATGCTCCTTGACGCTGGAGAGAACACGCTCGGCCAGCTCGCACAACGCTTCGGGAGAGGAAAAGAGCTCGACGCCATTCTGCGTGGGCTGAGGCTGGTGTTCATCAGCCATATCCATGCCGATCACTGTCTGGGCGTGGGCGGAGTGCTGAGGGCACGACGTCAATTGGCTGAGCAGGAAAGCGAGAAGCTGGAGCCCCTCTTCCTTGTCAGCAACTTCTACACGCGCCGCAGCTTGGTGGAATGGAACGACCTCGAGGACCTCGGCATCCGCGATCCTGACTTGCCAGAACCACAAGACGACACTATCACTGCGCCTCTTGTAGTCTTGCTCGAATCCGAGCACCTTGACTACCAGCACGGCATCGCCGCACACGGCTCTTCGGACAGTGCTTACCTGACTCACCTGGAAGAAGGCTTCCGCCCAGGGTACGAGCGTTGGCTCTCCTCTCTCCGTCGAGAAGTCCTCTCTCGTGCACCCTTTGCCGGGCTGGACGAGGACGACCTGATTGCTGAAGAGGAGGACGTGGCTGCTGCTGTTCGTCGCCTAGCTGAGGAGCGCTCCAATACTAGGGACGCAGCGAGGATGGGCAGGAATAGGGATGGGCGACCCAATTTCGCGAGTAGCGCTAGACATCTCTTTGAGGGTCTCAAGAGGAAGGAGCGCGATATGACTCGCAAGGGGTTGGAGAGGCTGAAGGATGCACTCGGCGACGCGGTGGAGGTCAGGACGGCAGAGGTGGATCATCGGGCGAAGCATTGCTACGGGATTGTTGTGCGCATCCCTGGCCCCAACGGAGGGCCGGATGGTTTCTCCTTTTCTTACTCGGGCGATACGCGTCCGACGCCTCGTCTCGAGGCTGCAGCCAAGGGCGTGGACCTCTACATCCACGAGGCGACGATGCAAGAAGAGGAGGCTCACGAGGCTTCAGCCCGGGGTCACTCTACCATTCGAGGGGCAATCGAGTCTGCCACTCGTGCTGAGGCGCGCGTCGTGTTGCTAACTCACTTCTCGCAGCGCTACCCGAAAATGGCGAGGTTAAACCTGAGCGCGGGAAAGGGCAGGCCTACAGTGGCGTTTGGGATGGACTTGTTGAGCGTCGAGATGAATCAGATGTGGAAGATGGAGAAGTATTTGCCAGCCATTGAGGTGCTCTTTAGGGCGGATGAGGAGGGAGAGGAGGGGGAGGAAGAGGAGAAGCCCAAGACTGATTGAGAGGGGCGTGCGCAGTGTGAAGGTAATCATCAATAGAAATGGTTCCTCACCTGAATCGTTGTTTGCTCGTTCAATTGAGTGCCAATTTGTTTGTCCAGCGAGAAGAAGTCGCTCAGCGGGCTCGCATCACATCACGCGGAGGCGGGAGGAGGACGACGGACTGCGAGCTCGTCTGGGCCCGTCTCTTGTTCCGCCTCGCATCCTCCATCTTCTCATCTTTACAATTCTACCATCTGAACGTCATGGCTCCGGACACGCCAGCTGCAGCAGGCTCAGACGGAGCAGACAAGACTGATGGGGCTGCGAAGCAACAGCAGCAGCCGGCTAAGGGGTCGCCTAATGACTTCCTCAAGAGTGAGTGGGGAGCGACCCGTCGTGCAGTCGATCAGCGCACATGCTAACGTCGTTATCCTCCTCTCCACCTGCCATGGCTATCCTACTTCGACCACCTCTTCTCCGTCACATCGATCCTTCTGCCTCTTCATTCACCTCCTCCCGCCAGACGTCATCGGCAAGCGAGTCTCCGTCCGCCTCAACTCAGGCATCGATTACCGCGGGACCCTCTCGTGCTTGGACGGCTACATGAACATTGCGATGGAGGAGACGTCGGAGTGGGTTGGTGGGGTCGAGAAGAACAGGTTCGGTGATGCCTTCATCAGGGGTAACAATGGTGAGTGCGGAGCGAATTGGAGACGAAAGAAGGGGCACCAAGGTTAAGATGAGGAAGAGAGATGACCGCTGACCTTCCTCTTTCATCTGTCCCTGCGCCTGCTCTTGTCCTGACGTCTTTGCTGCTCCTTTCTGGGACGTCGTTCAGTTTTGGTGAGTACTTCATCGGCCGCATTGAGCCCCACAGAGGATGTCCAATCCTTGCGACGACCCGGGGATGAAAGATCTTGAAGCTGACCCACGTCTTCTCGCCTCCCTCACTCTTCTCACGCAGTACATCACGGCTCTGTGAGTCAGATCAATGCAAACAGATATCAAGATGTTGCAGCGATGCAGACGAAAGTGCGTGCGTGCGTCGCATTGGTGGATATGTACACGGAGGCAGGGTAAGACGTCAAGAAGCGAGCCGATGAACAGCCGGCTCTTGCCTTCAAGCTTTCCTCCGACCTATGCTCTCCCGCACATACTCTCCTGCACTCCGTCGCAGTCCCTTTACAGCTTCTCCGAGAGAACCATGGGTCCTGCCACCTCATCCCTCTTTTCCTTGCCCATCAAAGCCTCAGCGATGGTAAGCGCAAAGAGGATCGCCGTGCCTGGTCCTCGCGACGTGATGAGCTTGTCTGATACGACGACGCGTTCCTCTGAGTACTTGTAGTCTGGGGTCGTGAGGTCACAGAGGGAAGAGCACGTTAGCTGCTAAGCCTACGCCTTCCTCAAAAACGCCAGCTGCTCTTCTAGTCGCAGCCACGCCGCCGCCTACTCACCCTTACTCAACTCCTCCTTCACGCTCGGATGGCTGGTAACCGTCGAGTCCTTGGCAATGCCGCTCGTCTTGATCGCCAAACTCCCTGCACAAATAGCACCCACGACCTTCCCATCCGCATAGTACTTCTGCAGCAGAGCCTGCACATCCTCATTCTCACTGATCGTCTTGGCCCCCGGCCCTCCCCCCGGTACGATGACGGCATCCCTGTCCAACCCCTTACCGCCAGAGAGGGAAGGAAGCGAGAGGTCAGGAACTACTTTCACGCCCCGGCTGCAGGTTACAAAGGGGGTGGAGTGGGGCCCATCTGGGTCGGACGACGAGCCGACGTATACGGATTCGACGGAGACTCCAGCGCGTACGAGGATGTCGTAGGTTGTGACGAATTCGAGCTCTTCGGTGCCTTGCGCGATGAAGATGAGGGCGCGTGGAGCGGACATGGCTGTGTGAGATAGGCGTGCTGCGATGCTGAAAGGTTGGTTGGGTTGGTGTTTGGTGAGGAAGAAGAGCAGAGCCAGGAGATAAGCTGCATTGAGTGGAGTCCTGTTGGCTCGAGCGTCTCTCCCGCTCGAGCTCAATCAAAGGCCGCCCCGCCAGCCCGCCGCCCGCTGCTCCTCGTGGCTGGCACACGCTCGCCGTTCCGTCGCGGGACTCCATTTCTCTCAACCTCGGCGTGGCTGCGAGTCCGAGGTTTCAACCATGGATCACCGGCTCGAATCTAGCTACCCCGCACTCGAGCAAGCGATTGAATTGTCCGGTTTGGGGGCAGAAGCAACAGGTATTTCAGAGGCTCGAGATTGGAGCTCTCGTCGACATTTCTCCTCACGACAGCAAGCATGGCGACCGCTACTACCACTGCGACGATCGACTCGCGCTCCGCCACCGCCACCGCCACGGCCAAGCAGGCGGCGCCTGAGAAGGAGCAACGCCCGCAGCTGCCACCGCGTTCGAAGCGCTGGTGGCCCGTCTCCAACCCTCGCCCTACTCAAGCCATCTTCGACCTCGTTCTTCTTGGCGCCTTCATCGCCTGGCAACGGTCCAGCACCGCGCACAACTTCTACTCCTCCCTCGCTGCCCGCTACTCCGTCTTCGACATCAATGCCTATGGGGCCTTTGGCATCACCACCCTCGTCTACTGGGCCGTAGCGGGCCTCTTTGCCATCGTGGACCTCACGCACTGGCCGGACATCGTATTCAGGTACAAGGTGCAGCCCTTCGAGAAGGTGACCATCAAGGAGTATGCCAAGATTGCAAAGGTGGCAGCAAAGAACCAGCTCTTCGTTGTTGGACCTCTGCTTGCTGGGCAGGCATACTTAGCACCCTACCCAGTCGAGGCCAGCGCCGTGCCCGGGTCATGGGCAACGTTGGGGTACATTGCAGCTAGTATTGCGGCGATCGAGGTGGGATTCTATTACGTTCACAAGACGATGCACAATCCACGTCTGTACGCGCGCTACCACAAGCAACACCACGAGTTCACGGCGCCTGTAGGACTGGCTGCTACGTACTGTGGCGTAGTGGAGCATCTGACAAGCAATCTCGCACCCAACGCCATTGCTATGGCGCTTCTGCGACCTCACTGGAGTGTCGCGACCTTCACCTTCTGCTTCCTCGAGATCAGCACCGTCTGCGCTCATTCCGGGTATAATCTGCCTTGGGCTCGCAGTAGCTTGAGACATGACTATCATCATTTCAAATTCGATGTGGTGAGTGGCAGAGTCTGGGTATCATCTATGTATCTGAGCGCGTTTGCTGACTCCTTGCTCCTTGGCGGCGCAGAACTACGGCCCCATCGGCGTCCTTGACGCGATCCACCGCACCGATACCTCGTATCGGGCTGCGCTTAGTGATGCGCTGGCCAGGGCCAAGGGCGACGCTGGACGTGCGAGGAGCGAGCTGTTGAGCAGGTTGGCTGCTTGGGAGAATGGGGCGCGAGAGGATGAGCCCGCCGCGACTAAGAAGGTCGGCCCTGTCGGTCGGGGTGACTCAGGTAGCGACTCCGACTGAATGCTCCTCCCTGTATCGTGGCCTACTTTGTAGCAGCTCTGTCACTATCCCTCTGTCCCTCTCTCTCAACTAAGCGTAGCCGGCCTGAATCGTCCATAGTAGTCCCTCCCTCTTGCCTCGTGCAACTCGGCCCACGTCTCCGGCAACGACCCCACCTTCTTGGCTGGGTTTCCCGCCCAGACCTGGCCCGAAGGTATCGTTGTATAAGGAGCGACGACGCTCCCGTCGCAGATTCGTACACAGTCTTTGACCGTGACGAAACGGCCGATGATGCAATCCCGGCCTATGTCTATGTGTGAGCCTACCGAGGTGGCTTGGAGGACGGAGGAGCTTCCTATGTGCACAAAGTCGCCTAGCTTGACAGGATAGTAGGAGAAGGTGCTGTGACGTGAGAACAGCAAAATTGTCAGCTATGACTCCTTACATCATGCCTCTCGTACCTACCCCTTGTACGTCTTGTACGGCGGCCTGAGTACTGTTCCCTCCCCCACGACGCAATATCTGCCTGTGCTGATGGCGATCGTCGAGCCAGAGGCTGCGCGTTTGAGGTCTCCGCGAACCATGGCGCCACTGTGGATGATACACTTGCCGCCCAGGACGATGTTGGATGTGCCGTGGAGGACGGCTTTGCGAGAGACGCGATTGAGTGTGTGGGAGCTGCGAATGAGACCAAGAGGGACAAGAAGGCCCGGTGATTAGAGGCAAAGAGCCGAGACGATGTCAAGGCACCGCTCACTCACGTCTGAATATACTCGTTGGGAGGGTAGGGCTTGACGCCCTCATTGGTGCTGGTATCCATTTGGAACGACGAGGGTGTCAACGAGAAAAGGAAAGGCGGGCGGGCGGGGCAGCGGCTCGCTCGCCTTGACCGTCTCGCTCGGGCCACAAGTCAAGCAACACACGCGCATGTGGCTCATGAGTGGCAGCGGCAAAGGACGAGGCTCGTCCCACTTCTTCACTTCTCTTCGTCATCCTCGTCAGTCACGCTAGGTCAGGCTCGTCGCTAGCCAGTTCGAGCGCCCGCCATGTCCAAGCGCTCCAATACGACGGCAAAGGACATTCGCTCGCGCATCAAGCACTCGAATGTTCACCTGGGCACCGGTGTCGAGCTCGAGCGCGTAACCCATTCTCAGATCCAACAGCAGAGAGCAGCTGCTGGCATTGGCAATGTCCCTGGCGCTCCTGGTCAGCAGCAGCCTACATCAGCATCAGCTTCATACCACAACCAGCCATCCTACAGCGCAAGCTATGATGCTCAGCCTGCGACGGCCCCCTTTGCCCAGGAGCAACATCACCTAGGAGCTGGACCCTCCTTCGTCTCCCTCACTCCTTCAGATTCCATCTCAAATCATGAGGGCAGGACAGCACATCAGATGTCGGCCATACCGCCCGTACCCAGCGGGCATCACCAACATCAGCCGTCCACCTCCAGCCTTCGTAATCATCAAGCGAAACAGCCTTCGCAAAGTCTCTTCCCTCGTCCTCCCTCACCGACGGCAGACTCGACAGCCAGCTTCGCGAGGCAGATGAACGACGGCTCAAACGAATCATCGAGTCATGATGCCCAGACCCCGAACCGCCCAAAACGCAGCATGAGACGGCCAGTAGGCATGACAGGTGGCGGAGGCATGCCCTCCATCGTTGTACCCCCGACACAGCCTGGTCTACCAGTCGCCTCAGGCAGTAGATCAGGAGATCGTCACGCCCGCTCTGCCCGCCTCATGGCTTCGGTTAATGATTCAAACGGACGAGACACTCCCCTCTCCATGCAGTCAGAAGAAGCAGACGATGCCGAAGATGCCTATGGCGGTCTTTCCCCCACCGACTCGCCCTCTAAGCGCAATAGAGGGCCTTTTCTCGATACGCCCTCGACCGCCCAGCCTACACCTACGCTGGGCTCTCTCACCCAATCTCAATCGCCCGCAGCATTGGGCTCTGTGCTGTCGGCCTTGTCCGAGGCAGGTCGTAAGAATCAAGGACGCCGCATCATGCGCGGCATGACAGCAGAAGAGGAATCGCGGCGACGACGAGTTGAGAAGCGCATGGATGAAGCTCGCGGTGTCGAGTATCGAGATGTGCGTCACTACGAGCAGCGTGGGGATCAAGGGCAGGGAGGAATCGGCCGAATAGGCGCAGTTCATCGCAAAGTCAAGGCAGAGTGGGGCTTCGTGACAGAGGACGACTTCAATCCCGTCGCTTTGGCCCTCTCCCTCCTCGACGAGAGCTCGCTAGGCTCGAATCGAGATCAATTTGAAGCCACCAAGCAGCTCATCGAGGAGAGCCTGCAGGGCACAGTAGAGGACCACTACGAGTCGTTTGCGACCGCTATTACGCTGCACAACTCGGTCCTCTCCTCCCTCACAGACGTGCAGGCGTCCGTCTCCTCCTCACGACGTCGGCTGCGTGACTCCCGCGAGGCATTGGGCTCCAAACGGGCGGATCTGGTACAGCTCTGGCATAGGCAGCAGAGCGTCAAGGAGGCGCTTCGGCTGCTCCAGACGGTCGAGCAGCTCAAGAATGTGCCAGATCGTCTCGAGACCCTTCTCAGTGAGAAACACTTCTTGGCCGCGGTCAGTCTGTTGGTCAAGGCATTGAAAGCGATCGAGTCAGCAGAGATGCAGGAGATTGGGGCTACTGCTGATCTCAGGGCGTATCTGAGGAGTCAGGAGGGTCATCTGTTGGAGATCCTTGTCGAGGAGATTCACAACCATCTCTACTTGAAGAGCTCGTACTGCGATCGTAGGTGGCAGGGCTACGTGACGGGCGCGGAGAGGATGCCGGACGTCAAGTGGGGCAAGGAATATTCCGCGACTGCCAGCAATGGCGCGAAAGATGCCGACGAGGAGGACGACGACGACGATGATGGAGGAGCGACCGCCGCCAAGCTTGGCGGGCTATCACGCACCAAGTCACGCCTCGGAGGAGGACGCAGCACCACGAATCTGCCGGACTCTCCCTCTCTTAAGACAACAGCGGACGATGCCATGCCTGCCAAGCTCTCCAAGTACCTCAGCTCCCTCTCCGGCAAGCGCATAATCGAGCACTCCGCTGTACTCGGAAACGATTTAGGCGATTTAGAGGGGGAGCGCAGCGCTGAAGACGGGGGCGAGCACACCGACGGAGGAGAAGGTGGTGACGATGATGACGATTTGGCGCAGTCGAAGTTTGGTCGCGGTGACCCCGAGGCAGACTCGTTCCTCTACGTGGAGATGCTACTCGAGGCTCTCGCTCGTCTCGGCAAGCTAGGCGTGGCGATGGATGTCATTCACCAGCGACTGCCTGTCGAGGTCCACTCACTTGTGGAGACGACAATCCAGGAGGTCGACTCGCGCACCGAACCGCTGCGCCGCTCCACGCTTGCAAACGCTCTGCGGCCTGAATCGGTGCTCCTAGCTTCTTCTTCGGCACTCGCAAAGACCTTTGGTGCAGAGCGAGCCTCCTTCGGCCGGCAGAGCAATGGTGCTCTTGGCAGTGGTGGAGCAAGCTCATCGCGCAACTCACGACCCATCTCCATGCTGCTGCGCGTCTCTGCCTCGGAGACCTCGCAAGTAGAGTCAGACGGGGAAGTCATGAGAGATCTCTTCTGGACGCTCTACTCAAAGCTCGACGCTGTCCTGCAGGGACATCGCGTCGTACACGAGGTGGCCAGCCTGATCAGTCAGAGGGCAGGATACAAGGAGAAGGACGCCACCACCTCGACAGGCACAGGTGCGGCTTCATCGAGCGCAGCAACCAGTCGCGGCCGTCTCGTCGGTGGGGAGCGACTCCTGGACGTCTGGCGGCCTATACAGACAGAGGTGCGCGCCCTCCTCCACGAGTATCTGATGGATGACACCCAGTCCCCTAGCTCCAGGCGGAACAACATTGCGTCGGTCAACGAGGTGCTCAAGAGTGGGAGCTGGAATCGCGACAGGGGAAAGAAGCTATTCAAGCTGTCGTCCTACGGTAGTAGCAGCGGTGCAGCCGGTGGCGCTCAGGTGGTCGGCTCCTCCTCGAGCACGATGACCACAATGGCTACGTCCTACCGTGGCGGCGCCTCCGCTGGAGCAACAAAGCGTGACCTTCTTGCCCCAGTCAAACGGCACGAGGAACGGCTCAATGCGGCACTGCGGGCGTCTGTGCCTGGCCTGGTCAGCAGCTCGGGCGAAGCACAATCGGGCATTCTAGGCCTCTCAGCCTTCTCCTCGTTGGGCGGCGCTCCTTCCCTGTCCCTCACCTCGGGCGGTAGAGACGATGCGCGGGACTCAAGCTCGACCACATTGGGTCATCACCGCATCCTCGTCAAACCCGACGCATTCAACATCTCTGTCCTTTTCCAGCCGACACTCGCATTTGTGGACCGTGTTAGGCTCGTCATGCCACGCGACGCCGCTGGCGACCCAAGCAGCGCTGCGACAGGGGCAAGACCGGCACTGGGTCGAACCAACACCTCATTCATCCCACTGAGCGCCAGCGGCCCCAGCAAAGACGAGGGCGGCTTCTCCTCCTTCCTCGATGAGTTCGTGCAGGACGTCTTCCTCCCGCAACTCGAGGAAAAGGTACGCTCCCTCTTCACCTCCGCCGTTGGAGGGCACGACGCTTTCCAGGAGGACCCAGCGACTCGAGGCTTGGGGGCTCGCGCGATCGTGAAGAGTGCGGCCAATGTGGTCGTACTGGTGGATAGTCTCTATTCGATGTTGAGGACCACACCTTTTCATCGGGAAAGTTACTCGCGCCTCATCATTCAGACGATCGTGCGCTATTATGGGAGGTGTCACGAGAGATTCAGAGAGTTGGTCGGGTGTGAGCCAGTGGATGGACCGGGTGGAGGGACGATGCCTGCTGTGGCAGCAGGTGGGGAGTTGATGCTCTCCGCTACCTGGGCGCAACATCCTCGTTTGGCTCAGATCCTCGCTGAGCTGCGAGAGGGCGCCAATGGGAACAGCGCCACCGACTCTACCGACCAAGAGGAAGACGGCGTCTCTGTTCTGGACCTGCACCAGCGTCTCGCCCTCCTTCAAGACGAAGAGAATCGCCTCGAGGTTCAGCTGGCAGCGCGACGTACTACTGGCCAAGGCGAGTCTACCGTCCAGCTGCGCGACCTCATAACCAGCAGAAAGAAGCTCGTTGCTCTCTCCTCCCTTCAGTATAGTCTCAAGTGGCTCCTCACGCACATCAATCGATTCAAGGCAACGGACGAGAGCCTGCCAGTGTCGGCGAGACCGAAGGCTAGGCTGTCACTCACCCAGAACACTCTCACTGCCACGACGGACGGCTCGCCAGGCTCATCACCGCTGTCTGGTGGAGCGACGACTGCGCAAGCTGAGGCGACGGAGCTCAAGTTGCCGCTGAGCAGGGAGATGGCTTCGCGCTTCTTGACCCTTCCGACGACCTATGCCGTCCTCTCGGATACGGTCCTCTTCACTCTACGCCTCGAGCTTCGGGCGCGCGTCATACACCACCTGGATCTCGCGATCACCGAGGGCAACTACTGCGTAGCAGACGACCCAGTCGCTGCAGCAGGGGGCTCATCATCCTCAACACCGTCAGTCTCCATCGCCGCGTCAGCCGAGCCCGACCCGCACGTAGTAGACTTGAATGCCGACCTCTCTAACCTGGACGATACGCTCTCCGACTTCCTCACTGCGGAGGACCATCGCTTCCTCTTTGCGGGAATGGCGTCACTCATGGATGATATGCTCATAAGCGCCGTCAAGCGCGTGAAAGCCATTAATCGACCTGGAGTCACAAAGATGATTCGCAACGTCTTGGCATTGCAGCAGAATCTCAAGAACATCGTTGTCAATGACAGCGGAGCGTTCGCTGGTTCTGCAAGTGGCGGAAGAGGTGGAGCTCCAGGCACGCCGATGATCTCGACTACCTCGCCATCCCAGACAGGTGCGTCGCCTTCGACGTCCCTCTACTTTGAGTCCCGCCGATTCTGGGAGCTTCTCTCTTCGCCCTCCCCTGACGAGATGCTCCGTACCGTCTCGGCTGAGATGGAAAGACGGAAGCGCCAGGCGAAGACGTCGGGCTCGCCTGTCCAGCCGCTGCGGTACGGGTTCGAAGAGCTCAAGTGCGCGCTGCAGCTGATGCTGGGCCTCGAGAACGTGACTGGGCCGACGAGTGGCAACTTGAACGGTGGCGGAGGAGGAGGAGGAGACCTGCCGCCGAGTACACCGACGGGAATGGAGCCGCCTGCGGCTTCCTATCTCTCGTACGGGAGCTCTGCCCCTCCGACGCCCACCTCTGCGAGACGCGGTGGTGCTGGGTTGGCGAGGGCGGGCACCCTGCACGACGCCTCTTCGTCAACTTCTTCGACCTCGTCGGCGGGTGGAAAGCAGGGAGCTTCGGCTTCAATGGTTGCGTCACGGCAAAAGTTGAACGAGTACTTGATCGACTTGCATCAGGTGCTGGATGAACAGTAACGCGAGTGGCCGTATACGATGGACAGTGCAGTTTTGTGTAACACGATAATGAGAGACCATGAGCCGACGAGCTTGATGATGCAGAGGTATGCGTGGAGTGAGACGTGGGCACCGCGATATTGCTTTGACCGCGGACGGCGAGATGTCGCATCGTTGTCTGGTGCTTCAGACCCTCCGTCGCTAGCAAGCTCGCCCTTTGAGGAGAGCTGCGTCTGCTTCTTTCATGTTGGCGAGTCTACGGCGCCTCTTTTCGGAGCATTCACTCCGATTCGCTCCACGGTGGAAGTGCACTCGCGAATGTCGCAGAGACTTTTTTCTTCCCCTCGCTTTCACACCGGGCCGCAGGCCGTCAATCTTGCTTCGGTGGCTGTCTCGCTTCTTCTCCTGTCTCGCCGCAGGCAGTCTGCGGCGAGAACCTCCGACGCATTGCCCGTGACATTGCTCCAATCCACGAGCGCCGCAATACGGCTGAACAGCTGCTGCGCGCGGCGATCCCCCTGAGGAGCATGAGACCTTGCTCGCAGTATCGCTCCGCAGCAAGAGGGTCTGGACGGCCCTTCAGGGTACAAGAGGAGGTCGTGCTTTGCGCGCTGTCCCTTCAACTTGTAGCCAAGATCGACGTTCGCTGTCCCTACTGCTTAGGCAACGATGCTGAGTCCCATCAAGCATACTCTCGCCCTCTTCTTCGCACTCGTGGGCGTCTTCACGATGCTGAGCCTGATCAGCGCCATGCCGGTCTTCGACACGAACACCACCTCGGGTGATACCGACGATCTGGCTATCCGGCTGGAAAAGCCCTACATCGGAGTCTGCTTTGTGAGTGCCTGCTTGCGTCTTCTCGGCTGCCCTCCCCTCTCCTGAACAAGACATGACTCCACTCCCTCATCGCGCAGGATTACGCAAATTGCAAGGAGAGCTCCCCTTACACGGACATTGAAGGTGACGGTCATCACAATGTGATCCTTGGCGCCCGCTGCAGCTCCTTTCTGCCTGCTATCAACGAGGGCAAGCTATGTACGCAGGGCTGTGGAGCCAGGGGATGTCACAAGCCGGAGATTGCAAAGTGCATGAATGGAGCTTGGAAGGCCTTTTGCGCTTGAGCAGGAAGTAGGCGGCGAGAATTAGGCGGAGGAGAGCAATCGGGCGCGTACTGATGACTCGCAGTGGTGATGAAGGTGGCAGGACCCATGGAGAAGATCCACAAAGCTTTCGCGGCTTCCATTAGAGCATTCACGTCTCCATGCCCCCAGACAGATTCTTATCCTCTTCCAATACGGCGACCGCAGACGAAGCCGTCCCCTTGTCTCGCTCCTCGAGCAGCCTGAGCGTAGGGACGAGAAGAGTCAGCCTTGCAGCGATGCAACTCCGCAGCGTTGCAGCGTCGCAGCTTTGTCATCTCATCAATTGATCATGTTACTCACCTCTCAAACTTAGTTACGTCCATGCCACCTGCTTCTGTAGCACATGTTGGCACCCAAGCCGCAAGTGGGGTCTGGGCCTCGCCTTCGACGTACCCGCCTTCCCGATGGTAGAGGAGGATGCCGTCTGATGTTGGCGTGTGCGGCCCTGGAGCAATGAGCAAAGCCTCCAACGTGACGAGCGTCGGCGCTGATACGCCTGCTCGGTCAACGTCCATCTCACCAGACTCAGGAGCTGCCGCAGTTGCAGTAATTATCCGTCTGACCTTCGTCCTGCTGCACGCGTCAGGAGAGTTTTGACTCCGACAGACATCTAGCACCCTTCTCTTCCACTCTTCGAGACCACGTACAGGCGCAGCGACGACGGGCAGCGCTTTGATGATGAAAGGATAGGCGAAGGGTCCAGTGCCATCGAGCATTCTCTCTTCGCCTCTGAGTGAATCGGCAGGGAAATGTGCGGGCCACATTGGTGGGTCCAATTCGCTCAGACGCGCCTCCAACCAATACAAGCGAAACTCAGCATCGCACTCCCTGAGATCTGTGCTTGTGCCCCAAGAGCGGATATCCAGAGCCCAGAGAGTGGAGCTGCGTGGCGTGAAGACGCAGTCTAGCTCTGTGCCACGGGGGAGCGGTTGGGAGAGGGGGATAGAGAAGTTGCTTGACGCGTGGGAGCGAGAGGAGCGACCGCCACGACGTTTGCGCGGAGGCTTGTGTGGAAATGGCATGGTAGAGCTGGGTCCCGAGGCGAAGTCAGTGGGAAGCTGAAGGTCGGCGGCTGCCGTGGTAGATGATGAGGAATCATACGAAGGGACATCCTCTTCCACCATGACTGTCGTGTGGGCTGCATTGTCCTCCTCTTGCCCTGCATCCGTGTGCGTGGTAGCTGACAGTGACTGCGTCTGCGGTGCTGTTCTGCTCTGACCGGATGAGGCAGGATTGATAGCCTCGCCGCGTCGCCGTGAGTAGAGGGTCATTCGATCCTCTACGTGCGGAGCATCTAGTCAGCTCAGCCCGGTTCAGCCCGCAGCATTCTCCTCTCGCTCACGCACCTCCGTACCTTGCATCCCAGTCGACTCTGGCGAGCACTCGTCTTCCACTCGGTATCCACGGCAAAGCCATCCAATTCTCATCGAGGTCCTCTGGCAGACTGTCGAGCAGCTCGGCCTGTTGGAGCACGTTGGCGAACGAGGTCGGAGATGACTTTTGCTGCTTCTGCTTGTTCTTCTTTTTGTTCGCTTTTGACGACGCAGGCTGGTCGTCAAGGCCTAGATCATCGCTGTCAGGCAGGGCAAGGTCATCAACAGCGTCGAGTCCTCGAGCCGCAGAATAGCTCGCATCACGCCGTCTGCGCCGTACCTCAAGGGCAGCTTGACGTCTCCGCTCTTGTGCGCCGAGCGGGGTAGATAGAGGAGTACGCTTGTATTGCTCCAGACGGTGGGAGATCTCTGCCTTGATGGCTTTGTCGCCTTGCGATGTCATCTTGTGAGCCGCATTTGCATCGACGTGGTTCGAAGAGAAGAGAGAAAGAAGAAGCGGCCCAAACTCATCACGGTTGCAACAATGACGCACGGACGCATGCTCACCTTTGCTGATGTCGAACATCCCTCGCTGTGACCTCGCCGTGTTTCATTTGAATTCGCGCTCTCACTCGCACACACACCCACACACAGCGTCGATTTGGGGAACAGCCGCAAAGACGTTGGTCATCATTGCTAAGAATCGTGATGTACGCACGAGACCGCTCGTAGCGAGTGAAGAAGATAGTACATGCTGGACAGTATTGATCGCCGCCAGGAGCGAGTGGGGATGAGGGGGAGAGGAAAGACACAACCGGAGGGTAGAGAGAGAGGGACAGGGGGAAGACGGGCAGGACAAGACGTCCGACACGCGACGCTCGCAGCTTAACGGTAGCGGGTAAGCTGGAGGGTGTCGCGACGACGGATGGCCTTGTTCTTTCCACCCTGCGTCTTGTTGAAGCGGTGTCCCTTGCCCTGTCCCCTCGACTTCTTGCCAGTGGCAGTGAGACCACGAGCCTCGCGGTGCTTGTGAACGGGGTTGGCGATCCAGTTGATGCGGGCGTCGCGGCGGACAGCCTTGTGCTGGGGGTCAACGCAGATGACCTCGAAGTACTTGTAGACACCGTCCTGGTTGATCCAGTACGAGTTGAGCACGCGGAGGTTGGCAGCCTTGCGTCCTACACGCTCCTCGGCAGTAGCGCGGAGGGAGCGCTGGTACTTGAGGTGGTTGACACCCTGGCGGACGGGCTTGCCGTAAGTGGCGCCCTTGGGAACGGGCTTCTTACGGTTACCACGGCGGACGCGGATACGGTAGATGACGTAGCCCTGCTTGGCCTTGTAGCCAAGGCGACGGGCCTTGTCGGGGCGAGAGGGACGGCTAGCTCGGTGGATGACGTTGAGCTGGCGGTACTCCCAGCACCTGGCGGCGAGACGCAAGAGTGAGATGGTCAGCGGCGTGCACGAATGGCGATGTGTGTACTGTGCGAGCTAGCTGGCGGGCCGTAGCAGCATTCCGTCCTCCGCCTTCGTCTCTCTCTGTCCCTACAAGCTATCCAGCTCCTTGCTATTCCAGGTCACTCCCTGGACGATGCGTCGTGTAGCCTCCTCGACTGCACTCTTTCCCCCGTCGCTGCTGTCGCTGCTGCCGATATATGTTCTCATTCTGCCCACACCGTCTTCTCCTCCTGTGGCTCTTGCGATGATGCTCACCTGACACGGAGAAGGAATCGGAGGATGTCCGACTGCTTCTTGGTTTGAAGCTCTTGCAAGTACTTGTAGGCACCCATCGCGAACTGGGAGCGGCGGGAATGAAGACAGCGAGTCTGTAGTGAGCTACAATGCTCTCTAATGAGGATGAAGAAGATGTGTCTGCGAGCTCACCTACCAGCTGTCTTGAGGGAGAGGGACGAGGGGATGGGAAGTCAAGTCACTGTCCCCGAGACGTTCGCAGCGTCGAGTCGAGCTCAAGCTCAGGACTTCTCGTCCGTCGTCGGTCGTTTGGCGTGGGCAGCTGGCTGCTCGTGGCTCCGGCTCACGATTTGGCTGGTCGAGCGGGGCGGGAGCTGAGTCCGCCCTCGCCTTGGCTCTGCGGACCGCAGGCGCGCCCCGGTCCCGGGTTGCGAGCTGGCCCGGGTTTCCGTTCGAATGAGAGGAGGCGAGCAAGGGCGAGGGCAACGGCCGTCGTGGCGGGCGGGCGGGCGGGCGGGCGGACTCAGGCAGGCAGGAAGAGGGAGCGAGAGAATCGAGAGTCGAGGTCACACCTCGAGTTCAGCCTCGCCTTTCGATCTTTGTTAATCCCCAACCTCCTTTCCCCCTCCTTCTTCATCCTCAATGGCCGCATCTCGCCCCACCGTTAACGTGCGAGGAGCACACGGCGCTCAGGGCTCTGTGCCCCTCCCCGCCGTCTTCTCGGCACCCGTCCGAACGGACTTGGTCCAGGAGATCTACAGTGAGCATCGCGGAGGGTGGCAGCATGAGTAATGGTAGTCTTGCAGTAGTAGAGAGGGGAAAGGGAGACGGGATGCTACGCTGTGTGCTGAGGGACGGGTAGACGATGCTGCCTTTCAATGGCAGATCAGGGTGTCATCGAGGAAAGATGCAAAGGGCTGCCAATCGGAGGAGGCTGCGAAGTAGAGGGCTGCGAGGAGGGATGCCCCCCCGACTGTCATTGGACAGCATGCTGACCACAGTCTCTCTCCCCTCGCACAGAGAACATGGCCAAGAACAAGCGTCAGCCTTACGCTGTCGCCACCAACGCTGGTCACCAGACGTCCGCTGAGTCGTGGGGTACCGGTCGTGCCGTCGCCCGTATCCCCCGTGTTGGCGGTGGTGGTACTCACCGCTCCGGCCAGGCTGCTTTCGGTAACATGGTCCGCGGCGGGTGAGTGCGAAGAGGGCATAGGAGGCAGATCATACACCTTGAACATCAACTCATGTTTCCCGCTTCTTCCCGCTCGCAGTCACATGTTCGCTCCCACGAAGCTCTGGCGCCGATGGCACGTCAAGACGAACCAGAAGCAGAAGCGCTACGCCGTCGCATCCGCCCTCGCTGCGACTGCGATCCCTTCGCTGCTCCTGGCTCGTGGACACCGCGTCGAGAACGTCGAGGAGGTCCCCTGCGTCGTTGAGGACGCCGTCCAGAACCTGACCAAGACCAAGGACGCCGTCGCTCTCCTCCAGTCGATCAAGGCCTACGACGACGTCGTCAAGGTCTCCAACTCGCGCAAGCTCCGCGCTGGTCAGGGCAAGCTCCGCAACCGTCGCCACGTCCAGCGTCGTGGTCCCCTCGTCGTCTACGCCGAGGACAACGGCATCGTCAAGGCCTTCCGCAACCTGCCCGGTGTTGAGGTCGCCTCCGTCGACCGTCTCAACCTCCTCCAGCTCGCCCCTGGAGGACACCTTGGCCGCTTCGTCGTCTTCACTGCTTCTGCTTTCAAGAAGCTCGACACCATCTTCGGCACCGTCGACCAGCCCTCGATTGTCAAGAAGGGCTTCAAGGTGCCCACGAGCAAGATCACCAACACCGACGTCACCCGCATCATCAACTCGGACGAGATCCAGTCCGTCGTCCGTGCTGCTGGCCCTTCGCAGACCAAGCGCCCTTACACTCAGAAGAAGAACCCTCTTCGCAACCGTGCCGCCCTCTTCCGTCTCAACCCCTACGCTGCTTCGATGATCCGCACTGCTGCTCGCGAGCAGGAGCGCAACCTGAAGCGCAAGGCTGACGGCAAGAAGAAGCCCACCCCCAAGGCCAAGAAGGTCTCGGCAGGCGAGGCCTTCCGTGCCTCTCTCCACGCCTAGGCGTGTCGTGGTGGCAGCAGCGAGGGCTTGGAGTGATACGATGAAGGGCGGCTCGATAGAGGGTTAGCTCGAGTCGTCGCGAAAGGAGGTTGTGAGGAAGTTTCGCTCCTCTCTCTTCATTCGCGCACACACATACGCACACACATTCTTCACCTCTGTATTCTCTCTACGCCTTCCCTCCTTTCTCCAATAGCACTCATATCAGAACGGGAGGTTGCGTGTGTCGTGCGATCGACGTGTGAGAACGAAGACCAGGAGCGACGTGGGGCGGGCGAATGCGATGTCGCCTCTTTCCGGCGCTCCTCATCCATCATTTCACCATTCGCGACCTCACGATGCCTTCGCAAAGTGGACCTTCCGTAGCCTCGACTCAGAGCGATGCCTCGTCGACGTCGAGAGATAGCGCTGCCTCACCATGCTCATTAGCAGAGCTAGTACAGTACGAATGCAACCCTAAACAAGGCGGATACGTGTTGTGCACGCCTGTTGGCAGGGTGTTTCGATTGTGCGTAGCGTAGACGGGAGCGCCCTCGTCTCCTGGCAGCCACAAGCTGATTATCTCTCTGCTCCCTCTCAGGTGCCCCGGACGACCCACCGAGGAGGTGACACACCACGTCGTCTATGATGCTCAGGGCCGCGCCAGAGTCAAGGACGAGGGTGATGATTGAAAGTGCCCGAGAACCGAGCGAGGATCATGGATGCTGCGTGTCGCACGGAGCCAGTCCGCCCAAGGAGAAGGTCCGCATCGACTCACGTGCCATCCTTGCATCCCGTTGCCGTTGCTTCTTGCTGTGCTGTCTTCCCTCCTCCTCATTGCGCTTGTACCCACCACGACGACATATTCATCATACCCAGCGACGACCTCTTGATCCTGCGCGGCTGTGCAACACCGCTAGTCCAACCTCCGAGCGCCCCCCTGTTCCCTCCACCCTGCATTGGCCCCTCTGCTCGCACGTTCGGCCCGTAACTCGCTCTTATCACCAATCTCATTCACAGCAATCACACCCCATTCATTCACTCATCTCATCGCACAATACATCTCAGCATTTGATTCACGACTATCCACGCGCCCCTGATGCCCATTCGAAGGGACCTCTCGTGGTCTAACCTTCGCAATGCTGCGACTGGCAGGCTAGGACACAAGCAGCACAGCGGCGACTCAGCTGAGGACTCAGACAAGGGTCAAGGAGCAGCCTCGTCGAGCAGTGGTAGCTTCAAGCCCCCGCCCTTGAATCGTGCATCCTCGTCGCCCGACACCAGAGGGACAGCCCCCCTAGCAGCGTCCTCTACGCACACCACTGCCAGCGGCCCACGCACCCTCCTCAGCGTCCCGGGCTCTGACTCTCAGCCTCACAATTTGGCAGTATCTGGCGAGCCCGTGGTCACGACGCCCAGCATCACCTCGTCCGCCTCCTCGACCTCGCTGCGGGCTCCTCCAACAAACACCAAGCCTGCCACGCTCGCCCTCCTCCGCATACAGGTGCTGCGCGCATCGAATCTCACACCAAAGGATCGCAACGGCAAGTCTGACCCATTCGTCACCGTTTCCCTCCCCGGCTTGGCGGCGCTCGCAGCTAAGCAGTCGAACAACAGCAGCGGCAACCACCCAGAAGCCTTCCGCAGACAGACGGCCGTGCAACACAAGACTCTCGATCCTGAGTGGAAGAACGAGAGTTGGGATTTCGAGGTGACGAGCGATTGGTTCGGGACTCAGGGCTGGCAGGAGTCGATGGGAGAGGAAGAGGATGACGATGATGAAGACGATGAACGCGAGGTCGGCGTCGAAGATGCTGCGCTGGCAGAGGGCGCCGCGACTATCGAACTCGACCCGGAGTCTGCCGCCCAGGTTTCGACGATGCAACCAGACCAAGCAGCAGCCAATGTGCTCCTCTCTCGAGCTGCAGAGTCAGCCTCAGCTTCACCGCAGCAGTCTCGCCCACCCTCGCGCAGAAAGCTGTCTGCTACGGCGTCCAAGGTTCTCTCCACCTCAGCCAAGGGGATGAAGCTCCTACCCAAAGGCGCCGCCGCTGGTGCTCGCGCTGTAGCTCGCGGTACCCCTCGACCAATGCGACTCGGTCGACGAAGCGGTGCAGTTGGACAGCGAGCCTCGATGCCGCGGCTGGGTGGTCCAGCTGCTGGCCTCGTCTCCAACCTCGAGCTCGTCGTCTGGGACAAGGATTTTGCCCGACGCGAGTACATGGGCGAAGCGAGCTGGCCCGTCTGGGAGTGGTGCAGAGGGCGAGACGTCGAGTGGCCTACGGCCTCCACCTCGGCGGACGACGGTATCTGGCTCACCCTCGTCTCCTCACGACGCAACGCCAAGGTCAGTGGCAAGGTGCAGATCCGCCTCGGCTTCGTTCCTGTGCCCGGCTCGCCAGTCAAGTCGCTCAAACGTCTGTACCGTGCTCTTGTCACGTCAGCGGTGGGAGCTGGAGCGAGAGCGGCAAGCAACACCATGACCGCCCCTGTTCATGCTGGAGAAGAGGAGATTCGCGCCGGTGTTCGTGCTATACCCGCTTCGCAGTCGGTCGGCACGGCAGAGAAGTTCTTTGCCGACAACGGCTTTTCTAGTGACGAGGAGGACGAAGAGCAAGAGGAACTTCTCGATACGGAGAGCGAAGATGATGACGAACTCGACTTGGACGACGAAGACGACTCGGAGACGGACACGGACGACATCGCTTCGACGACGGACGAGGAAGGTGTGGCAGGTGACTCAGATGCCGACTTCATGGCCAGGCACAAGCAGCGCCTCCGACAAGGCAGCGACGACCGTACCGCCTCATCGCCTTCCTCTACGCCGCCGCCTGAGCAGGTGCCGCACTCTGCGACCGAGTCAAGCGCCGACTCGCCGCTAGTCCCCGCAGCGCAGCGCAACAAGAAGCGTTTGCTCCCTTCGTTCCCGCGTAGGAAGACGGGAAGCTCTGGTGCTGACCCCGCAGAGATTGCTGCGGCTAGCGAGAGTGGTGCGACGACGCCAGCGACGGACTCCAATCGCCGTCGTGTCAAGATGCCCAAGCGCCGAGGGACCAAGGATAAGGGGGACGGCACCTCCTCATCCCAGGACCGCAAGCTACGCAAGCTCCAACGCCGCCTGCAACGACGTGAGCGTAACCGCGAAGCCCGCGCCCGGAAGCGTGACGCGCGTGAAGCTCAACAAGACTACAGCTTCAAGAGTGGTAGCAGCGACATCGTTGGCATCGTCATGATGGAAGTCAAGGGCGCCTCCGACCTGCCCCGCTGGAAGAACAGCATGCGCACGGGATTCGACATGGACCCCTTCACCATCGTCGCCTTTGGCCAGAAGATCTTCCGCACCCGCGTCCTCCGCCACACTCTCAACCCGACTTGGGATGAGAAGTTGCTCTTCCACGTCCGCCAGCACGAGCTCAACTATATGTGCAAGATGAGCATATACGACTGGGACAAGCTTACAGCGAACGATCACGTTGGGTCTTGCGAGCTGAGCATTGCAGCGCTGATTGGAGCGGCTCCCAAGGCTGATCCAAAGACGGGCCTGTACGACTCGACGGACGATGGGCTGCATCAGATGCAGACCTTCAAGTTGCCTTTGACTCGAGTGGAGAAGGATGAGGACGTGAAGTACGGTGACTCGTCGCCTAGCTTGACCTTTCAAGCCAAGTTTACGCCGTACGCTGCGCTCAGGCAACGCTTCTGGCGTCAGCTCTGCCAGCAATTCGACACCAATGACTCGGAGTCGCTTTCCTTCCTCGAGGTGACCTCGATGCTTGACTCGCTTGGCTCGACACTGACCAGCGAGACGATTAGCGCCTTCTTCTCTCGCTTTGGCAAGTCTGCCGAGAGCGGGGACGAGATCACGTTCGATGAGGCCATCGTGGCTCTGGAGGATGAGACGCGCAAGTCGATCGATGAGAAGAGGACGGTGCAGCCGCAGAGCAGCCAGCAGCAGGCGAGGCAGGCTAGCCCGAGTCAGGGGCTGGGGCCGGAGCCGCTGGACAATCAGGATGAGGCGGGTGAGGCGAACATGGATATCAGCGGCCATGCTCCAGCCATTCGCGTTGAGGATGGAGACGGAAGGGCTCCGGCGCCGGTGGCAGTTGCTGATGCCGGCGAGGATGGTCAGCACAGGGAGAACGTCCCCTCGTCGAAGCCGGTGCAGCTTCAGCGTACGACGGCCAAGTCGCCAAGCGCCAACTGGTCCACTACCGCCTCGGCCGCCTCTTCGCGTCCACGCACGCCGCACGCTGAGCTCTCGAATCCCATCAGCAGCAGCGCCGAAGGCGACGACGACTCTGCCTCAAGCCCACCCACTACAGTCGCTCAGCCCGAGCGTGTGATCCTCCTCAAATCCTGCCCGCTCTGCCACATGCCCCGCCTCTCCAAGAAGGGCGACGGCGATGTGGTCACCCACCTGGCCGTCTGCGCCTCTCAAGACTGGCGTCGAGTTGACAGCATGGTCGTAAGCAACTTTGTGACCGCCTCGCAAGCGCACCGCAAATGGCTGAACAAGTTTGTCATCTCTGCGACGCAAGGCCGGTACAAGCTGGGAGGCAACTCGGCGAACATCATCGTGCAGGATCGTGCAACGGGTGAGCTTCTTGAGGAGAAGATGCAGGTGTACGTCCGACTGGGTATTCGCCTGCTCTACCAGGGAGCACGGTCGCGAATGGAGGGGGCTCGCGTCCGCAAGATGCTCAAGAACATGAGTGTCAAGCAAGGCAAGAAGTACGACTCGCCCACCTCCGCTCGCGAGATCCCTGGGTTCATCGCTTTCCACAACTTGAACGTCGAGGAGATTCGCGACCCGCTTGACTCGTTCAAGACGTTCAATGACTTCTTCTACCGGAAACTCAAGGTCGACGCCCGACCGATCGAGGAGCCAAAGAACCCTAAGCGGCTGGTGTCGGCTGCGGACTGTAGGTTGATGGTGTTCCCTTCGGTGGACGAGGCGACGCGCATCTGGATCAAGGGGCGCGAGTTCAGCGTCGCTCGACTGCTCGACGTTGATTCGATCGGCGAGTCGTACGTGAATGGGAGCTTGTGCATTTTCCGCCTCGCTCCGCAGGACTATCACCGATTCCACTGCCCGGCGGACGCCGTGGTCGGGGAGCCACACTTCGTCGAGGGGGCCTACTATACGGTCAACCCCATGGCGATCCGCAGCGCCATCGACGTCTACGGAGAGAATGTTCGCTGTGTCGTCCCGCTGCATACGGAGGCGTACGGGACGATCTACTACGTCTGCATCGGGGCGATGATGGTGGGCTCCATTGTGCTGACGGTGCAAAAGGGCCAGAAGCTCAAAAAGGGCGATGAAGTCGGGTACTACGCGTTTGGTGGGTCGACGACTGTCTGTATCTTTGAGGAGGGGAGGGTCAAGTGGGATGAGGACCTGCTCACCAATTCAAAGGCGTCGATTGAGACGCTGGTTAGGATCGGGAGCGGATTGGGACGCGCGGTCGAGCACGGCGGGGGCGAGAAGCAGGCCAGCCCGCATGACGATGGGAGCGTGTCACCGCAGGCGTAGCGCGTGGAGCGTGGCATCGATGTTTCTTCTTTTTCCTCGTGCGATCCCTTTAATTCATCCCGCGCTTGGCCGTGGTCATCGCGTCCGTAGCTGCGAGCCCAGAGTGCCCTGCTCGCCTGCCACGCGAGCTTTCCCGACGCGTTTCTCCCCCCCGCTCGCCCAGTCCGCCCCGCGCCAAACACGACAGGCGGGCGTTGAGAAGGCAACGCAACGCCTCATCGCCGTCTCGCCGTTTCGTCCCCCCGCCCTCGCCCCACGCCCACGCCTCGTTGCCTTGACGCTTCTCTCTTCACGTCCTGCCCATCACGGCGATCGTTGCGAGCCCCACCGACTCGCAAGCTTGTAGCGCACCATGATCGTCATCCCTCTGTCACGGCCGGACGAGGCGCCCTTGCCTCCTGCCACTCGCGGCGGTGCAGCATCGTCGTCCGCCACGCCAGCAGCTGCCAACGGCCGACCACGCAGGCATCGTAAGCAGGACGTTGCAGCATCAGCATCAGCGGATCCCTCCCCTCGATGCACGCCATCATCATCGTCTACCGCTTCGTCGTCACGCCAACCTACCCCAGACACGCCCGCTATCCCGCCATCATCGACGTGCAGCAGCGCCCCTCACCGAGACCTCGCCCGCGTATGGGAGGCCGTCAGCTCATCACGACGCATCGTCGTAGTAACAGGCGCAGGCATCTCCGTCTCTGCTCCGGCTAACATCCCGGACTTTCGATCCTCGACGGGCCTGTTCAAGACGCTGAAAGAGCAGCATCCAAATGCAGGCCTCTCAAGCGGCAAGGATCTATTTGACGCTCGTCTCTTTCAGAGCGAGGCGAACACGGCACTGTTTTACTCGATGATCGCACAGCTTCACGACATGACGCTAGCTGCTCAGCCGACGCTGTTCCACCATTTGATAAAGCGACTCGACGAGCAGGGAAGACTGCAGCGCGTCTACACGCAGAATATCGATGCCCTCGAGGAGCGAGCGGGGCTTACATTTGGGCTGGGCAATGGGGCGCGCAAAACGTTCCAGCGTACTGCGAGTCTGGGGAAAAGGAAGAGATTGGCCGCAGCGGCGGCAGCTGCAGCAACCACAGATTCGTCGAGCGACGCTCCACGTCCTCGCTGGAACAAGACGCAGAGCGCCCCCGTCACGCCTCACCTCTTTGGCCGCGACGATTCCGAGCCCGCCACCGCCATGTTTCCCCGCGTCATCCCGCTACATGGCTCCCTTGCCCATCTGGTCTGCACGGCGTGCGACTTCCGCCTCTCTACCTTGCCCACTCCCACGCCGCAGGTGCAGGCGGCACTCAAGGAACTCTCCAGTGGGGAGACACCAAGCTGCCCTGCTTGCTCCGAGAGAGACGGCGTGCGAATTGCCGCAGGGTTGCGATCGCGCGGAATCGGCTTCTTGAAGCCGGACGTCGTGCTCTACAATGGGGACAATAAGAGTGGCGAGAGGGTAGGGGAGTGCTTGGAGCGAGATGTGTTGGGTTTGAGGGACAGGCTGGATGGACAGGTGCCCGAGACGTACGCGGAGGAGAGGGCGAGGGTGAGGAGGGAGGACAAGGCGCAGGCCACCAAGATGCACGTAGGCGCGGCCGAGAAGCACGTAGACGCGGCGGCGGATGCGCATGCGGCGACCTCGATGAGCATCTCGGACAGCAAGGATTCGCTGGCAGAGGATGTGTTGGGTCAAGTCTTTGAGGACGACGAGGAAGAAGACAAGGCTCTGGTGGCGAGTGAGCTCATCTCCACCGGTATCTCTGCAAGCCCTACTGCCAAGCTCTTTGAGGGTGTGCGAGCCAAGCGTTCGCTGCAGCGTGCGACGACGCAGCCCGCCTCCGCCTTCGCCGGCCCCAGCGCCAGTGCCAGTACCAGCAAGAAGACAACCTCCGCCGCAGCCACGAAGCCCCTCAAGCCCCTTCCTCCCGACCTCCTCATCGTAGCGGGCACGTCGCTCAAAGTCCCCGGCACGAAGCGTGTGGTGCGCGAGTTTGCCAAGGCTGCGCGTGCACGAGATGGCATTATACCCAAGGGGTGCGCGTCTGGCTCCAAGGCGTCGCGGGAGAATAGCAAGACTCCCTCTTCTCACTCGAATTCGAGGTCAGGGTCGTGGGAGTCTACAGCGCCGAGTGAGGCGGGCAGCGACGACGACGACGATAATGAGGATGATGAGGACGAGCTGGAGGACGGCACGGACCCCTCGCGCCCTATCCGAACCATTCTACTCAACTACGACTTCCCTGTTCCCTCCAAAGAGTGGGAGGACATCTTCGACGTGTGGGTGCAGGGAGACGTGCAGGCTGCTGCGGGTGGACTGTGGGGGGCTTCAAGTGGTTACGGGTCCGGAAACTCGATTGTCAACACCAGCTCTGCGGGTGGCGTAGGAGCTGGCGAGGAGGAAGACAGCATCAGCGGCGTTCGCAGCTGGGATCTAGCCCTCGAGGAGCTCGAGGAGACGCGGAATGAGCTCAAGAAGGCGGAACGCGCTGAGAAGAGGGCGCGGTCGCAGAAAGAGAAGGAGGTGGAGGAGGGTGGCGGTGATGAGAGTATGAGTAGTGTCACGACGGCGCGCAAAGGTGGTGCGAGGAGGAAGAGCGCGGTCAAAAAGGAGGGCGGAGAAGAGGATGAGAGCGACCACTCCAAGCCTAGACTAAGCCCCACGGTCTTGATTCCCAAGATGAGCATCTCGGAAGGCGGCGCGACAATGAGCAAGGCGAAGGGCAGGAGCGCGAAGAACCTCGCCCCCTCGGCCAAGACCAATGGCGGGGTCGACGCTATGTTCCCTCCAGCGAAGCGGGCTACTGGCGCCGCGGCTGGAGCGAAGGGTGCGAAGCCGGCAGCGAAGCCCGCAACGATGACGGCAAGAGCTAGGAAGGTCAGTACGGGTAGCGCGGGGCGCAAGGCGTCTACTGCCAAGGCTCCGTAGCAGATGCAACCCAACGTACACTGCCCCTCATGCTCACTGCCACGCTTTGCAAACGAATGTACGACCGAATGACATCCACACTAGCATACGCGCGAGCGGGTCTGATTGAGCGTGTGCGAGTGTGTGGTTTATGTGTTTGATCGTCGGGCTGGCTGAAAAGTTGTACAAGAGGTGCGAAGAGAGACGAGACGAGGGGCGGCGTAGCGTAGCGTGGCGAGGCGAGGCATTCATTGCGGCCTGGGAGGCATGGGGTAGCTGTGAGCGATCGAGAGGAAAGGTATTGTCAGCAAGGACGCTCGTCGCTCGTCGCTCGTCATTGCCACGCGCTGCCCGCTGCTCACCCAGGAGGAGGCCTGAAGCCCGGTGGGGGTGCACCAGCCGGGAAACCAGGCGGAGGTCCACTAGGGAAGCCAGGGGGTGGTCCAGAGGGGAAGCCTGGGGGAGGTCCACCAGGCATGCCCATCGGCGGGGGCGGTCGTCCGTACGGCATAGGTCGCGCTGCCATAGCTCCAGGAGGAGGAGGAGCGGCCAAACCAATGCCTCTCCCAGCTGGCATCCCTCTCCCAGCTCCAGGCGGTACACCACCCGCCGCTGCTGCTGCTGCTGCTCCCTTCTCCGGTGGTGGCGGTCCCTCTACGCTCAGCGAGACGACAGTTTCCCCCCTCAAGATGATGAGTCCGAGTGTCCTCTTCTGCTCGGCGCTCGGCATCGGCGCTGAGCTGCTCTCGTCATCATCGTCCTCCTCCCCATCTGCGGCGGCTGCAGCCTTTTTCGCGGCCTTTGACCCGCGCTTGAGGCGTCGAAACTCTTCGGTGTCTGCAAGTACGAGATTCATGTGAGGGTCAAAGGCGAGCATCTGGCCCGTGAGCTGGCGTCCGTCGTTGAGGGTCACGCGCAGCCGATAGTTGAGGAGGGAGAGCATCTTGCCTCCTTGCGCGCGAGAGGGGGCCTGGCCGCGGGTGGGGGGTGAGGCGTTGTCAGCAGCGAGAGGGGACACAGCGGTGTTCAGAGGGGCACGCGGCGCAACTCACCATGGCTGCGAGTTGAAGCCTTGGCTTGGATTTGATGGTTGTTGAGGATGCAGCAATCGCGTCTGTGCGGATGCGATCTTCGTCCGTCGACTTGAGCGAGTGAGTGAGTGGCATCGGCTCCGCTCCGATTCCGATTCCTCCAGTCGAGGGAGGCGAGTCGGGGCGCCGCCGCCTGGCGAGGTGTTGGACGGGGGGCGTTGCAGTCCTTCCTACTCGTCTCTATTTACCCCGAATCTTCCCTCGAGCACAAGCAATGTCATCGAGCGCACCCGCTAGCGGCCTCGAGGCCAAGGCGGCCAAGAAGCTCGCAGCACGTAAACGCTTCGAGGACGTCTTCCCGCTCCTCGTCGAGGAGTTGATCGACTATCTCAAGTCCGAGGGCATGCCAGCCGAAGCACAAGAGTGGTACCGCAAGAACCTCGACTACAACACGCCGGGTGGCAAGCTCAATCGCGGTCTCAGTGTTGTCGATACGGTAGACATTCTCCTCTGCACAGACGCTGGAGGGAAGAGGACGAGAGAGCTTTCCGAGCCAGAGTACCTGAAAGCCGCCATCTTGGGCTGGTGTATCGAGCTCCTCCAGGCCTACTTCCTCGTCGCAGACGATATGATGGACGCTTCGCTCACACGCCGTGGTCACCCTTGCTGGTACAAGGTGCAAGGTGTCGGCAACATCGCAATCAATGACTCCTTCATGCTCGAAGCGGCCATCTACTACCTGCTCAAGAAGCACTTCCGTCAAGATAGCTACTACGGCTTCCTCCTCGAGCTCTTCCACGACGTCACCTTCCAGACGGAGCTTGGCCAGCTCATCGACCTCATCACCGCCGACGAGCACCACGTCGACCTGTCCAAGTTTTCCCTCGAGAAGCACCACCTCATCGTCTTGTACAAAACGGCCTTTTACTCCTTTTACCTTCCCGTGGCCTGCGCAATGCACATGGCCGGTATCAAGGACGAGAGCCTATTCAAGCACGCTGCAGCGATCTTGCTGCCCCTCGGCGAGTACTTTCAGGTGCAAGACGACTACCTCGACGCGTACGGCAATCCGGAGGTTATCGGCAAGATCGGGACCGACATCCAGGACAACAAGTGCTCGTGGCCCATCAACGTCGTTCTCCTCCACGCCACGTCAGAACAGCGTGCGCTGCTTGATCAGCATTATGGGCGCAAAGATGCTGCGAGCGAGGCGGTAGTCAAGGACATCTACTCTGCATCGAATATCGACATCCCCTCCAAGTTTGCCGCGTACGAGAAGAAGAGCTACGATGAGATTACGGCCAAGATTGCGCAGGTAGACGAGTCGACGGGACTTAGGAGGGACGTCTTTACTAGCTTTTTGGATAAGGTGTACAAGAGGACCGTGTGAGCGCGCGCGCAGCGTGTGAGCAGGTCGACCAGCGTCTCTCCCTGTGCTCTCTCCTCTACGGATCGTCTTTTGCTCAATGATTACCCAAAGTGACCAGCGTCAAGCACCAAGCACTAGAGATCAGCGTGAGCGTGAGGTCGCTCTGCGTGGGCGGAAGACGTACTGATCAGCAGAACGGCCGGCGTACTCCCCGATCACAGCGTCGAGGCGGATGGGGTGTGCACTCCTTCGTTCCTGGATGGCCTGCATTGCCCTCGGCTCCTTTGGCTCCGTGCGGCGGCGGGTCGAGCTCGTCGCGACGTGCGGCCAGGAACAGGCGACGCTGAGCGGCTGAGCATCCGCTCCATCACTCCAATCACATCCGCTCGTCGACGGCCCGCACGCTCATCGTGTCGACGCTCTCGTCCTGACGAGACTACTTAAAGCCGCTTTTTTTCGCCCCCCCCCATCTTAATTTCCCTCCTCCATCTTCATCCCTCTCCCTCACTCACCGTGACGAGGCAGGCAACTCGTCGTGGCTCTTCCTTTCTTCCCTCTGCTCAGCACACACCACGCTCACTCGGCCACGCTCTTCAACTCGTATAACTCGCTGAGGCACCCTCACTCGCCAAGCTCCTTGCTACTCCCTACCTCACTTGGCTCAGCAGCACACCCTCGCTCAACGCCACGCTCGCTCAACGCCACGCTCGCTCAACGCCACGCTCGCTCAACGCCACGCTCGCTCAACGCCACGCTCGCTCAACGCCACGCTCGCTCAACACCACACGCCACCTACAGTCAGGCTCAGCTCGAGCGCCTCGTCATGGCTCCCTCCCTTGCTCGCTCAGCATCACACCAGGTAAGCATCACGCTCCTCGATGCTTCATCGACCCCCCAGCGCTCGGCTGACGCTCGCCTCATGTCTTCTGCGCTGTCCTCAGCACGCACCGCGCTCGCTCAGCACCACGCTCGCTCAGCACCACCCTTCCTCTCTGGCTAGCAACTCTAACCGCCCCCTTCCTTGGTCACTCTCCTACGCCAAGCACAAGCCCCTCGCCGTGATGGTCTCACATCTCAGCGGCTCAGCATCACGCTCCTCAGCACGCTCTCTCTACCATCACTGGCCCACGTCTACCGCTACTCAGCACCAAGCTCGCCCAGCACCAAGCTCGCCCAGCACCACGCTCGCCACTACGCCGCTCGCCGCCACGCTCGCCACCGCTCTAGCACCATCAAGCTCGTCTCTCGCCTCAAGCCTAAGGCGCAGCTGAGCTCAAGAGAAACCTCAACATCGTCGCCCCGCCTCGGCACCACGCTCATTGTCATCGTACCATACCGCACCACACCGCACCGCACTGCACCGCCTCATCGACATCAAGTCACGGGAGGGAGGAAGCTGAAGGAGACACACACTCGATCACGGACGAGCTCGCAGCGCATACTCTCCCGCGACGTCAACGCCATCACGGCCTACGTCAACGTCACACCAGCGCGCAAGGCCTCGGCACCGCTACGCAGAGGACAGCGAAGGTCAGTCGCACACCTCCTTGCATCCATCCTTCGTCACGCGCTCGACATCAACACGGCTCTTCTCCCCGAGCCCAGATCAAGTGACAAGGACACCAGCGTCGCGGGCGTCAAAGTGGATCTCTTCCTCACCACCCAAAACGCCACAATGTCCTCAACTCGTCCTCCCGTAAACGCTGCTGCGGAGGCAGTCCTCAGGCTGCCCCCTCCTCAACCGGAGGGAAAGCTGCCGAGCGATGAGGCAGTCGCCGCGATGTACGCGCGCGTGGACCCGGAGGTTCGCGCATACTTCGAAACTATGGAGCCCTTCCGTAAAGCCGCGTTGGCAAAGAAGGAGGCTCTGAAGCGCTTCGTGGACAGATCTCAGGCCCCCCTTACCACCGGAGACCGCCTGGCCTACACGGCCACGTTCGACCAAGTCTCCGCAGGCAAGCTCCTCGCCGAGGGCGAAGAGGTCGACGTACGCCGATACGAGGAGCTGGCAAACGCTCGCCGTGCCAAGGCAGAGAACAAGGGAAGTTTGGGCGTCGACGGGCAGTCATTCATCTTCTGCCTCTGCCGCATCAGCACCCCCTGGACCAAGGAGGAGGCCAAGGAAAAGATCAAGAAGCTAGGACCCAAGGTGGTTGGGGCGGTCAAGGCCCTCAGCAGTGCTTTCGAGACGAGCGAAGATAGTGGCTACCGCTTTGACAAGCCACAAGGAAGCCAAGCTCCACTGGGAGGTCGCCGTAGCAAGTGCAGCCGCAGGGATGGAGAATGGGCGCGAAGGCCCACACATACCGTGTTGGAGCCGCTGCTCAAGCTGGTGCAGGCATGCGACGGCCTGAGCTTGGTGAGGTTGGACTCGGCATGCAACGACCTCAACAGCTGGGGTGAGTGACTGTGGTTGCTCGCCTGCTTATTCGCCCTTGCCCGCTCACCTCCTTACGCTTCTCCTGTACATGCTCGCTCAGCATACCACATCGCCCATCTTCGACCCAACACCCGCACCCTCTACATCTAAGGACTGCAAGGCCCGCCAAAGTACGAAGTCTGGTCAAGAGAAGAGGCTTTACGCATCGCGTCGAGGAGCTTCACCCAAGTCGGCGCCCTGCCGCAGTCGCTCCTCGAGGGGCACGTCCGTCGCAAAATGTATGCGTCGGCAAGCGCTCTTGTTGCTGCTCCGCAGCGCATGGGCTTCCTCGAGTCTGCAGTGGGGGAGTACGAGTCGCTGACTCCGGGCATTGACCTGCTGGTCAGTACCGCTAACGCCTCGTAGTCAAAGATGGGATGCGAAGGTGACCTAGTCTCTTCCTCCCTCGCTTCTCCCCCGCTTGCACTTCGCAAAGGACGGCGGCGATGGCGCAGGCCGCTTCGCCTCCTCTTCAACCCTCCACTGGATCATCGAGTCAGAGAGGTTGACGGGGACGGAGGTCTGCAAGATCGCTCCGCAAGATCAGCAGATGGCGTGGCTGCCTGATACTGTCTATATGCAGCGTGTGCCGACCGGAACGGTGCGTAATGGTTGCTGCACTCGCTCGTCGTCAATTCTGTATTTGCTCACCTTACCTTTGCCCTTGCGCTCGCTCAGTCTCCTTTCTTCCACCCCTTCGCCCTGGCACGAGTATTTCCTCCTCGTACGGGACTCTGAACAATGAGCCGAAATAGCAAGTCTGGTCTCGAGAGGAAGCATTGGAGATCGCCACGAGGACTAACGCGGACTGTGCCGGATTACCCGCCTCGCTGGAGGAAGGCCATATTCATCAACTCTACACGGCCGCGCATGCTATGATGCAACCCCAGCACCGTCTGCGTCTCTTTGCGTCGGATGTTGCGGCGTGCGAGCTGGCCCCTCCAAGACTGGACCCGCTGGTGAGCGCCATGAGGACTCGAAGGTGTAGTGAGCAATGCTGACCTGTCCGATCGCTACTTCGCTTGCTCGCCCTTCGCTCAGGCTGCTGGCGACGCCACCTCTCGCTTTGAGTCGACGCAGGAGCTGGCTTCTGTCAGCAAGTCGCAGAGGGTGACGGCCACGTTTACCTGCGAGGTGAAGAGGGCCGATGACCGCACTAAGGCATCTCGCGCGTCCCGCTCCAGCGAAGGGACCACCAGCAGGACCGCCACGGAGGACATGGTCCAGAGCTTCGCCGGCGCTCGCGACGTGGTGATGCAGACCGCGAAGAGAAGGCGATTGGCGACCGCCTCCTACTCCTCTGCCCACGCCGCCGCCTCCTCCTCGGCCACCGCCGCCTCCTCCTCTGCCCGCGCCACCGCCGCCTCCTCCTCTGCCCGCGCCACCGCCTCCTCTGCCTCCGCCGGCCCCTCCTCGTCCTCGGCGGCTACTTGAAGGCGGAGATCAGCAAGATGGCTGCCGAGAGCGCCCGCGTCAACTTCGAGAGGACCAAGGCAGACGCAGCGCTCCAGCAGGCGAGCTCATCTGCGACCGGCAACGCCCGCCGCGAGGAAGAGGACGACAACGATCACGCCGACGTCGCGGGCATGGGCGTCCAGGGGAGCGGGCGTGGCGGGAGGAGGGGCCCAAAGAGGTGGGAGGCGGAGAACGTGGCGCTTCCCGGCGAAGCGGACCACACCTTGGGAAAGCGCGCGTACACAGAGCGGGGGTGCGAGACCAAGGAGGAGGAGGAGGAGTACCACCGGGTGTACATGAAGGAGATGAAGAGGCTCAAGGGGAAGAAGAGCAAAAACAAGGCCTATCAGGATATGTCGGAGGCCGAGCGCGCAAAGGTGCGGGAGCGCTCGCGGTTCGACTATTGCCAAAAGAAGGCCAGGGACTCGGCGGAGAGAGAGGCGGCGGAGGCGAAGGCTGCCAGGGTGGTGATGGTACGGAAGAGGAGATGAAGGAAGCACAGCAGTACAACGTCTTCTACTATGCTATAAGGAGACGGTACAGCATACAATGAAAGCAGGCTAGTAATCACTAGCAATTTAGCTTGATCGCGTGAAGACGGATTCGTGAAGGTGATCAACGCTGCAGTCGTGTCCACCTCCCTGCCGAGCCTGAGTCAGGTCGCGCTCACGGCTCTTGGTCTCGGCTGCGATTCAGCGGAAGTCAAATGCTGGCGATGAGCTTCGCTAGCAGTCGCCCACCTCACGAGAAGAATTCAGCTGCCATGAAACTGCGGTCTACTTTGATGCCGGGGCGGCGGGCAGGCAGGCTTGATGGCCTCGTCTGGGCTGACGTCGGCGCAGCGGGTGTGGGGTCAGCGAGACGATGCAGGAGAGGTAGGGCACTCCTATGCCGAGCGTAGTGAACTCAGCTGACGCACGAGAAGCATTCATTTCAATCTTGCAACGAATCAAAGCGCTATCTGGTGTAACATGTAAACGTCAGAAGAAGCGCCAGTCGTTCCAGCTCATGTCCACGCTGGGCCTGCTTCGCAGACGCCACAACTACTTTGTACGTGGTAGCAGTGTCGACTCACTCGCTGCAAGTCTACGAGAGATGATGTTGATGCTCGGCGGTGGCAGTAAACCTTCATCGCAACCCCAGCGAGACCTCAGCAGGTGGGACCCTGACTTGCTCCACTGCGCAAATCCAGTCGAGGTCAATGGTAGTTGAGGTAGTCGTGACCAGACTCCAGGAAGTCACCACGTGGTTTGTTCCGCACGGGACGGCTTCACGGCACCTGGCCACAGTCGGGATTTGAATTTTTTGGCGCGGAAGGGATAGCCGATGACAGCTGCCGATCAAACCGGAACGGATGTTTCAGATGGGGCGGCGATTGAGAAGAACGCGATTCCCCGCCAAACCGTAGAAGAAGTAGCTAGACTTGGCAAGCAAAAGAGAAGCTTCCTGGCCGGGAATTGAACCCGGGGCTCCCGCAGTCTGCTGTAATGACAAGCGGACGTCCTGACCATTAAACCACCAAGAAGGAAACTGTTGTTGTTGAACGACTACCGTTTTGAGGTGTACATGTACGTAAAGAACTTTAGAGCGACGATTCCCGCCAATCTTGGCCTCCACGACCCTCAGCTGAGTCTCCTGAGTGATCTCTAGTATGTCCGGCATCCACGGAATGCGCCTCTCCATTTACTCAACCAGTCCTTCCCCAGGGGAGTCGTCTGTACCCTCCCTCGCACTTCTGTCCCTTCTCCCCTCCTATCCTCCTCTCCTAGCCCACATAATCGCCAATCTCGCCTTCTTCACCTCCCACTGACTTACTCAGCTTGAGAGCACTCTCCGAGAAATAGTCGACAATGAAAAACTCACGTTACACGCGGGCCGGCGTGAAGGGAGGGATGGTGAGACATTTGGCGTGCTAGACGTGCCTGAGTCTCACACAACCGTGGGAACAGAGTCCCATCAGTGATTCCTATAATCTCGCTGTCGCATCATCAACTGTGCTTCCTCACTCATACCTCAAACGAGTCAACGCGAAGGCAGGGTGGACCAACGGACGCGTCATTCGTCACTCGCCGCATCCGCAGTCGGCTTCCCCACGGCCCCCTCGATCCATCGCAGAGGTCTCGATCCGTCTATCTCTAGCATGGAGTCCTATCACATCAAAGCGCACAGAGAGTCGTGCGTGCCTGCCAGGCTCCACGGATCTGCCTCATTGGAAGGTGGAGCGCATGCGTAGACCGACGCGTAGGGTACGCTCCTTTCGTGCGCACTAAGCTGCCGCACTCTCGCCCAGCACTAATCACCGGCCGCTCTGACAGACCCGAAGCCTCCGCGGCTTCGTGGCCAACTCAACCCAACGAGAAAGGAAGGAAGGAAAGAGGCCTCTATTCCGCGACCGGGCGCACGTCTGTACCAGCAGCCCACTCGTCTGCGACCTCTTCCTCCTCCGTTCCATCTACATGCCAGCCACTCGCCGCCATCCATCACCTCTTCTCTTCTCTCCTCATCACCGTCGCCATCACCAGAACCATTGCCACCCTCAGCATCCTCCTTCTCCGTCGCTTGAAAGACTCTCTTCTTACAGCTGATGACCGACTCGGTGTTCTCTCCCGCTCGCGCCACTCAAAGCTCTCAGTGGCCACCTTGCCCCTCGGCTGCACCATCTCCTCCCTCAAGGCGGCGGGCACTGTTGGGCGAAGAGGAGCTTGCCTGTTGGCGCGCTGCGTCCTGCTCATTCTCAAAGTCGGCCCGGGGATCGCCGCGAGCCATCTCGCGGATTTGCTCCATCCCAGCCTGGGTGGTGGAGGTGGATGAGCTAGGCGTGGCAGTCGTGGCAGAGGCGGATGAGATGGAGGGCCTGGCTGACTGAGGTTGCCCACCTCCCCAAGCCGCCAGGGCATGCTTGCGAATCGGCTCCATCTTGTCCATCAGGGCGCGGATCGCGGGAGAAGCGGTCGCGTAGACCTCGGCGGTTTCTTCGTCCGTGGGCAGACGGCCGAGAGGTGGGTATGGGCCGCGCTTGAGAGCTGCCTCTCTACCAGCCTCTCTTGCAGCTTTGATGCGCTCGTCGTTCGGCGAAGACATGTGAGCGTTGAGGAGGTTGTGGGCTGTTGTTGGAGAGAGAGAGAGAGGAGAGAGGAGGAGGCTGACAAGAAGGACTTGGACACAACGGAACGGATAGCCGACGCTACGGGCAGCTCTATTTCGAGCCCAGACGGGCTTCCGTCGTCTCTACGCGGTCTCACTTGTCCCCCCTCCTCCGGCGGGATCCGCGAGGCAACGGCTGACCCGCCCACACAATTCAGCCCACTCGCCACTCTGAGCCATTCTCACTCTCTACTCGATTCGACGGCCTGGCTTCGAAGCGCCGGGCGTATCGCGCCTACCTCCTCACTGGTCAGCCGGTCGATTCTTTCTTCCCCTCCACTCCACTCTGTCTGCTCATCCCCTTCGACTCGAGTCACAACATCCATCCGGCCCGGCTCATCACGCAACGACTGAGTATCACGACGTCAGAGGACCTGCGCATCTACTCTCGAAGACAGCGGCGCAAAAGTCACCCTCTTCGCCGAGCATCGCTTCTTCGCCCTCGTTCCACCACGCTCGTCTCATCGTCAACCCAAATCTCGTCACACAACTTCGACCCCAATGGCAGCCGCCGCTACCTCATCTCCATCGCCGCCCTCGCCGCATCCCGTCTACTTCGTCCCTGTGGCCATCGTACGCAGCGACATCCTCGCTCTGGCCGCCCGCCTCCATCATACTCGATGCCGTCCATAGCGTCTGCTGTACCGCGCTTACCCTGGATGGACTCCTCCGATCCATCCACCATCTTCATCTTGCTCACCCACCTGCCAGTACCGCCCATCATCTCACTACGGCTCAATGCGTCACTCCCCGCATGATGCACGAGGGCAGAGGGGCTCGTTCAGTGGAGCAGCAGCGTCATCCTCCCCATCCACCAGACTCGCGGGGATGACCCGCATCCCATCTTCCACTCATCTACCCATCAAGACGGAACTTCACCCTCTTTCCAGCCTTGTCAACCCCTCGCCGGCTAGGGCAGACCAACCAGGGCTTACTTGCCCTCGTCCCACCCATCTGGCGCTGCTCAGCTTGCTCGGCCTCTTCACCTCATACACCCTTGGCTACTCGCATGTAGCAGAGCGCCGCCTCATCCGCCATTCACTCCCTCACTGCTCTCCTCGTCCATCACGTAGGCTTCGAGTCGTCCCTCTCTGGCGTGGCAGGGAATGGATGGAGGGCTTGGTCGCGTCGGTGAGTTCATCGTCACGTCCGCACGTCCCGCACATCTTGCTCATCCCACCACTCCGTCCGCTCACACTCGCAGTTGACCATCTTCGCCCTCTCCATACACACCACGTCAACATCGAGCTGGCCCGCCAAGCTACGTCCGCGGGCCTGGGACATTGCTGTCAGGCTTCCCGCTCTGCCATTGGCAAGCAGCAGTCTGGCAGCGGTGCCCATCCTGAGTGCCATGCAGCTCCAACTTATTGTGAACGAAGCAGGCCGCGCTGATGCGACTTATGCGGACCTCTGCATCCTGGCTCGGCGCTGTGTGCGATTAGAAATGGTTGTGCGTGGCGAGCAGGTAGTCCAATCTGGAATCGAGACAGCGCTTGAGAGGACGATCTCGATGAGACAGCTCGCGGCAGGAGGCGGTTACGACGCGCCAGCCCTGCCTTAAAGTTATCATTCATTGTCCTTCACGACGCTGCAGGCTGTGCTTGAGCTCCTTTCTTCGCTTGGCGCCCATGGCCATCTACCTTGCGACCCTCACCCCTCCCCTCCTCGCCATCCCATCCTACGAGCTCGTCATCGACTGATACCCTCAGCCTTAGCACCTCGCGACATGATACCAGAGCCCGCAACAAACATCTTGAGCACCCAGGCATCCCGTGATCACAGCCATGCTAGCAATGAAATCAGATCTTGCCCACGAACGTCAACGCGTGTCGATCTCGCACAACGCTCCAAGACCCACAAAAGAGCAAGCGAGACAGCGCGAAGAGTGTTCGATGCAGAGCCAAGCTTGTCTCGCCGCATCAACCTCGGCCTCCACGTCCGGCTTTCACGGAGGGCAGCGGATCCATCCACTTCAGTCCTTCCGCATTCACATCGCGTACCCATTCTTCCTTCCTCTCTTCCTATCTCAATACACGCACACGCACACGCACAATGGACTTCCTCACCTCCCCCAAGGCCACGAACCTCTCCCTCTATTCGCTCCCTGGCGTGCTCCTCCTCGCCGCCATCCCTCACTGGTGGTCCATTCATCAATGCATGACCAAGAACGTCAACGGCGGATGGAAGAACCAGAACCCGCGCTCCTTTGTCGCTAGCTTGAACTTCAAGAGTGCTAGTGGGAAGAAGCTCAGCGAGCTCGAGAAGAAGGTGTTGCGCGCCCAGGCTGGTACGTATGCGTGATGGCACTTCACACACTTCGCGAGACTGACCCTTCATTCGCGCCGCGTACAGCTCAACAGAATGGCTTCGAATGGTTCGGCTTCTGGGCCGCTGCCGTCCTGGCCGGCAACCTCGCCCACCTGCCCCACGACGAGCTCAACAGGATGACCGTCGTCTACCTCGTGTCGCGCGTGCTGTACAACTTTGCCTATGTGCTCCTCGACGGCTTCGCCCCCAGCCTGATCAGGACGGCCGTCTTCCAGGTCAGCATCATTGCGGGTCTCAGGCTCATCTTCATGGCTGGCAACAGGCTGGCGTGAGGGCGCGGTGGGAGAAAATCGGGTTGAAGGCTGATGTATGGATCGCGCCGCGTCTAATCAATTCAAGGATCGCCTCGCTACACTCATCTCGCGCTGTTCGCGAGTCGCTGCTCCTCCCCATCTTCCCCTTCCTCCTCTTCGGGATCATACAAGACATGATGACTTTCCTCCTCGGTGACTGCGCTGCCCTCTCTCCTCTCCCTAAGCTCCGAGTAATCCGCATGAGCAGCAGACTGTGTTGCGATCTCTCCCCCGCCGCGCCGTCTCCTCGCCCCGGGCCTCGTCCACGTATACCCCTCCACGCGACTACGCACCCACTCCAATGCATCGCTCAACACACGCTCCAGCTCACCACCAAATCGCTCTTCACCCTGTCCCATCTCCCCACCCCATGTCGGTAGCTCCTCGGCCCTCTGCTCCCTGGCCGCCTGTCGCGCAAGCCCATCCGCATGCTCCTGCGCCGCAATGTGCTTCAGCAGGTCCTTGACCGTTACCAGGCCCTCGAGCGAGCCCTGCCTGTCGGTCACGAGGATGACGCGCGGACCCATCTTCTTGAAGAGGTCCATCACCACTTCGAGGGGCATTCCGGGAGCGACGGTGAGAGGCGTTTGATCGACCCACCCACCGAGCTCGAGGTAGTCTTCGTCACCCTCACCATCGACGCCTGCTGAGACGTCATGCGCGCCGCCGCCCTCATCGTCATCGTCGCTATCGTCCGCGCCCGCATCCACGAGCGCTTCAGTCAAGCCACCCGCAGCACTCGGCCCGCGCGATCTCCTACCGCCGACCCCCGCCGCCTTCTCAGAATCGGCAGTCGCCTCGCCATCCATCGCTCTCCCCTTCAAGGTAGGCGCAGCGCCCACCGTCTCACCCGAAGTGGGATCCACGTCTTCCACCGTAAAGTAGCACATCGTTTCCGCCGCCAAGCTATTGCGCACCCTCCTCGCCTTCGTGAGTGCAAAACGCAGCTCCGTCTTGCCTACGTACCCGAGTAGCGTGCGATCCTCTGCGCTCCGCACGACGGGGAAGCCGCGATACGTGTTGCGCAAACGCTGCTCCAGATCCCGCAACGAAGTTCCGCGCGCGTAGACGACGTCAGGGTCGCGCTTCATTGCCTCGCGCACGGGGAGGAGCCCAAAGTTGTGCTCGTCCTTGTCGAGGAACGGGTACCCGGCAAACTTCATCGTCTGCTCAGCCATGCCACCCTTGCCGTACAAGTCTCCGACACCCTTTGTGATCATGACTACGATCATGGTGGGCAGGATGTACGTGAGAGCGCCCGTGAGCTCGAACATGATCACCACGACGGCGACAGTGATCCGCGTGACCCCGGCCAAGGCCGCAGCTGCGCCGAGGAAAGCGTACGTTCCCGGCGTGATGCAGGGCACGTCCGGTTGACAGGCAGAGAAGATCGCCGCGGCCGGATAAGCGGAATGCGCTGCTTTAATCAGGATCCCCAGCATGCGCCCAAACGTAGCGCCTATGGCCATGGAGGGAACAAAGATGCCAGCAGGGACCTTGCAGCCGTATGAGAGGATGACGAGTGCGCAGCGAAGTACGGTCGCCAGGAGGAGAGAGTTGACCATGCGCCACTGTGCCCACGATTGGCAGAGATTGTCGTAGTCCCCTCCGCCCTCACACTCCCTGAATAGGATTTCGAGGGACTCGGTCATGTCTATGCGCAGGAACTTGTTCCAATAACCAATAAACGCCGTAATCACTGCCAGGATGACCGCTTCGCTTACTCCATGCTTTGCCAGGTTGGACCGTCGAAATGCCTGCACCTGCAGGTTGTACTTGATAACAAACGCCCCGTACAGCCCGCCAAAGATGCCGATGATGATGTAGAAGAGGATTTCAAAGTAGTGCCAGTCGCGGTCGTAGCTGACTTGGAAGAGGACAAGCTTGCCCGTGCGGAAAGGGTTCATAAAGGAGAGGGTGACCGTCGCGGCCAGGGCGCATAGGAAGGAGCGCCACATCGTCGTGGCGGGGAATTGGTACGCCTGGGCGCGCGCGAAGGGGGGAAGGAGTGAGCTCGATGCTGCGGCTTGAAATCACACGCGCGCCCGCGCAACGCACCATCTCCTCGAGCGAGAACAAGACGCCCCCGATCGGCGAGCCGAACGCTACGGCGACTCCTGCCGCACTAGCAGCCGTGAGCAGCTCCCTCATCCTCGCCTGGCTACGATCAAAGCTCCTGAACCATCCCGCGACCACATTCCCAATACAACACGCCACATGTACGGCTGGCCCCTCCTTGCCTACACTTAATCCCGAAGCGATCGCCAAGGGCAAGCTCAGACTCTTGATGACTAGCGTTGCCCCACCGAGAAAGCCATTGATGATGAATCCCGCGAGAATGCACTTGATCTCCGTGATGCCTGAGCCTGCTGCGTAAGGGGCAAAGTGCCGAACAAGATGCGCGCAGCTGAATGAAAGGAGGGCGGCAAAGGCAATGTAGACTATCCAGGCAGGCAAGGTCCAGGTGGACCAAGGGACCCAATCTGTGCATGTCTCGCTCAGGTCCGCGGGCGAAGGCGCGGTAGCGTTGGCAGCGCGTATGAGCAGCGAAGTGTTGGCACTCGTTGACGGTGCGGGCGACGCTAGAGCTGCCGCAGCCGCTGCCGCCTTGATGGCCGAGTGCGGGATGGGAGCCCCACCGGGCCCAGCGGGGTCCATCATTTCCCAGCAGCAGAACTTCTGATTGAGCCACCAGCCTGCGCGGCAGTAACCCGTCTTGAGATCGGACGCCCATTCCGTTGCGATGGAAATGATGGCCATGTTGACGCCGATGAAGCAGCCTAGCGAGGGGCCGAGCCGAGATGATGGCAGGTCAGTCGTCATCTCCTCTCGCAAGGTCAATCGTCGTCTCCTCTCGCGCGGCGCACTCACCTACTAGCACGACAACTCCCGAATCCATGCCTGCTTTCGCTCCCTTCAATCCCAGTCGCGCAACGAACCACGCTCTTCTCCCCCAAGGTCCCGTCGTCGGCCACCATCTCGGCGGTCTCTCCCCCGGTGCATAGCCCAACGTTCCCCAGCTCGATCCACCGTTGGCTAGGTGAGCATTGGAGGACGAAGATCTGGCTTGGGCGCGAGCTACTCGCGCTCGTTCGCGTGTCGAATCAACGATCCAGTCTACGGTGGTGAACTGGCATCAGCAGGGAAGGACAGGGACGGTTCAATGGCTGCATCTAGGGTGGGGATCGCAGCTGCACTCACGCTCTCGTACCTGCGAATATCGTCGAGCTCACCCTGATCCACCTCATTGCGGGGCGTCGATGGAATGCTTGATCTACGTCTACCCGCGGTAGATGGGCCCGCAGCAGCGTCGCTCCCTTCTGGCGGCATGGCGTCGAATTCAGAGCTTGGCAAGAAGGACAAGATTCGCCTTGGGCTCGCAGCTTGGGTGAGTGTTGGATGAGAAAGAGGCCCGTTCGCCCGCCCTGCAGTCAGTCTCAAGCCGCGCTTCCGCCCTCAGTCTGACGCTCGACGCTCGACGCTCGACTTTGTCCCCGCAACGCGTTGCGTGAGCTCCTCCTTTTACTCCACTACCACCACCTCGACATGGCAGACGAGGAGCCGGTATCTGCTGGCGCCTCGTTGCCTGGCTATTCTCTCCTCCCGCACGATGCGGCTGAAGCCCTTCAATTCGACATCGTCCCACGTTCAGACGCCTCGTCCTTCCAGGCAGGCTACCAAGGGTTGCAGGAGCGAGGCTTCCAAGTGTGGCTCAGGGGCGATGTTCTACTCAAAGCGTCACCGCAGGCTTTGCAAGGCTTGACGAGATGCACGATTCAGCTGACGGCGGACGAGAGTGTACCATCCTGTAGCGTACCGCTGCATCAGGCCTCGCATATACTGTGGACCTCGCCCGACCTCCCCACCACTTCATCCTCTGCTGCTGCGCAAGCGCACGCCACTCATCCCCCCTCGGTCATGCCATTCGAATTTTCTCTCCCACAACACCTCCCTCACTGCCTACATCTCCCGGACATCAAGCTCGAATACCGGCTCGTTGCCACGCTCCACTCCACCGACACATCGCAGCTGCCGCGAACAAAAACCGTCTCTGTCCACGTAACGCGCTACTCTGCTCCCGGCCCACCACGCCAACTCCTCCCGGCCTCGTGCGCGACGAATGGAGGTTTCTCAGAGGAGCCCAAGGTGTGGAAGAGGACAAGCCCGACGGACATCGAGGTCACGCTTGCGCGCACTCTGTACAGACGAGGGGACCACATCCCGCTACGCATCCAGGTGGCGGCCCCGCATGACAAGTTGATTGCGAAAGGCCTGCGCATCAGGAGCGTCGAGGCCGAGCTGGTGAGGAGGATTGAGACGCGGGCAACGCAACCAGACGAGGCAGCTTCCAACCCCAAAGCTAGGGCCAAGGACAGAGATACGGCTGGCGGCTGGGAGCCGCATGCGCATCTCCTCTCCAGCGAGGACGCGCCTCGAGTCACTCCACCACCCTCCTCTCCCCTCGCCACAACATCTCATCAAACCATCTTAGCTTACTCCGGCAAAGCCTGTCGCTTCTCTCTCACCCGTCCGCTCGTCCTGCACCTCACCCTCGTCCCGCCCTTTACTTCACCGGCCCTTCCTCACCCCTCGCCAGACCATGACGCCCCACCCGCCGGTCTCTCGCCATTGACAGCGGGATCTGCAGGAGGGGGTGGCGGCTGCGAGAGCGTGAGCCAGCAGACGAGATTGAGCGAAGTGGCATTCCAGGTCAAGGTCTACATACGACTCAGAGGGCCCAGCGCGAGTGCGGCTGCGGAACAAGCGAGGGCGAGCACATCGCCATCAGGTTCTTCTTCAGCCGGAGCGTCAGGGTCGAGCAACCAGGACGTAACGTTCGAGAGCGAAATTTACGTGCTGCCCGCCTTGGCTGGAGCTGGTGCAGAGGGACAGGAGCATGCAGAAGAAGAGGCAACGGCGGAGCAGCCGCAGCCTCCAGCCTCAACTCCGTGGCCAGCCGACGAGGAAGACTTTGACGGATACGAGGACTTTCGCGAGTCGCGGGAGGCCTTCGAAGAGGCAGACGGGCGGGATCTTCCGCCTACAATCGTCTTCAACGCTGAGGAAGCTGGAAACAGCGCCGACAGAAGAGTCGTCGGTGGGACCGCGACAGGGCCGCAGGAGCCTCCACCTACCCTTCAGCAATCCCAGCATGACCTGCAGATCTTCCCCTCAGGCCACGCAGGGCAGGGGGGAGACGATGAGGCGCTCCCTCCTCCGCATCCTGAACGACAAGGTCAAGGCGACGGCGATGGCGATGCGCAGGTACCTTCTTACGAGAACGAGGGGGCTAGCACACCTCGACCGCCACCTGCTTGGAGTGAGCGAATCGTATTCATCGAAGGGGTTGGAGAGGGAGAGAGGCGGCTCGACTTCGACGGACATGTGCGTGACTGGTCGGCACCGCCCCCTCCAACCCTGTCGGAGAGCAGCAGCAGTCTCGCTGAGCCAGCACTACCACCTTTTGACGGGACATTGACATCGCCTCCTCCGTGCTTTGACGATCAAGACGAGTCATCGCCTCCTCCCCCTCCAAGAACCTTTGCAGCTCATCACGGCAACACGCCGCAGGCGGTGCCGGCGAGTCGGGAACAGCAGCAGCCACGGCAAGCGAGCGGCACCCCTGTCGAGCCACCGCCGTACATGACCATGATGGCACCTGCCCATAACGACGCGCCCTCAGCCTCCTCATCCTCGTCGCTCCCACCATTACCACCCGCGCATCCCGATGACGCTGGCGTCGAACACTACTCCTGGGCAGGAGCACCAGAGGCGAGCGGAAGCTCTACGCCCCTCCCCGGCGCGTCAGCAACTAGCATCCCTCCACACATCGCAGCATCAGCATCGACATCATCAGCATCACCATCGTCATCATTAACACCATCATACCCAACAGCAGCACAGGAGAAAGAGGCTCTCGCTCTCGCTCTCGCCATGAGCAGCGGGGAGACGAGCACGAGCTCAACGGTCAGTGACGAGGGTCGGGCGAGCTACGAGCAGGTCGAGGCGCAACAGGGTGGGGCGATCGGGACGACCCATGCGCAGCATCCTCATCAGCAAGGGGACGGCCAGGAGGCGGACGAGGAGCTGCCCCCGCATTACGAGGCTTGAATGGCGCTCTATTTGTGAGAAAGGCGCGAAAACGATGTAAATTGTGTATCTCGCTGTTTGCGAGGAAGACCAGAATGATCGATATGCGAAGCCATTGTGCCCATTCTCGTGGTTCGGGCTCCCTCTCACGCCGCATCTACGGCCCTACCTCATCCCGCCGCCTCCCCTCGCTGGCTCAGAAATCGAACTCGCCTCTGAACCCCTCCAAGCTACTCCCCACATGCGCCTTGCCCGCCAAATCCATGCGATCCATAGCCAAGAAGATCCTGCGCAACGTACTCCACAATCCGTGCGACTCCTGCGCCTCAGCGAGGGGAGGAGGCCCTCCACCTCCTCCTCCAGCCGAAGCGCCCTGCGGAGCGTCTGGCAACCTCTGCGTCTGCTGGAGAGCGAGAGCGGAGAGCAAGTGCTCAGCAGCCTCATGATGAGCACCGAGGTTGAGGCATGAAACGCTCAGATTATAGATGGCGCGAGTGAACGTCGGGCGCAACTCGAGAGCCTTGTGGTAGGCCTCGATGGCCATCTCCGGCTTTCCGCCATTGGCTAACGTGGCTCCCAGACGATTCCAAAGCAGAAAGTCGTTAGGTCGAACTTCGAGCGCTGAGCGGAAACAGTCTTCTGCCTTCTCGTAGGACGAGTCGGCGTAGAAGAGGACACCGAGCCCGACTTGAACCTCGGCGTCCACGAGGGAACGAGAGGCATTTTCGCGTGCGGCGGCGAGGAAGGAGTTGGTGACGGAGTTGAGGGTAGCCCAAGGGTTTTGTTGGCCACCAGGAGCTTGTTCGGGCTCCACAGCGCGCAAGTCCGGGAGAGTGGAAGCATCGCTCTTGAGGTGAGGGTAAGCGCGGGCAATGTAGCGCTGCAGCGTCGAGTGAGCCGCAACGTCGTACCCTTCGTTGATGTAGCTGATCGCGAGAGCCATGTAAGCCTCCAAATTTCCCTCGTCTACCCGAATCGCCTCCTCAAGCGCACGGACAGCCTGCGTCTCGCGCTCATTCATTGCCTGTGCCTCGCCCAAGCGCCGCCAAGCCTCAGAGCGGGCACGACGCTCCCTGTCCACCTCGTTGGCTTCACCGCCCGTGCCTCCAGATTGCGGCTTGACCGTCGCGGCTTCAAATGCCATGGTGGCGTCGCTGAGTGAGCCGCCCTCGGAGAGAAGGCGCAACCCCTCCGCGAGTGGGTCGGCGTGCTGCATATAAGGGTTCTGGTTGCTGAGCCTGTAGTTGCCCAGGCGAGGGTACCCATCCGCTCCTAGCGTGCCGAAGCCCTCGAGCAGCTTGTCTTCACTTCCATCCCAACCTGCCGTCTCCAGTAGCCCACCATCCCCACCCGCAATCCCGCCGCCAGGGTGACGATATCCGACCCCCTCGTTTTGGGCGTTGAGCTCCTCTTCCCACTTGGCGAGGTCCTCATCCACTTCGGCTTGATCTCCCGCAGTGCTGTGCTTCATGGCATTCCAGAGCTCCTGGAAACGGTCGTCTGCTGCACGCCCCTCTGCTGTAATGTCGTCGCTTATCCCATCCAGTGCTCGGCGTACTGCTGCGTCCTGGTCTTCCTCTGACTCGAGGTGAGCCTCTTCACGGGCTTTGCCCTTGCCCTTGTCTACCGCGCTGGCCTGAGCAGCATCTGCCTCAGCGGCAGCTTGAGCGTCGTCCAGGGCCTTGAATTGGGCTTCCCATGAGGCATTGTCCAGCTCTACGATGCGCGATTTGCCCTTGTCTTGCTGTTGAGAAGCGGGAGCGTTGTTCATCATCATACCGCCGCCACCGCCGTAGCTGCTCATCATGCCGCCACCGTAACCGCCATAGGCGAGGCGATTCATGTACGAGGAGCCGGAGGAGGCGGGACCCTGTTGCTGCTGCTGCTGCTGCTGAGCCATCGAGGGGGAACTGATGGGCTGCTGCTGGTGCTGTTGCTGGAATTGATTGCCCCATGCCGACCCTCCCGACATTTGAGGGGGAGCATGATGCTGCATTCCTGCAGGCCCGGGTGAAGCTCTAGCGCTCATCTCATTAGCCCACGCAGCACTGCTAGGTGGCGGTGCTCCGCTGGCACGCATCATCTCCATCTCCTTGCGCATCGTTTGAAAGTCGAATGCAGGACCCGCACCACCACCGCCGCCGAGCTGTTGGGCTTGGTGGCGCATGAAGTTGGCATCCATCTGCTCGCCGCCTAGTCCACCTTGGGCCTGCCGAAAGGCATTGGCCTGTGGGCCGCCCTGCTGCTGCTGCATACGATCGCCATGCTGGAGCGAGCGGTCATTCTGCGTTTGCTTCAGCAGCTGATTGAGCGGATTCGAGGAGGCACCGCATTCTGCGGCTGAGAGGAACGACATGATTGATGGGAATGGTAGAGAGGCAACCAAGATGGACCACTCGTGGCTGCGCGGAGGCGGCAAGAGCAGCGCCGTTGAGTGGGGGCGGGGCTCAGGCAACTCGAAGCCGATGCCGGGCGTGGGTCGAGGCGGGTGTGGAGCGAGGCCCGGAACGGGAGCAAGCGAGCGAGGAGCGAATAGCCGGTCAGCCCCACGCTGCAGTCAGGATCACGACCATGCTTTTGCGTGAGTGCAATGCAACCTTTATTTTTGCAATTCGATTGCATCTATGCCACCATACGCTGCCACGCTCAATCACCGAATTGGATCGATCCTCCTGACCATGCGCCCCACTGTGGCGCCGGAGGCTGAGGCGGAGCAGAAGAGCTCGCACTCGTTGGCGTGTCGTCCCCCAACCCGAGCTCCTTCTGCACCGCCGCCAGCTCGTCCTCCTCCTCGTCATCGAGAGTCCCATTCCCTTCCAGCGCTATCCTTCCGGACGACCGCGTCTTTTTTGCGCCGCTCACGGGCGTTCCAGTCGCACCAGCCTTGTTCCTCGTCGACCGCCTCGGCGAAGGGGTCGCCACCGGGGCCGCTGACGCCTGGCTCCCCCTCGCCTTTGCTGCACCACTGCCACTGAGGCTAGTCCCCTCGAATCTAGCCACAAGCGTTTCAACATCGATGCCCCTCGCACGAGCCCAGTCCAGACACCCATCAGCCAGGTCGCGCAATATCGGCGACAGCCCATTGTAGAAGTTGAGACCCTCGCTGACATTCGCCAGCACCTCGCTGTACTTTCCTGCTGCGGTGCACAAATTTAAGAGGTGCGCAGAAACACGACTTGACAAGTCTGAGCTCGGTCGAGCCGCGTCCATCTGCTCTTGTAGGGTGGCGCGCTTTGCTTGAAGTTGCTGAAGTAGGTTAGAGAGGGACGCCTCAATATGCCCCACCTCGACCTCGAGGGAGCGATACTTCTTGAACTCGGCCGCAAAGAGAGGTTCGAATGCCTCCGGCCCCAGGTCGAGTGCAGCACCGCCATCGTTAGACCCGCTGCTCAGCCGTGCCGTTTCGCGCATCACCTTCTCTCGTACATCGTCGCCGCGGACCAGGGAACGCGTTTCGCCGGAGAGTGAGGCGAATTCCGCTAGGGCGTCCTCGGTCGCTTCGAGCGTCTTGCGGAGGTCGCGGACAATGGGGCTGGAAGAGGTGACCTTGGGCGCTCTTGATGATGCGGGAATGAGCTCCCCTTCCTCGTGCTCGGCGCGTAGACGCTCCAAGCTCTGCGCGATGCCCTGCTCACCAGCCTCGAGTATCTGCCAGCTGGGCAACCATTTGTCGACTTTGCTCTGGACCACCTTGTCACTCTCCCCAGCCATCTTGAGCGTGCCGGCTAGCTCCTCCAACCGCTTACGGTAGCTCTGCCCCGCAATGCTGCTCTCTTGGCGCGTCCAGTGTTTCGATCCTGCGAACTGCGACCGCACCTCCGAGTCCTCGCGAGCTTCGCCATCCAGTGTCGAGCGTGCTTCGGCGAGGATGGAGGCGTTGAGCTGGGCCATGCGTGAGACGTCGCCGCGGAGCTGTTCAAGGTGAGGCAGACCGCCTTCTGATTGAACCTGATGTGCCTTGCTGAGTAGGCTCGGCGGGACGGTATCCGCGTTGCTGCCGGCCCGCGAGCTGTCTAGCTCATTGAGGACGTGCGGCAGGTCGAGACTCTCCATCGTGCTGCGTACGACGGCCTCGAGTTCCTGCCGCTTGGCCTCGACCGCATCTCTCCACCAGCTCTCCTTGCGATCCTCATAGACGCTGATGGCCAGATGCGCGCCGTACGGCACCAGGGCGCCAAAGAGTGGGCGGCCCAGCGAAGGCGCATCACTACCGCTTCCCGCCCCTAAGCAGTCAATAGGTCGCGCCACCTCGACAGGCAGCTTGGCCTGCACCATTCTTGCCCCCTGTACGACCGTCAAGCTCCCCGCAGGCGTCACCGGCTCCAAGTAGATGAGGTCGTTGTCCTTCTTTGATCTCTTCAGATTTCCCTCGATCACGCCCTGCAGCCCTCTCAGGTCACTCTGAATCGCCTCACTTGAAGCGGGCAAGCCCTTCTTTGCCGCCGCCAACGCAGACTTGACATGGCCCTCCGCCAGATGAAGTCGCGAAATCTCATCGCCGTACCGTGATGAGGCCAGGTCGTCCTGTGACTTGCGGAATTGCGAGGCGGCAGCGAAGTGATGTCGTTTTACTGTGATGTGGTTGAGCCATGTGCGAGGGAAAGTCTCGACTCCTTCGTCTGCTTCTGCTTGTTTGCCTTCGGTGAGGGCTTGAGAGTAGAGATCTTCGACTGCTGCCGCTAGCTTGGCGACGGTGCCGCTGCGAGAGCGAGGAAGGGACGATGGAATGTGTGAGCTCGACGTGTCCTAATCTATGCTGCTGTCACGCTTTCACTCACGGCTTCATCCCATCACTGACAGCCTTCTGCCAGAAGCACTCCTGCGCTTGCGCTAGCGTCAAGGTAGCCAGAGGCCTCAGCCTCGCAGCCGTGAACCCGTGCGGCGGCGAAGTCTCTTCCAGCCTCAGTCCAGGCACAACGACGTCAACGAGATGTGATAGGATGGCAGATGCAGCCTGGAAGAACCCGACGGCCCTCTTGATGCTATTGCCGTCATTACGCGGCTCCTGCGCCGCAAGTGAGCTCAGCAGGGCCGCAGCTGCAAAGAGGACGTTGGCCCTCTCCCACTCCAGCGTCGTATGGCCCACGAATGCCATGCCTCCAAAGTTGATGCCAAAGCTCTCCGCGTTGCTCGCCTGGCTGACCAGCTCAGCAGCCGTCTCCGCCAACGCTGCTGGCCGTGTACTAGTCGATGAAGAGGAAGCCCACACGGACGTGGAGACGAAGGGCTGTGCCCAGGGGAAGGCGAGGGGCAGATCAGCAGACAGCTTCGTACCCGCAAAGACGAGCTGTGCATGGTATCGATATGCTGCTTCTAGGCTGGCGAAGTGCTCCTCCATGCTCGCGACGGCGTTGCGCAACTGAACGAGGGAGGAGATGTCGGACGCGAATGCGTCGGCGTGGTGCATTTCACCTGCGTGGGAGGTGATGGCCTGGCGAAGTGCTATTGAAAGCGGGCCAGAGAGGTTGGCCGAGGAAGGGATAGGCAGGCTGAGCATGTTGCGGCCTGCCATTGTGGGCGTGCGGTAGAGGAGGGTGGATGGATGGTCGAGGAGGGAACGAAGCGGGCGGGAGAACAGACGGCGGACTGGCGCCAAATCCGTTTGCAACACCTCCACGACGCGCCTCGTCCCGTCCACGCCCGTGCGGGTGAGACGAGCGAGGCTCAGACCGATGGCGGCGAGCTGAGGAGCTAACATTACTTGACAGATCGCTGAAGGTGAGACACGCTGTCGATGGCATTGAAAGAGACGGGTATGATCTGGAAAGCTGAGCATGGTGTGACAGTTTGGAAATAAACGCAACCTCCTCCGGGGCTCCCTTGGATGGCAATTCACCACCCAACATCTGCTATCAGTCGAGCCCATGATTCATCTGCAAGTCTGCGAGCCCCGCCATAGGATCTTTCAGGATTGCCTTGACCTTTCCGCCTACCGACCCATGACCGTGACGCTGGTTGTAAACGCGGACCGAATCGCGATGGTTGACGCGCCCGGCGCTGAACTTCTGCTGATGGACAGCTCGGGACTCGCGAGGGGTGATACTTGCCGTGATCTCTTGACCCCACGAGCTGTGGTGTGAGAGGGTAGAGGGTCAGCGGCGATGCGCTCGTTACATCGTGTGCGCCCACTCACCATTTGGGATCACTCCCCTTGCCGCACTTGCCCACCTTGTTCTGCCATCCCCAGCCCATCATCTCTTTCGATGCCGTCTTGCCCGCTCGCATATGCGTCTGCGCATTTGGGCTTTGATGCTGGTTGCTGTGGAAGTGATGAGCTCTGCCGTCGTACAGATCCTTGATGGCGCGGTGGCGCTTGTGCTGGCTAGTAGTGTGCGTGTCGCGAGCCACGCCCAAAAGAGACTTGGGATCGGCAGCCTGAGCACCCTTCGCGCCGTAGAGGGACATGAGGGCCAGGACGAGGACGAAGAGGCTGAGGGGTACGAAGCGTGAGGACATGGCCGCGGTGGGGGTCGTGGAATGGATAGGTAGGGAACAATGAAGTGACAATGAGCAACAATGTTCGACGACACGATCATCATCCTCATCATGGGGTTGTCTGAAGGCAATCCCGTCCCTAGACCAGGAGCAAGGACGCACTCAGGGGCCGACCGCCTTGACGAGGGACGAACAACAGAGTGCTCGGACCTTTCTCTTCTCCGCTCACTCAACCCCGCAAACACACCCCTCGCCCCGTCACCCGGGTCCTCGCTTCCGGTGATGCGCGATGGAATGAATCAGGGAAGATGGGCGGGCACGAGCAAAAGTGTTCTGCGAAGCGATTGATCCAAAGCATCATGCGAGTGCCTGCGATCGTAGCGTAGCATAGCGCTCGTCGAGTCTCGCGTGACCCTGCGTGAGGAGCCGGCGGCAAGCTCGACGTTCGCTGTCCGCCCCTTGACCTTCCTTCATCCGCTCCCATCGCAGCATGGCGACGCCTCCTGCCTCTTCATCGATATCCTCACGCTCACTGCGTCGCCACCATGCTACTCTTCTCCGCCATCACGCCTCCTTAGCCGCAGAGCAACAGCTCCTCGCCCGCCTCTGGTACAAGTCACGAGCGCAATTCCGCAATGCCAAGTGGATGAGGCCTTGTGATGTTGTGAGGAGGCGAATGGGAGTGATGGCCAAGATCATCGAGGAGGCGCTGCGATCTTCGGCGGCACTATTTGATGCATTGACCGTCAGCGTTAGAACAGAAGGTAGCAGCGCATCGACCTCAATCGCATTGCAAACGCTGCCCAAGAGAAGCCAAGCCCAGGACGTCTCGCCGCCGCTAAAGCTGGTTGCGCGCCATCTCATCTCGCTCCTGACCCTCCTCTGCGCCCTCGATGAGCTCTCGCAACGGGCGCGCACCGCTTTCAGCCTTTTGGAGAGCCACCTCCGCACTCCACCGGCTCCTACTTTCGCCGCCTTGGTCACATCAATGCTCGGACTTTGCGCTGGGGTCCACGCTAGGTGTAGTGAGGGGATTCAGAGCACAGCGGAGGCTTATGGAGAGGTAGCAGCGACGTCAGGCATGGCAAAGGAAAGGCCGATCAGAGTGGGAAGTTCGCAGGCTACGCAGGCACTCCAAGAGGGGAGGTCGAAGCTGCAGAGGAAGAAAAGAGGAGCGGACGAGGAAGAGGTAGCACGAGAAGTGATCGCAGCCTTGCCGGCGAGCATACAGGCAGCGACACCAGCTGCAAAGGGCACAAGGAACAAGACCAGGCTGCCTCCTGTCCCAGTAGCGGGCAGCAGACGCAGTCTCGTAGACGAGCTGCTCGAGACCACCAAGCTGGCGCGCTAGGAATTCGCGACCTCATCCGCTCTCGACAGCATCGACATTTCAACCATTCATACCCTGACGTACATCGCGCATCGGTTCGCATCTATGTATTTGTAATGGCGAGCCTGACACATTGTCCTGTATACACAGTCTAGCTCCCCACCTCTATTCCCCCGCGCACAGCGCATCAGCTCGAGGGAGGCACCTCACTGACATTGAGGTCGTGAATCTTCGTTGTGGCCACATCCTTGACCCAGCTGTGAAGGGACGGAGGGGACGAAGAGTAGTCAGTTCCCCTCGCTATCGCTGCACGTCTCACACCGCACGCCGCGCACTTACCCATGCAGCCTGACCTTATTGCACATCCTGCCCTTGACGAGCGTGCTCTCCCCCGTCTTCCAGTTGCGCTGAATTACCTCGCTATTCCTCAGGTTCTCGACCTGCTTGAGCACGTTGGCCGTGGTGAGCTTGCGCGCGAACTCGGCCTTGGGCGCATCGGCTGCTACGGTGCCGTTCTTGATGAGCTCACCAGCGAGCTGGGCGAGGGGGACGAGGTAGCGCTGCAAAGCGGTGGTAGGAGTGCCTGCAGATGCTCCGGCGAGGGCAGCATCGATTGCTGCGGAGACTCCACCGCACGAGGTGTGGCCTACGACGACGACTGCGGGTGCCGGGGATGAGAATGATAGGGTCAGCTTCTGGCGCTGTCACCTCCTTCCGCAGTGGCGCGACTCACCCTCCTCTACGCCCAAAGCCTCAATCGCAAACGTCAATGCCGCATTGGCAGAGTCGTCGTTCTCATTCCACTGGTTCGCGATGTTCCTCACGGTAAAGATCTCTCCTGGGTCCGTCTGGCAGATGGTCCCCTCTGGCATACGAGAGTCGGCGCACCCGATCCAGAACACCTTGGGTGCCTGTCCCTTGCTAATGGCAGCGAGGAGATCCGGCTTGTCCTTTGCGATGTTGCTGGAGAAGGCTTCGTTGCGGCTGAGAAGGGAGGAGAGTGCCGGCCCGAGATTGGGGTTGGACTGGGATTGGTTGGGAGTAGGCTCGAAGGCTGGGGCGGACATGTTGGGCCAGTATGGATTAGAGGATTCGGCGCGTCGTGAGGTTGTAGAGATGGTACGGATGCTGAAAGGTGATTGCGGTGCCAAGCTTCGCAGAAAAGAGGAAGAGGAGCTTCTCAACGCCATCCAAGCTGGAGATATGAGCAGCGAAGGTTGATTATTGGTCGCCAACCCCGCGCCGGCGTCGCCGCTTGGACCGCCGCTTGGAGACGGAAATAGGGAAGAGGTTGGCTTGGGGCAGGCGGCCGGCCGGGCGGGCGGACGATTGATGTCGTGCGTCTTGCGTCTTGCGTGGAAAGAGAGCTGCGCGAGCAAGGGCGGGTCGAGTCAGCGCCGGTAGTGGGGCAGATGAAGAAGACTGCCAAGCCAAGACAAACCCGCGATCAACCAGACTAGCCAGGAGGACAGACGCCGGCCTTTGGGGGGAAGTTGGCGATCAGAGCGCAGCGTGCAAGATCGATAGCCTACCGGCAGCATGGCGAAGAGAGAGAAAGAGCGAGACGGGGATGAGGTAGACGAGGCAGACGCGATGGCGAGGGGCGCAGGCGAACATTGAATGGCTTGTGAGAGCGCATGGCGATAACGAGGCGGGGTGATGGCATGGCGGTGCAAACAACGTGTCCGCCAAGGAAAGTGGCAGCTTGTCACTGTAATTGCTTGCCGCGTTGAGTGCTATTCACTCAGCCAATACCATGAATTGCTCATTGCGGCGTAGAGATACCGCCGGCGAGCGACCAACCTCTGCACGACAGGTCAATGCACCGCCTGAGCTTCGTGATGATGAGCAATACCCCGGCTAAGCGCGGCCCGTAGCAAGCGCGAGACTCTCGATGGCCATGATCACTTCGTGGCTCTGCTGTGTGATCGTTGCTATGCTATGATCAAGGACAGCGTGCGTCGTGCAGGCGAAGGCTTGCGACAAAGCATTCTGCTTAAGCCACCTTTCGATGATAGTGAGAGCATCGCGAAGCAGCGCAGGAGGGAGGAGGACAGGTGAGCCAATGAGTGACGGATGATGAGCAGCTCAACAGCAACCACTCCCCTGATGCGGGCGGGACGTGGCAGCGAAATGACTTCAGCAGGGGTACATAGCCAGGCAAGGAGAAGAGATGGATAGTCGATTCAATGACCTTGGTGAGCCCAGCTGCGCGGCCAGCTTGCCCACTCGAGCAGGCAAGTGCTAGTGTCACAGACCGGGTCCTTTGCGTACAGCGAGACAAGTCTGGCACAGCTGCCCGAGTTGGGTATGGTGAGCTCGGCGAAACAAGGGTCACCCAGGCTGGCGACGGTCACGCTCCTCATTGAGGGGAGCTCGGTGCGTGTTCGCGCCCGTCGGACCGAAGATTGGCATTCCTTCGTATCATTCTACGATGCAAGCGGGTCGTGGAACCATGGAACGTCGGGCCGTGAAGGTAGACGCGAGAGAGCGGTGACCCTGCTCAGACATCGCTCACCGCCAAGCATGACACCTCGGCCCATTGATGTAAGAGCGATGCTCGCCCACTTGACGACGGGGAAAAGACGGCTCGTGGTAACGAGTCCATGTACGCGAGGGATGCTGGGGAAGTCGGGGGGCGAAGTGAGGGCCGTGCACGATATTCAATCGCTTCGATGAACCGCCTGTCGTCATTGAGTCTGTCAATCCAAGCTGAAGGCCGCTGCGAGGCTGATCGAGTCGACCAAATGCCGGCGGTGAGTGACAGTGGAGAATGGGCCACTCATTCGCCGGGGAACGCAGACGCGGAACAGAGCACGACCCTTGACCTCTCACCGCGGGGGTGAGGCAGCCAATGATTGTCCCCCCGTCTCTTTGCGTCAAAGGCCGGCATCATCGCGAGGTCAATCACGATGCAAGCGAACAAAGTGATGGCTTCAGTCAGCCCCTCCTTGAAGGCACACTCGCCCATTCGCAACGCCTGGGTTTCGGCGTCATAGTAGGACGTGGGGGTGGAGGTCAGGCAAAAGAGCCCAAGGCGGCCTCGCGTAAGAGCAATATGAACCTACTGCGAGGACCCTCACGCACCGCAACGCCGACGGGGAGGGCGACGGGCGACGGCGTATGCAAAAGGCTTTGAGCTAGGTAGGTACGTGGGCGTAACCAAACGAAAAGAAGCCGCGCCCAGTCTGAGCACATCCTAAACAGACTGGCCTATATAGAGGGGGCGATCTCAGCCAGCCTCTCTGTGATCGCCAACGCCGCCCCTCCCCCCTTTACCTTTGCTCACCATGCACTTCAAGTCTATCCTCGCGTCCCTACTCGTCTTTGGGGCTGCCACGGCTCTAGCCGCCGGCCCTCTGATCTACGAGGACGACAATGTCTCCAACGCCAACTGCAAGCGCCAGACTTACAAGTTCGAATCGAAGGCCAACCGCACTGTCTTCAACAAGGAGGCGATGGGCGTTGCGCGAAACCTCAATCAGAGCCAAATCACCGAGCTCTTCGTCAACGTGAGTTGCACGAGCGCGATTGCGAGCGCGAACGATCACGGCGGGCGTTGTCATTGACGCTCTCTTCCCGTCGCCCGCCAGTACACCACTGGACTCGTCCGCAATGACACTGCACCTTTCATGCAGGCGTACATCTCAGGCAACAAGGAGGTGACTCAATCCTTCTCGATCAGCGGTGTACTTTGTGAGCCCAAGAATGGCCGCAAGCATGACACTCTCCAGGTTCTCGTCCACGGTATCGGTGAGTAAGCCCACGCCGCGGGTGAACGCGTCGATGTTCCCACGCCCGCCTCTGACGCCCTTCTCCCCTGCCGCCCGCACCGCCCCTCCGCTCGCGCTCCTCGTCGCACATCGTCCAGGCTTCGATGGCAACTACTGGAACTTCCACGGCCCTGGAGTCAGCGAGGAGCAATACTCGTACGCCTACGCGGCCGCTGCAGCCGGCTATGCCACCTTCCGATACGACCGCTTGGGCACTGGTGCTTCGGAGAAGCCCGAGGACGGGTACAACGTCGTGCAGGGCCCTACCGAGGTTGGCATTCTCGAAAGCGTGGCCGACGCCGTCAAGAACAGCAACCGTATTGGTGGACGCAAGTGGTCCAAGACCGTACTCGTCGGCCACTCTTACGGCTCTGTCCAGTCGAACGCTCTCTCGCAGAAGCGTGGCGACTTGATTGACGGACTGGTCCTTACCGGCTTTTCCGCGTACACCATGGGCCTTCCCTTCTACCTCGTCTCGACCGTCTACACCATGGCCAAGATGGTCTTCCCGCAGCGCCTCGGGAACCTCCCTGACTCGTATCTCGTCACCGCTACCAGTTTCAGCGGTCAGCAGAACTTTGCCTACCCGTACTACGTAACCGCTGCGGCGAACAAGCTCCAGCGCAACACGGAGCAGGCCGTGACGCAGGGTGGCCTGTTCACTATCGGCGGCCTCGCCGGCCCTGCAGCCGACTTCAACAAGCCTGTCCTCGTCGTCCTCCCGGACAAGGACTTCATCTTCTCGCTTTCTGCTGGTATCCAGAACGGCATGAACCTCGCAGAGCAGGCCGTCAAGATGCTCTACCCTGCTAGCTCCGCCGGCAAGGGCATCGTCATCGCCAACGCCGGTCACGGTCTTAACTTCCACTCGACCGCCAAGGGCGCTTATACCCAGCAGATCGACTTCCTCGACAGCAATGGGTTCTAAGCGTGCGCGAGCACGAATGCCGCCGACTATTCCTCTTGTCTAGCTTCTGCTTCTTTGCATTGCTTCGTGGAATGCCCCTCTTTGCGCAATATCATTCGATTGCAACGCCGGCTGCAGTTTCTGAAGTGATAAGATATTGTGTGACCGAGGGAATCTTCAGGTACGAGTAGAGAGAGACATGAAGATAAAGAGGGTCCCACGCCGACCAGCGGGGAGGAGCATGCTGATCGTGGTGATGCTGCGAGAGGTAACGATGGACTATTGTATGCAGCCTCGTGCGTCTCCGCGTTGCATCGTCGAGTGGAGATGCGAGCTCGAAGCGGGAAATTCCGTTCCGACCTGGAGGCCGTCCTCGCTCTCGCCCGCCCGCAGTCACGTGCAGCCTTTGAATCGCAGACCGCAACCCGGGCGGGGCGAAGCCTGGCCCACGGACTCGCACACTGGCGGTCCGCCTCGACGTCGACGTCGTCAAGCTGCTCGTCCTCGTCATCCCCCATCTTCCTCATCATCCCCTTCCCCCTCGACAACAACAGGTTAGCATCAATTGAGAGAGGATCAGATGCGTGCTGCATCAGTCGCTGCTGTTGGAGACAATGATGCTGCTGGCGCCACCACCGCTGCTGCCGCGAAAAGATGAGGGACGGCGGAGGGAGGAAAAGAAGGGAAGATACTGGATGGCAGGGGGCGAGGCGACTCAGCAAAGGCGTCATTGATGCTGATCAAGACGATGAGAGACGGAGAGAGAATGAGGGTGCCTCGATGACGGCGCTGCTGGTGGGAGAACGAGGTTGAAGTGTAGGCTTCTGTGCAAGGTTCGCAGACAGGCAGGCAGGCGAATGGGAATTGCGCAGCAGCGGCTTCGATGACGGCAGCATCATCGTCATCCTCAGCAGTAGCGACGACGACGGCAGCGCAGCATCGTCATTCCCACTAGTCACTCACACCTACATTCCGTCTCACCCATCTTACCCTCGCAGCTCAAGATGAAGGTTGAGCAGTGCGCCTTCTCCGGCTCCAAGATCTACCCTGGCAAGGGCCGTCTCTACGTCCGCCAGGACAGCAGGGTGAGCATGGATGGAGCGAGCGTACGGCTTTGTTCACGACGCTGACTACCACCTCGTCCGTTGCTCGCACGCCAGGCCTTCCGCTTCGTCTCGTCGAAGTCGGAGTCCCTCTTCCTCCAGCGCAAGAACCCCCGCAAGATTGCCTGGACTCTCCTCTGCCGTCGCATGCACAAGAAGGGCATCACCGAGGAGACGGCCAAGAAGCGCTCTCGCCGCACCGTCAAGCACCAGCGTGCCATTGTCGGTGCTTCCCTCGACAGCATCGCCGCTCGCCGCAACCAGAAGCCCGAGGTCCGTGCCGCCGCTCAGGCCCAGGCTCTCGCCAAGAGCAAGGACGACAAGAAGAAGCGTCAGGAGGAGAGGAGGGCCAACAAGGCCAAGGGTGCCGTTGCGCACGCTGGTGCGGGCAGCAAGGTCTCCAAGCAGGGCGCCAAGGGTGGATCGCAGAAGGTGCGCGTCTAAGCGTGCGCGAGGAGCATCCTCGTTTCTGTCGCTTTGATTCACTGTACGCACTGAGTGAGCCCTGCGGCTCTCGCAATCCCACCTTGTATTCTTCACGCGTGCGACGAGATGATCATGAGTGCGTAGTGATTCAGAGGAGACGTCAGAGGGAGATGTCGTGTTGCCTTCCGTCACTGCCGTCCGTTCACTACGCCCGCACCGCCGCCCGTCAGCCTGATCCTCAACGTGATGATATGTCCATGTATTCGCTTCAAACTACCCTCCTACCCGCCTTCGTCTGCCATCGCACCCCTCTACACGAGCTTGCTGAAGACCTTTGGTGCTGTGCACTCGCTGGCACAGTGGGCGAGGTGGACTGTGAGCGGGGGAGGGCGGGAGTAGAGGTGTGAGTGTGGGAAACGATTGGAGGCCGTAGCTTCGAAAGATTGCTACTCACAGCTGGCGAGGTGAATGAATGTGGCAAAGAGAGGGAGGAAAAGGGAGCGAAAGTGAATATGCCACAGCGTCAAAGTCAGCATTCTGGTCATCGCCAACATCGTCCTCGCGCCTCTCGAACTCACAACTCCTCCATGCAGTCCTCTCCCTTGAACCCCTTTCCCTCGTTGACACGGTTGGTGCACTCCTCGAAGTGGTGCTTTGCAGAAGCGCACTCCTTTGAGTCCTGGCACGCCTCGTAGATGGAGGGCATCTGGTCCTCAGGCTCATCGTCCTCCTCCTCCTCCTCTTCCTCCTCGCCGCCGTCACCACCCTCCTCGCCGCCCTCGGCATCACTGTCCTCATCGCCTCCGCTCTCTCCGCCGTCATCACCGCCCTCCGATGAGGAGCCGGCGTCATCGCTACCAGAGTCCTGTAGAGCAGGGTAGAGAAGGAGGGAAAAAGTCAGCAAGACTTGCCTTACTTCCCACGAATCTTGGATGGCGGCGCACCCACCTCCTCGTCATCGGCGTGAACCACGGGGAAGAAGCTCGAGAAGAAGGACGAGACCGAGGACATGACGTCGCTCGATGAGCCTGCCGATGTCGAGACCGTAAAGGAAGACATGGTGGGTGTCGGTATAGAGATGTAGGGTTGATGAGCAGGAGAGAAGTTGCTGCTTGCTGCTGCTGCTGCTGCTGCCGCCGCCGACGTTGCCATCCTTCGTCGCCGGCCACGAGTCCACCGTCGACGTCTCCGAGGCGCGCCGACCGTCTCGATTGCTCAGCGTGGGCCTCAGCGTGGGCCTCAGCGTGGGCCAGAGCCAAAGTCGGCGAGACGTCCCAGCCACGCGGGCTCCCGTTCCGTCGAGTCAGTCCAGCGTCGGTGAGCCCTTTCCGTCCTGTCAGTCGTCGATATGGGCGAGCCACTCCGCAACGCAAGTACGTTGACGCAGCATACCACCTCGAAGATCAGCTACCGCGTCGTCAGATCTCGGTAGATCAGCTCGCTGGCTGGCTCACAGCGTGACTCGCGCTCGTCATGAGCGAATCCACTCGCCCTCCTCAACCAAAGCAGACATTCAGCCAGCAAGTCGTCTGGGCACTCACACGCCGTGGTCCCGCAGCTTCCCCTCTCCTCTCTGCCGCTCCTTCGACTTCATCCTCATCATCTACGGATGTGCGGTCAATCGATGCTCGAACTGCATCGCGCGCCAATCCGTTCGAGGATGGCGCCACTCGCCCTCCCTCACCCATCGATCTCGATGAAGATATACCCAATGCTAGCTTCTCGGCGCATGTAATTGAGATGCTCAAACCGCTGCCGCTTGCTCAGCCAAGGAGGGAGCAGGCCATTCAGCAGAGGGCTGCGCGACTTCATGTCATTGCGAGGGCTACGGCCAATCAATCAAGTACAGCTCCACCCCCGCCGCAGGGTCAAGTGCTGCGCTTGATCATCGCCCTCCTCGCCCAAGGCGCCGCAGAGGGTCAGGAGAGTGCGAGCGATCAGCACGATGTCCTACCGGACGCCATCCGCGAAGCAGCTCTCGACGCCCTCAACGAGTCCATCCGCCTTTCCGACTCGTACTCGAACGATGCACAGCTCGCCATCATAGAGACGAGGAGCGGCGCGCCTGGCTCGCAATCCTCCAAGTCGCTGGACAGCGAGCAGCCCTTGGCCACCATCGATCGCGCCCTCCTCTACCGCCTCGTCACCTATGACGCGCGTGGACCCATCACTGCTGCTCTTCCACCTGCTCAGCCTACTCTGCAAAATCCCTCCAGCACTGCTCTGCCCTGCCTGCACGCCAAGCTGCGCGCCCTTGAGAGTCTGTCCAAAGGTGGGCGCGAAGTGGTAGCATTCGATGATATTGTCCACCTCCTCAGCGGCTGGCTCAGCATTGTGTGGGTCGAAGTCCAGTTGCTCCGCAAGATGGCAAAGATACTCGACAATCCCCAATCATCGGGCGGCGTCGATCACCATGCCTTTGTCCAAGAGCTCTCAGCTCGAGAGTGGTCACTGCAGGCAATCCTACACCTCTTGACGTCCATCATCATGTTCTCCTTCGCCAAGATCCACCAAGATCACATCGAGGAAGCTTTGACCACCGTCGCGAAGCTCTTCGTCTCCCCAACGATCGACAGCGGTCTCGAAGAGCCAATTGCAGCATCCACTGCTCGACGGGGCAGCTTGCCCAACTTGCTCGTCTCGACGAAGATGGCTCTTGCCCCCTCATCGTCGCGTTCACGGTCGCGACAACGCCAGCCTTCAATGGAGGGCTACTCGTACTTTGGGCTCGAGAACACAACGCCAGATACAGGGACGAGCACAAACAACTCGCCATCGATGACGCCGCGCCTCGCACCGCGTACAGACAAGTCGGCCGTAGCTCCTATCTCTCTGGCCACCGTCCCACCCCACGCCGGTGGCAACAATGGCAACGGCAACCGGGGCCGCTCTCGCCCGGATGACTCCTCAAGCCCCGTCCCACCTCCGCAGCCACATCCTATCGCAAGCTTCTCCGAGCTGCACGACATCGAAGTGCGCTGCGTCCTCAAACTCCTAGACGCGGCCCTCAAGTTCGGTCTCGTACCTCTAGGGTCGATCGCAAGCATCAGCGAGATGCTCTGCCGCATCATCGGCTTTGAGCCAGTCTCTGCCGTCTTGTCCTCGCCGAATGGGATCAGCTCACTCGCCAACACCTTGTCATTAGCCACGCTGACACCCTGGCAGGAGGCGGCTATCCCGGTTATGGCGAATTTGCTGAGGAGTCATTCGGCCAATGCGTGCATTCAGGTTGTCAGGACGTTGTTGACCGACCCCGCTGCGGCAAGCGTAGAGGACGAAAGCACCCTCGTTGGGGCGGTGCTATTTTTGCGATTTGCGCTCCTTGTTGTAGCCAGGGAGACGGCTGCCAACTCGACGCAGCCATCGGCGGCGTCCACGAGTGGCGGCTCGGCGGCCAGCAAAGAGAACGCTTTGGCTCCTCGCCTATCGCTCTCTCTCATACTCCCCGCGTTGCGAGGCGCCCTGGATCGTCACTCGGACCTTGTGGATCTGCAAGTCATCTCGCTCGTCGAAGCCCTCCTCGTGCCGGGCCCCGAAGCTTCGACTTCGCTCGTGCCGGGAGGTATACTTCCGCCAGAGGACTGGGACGAGCTGCTCGCCCTCGCTCTCGGCGCTAAACGCCACACTGAGGCCACCTTCTCCCCAACACGAGTGCCGCCAGTGCTGCACGCCCTCATCCACCTTCTCAGCCGTGTACCTCTCGCCCCTGCCGAGCAACTCGGCCCTTCTCCAGCAGGCAGCGAGCCGCGTCTCCCCTGGACGCCGCGTCTGTGCTCTCTGATGCTTGCTCTGGCTCCCGCTCTGCCCTCGAAGCTGAGCCATGCGCTCCTCACCTACTACCGCGCCCACCTGCTCTGCATGCCCGGTACGCCAGGGTGGATAGATAACATCCACCGCCTACTCACCGCCTTTGGTGGACCGACGACGCGCACCGAGGTACGCCACGCTGTGATGGCGCTGGTGTACGACGAAGTCTACGAGTGTGTCGTCTCCTTCCCGCATCATCGCACCACTCTGCTGCGCCAAGTCATCCTACCGGCCGCAAAGGCGAGCCTAGCAGACGAAAAGGACGTCGAAGTGGCAGGAAAGATGCGCAAAGTTCTCGTCCAAGCGGCCGCCCTCAGCAGCGTAGGCAACGACTCTTCATCCTCCGCCGAGCCCAGCACATTCGATGTCGTTCGCGAGCTACTCTGTCGCCTGGCCAGGGACCACCTAGCCGGTACAGGCGCCTCTCACGTCCACTTTGCCACCCCGGCCGGCTCGCATGAGCATCGACCCGCCGCCACTACGACGGCAGCAAACGCCGAAGGGTCCACCTCCCGCACGCCTGCCCCGCCAGCTAAGGCAACCAGCTTCGCACTCGACTTGATCTCCCTCTTCAATCTGATCGCCTTCGCGTCTCCCTGGATCGACTACGACGATGCCGGGCCGGCGGAGCATCGTGGCATCCAAGAGAAGCGGGCGCGCGATGCTTGCTTGGTTCTCTTTCGGGACCTGATGGGGCTCCTCCAGCCTGGAGGGGAGACGGTCAGCACGACGAAGCTGGTGGTGTTGCAGTGGTTCTTGCGTATCAGGACCGATAGGCATCATCGTGTCTTCCTAGCCGAAAATCTCGACGATCTAGTCGCGCCCGCGGCAGCTACGCTGCTCAAGACGAGCGAGTCGAGGGCGGCTGCTGCGGCTGCGGCTGAGGCTTCGGCGGCTGCTGCTAGCTCGCGGTCGGAGCGTGAGGCCAGGAGGGCAACGACTGCTGCTGCTAATGCTGCTAGTGAGGCGAAGCGATCCAAGTCCCGGGCGAGAGACCCGTCCATGGAGCGTGGGAGGGCGGCAGATCGCAGCAATGATGGATCACGCAGGAACGGCGCTGATCGCAGTGCGAGCGCATCGCGAGGACGACAGCCTGCCGCTCAGCAAGCAAAGGAGCAGCAACAACAGCAGCAGAAGGAGCAGCCACCGCCAGCGTCTGCGCGTAGTCCTTCGCTCTGGCAGATACCAGAGGTCTTGGCTTTTGAGATGCCAGAATCGAGCCTGCGCAGCGATATCGTCTACACTTACATTCACGACGATGACCCGACGTGCTCGCACACGCACATCAAGGGGCCGGACGATGCGCATCCTGCCCCGCTACCCGTCTCTGCGCTGCTGGCATTGTACATCAAGATAATACAGGTGGAGCGAGATTGGGTGAGTCTGCGGCGCGGTAGCTCCAGTCAGGCAACCTTGAGTCTCTGCTGACATCCATCGACTCTTTTCCCGCTTCGCTTCAGGAAATCGTCTCCTACCTCATCTGTTTCCTGCCGCACCAGCTAGCAAACAAGCACCTCTTCTGCGGCCCTAAAGCGCAGGATCAGATCCTTGTGCTCCGTCAACACCTCTGCTCGTCCATCGACCAACAGAAGCTTATGCCAGACCTCGTTCTGCCAGAAGACGTCAAACGATCAGACGTCTACGCCGTCAGCTACGGCACCCTCACCACTCTCCTCTCGTACCGCGCCCTCTTCTCGCGCTCTCACCAAGAGGAGATGGTCGACTCCTTCGTCTCTGGCCTCAACAAGTCTCAGAACACGGCCCTGCCCTGCGTGCGCGCCTTATCCGTCGCTGTCTACGAGGCGCAGAAGAGCGTAACGCGCCTCCTTCCCAAGATCCTCGTCAAGCTCTCGACGATCATGTCCTCCATGACCATGAGCGTGCACATCCTCGAGCTCATCGCCTCCATCGGACAGATCCCCGCCTGCTACGCAAATTTCACCGAGCAGGAGTATCGCCGCGTCTTTGGGATTGCGCTCCAGTACATCCAGTATCACCAGTCACCCGTCACGAGCGGCCGCGAAGACTTCCGGTCGAGCCCGGCACTCTTCGCCCTCTCGCAGTACGTGATGATGCTCGCGTACTATAACATCTCGCTGTGGTTCATGACGCTTAGATTGAGCGATAGGGCCAAGCATGTGCCTGCGATTACGAGGGGACTGCTGCTTGCGGCGAGCGAAGGCGGCAACGATGGGGGCGGGATGCCGGACAACAGCGAGGTCTGCTTCGACTTCTTGGCCAGGTTCACGCACTCCAACATTGGGCCGAAGCCGACTAGGTCGTTCCTCAATTCGGTCGTATTGGGGTCGAAGGCTGCGGGTAGCGCGGGAACCGCTGGGGCAGCGATGCCCGCTGCTGGCGGGGGAGCAGGGGCAGGTTCATTGTCCAAGGACGCGAGAGCTAGCAAGACGTGGTTGCTGGGCAAGGTGAGCGGCAACACACGCGAAGGGAGCACAAAGCGGGCCCTACTGACGTACCTCTTCCTTGCCGCAGGGCCTCATCACCATCTCTACGCTTCGTCGTGAAGGCTGGGTGGAAATCGTAATCCGTCGCGCCTCAGGGACGACCGCCCTTCTCTGCAAGCTGGAAAACGGCACGAGCGGAAGCAACGAGCTTGACGACGAAGACGGCGGGTCCGATCGTGTTGCTGCGCTCATGATGGATCGCGATCCTTCTCGCGTGGGCAAGTCTGTTCTGCGTGCCCCGGACGTGTTGGCGAGGGCGGCGCCTTTTGATCTGGCGAGACGACATGCGGATGAGGATGGTGAGGAGAGTAGTGGTGACGAGGGAGAAGAGGGAGACCCTGCAAAGCGTTCATTGGAGCAAGAGGCGAAACGCATGCTGAGAGCCGGGGAGAGATTGCGTAGACGTCAGCCCTTGGGACCGGGTCACTTCGGGCTTGCAGTCGACGGCAGTGGGCCAAGAGGGCAACGGCGTAGGGGCGCCTCCTTCTCCGGAGCCATCTCGAGCGATGCGCCTGCGACGGCGTCCACCTCGGCAGCTGCGCATTCGAACGATAGCGATCCGTACCGACTGCAGCAGCCGACTTCGGACGGCGATCAAGCTAGCGACACAGACAAGGACACTCGCACTCACACTGGGGACGACGCGGTCAGCGCAGCTCACGAAGAGCGTATCTCGGCCGTCATGCGCGACATCCTCGGGTCAGGTCTCCCCATCGGCCAGTCCTCCGCCCCAGGTGAAGACAAGTCGTCTGCTACACCAGGCGCCTTTCAACCACCTCCTCTCCGCTCAATCGAGCGCGAGTTCTCCATCGACCCAAGCACCGTAGCACTCCAACTCTCTTCCTACCCAGACATCTCCTCTTCGACGCCGCCCTTGCTCCTACCAGACGAACCTGCAACGCATCGCCTGATCAAAGCCATCGACCTAACGCCCGTCGTCGACCTGCACAAGATCGGCTGCGTCTATGTCGGTCCAGGCCAATCGACCGAACGCGAGATCTTGGGCAACAGGCAAGGCTCCCCCGCCTACGCACGCTTCATGGCCGGGTTAGGCGATCTCGTCACGCTGAAAGGGCAAGAGGACGTGTACACAGGCGGACTGGATAGGGAGAATGATTTCCACGGGAAATACGCCTATGCCTGGAGTGACGATATCTCGCAGATCGTATTCCACGCGGCGACTATGATGCCTGATAGGAGCGGGGAGGGGGATGTGAATCACAGTCACAAGAAGGTGCGTAGCGCGATGCCGTCGAGGAGGAAGGAAGGAAGGAAGAGGAGGGGGCAGAGCTGACATTCTTCTCCTCGCATCATCGTCGCGTCACAGGCTCTCATAGGCAACGACTGGGTACACATCGTCTTCAACGAGTCCGGTCGCGAGGAGTACGCCTTTGGGACCATCCCTTCGCAGTTCAACTACGTCAACATTGTCGTCTCCCCCAACACTCGTGGCGGGGTATCCCTAGGATCCGTCGGTCCAATCGATACGAGCTACTACCTCGTCTCTCTACAACGTCGTCCGGGCCTCCCGCCCTTCTCCCCTGTAGGCGATAATGGTGTGCTCGTCTCTGCGGGTAATCTCCCGCTCTTGGTGCGCAGCCTCGCGCTGAATGCCAACGTCATGTGTCAGATCGTCAACGATACGGGCGGGGAGGCGATGCGGGCCTACAAGAGTAATTGGTGCGTGAGGTTGAACCATGTAACTCGGTTCAGGGGGATGTGGGAGGAGAAGAAGAGGGTGGAAAGGGAGAAGAGAAGGGAGACTGCTGAGGAGGGAGGCGCGGGTGGCGGTGGTGGAGCGGGAGGTGTGGAACAGCCTGGTGATGGAGGCAAGAGGGATCCGAGGGATTTCACTGCTTTCGCTTGAGGGCATCTGCGGGGAGATTGGGGGTGGGTATATCATGCAATTCGAGACCTTATCATCGCGCAGACTGATTCCTCATGCAGTGCCGCCAGCCGATAATTGTTCCTCCATCCTCTTGATCCACCCTGCTCCTCCCTCCCCCTTCGGTCTCAAAGTCCAGACACTGCCCGTCTCCTCCTGACTACCATCGAGCGACATGCGAAGCTTCGTTGCTCCTGCGCCTCCTCCTCTTGCTCCTCCACCAAGCACGATAGCAGTCCGTACCTCACGCGCATGATGCGACGGAATACGTAGGAGCGCCTCGCTCGATCGCGTTACATCCCTGCTGCCCTGCGTGCCTTGTGTCGCCGCGGGGGGCGGGGAGTGGATGCTCAGCACGTCGAAGGGGACAGCCCCGCCGACGACTCCGAGATGCTGAGAAAGGGTGGAACGAAAGGTCTCGCCCAGCGCCGAGGCATCAATGCTGTTGCTGCTGCTGCTGCTGGCGTGGACGCGCAGTCGTAGGTAGGCATAACCTCCTGCTGGGTTCGTGGCGCCGGATACGAGATTGCGTCGTTGGATGCGAAGTAGCCGACGTCTGGACTGCTTGATAGGTGCGGCTGCGGATGAAGAGGGTTGCGCACTGTCTTCATCGACGTCGTCGTTGTCTTGCGGGGGTTTGGAGCGAGACCGCTTGGCGGGGTCTTGACTCTGCTGCTGCTCGTCAGAGGAGGCGGGTCTTGGTCGCTTCGAAGTTGTTGTTGAAGATGGGCCTGCCAGTGCTGATGTTGATGCAGAACTCGAATCTGCTCGTGACGATGTGCCTTCAAATGGCCCCTGAGACTGAGCTGCCACCTTGGTACGCTTCTTGGCTCGACTCATCTCTCTCCAATCCAATGGTACGAAGGATGCTAAGGAGCGCTGCTGAACACGCCTGTGAATTAGCCCTCTCTCGCCGACGCCCCTTCCGTCCCTCCCTCAGCTCCTCCACGCCGGAACGGGTTGGGTTGGTTCAACAAGATTGACACTTCGCCTCTTCCGCTCTCGCCTCGCTCGCCAAAGTGTTGCATTAGAGCTCGCTCCCTCGCTCAGCTTTCATTCCCAGTCTCCCCCATCCCTAGTCACCATGGCCTCCTCCTCCTCCTCCTCCTCCACATCATCAGACCTCGTCACCCTCTTCGTGCATAGCCCCACAACGCACGTCTCCTCAGAACGACGTCTCCCCTTCAACTCCTCCCTCTCCTCCCTCCAATCCGGGCCTCGCGGCTTGGAAGGCATAACCGGCCTCTCCCCCTCGCAACAACGTCTCCAACTCTGGTCGACCAGTACAGCCAGCGGCTCGAGCGATGCTCGCCTGCTATGGGATTCTGCCGATTCCACCTTTGGCCTGGATAGGGAGAGGGTCACCCTTGCTAGCCTGGGAGCAAGAGATGGCATGGGCCTGAAGGTGTTGGACGCCTTAGGTCGAATGGGGGATATAGGCATTGAGGAGGAGGAATTGGCGCCGGAGCAGAGGTTTGAGATGACGGATGAAGAGTATCGTGCGAGAGGGGATACGGTACTTGCTTACAAGCAGAGGATGAAGTTGGGACGATTCGCGCCTGAGGCTGCGACTGCGGGCGAGTCAGCAGGAGCGACAGCAGCAGCAGCGCTGGACCTACCATCGCTTGGGGCACGATGCGAGATCCAAGACGCTACACCACCCCGTCGACGCGGCACTGTTCGGTACGTGGGTCCAGTCACATTCCCCTCGGCCACTTTCTCAGCATCATCCGCATCAACACCAGCACAACCATCAGCTCAGCCCTGGATCGGCGTTGAGCTCGACGAGCCGCTAGGCAAGCACGATGGAGCCATAGCTGGTCCGGGGGGTCAACGCTACTTCACTTGCGCGGCAAAGCATGGTGCATTCGTGCGAGTGGAGAAGGTCAAATGGGGGGAGGAGTACGCGATAAGGGAGTTGGAGGATGAGCTCGAGTTGACTGATGAGGAGGGGGATGAGATGTAGGCGCGGGCGCGAGAGGGTGGGTACTACACTAATTGTGATTCTTCTTTTCATCCACGTGAGAGATGCTTGCTGAGACGAGATAATGAGCAAGAGAGGGGAGAGAGAAAGAGAGAAAGGATGGGTATGAAGATGGTCGTGGTGATGGTGATGATGATAGGGGCGGGAAGTGTTTCGCGTGGGCTACATTAGTGATTCGTGAATCGTCATTGTCGTTGTCGTCTCGAGGCACTCGCGCGCCTACGACCAGTGGAACAGCACTCGCTTGAGCTGCTCAGCGCTGAAGCTCTTAGAATACTCCCACCACATCAAGCCAGCCTTCCAGCCCTCCTTCTCAGCCTCCTGCGCACACTTGCCCAGGTCGTGCTTCGAGACGTACCCGTTGGCCGCGTCCGTGGGGAGAGCGGGCTTGCCGATGACGAGCTTGTCGAGGGGAATGTGAGACTGCGGGCGGCGTGAAGGAGCAGTGACCTGGTCAGTGGCTGCTGCTGGAACGGTTGCGGGTAGCGGGTGGGGAAGCGGCGCTCGCACTCACGTATTTGGCCAGCTCAAAGAGGGACGTGCTGGGCCACTCCTTTGGCCCCTCCCAGATCAACCCGTCGCAGCTCGTGTATGCGTCCTTGCCCTGATTGTAGAACTGCACATTATAGAAGTCGACGTCCTCTCCAGCCTGTTTGTGCACCTCGGTGTAACCGCCGTCCTTGTAAATCTGCTTGGAGAACCAAGGAGCAATGGGCGCGTGGGTGAGGAGATAGCCTTGGTCCCGAGGCAGACGACGACGTAGCTGCTTGGTAAGGGTGACGAGCCAGGGAACAGACTTGCCCTGAGCAAAGTGGTCCATCTCTTCGTAGTCGACATCGACGCCGTCGAAGTTGTACTTGCGGACAAAGTCGGCCAGTCGGTTCGCCGTCTTGGTTGCGTTGCCTAGACCAGCGCCCGTCTGAGGAGTGTCGGTTGCACCAAAGGCGGAGACCATGAGCTTGATGCCCTGCGAGCGCGAGTTGTCGGTGGGAAGATGTTGCGGTCAGCCTCGAGCTGACGGTGAGCTCTTCGTCGCGCGCCAGCACTCACAGCATCGTTGTATGCCTTCTTGATCTTCTTCCTCTGCTCGTCGGTAGCCTGCGTCCAAGCTAGAGCATTATCAGCCGGCCCGCTCGTAGCCATCCAGAAGGCAACATTGTAGTGCGTGAAGCCCTTGACCTTGTTCACCGGCGGGACACCGAACGTGTCGTCCTGGAAGTAGAGGTCACCGTAGAGGACGAAGCGCGGGTCCTTGTTGCTGTTGATGCTTATGGGTAGCTCGCCAAGAGTGCTAGGACGGAGATGTCCCTTGGGCGGACGGGGGTTTGAGACGTAGTTTGCCGTGCCGGGGAGGGGCTTGACGGCCTTCTTTGCGCCGAAGCGCTTGATGCGGGCGGCGGTGGTAGTGGTCTTGGTGTTGGTGCTGAAGTGAGAGGGCACCTTGATCTCTGGACCGGGAACCATGATGGGGGCTCCGTTGATGAGCTGGCGGAGGGCCATGAGTGGGTAGGCGTTGAGCTGGATGGGGAGGGCGGTGCTCAGCGAGGCGAGCATGGCCACGACGGTGAGGAAGAGGAGAGTGGCTCGCATGGTGACGTGTGTGGGGAGGGGAGAGAGGGTGGCGTGGGCGACTCGAGGTGTACTGCCAAAGGGTAAAGTGGTAGCGAACGGGAGGGAGAGGGATGGGGAGCAGAAAGCAGTGTGTGGCAAGGAGAGGAAAGAGTGAGTTGAGACGAGACAAGGCGCTTGTCTGGTTTACTCGCTGCCCATTTGTATGAGGCTGGCTGAGCTCAGGGCCAAGGCCAAGCTCATCTCAATCTCAGCCCTGACTGACTCGCAAGCAATCGGCCGTGGCGGAGGGTCCGGTCAGCAACGCATTCGATGGATGGAGTTCGCCAGTCGCGAGACGAGCGCTCGGGGCACCGGCTTGGCTTAGACCAAACCCAGGTTAAGGAGAGATGGAGAGAGGGACCGGGCGTCACAGGGGCCTCAGCACCTCCTCACCCCCTGCAACGAGGGGCAGTCGTCGAAGCTTGAACCAGCTTGGTAGATTTTCTGGCGTCCTATTCTCTTCATTTTGCTCGAGCTTGGACCTCGTCGTTGTTGTCGTGACATGAAGCGAGTCAGGGCCAGAGTCGGGCGGCAGTCAGGGTCAGCCAGCCCTGCTTGCCTGTGTGCAGGCGGGCAGGCAGGCGGGCGGAACACGGCGTCGAGTCGAGCAACTCGCAGCTCGAGTCGCAGGCGGCGCAAGACGCCGAGCCTGCCGGCGGTCGCTGCAGCTTGAGCAAGACACGGCCTACTTTACATCGTAGCTCAACGTCCGTCGTCGCATCTTCAACAGCCTCGAGAAGCATTCTGGTCCCAACTCTACCAGCAATTGTACTGAACTTGCCATCTACCCCTCTGTTGCATCAACACTAACTGAGCATCGCTGTCCCAGCCCCGACGGTCGCCCACACCTCTGCAACTCTCAGGGGCGGCGAGGAGCAAAAGCAGGGGCTGTTGCATCTACATCTCACTCTCATCTCAATATATCACGCACGCAGCCGAGATTTCTCTCACGATCGAATATGATTCAGACGCCTCCTTTCGGTCATAACGGCCGTTCATTCGCGACATCGCCCAGCGCTGCCAGGTCCCCTAACCTTCCAGCGCACCACTGCCTGCCCCTCTGCTTGGCGATGCGATCCACGACCCAGCCAGAGTCGGTGCGTTGCGTTACGTCTGCCTGGCCTAGAATGGCAGCGTGGGAATGACGGCCTGCGAGAGAGCAGTGGGTTGAAGTCAGCGGGTGGATGGCAACTGGCTGACTCTGCGGCGGTGGGCTCACACTCCTGCTTGGAACCGTATTCCCACGTCCAAACGAAGCACGCTTGATCGCGCACGCAAGCCTCTGAGCACGACTTGGCGTCGCTTGGTCCCTTGACCACCTGTCCAATCCCATCACCAGGTACAGCGTTCCACGCCTTGCGATCACCCTGCGCTATGACGCGTGCAGCAAAGTAGTCCCTGTGCGAGAGAGCGAGCTTGACGGTCAGCTCTACTGCGGCGAGCCATCGCCTCGTCCCCGCGCATGCTCACCACAAGTCGACCCAACGTATGAAGTCGTCCTCTCCTACCCTCCCCTCTACGTCAACCTTAAACCTCCCCAGCCTCACCCGCTCCCACGGACCAACATGATGCAGCGTAAAAGCCGGCTGGCACCACTCCCTCTCCTCAATCACCAATCTACCCAAACCCTCGACGCGGAAGCTTCTACCGGCCTCCTCCCAATTTGGGCGAGAGAGCGTAACGCTCGGCTTAGTGAGGGAGAAGGCGCGCCAGAGCTCTGCGTCTCCACAGCAGGAGTAGCGGATATAGTGGGTAAAGGAGTGTTCAAACTCCCATGCCGAGGAAGGAGGGGCGAGACCGTACGTTGCGCGAAGGAGGGCGCGGGAGATTGTGTAGCCTGCTCCTCCATGCGCGAAGGGGAGGGAGCCGTTCTATGTGCGCGCGAGGGAAGAAAGACGTGGGACTTGAGACTGAGCCGCAGTCTTTTGCCTTCCCTCACTTCGCTCTTACTCACCACAAGATACATCTGCGCGCCGTAGTACTTCTGCTCGTCGTGCGGCTTAGCCTTTAACCACTTGACCAGCTGATTCCAAAAAAGATACGTATCGTCCTCTATCCCCACGTGCCACTTCGCTTCTGGCCAATGGCGGTACGCATCGCCATGTAAAGGCAAGAATTTCCACTTGTCGAGCAACCAACCCTTATTGACGCCCTTGTACCCGCCAGAAAGAGGGAGCGGTGAAGGGACCAACTTGCTTGGATCTTGATGAGTGCGCAGCAGCGATTGGATGGTGGAGTAGGACGAGTTGAATTCGGGCAGCGACTTTACGTCGGAGCTGACGTTGCGCAGGATATCGACGAAGTGTGTCTGGCCGATCCAGGTATCCGCATCGCTGTAGAATACGAGATTCGGTATGTACTCCCACTCTCGCCCGTCCTGCCTGCGAGGGAGGGTCTGTGACTCCAAGAGCATGAGGGGCAGGCGATGCATCAATGTCGTGGCGCTCGTGCGGACAGTGAGGACTACAGAGTCTTCAAAGCGCGGGAAGACTGGTGGCGAGGGCGGTGAGTCCCATATGTGGGCGCTGGGGAGGGTGGAGATGGCGCGATTCCAGGTGAAGCGCGACCCGGAGATGAGTCCTAGCAGCCAATTGAGGAGGATGAGGAGGGGCAGCACAGTGAGGGTCAGGCCGATGCACTGCGAGTGATAAAGAAGGGGAAGACGTTAGGCTGTACGGCTGGCAGAGGGGACATTTGCGCCGCCTTTGCTCACCAGTACGAGCCTGGTAGCCTCGCGCTTCTTCTTGTGCGACGCATCGATGGAGCGTAGCTCCAGCTCGTCACATAGTAAGCCTTGGTTCTCTTCATCAAGTCGCCCAAGCGACGTCTCCCTACTGTGTCTTCTCCCATTGACCAGACGTAGAGGTCTCAATGGCAGTGCAGAAGAGGACATGGGCGGCGGAGAAGTCTCATCCTTGGCCGGATCTTCTTCGAGGTCCACGTCGACGTCTTGAAAGCCGACCTTATCGCAGTCATCGTGTTCGGCGCCCATCGATCGTCGGAGGAGTAGTGGGTGGGGCAAGACGTGTCGATTCAGTCCATTTGCCATCGCAGCGGCGTGTTGTGGACTTTCCTTCCTCGGTCATCACGTCCCGTAGACGGGCACCAATCTCAAGCCGTCCGGAGTAGCGCCGACGTCCCCGCCGTGCCCACAGTGTATCGTCCACGCAAAGCTAAGCCGACTCGTCTTGTCGCCTCTTTTCCCACCATCGTCTCAATAGCTCATGGATATCCTCTCGCCACTCGATGCGCTGCAACGCCTCCTCAACAGGCACGAAGTCGCGCTCTCGCTCGTGCGCCTCAGGCCATTCGTCCTTGGCGTCCAACCCCGGGTCGACCAGCACGGCAACCGGCGTGTAGACAGCTCGAGGTACGAATGTCGGGGCTTTCGGATCTTTCGAAGGAGAGTGTTTGTGCCCCTTCATGTCCCCGACCACATCAGCATGCCCGCGTCCAACCCAGGTCGATCGACCATCCTGCGCTTGTAGCCCGGCCTCTTCCCACAATTCGCGCAGCGCTGCTGTCCCTTCGTCTGCGTCGGACGACTCGATGCCGCCTTTTGGGAGGACCCAGCGTGAGTCATGCTTGCGAGAGGAGACGAGGCAGATCGAAGGGGGAGTGGAAGAGGTGTAGGCTATGCAGACTGCCTGCGGGAGAGGGGAAAGGTGCGAGGGAGGTCAGCTCTGCGATGTGCTGCGCTGTGCGATTGGTGGGATGATGCGTACTACAGAGCGTGGCTGAACGGCTAGCGGAATGGATGAGAGTGGTCAGAGGGTCTTCGTATTGGGTGAAGAGCCTGGCGAACTCACCAATCATGTCCTTCTTGCCCATCTTGAGTGGTAATGTGGAGAGAACGAGAATAGTGGCGGACGCGCGAGTCGCCTCGGCGGACTAGGAAGAGGACGCGCTCGAAGCTCAAATGGGCCTTGCGTGCGTGCGAGTGGTATTGGATTGATGCTTTTACAACGCCATGCTATCACTTTTACTGGTCAAACTCTCATGCCCCACTGCCCAATCCATCGCCCAGCCTCCTCCACCATCGCCGGCGTGACCTCATGCCCCACCCCCTCGATGAAACGCACCTCCAACCCCTCCTGCACCCCACCGGCGCCATGAGGCTCTGCGACCATCAGGCGGGAGAGGAACGGCTTGGAGAAGGAGGCGTGCACTAGCTTATCGTCTGCGCCTGACAAGCTCAATATCCGCTTGCCCCAGCTGACGACGAAGAGAGGATTGTGGTCAGCAGGAAGGACAATCGGAGGGCGAGCTCGAGGGGTTCGACTCACTAAGGATTCTCCTTGCCCCATCGATCAAAGGGACTCTTGGCTGGGTCTCTAGCTTGTATCAGCGCCTTCAAGCTCCTCGGAACATGCGGCGGTCCATTAGACAGGAAGGCCTGCTTCGTCCTGTACTCAAGCAGTCGCCCGTAATCCGGGCAGCCGATCATGTTGACTCCCACCGTCACTCGCGGCTCATCCTTGAGCACATGCCAGACTGCGTGGCCTCCAAGACTCTTGCCCATTACACACCAAGCGCTCACACGTCGATCGTCGTGCGGGAAGAGGTAGGCAGGGAGCAAGTCGATAAGGAACGACACGTCCGCTGCGTTTCCCAGGATCATCCCGTAGAGGTCTAGTGCATGCTGCTTGTTTCCGACCCCCCACCCCTTTTGGCCCAGCGAGTTGGTGGTACGATGGCCGTGATTGCGAGCATCGAATGTTACCACGAGGAGCTCACGAGCTGGCTGAGAGGTAGAGGAAGCAGCGACGTTACTGGTGGCCCGTTGGTAGATGCCCCGACAGATGTGGTCTTCGTTCTTGGCGTCTCCGCCTCGTCCGTGCAGGTGGAAAGAGACACATACGTCTGGTGGACGCGGGGCTGTGCTACTTGATGTGCTGAGAGTGAGTTCGCTGAGCCCGTATACAATGATCGGGAGTCCGGCGATGTCGAAGTGCGTTTGGGAAGGGGAGGACGAGGATGAGGAGGACGAAGGAGCGGCAGGAGCGGCGGTTGCTGCATGGCTATTGGAGGCTTGAGAGTTGGACTGCGAATGCGGTGAGCCTTGATATGCTGGTGACGCTGTTGATGACGAGGACTGACCCTTCTTCTTGCCTATGCCAAGGAAGGAGGGCATTTCTGCGTGGTGTTGGACGAGGAGGTGTTGGTCCGGAGAGAAGCGGGACCTCGTCTCCGTCCAAGACCCTTCTTGCCTGCCCTGCCCGCCAGTGTCGTGCCTGCATCGAGAGCGAGAGCGAGAGCCGGGGACAAGGCGGACTGCCAAAAGTTCAAGGCCGCTCGTCGATCCAGGCCTCGTTGCCTTCACGCCCAGATCAGGGACAAACAGATGAGCCTCAGCCATCTCGAGTCGGAGCAACGTCGCTACCTCGCTACCTCGCCTCGCTCTCATCTCGTCTTCCGACGGTTCTCCCGCAATCTCTCCTTCCTTCGAGATGGGCTCAACCTCACCACCTGCCATGCTCACATCGCCTGCCTGCTAGCATACGCTCACGCCTACGCTTCCTCGTGCCCGCCATGCCCTCGCCCTTGACACTCATCGGTGCATCGAGGGCTGCGCCCATCGTGGCAAGGGACTTTGCCGAGTCCCCTACCACGCCCACGCCGCAAGCAGACGAACTCGATGGTGGCGATCATGCAGAGAAGCCCATTCGTAGCGCAGGCGGCGGAGTTCCCTTGGACCGAAACAGGAGTATCTCCTTCCACGCTCCTCAGCCCTCATGGGTAGGCAGACGAAAGATTCAACGCTCGAGAACGATGGACTCCATCGATTCGACGGTCTCAGACAGCGACTCGATCTCCACGACGTCCGAGGACGGGCGCTACAGGCCCAAATTCACTCCAGGCCACCTCCTCTCGCGTCTACGGCGCAGGCAGCAAGAAGATGGAGCCGACCTCACCGCCGGCGTGGACAGTGAAGCTGCGATCCTCGACTCTACTCCACCTCCCGCAGTCCTCCACTCGTATCGCCGCACACCGATCCTCTCGGGCTGCTTGGCCCCCTTTAGCATAATGCTCGAAGTCCCCGGCCTCACCACAAAGTGGTACGTCCGTAAAGGCCCCTTCGGCGAGGCCATCGAGTATCGTCGCAACCCTCCCATCCTCGAGGCCGGACTCGCTATCAGCATCATATCGGCTGTGGCCGCCAATGTTTGCTTGATCCTGCGCTTTACATCCATCCTCCGACCACGAAAGGGGACTGCTCTTGCCATTGGCGGATTCGTGCTGCACGACGCCATCAACATTGCTGCGCTGGTGGCTTTTGGGGTAATTCATGCCGTGGATGACGGATTTTCTTATAGTCAGGCGTATTGGATGACTCTGGCTTCCACAGCGGCCAGTCTGGCGTGTACCTTCACGCTGCTGGTCGACTATGCGGGGACCAAGGACTTCAAGGATGCCGGGAGCGGGTTGACACAAAAGCAGACGCAGTTGGTCATTGTCATCATGTGAGTGCCAGCGAGCAGGTGAAGTAGTTGCAAGCTCACAATCAGGCTGACATCTTCCCCTCGCGTCGCACAGGATCCTCCTAGTCTACCTCTCCCTCGGCTCCCTCCTCTACTCGCTCCTCCTCTCCATTCCCTTCGAGGCAGCCTTGTACTTCACCTGCACAACGACTCTCGCCGTCGGGTTCGGCGATATAGTTCCGACGACTGTGGCTGCCAAGATCTGCCTATTCTTCTACGCCCCGCTAGGCATCACCTTGTTCGCCGTCACGATCTTCATTGCTAGGGGCACGATCTTGGAGGAGTTTGAGAATAGCTATCGCCGGAGAAGGGAGGAGTTTGGGCGACGCTTGAAGGAGAGGAGGAGGGGGCTTAGGGAGATTAGAAGGGAGAGACGGAGGGCTGCGAAGGAGAGGATTGCGGCGAACAAGGCGGGTACGGAGAAGGGAGGGGAGACGGGGAGAGATACGCCTGTGCGCAGGGGCTCGATCTTGCCTTGGCGAAGGAGCACGACGCCTACTCCCATGGCTACGGCAGATGAAGGCTACGGTCTGCCTCGCTCTGCCAGCCCTATGTCCGCAATGGAGAGCCCGACGCGCCTGAATCACCATCGCGACACCTCGGACGGCAAGGCCATCCCGACCAGCCCTACAGACGCGGACGTGGACGCGCCCGCCACGCCTACGACCCCCTCACCAGAAGACGGCGAAGGCGACCCGGTCAATGTAGCTTTAGCGGCGCACAAGCATCAATTGGAAGCCGGCTGGCAGCAATTCCGCCACGACTTGGCCACGCGCGAACGGACTGAATTCTGGACAAAGCTCGCCGTAGCCTGGTTCCTCTTCGTCGCCTTCTGGCTCATAGGTACGGTGGTGTTCCACTTCACCGAGGGGTGGACCCTATTCGAAGCCTTCTACTTCTGCTTTGTGCTGTTCAGCACTATTGGATTTGGGGATTTCACGCCAAAGAGCGATGGAGGACGGAGCTTTTTTATTATTTGGTCTCTCATGGGGGTAGGGGTGTTGACTGTGCTGATTTCGGTGTTTAGTGATGCTTGGGGGAGTTTGGTGAGTGAGAATTTGGGAAGGGCGAGGCAGAGGGTGAGGGAGAAGGGCAGGAGGTTGAGGGAGAAGGTGAGGGGGCGGCGAGGAAGGAGTAGGAGTGGCGACAGGCAGGAACACATGGAGGGGAGGATGGATGGGGAGGCCGGCAACTCGACCGCAATGAGCGACACAGACGAAGGCGGGGATGTCAGCGACATTCCTGCCACACCCATCATCACCGCCTCTCCTCTCGCCCGTACCATCACGCCTACGAGCAGCGTCGGCGCAGCACCGTCATCAGGGGGTATCCTGCAGTCACCTTCGAAGTCATTGCCCCAGAACCTGCCGGACATCATCGAAGGCGCGCCGCTACAATCGTCGCCCGCGCCTGCAAGCGCGAGTGGTCTCGAAGCGACTCCCGAGGAGCCTGCACATACTGAGGACGAAGCAGCATCAGCCCGGCGTCTAGCGGAGACAGCGCTTCGTCTCCACTCAGCGGCAGTCGATCACGTTCAAGCACATCGCGATGAGACGCTTGGGGCTTTGCGCACCGTCCCAGGCTTTAGGGAGGCGCTGCCCCGGCACTTGTTCGCCGATGCTCACCACGACGAAAAGGGCGAGAAGGTCTTCCCTCGACGCCGTCATCGCCATCGTCATGCCCTCGGACTCTCGCGGGGCCGAGAAAGCGACGACGATGACGATGACGAGGAGGAGGAACGCACGCCACACGACGATACCTCCGCCTCCAGCTCAGCTCTCGATCTCGCCCCTCTGCGCTCACTCGTCTCCTCCCTCGATCCCGCTGCTCGGCAGTCCGAGCCCGATCGCCATCGCAATCGCGACCCCCACGAGGATACGGAAGCGGCTTTCAAGCATACATCTCGCCTGTTGATTTTCCTTGAGCTCGAGCAGGCCACTCGCGATGTACTCAGGGATGTGCATGGGCTGGCAGGGAGGATTAGGGAGTTGAGGGGGGAGAATGAGAGGTTGAAGCGCGCCCAGATTGGGGATGGAGATGGGGATAAGTAGAGGGAGGGAGAGGCAGAGCAGCTCGTCTGCGGATACCGCTGCGCTCGTGTACAATACCTAGAGGCCTCATCTAATTGATCGTCGTCGTCGTCATGCAAAGGAGTGAAGGGTATCAAATGGCATTTCAGCAATGTGAGCCGACACAAGAGGGCACGATGGCAAAGAAGCAGGCGCGCTACTACGCGCAGCCCGAGACAGAATGAGACCAAAGGCAGGGCGGAACATCCAGCTACGCTTTGTCTGACTTACTCAGCAGCAGCAACCACCTTCGCCTTCTTCCCACCCAACTTCCCCAGCAGCCCCTTTTTAGCCGCCTTCCCCTCCACCGGTGCTGGCGTTGCCTCCGTAATTCCATCCAACCTAGGCGCGGGCTGTGCTTCATTACTAGGCGGGGGAGCGTATTTTCCCGGATCGATCTTGTCCGCAGGCGCATCAGCGGCGGGGGGCTCAGAGCCGCGACCAGCGGGCGCCATGGGGATCTCCCCCTGCACGTCGACGGGACGTTGTGGTGGTGGAGGGCCGGCTACGGTTGGGCCATCCTTGGTGAGCGGGAGGGTGATGCGTGACCCATTGTCTGGGGCAGGCGTGGTGGGAGTGAGGACGGGAGGGGAGGTGTCCTTCTCCGGCGCTGTGGTAGTGGGGGGCTTAGCCGGTTGAGCTGGAGTGGGCTCGACGGGAGCGGGGGTAGCAGGCTCGGTAGGCGCTGGGGCTGCGGGCTCAGAAGGAGCGGGCGTGGCTGGCTGCTCTGGCTCAGGAGCCGGAGCTGGAGCTGGAGTAGGGGCGGGCCGGGGAGTGGGCTCTGCTGGTCCCGGAGTAGGGGCGGGCGTAGGCTCAGGCGTGGGAGAAGGCTCTGCGGGCGCTGGCTGCTGCGGCTGAGGCTCAGCTGGAGCAGGCGTGGGCGCTGGTGCCGGCGTGGGCGTGGGCGTGGGCGTAGGCTCAGCAGGAGCAGGCTTCTTGGGCGCAGGCGTAGTAGGAGCTGGCTGGCTTGGCGTCGTCGGCGCTGGCTGGGTGGGCGTCGTAGGAGCAGGCTGTGATGGCGCCGGAGTGGGCGTGGCTGGCGCCTTCCCTGCGTCGCCGTCACCGTCACTAGGAGCAGCAGGCGCGTCCCACGTCCTCGGGATGAGCGCCACGGGCAAGATCCACGTTGCGCTCATACAGATACCCTCTCCCTTGTCGAACCCACTCAACTCATCCCAGCTCCACCCAATGAACGTCGAGATATACTGCGTCACCGGCGCAATACTCTTCAACACGGTCAAGATGACCTGCAGCTGCGGGGGAAGCATGGGCAATTTGGCCGCTCCAGCCAGAATGGCCGTGAGCATCGAGGAGATGGTCTGGGCAGTCTTCTCGGCTCTGTCGGCGTCCTTTGCGAGCGATTGCATGACTGGCTCCGGGAGGTAGAGAGTGAAGCCCCACCAATGCGCATGGATTGAGGCCTTGGTTGTGCTGGGGATCCAGATACGCTTGCTGCCCGAAGGGTCTGCGGCGGGCGGTGTAGAAGGAGCGGTCCCTTCGCTAGACTTGGGCGTCTTCTTGCCAAAGGGAAGCCAGGAAGGCCAATTCCAGAATGCCACCGCATTCGCAGAGGGCGAAGAGTAGAAAGGTGTGTACGTCCACAGGCTCACCTGCGAAGCCGCACTAGCCTTACTTGCGGCCAGCTCAGCCTGTTTGTGCACCTCTTCCCAGTCATCCCACTTGTACTTCGAACCCCTTTTCATGAGGCTGTCCAGCGACTTGTGGTTGCCCGCAAAGTAGTGATTGCTGTGCAGCACACGCGAGGGAATGACGACGGACTTCTCAAGCGCGAGGTTGGAACCGTCCAGGTCGATACTGAACATGACCGACGACCAGAGACCATCGTCTGCCGCGTCAGCCGCAGAGGTTGAGACGCTTTGGGAGCCGGGTATCTGTCCCCATGACTCGCCTGCGGGGAGTGAGTCCAGAGCAGCCCACACTGTGCCCACGCCCGTCCACGTAGAGGCCGAGGCGCTGGTGAGCTGGCGTCGCGAGTGCGCACGGGCGACATCGCTATTCATGATTGAATTGTCGCCGAGCGCTTGGATGAGGTCGCTATTGTCCATGCGCGAGTAGAAGGGTGGGCCAGGCTTGAGGATCGTGGCGATCTTTTGTGCCCACTCGTCGGGGGACAGAGGCGCCGCTGACTTGTTGTTCAGGTGGGCGAGGGTACGAGACCCAGCGGCAAGGCCATCAGCGCGAGGTGATGGGACGACATTGCGCTTGAGGGTCGAGTGCGGGGAGAGGAAGGCGTTGAGAGCTGCGTGCTCCGCATCGTCTTTGCGGCGCATCGTCATGGCGGGCGACGATAGCAAAGGTGGGGTGAAAAGGGCGGCTCAGACGACTAGTGATGCATTGTATATGAGAGCCAAAGATGGAGCGGCGACCAGACCCTTAGGGGGGGGCTAGTGAACCGTCACTGAGGCATGCGCGCATAGGGGTCAAAGAGAAGGTTGAAGCCGCCTTGGCGAGCAGGCTTGCTCGCTGCACCAATTCTGGATCACCTTTGCGAGCGTGGAGATGGCGAGCTCGCCGATCGATCAGCTAGCGAGTGTGGGGAGACGACGAGCCAGATGGACATGCTTTCCCGGGTACTCTATTCGAGAGCCGAATGCATGGAAGACAGGCAGACCCGAGTCTGTTTGTTGGTCACCGGACGACGCAAAACCAAGCGAGGCGCCATGTTCTCTTCGTGACCGGTACGCGTCGACGACCCCTATCCCGAGCAAGCTCCGCCGCCTGCATTCAGGGGTTCCGACTCTCCAAGTAGAGCTTGCTTGCTTGCTTGCTCGCTTGCATCGTCGACGAATCAATCGCTTTGAGAGGCAAAAAAAGGTACATGCTGCTATTGCAATGAACAAATGGACAGAGATACAAGTACAGTGTGTGAGCGCGCAGTGCGCGCGAGCATCAAGACGAAGAAGAGCCCCTGCGGAAGGGGGCCATTTTAGGGCTGGGACTGGTGCCGCCGCCGCTCGAGGACGGTCTGCTGAACGCCGCTGCTATCATTTGCCCCGGCGAGGAAGGCTGGCGAGAGGGAGAAGCGTTGCCATTTTGAGGATTACGAGCGGCGGCGGCTGCGGCTGAGCTTGGGTCGACGCTCTGCAAAGCGGCATGCCCGTTGGGGTGGACGTTGGCGCTGTGCCCATTCTTCATCGGCGTACCATTCTCGATAGCAGCAGCCATTGCCGCATCAGCCTGTGCTCGCTCCCTTGCCCTCCTCTTGCGCCAATCCCAATCACGCCCAGCAGCAGCCGTCGAGCTCGTGAAGCGCTCGAACCAGAAATCGTCGTCCCCCTTGTGCCCATTTGTTGCCTTCGTCAGGCCGTCGGGCAGAGCCTCGGTCGTCTCCAGTTGTGGGTCGAAAGTTTGGCCGAAGGTCGTCTCCCATTCGTACTTGGGCAGCGTCGGGGCACCAGCCGAGGCGACCGTCGCGTCCTCATCATCGTCGCTCGGCGAGTGGATAGGCGCATAGGCCAGCCAGCTCCCCAGTGGCTCCTCCTGTCTCCTGTTCGCCTTTTCACTCAGAGCCGACTCGCTCTTGACCCTCGCCAGCCCCTTGGAGGCGAGCTGTCGCATCTCAATGCGCTGCCTCGCCCTCTCATGCGTTTCAGCATAAGGATCCCAATCCGGCTCCGTCAGCTTGATAAGGCGCTGCTGTCGCTCCTGCCTCGAATCGACAAAGTCACTGGCGTGATGAGCGCGAGCCCAGAGAGCGCGAAAGCGTTGCGCCTCTTTGCGGAGGATGGAGGGGGGTGCGTCTTTCGCGCAGCGACCGATGAGAACCGGGTCAGGCTCGACGACGGAGGCTGCTTTGTGGTACGAAGAGTTGCGGGCAGGGATGGGCGCAGGGGCTTCGGCGTTTCCCGTGGAGACGGAGCCTATTTTGCGCTTCGTGCGCGGACGACGTGGCTTGGAGGTGCTGCGGAGCGAGGAGCGCTTCGCCATGAGGCTGGAATGGGAGGCGTCCTGCTGCGGGGCGTGCTGATCGTCTGCTGCGCCGCTGCTTTCGTCCTGAATGCTCGCGACAGCATCTGCTGCCTCTACGGCGTCCTTTTCGTCGTCTTCTTCCTCCTCCTCCTCTTCGTCGTCATCCGCACCCGTGCTGCTGCCGTTGCCGTCTCCCAATATCCCTAGCCCATGCACGGACAAACGCTGCTGCGTCTTTCTTCTTCTCCTCTTATTCGCTGCGATATGCTGATGGTGGTTGCCGAGGGGTGAGCTCGATCGCAGCGGGGGTGAGCGCCAGGGGTTGCGTGCGCCATTATTAGAGGACGACGCCGAGGACGCGGATGGTAGCAGCTCTACATGTACAGGTCTAACGCTGAGATTAGACGTGGTATCAGATGAAGTTATGATGATGTTGCTGCTGTGCTGCGATGCGGACGACGACGAGTCGTCCGAGGTGTAGAGGGATGAATCGTCGGCGTCGTCCCCCGCAGCCTGCAGGCTACGCTGTTCGATAGCCCGTAGAGATGCTCTATGGCTATCGTGCTCGCGACTTCTGGGACCAAAGAAGAGGGAGAGAACGATGATGAGGGATATGCCGACGATGGTTGCGATCAAGAGCTTCTTGGCCAGGTCATCGCTACGTCCTTGGCGAGTACGAGCTACGAGTTCATCAAGGTGAGGTTTGAGCTGGCTGATTGCGAGCGCGCCTTGCTGCTCAACCCTTGCAGCTAGATGGGCGAGCCAGGGCGGTACTCTTGAATAGTCGATCATAATTGATGCGTGTATGAATGAGAAGAGTAGGATGCGGTTTCTCGTGAACTTAAGGGAAGGAGGGAGGTTGGTCGCCGCGACTTGACTCGCCCCCCTTTTAGTGCAGCTTGGACATCGAGGTAAGTACTTCTTGCAAAGAGCGTGAGCAAGATGAGTAGGCGCCGAGTTCCGACGTCAAGTTGGCTTGGCTCTGATTGGTGACGAAGAGACAGGAGGAGGGGAAAAGGGCGCAGCAATAGGGGATCGTTGGCGGTCGATTGCGAAGGAGAGAGACAGAGAGAGAGAGGCGACGCCCCCGCTCCGCTTGTGGATTCGGATTCAATTGCAGTTGCGCTCGGCCCCTCGACAGCCCGCCTGCCTGGCCTGCCTGCGGGTCGAGACGATTTGTTTCCCCGCTCCGCCGCCCTCCTCGTGAGTGGGCGTGATAGCCAGGCCAAAGGGCGGGCGACTGCCAGCCAGGGCAGCCAGGGTCAAAGCGTCAAGGCGGGCCGCCGCTGCACGGACGGAAAACGCGCCCAAAAACGCGCCAACGGGGGAAAAGTCCAGCATCGAGCATCGAGATCGTCGACAAGATCAGGAACACGAGCGGGGGCCAGTAAGCGCTTCTCTTCTTCCTCGTCTTGACGCTGACATGTCCCTGGGAGACAAGCCCGCCCACGTCCCTCCTCCTGGCCCGTCACGAGGCGAGGGGCCGCTGCGTATTGGCGCCTATCATATCCCCCTCCCATCAGAAGCAGTCCTCACCTGGCCGCAGCTCTGCGAGATAACAGCCAGTGGAGACTTGAACGATCTCAATCGCCATTCGAACTGCGAGAATGAGTATCGCGAATGGCGAGAACCTATCAAGGCTCAGTACGGTGACCTGGAGACGTACATCCGCAAGGTCAGGCTACAATGGGATGAGGAGGAGCTCGAGGAAGTGCGGGAGCGAGATCGCAGCCTGGCCTACTTTCGCCACGACTGGGGACCGGACCGAGTGCGCTGCATCCCCAATGACTGGCCATACGGTATCCCAGACCGGTGCGGACACTATGTCGTCTGGTGCAAGTCGCCCATGCTCCATCCCTCCCTCTTCGAGACGGATCAAACGCCGTTTGAGCCCGAAGAGAGGCAGGCCATCTATGAGGCCGTGGCCTATGATGGGGTCAGAGGGTTGACGGGCGGGCGAGGCGGTAGCGGCAAGGCTGGCGGGGAGATCAGGGTCGTGGGCATGAAGACGATCCAGTTACTCAAGAGCAAGGAAGAGGTGGCTACCGCGCCGACACCGGCTGGAAGCCCAAGAGCCACGCCGTCGCCCAGACAGGGCGGGGAGGATGCCGCTACGATGGCTGAGCGTGCTCACTCTTGGGCAGGGAGGGAGGTCGACGCTTACTGCAAGAAGAAGTGGCCGGAGAACGAATGGGAGACGTGAGTCGGGGCGCGATGGCATGGAGTACGAGCTACGGGCTGACCTGCAAGTACCTTCCCCCCGCTTTTGTTTGTGTCTGGCAGCGCATGGTTTTGCAATCCGCCACACCTCCGGACTGTACCTGGCTTGTCGCACTTTCAGTAAGTCGAGAGCGAAGGTATGAGACGGGACGCGCTAGTGTTTGCTGACTTTACCACGTCTCTGCTCTATGTATCCTCCACAGCGTCATTGTCCGCAGGAAGGAGTGACGGGTCGCAGTCATCGTGTGCGCTGGTAACAGCGCCACCAGACAACATTCCCATAGACGTAATTTGTCTAAGCATAGCCTCCCAGCACTTGTAGCTGATAGCATCTATTAATGTCACCGCATGTCTACATCGCCATCACCGCTCCTCCCGTCATTGCCGTTCGCGCCTGCTGCTCCTCCCCGCATTGCCATGACATGAGGGTCTAACTTGGCAGCTTCTACCCCTCCCTTGGCCTCAAGCTCAGCACGCAGTCGCTCAAGTAACTTGACCTGACGAGATCTGGCAGTGTGTCGGCGTGCGTAAGTCAGCTCCACGTCCCGCTCTTCAATCTCCTGGCCGCCAGCCTCTCGCACACACTCACATGACACCCTCGTTCTCCTCCCTCACTGCCTTGAGCTCCTCCCGCTCATCCTGGGAGCGATCCTCAGCCGACGCGAACTCGAGGAGCAACTCTTGGCTCTCCCTCAGCTTGGCCAGGCTAGTCTCGAGCCGCTCAATCTCGAGGGCTAGCGTCGAAGCTTCGAGGGATTGCAGGTGCGAATCGCTCGGGGCGGCGGGCGGGGCGAGATTCGGCAACACGAGGGGCATCGTTGCGGTTCACGCCGACCAAGAACGGGGGATGACAAGACGGGCTGATCAATGTCTCGCGCCTCGAAGGGCTGACAAGAGAGCAAGCGCTGCTTGAGGGCAGACGCCGACGCTGAATGCTGGTAATGATGATGCTAGCACGCAGTCGCTGCTTTCTTGGGCTGAGCAGTGCGTACGCGACTCGCAGAACCCTGACCTGATCTAACCTCGAGGAGATGATCTCGGTCTATGGCCCCGTGCGTACAAGCGTGCGTGCGTGCGTGCTTGCACCTCGCAAGGCCGGCCGGCTATTTCGCTCGACGTCGACGTCGGCGGCGGCGTCCAGGGCTCAATGGATGCGCTACGGGTGTAGACGGCTACGTTGGTTGCGTTTGCGCCTGCTGCTAGGTGCTGCCTCCTTTCGTAAGCTGCGAGGGGTGGAGCGGGAGGAAGACGTGGGAGGATAGACTTCACTCCACTTGGGTGAAACGCCCGCCGCGTGTGCCGATGTGTCAGCTTGCAGGCCTGTGAAGCGCGGGCGGGCCAGCCGGGATGGACCCCTCTGGACCCTAAGTGGGCTCCTCTGGTCTCAGCCAAGGCACTGAGACAGTCTCTTCCAGAGCTTCCACCCCCCTCCTTTACTTTGGCTCGTCGGCGAGTCGGAATGAGTGGGTGGTCAGTGCGGACGCAGAGGCGCAGAGCACGACACAACGAGAAGAAGTGGTAGCAAGCCAGCAAGCTCGCAACAAAGCCCCGCTCACCGCCCAGCACTGCACTGTAAGTCAGCACGAGGGCCCACGGATTGGGCACGCCTCCCTTGAATTGACTTTTGACAGGCTTCGAGAGAGGAAGCAGGTGGGGGAAGGGCGAGGAGGCAGGAGAAGAGTCTTGGCCTGCTGCTCAAGCAACCTCCAAATCCTCCTCAACCCTCTCGCCGCTGGCGCACGTCCCTCGCTCCGAAGGTCTGGCGACGAGCAGGGCGACGAGGAGGACGACGAGAGATGGGCAGCTGCGAGCCAGCTGTAGCTGTGCAGCGTCGATGATGCCTCCCTGACCTAAGACGGGAGACGACGGCAGGGTCTCCAGGGGCGAGACGACATCATCAAGACGAACCCTGAGGCAATTGCTTACCACGGCCACCGCGGGGGCTCGAGCCAGCGGAACCCTTTAAGAGAAGATGCGCCGATGTCCGAGGATACCTTCTACCTTTCTTCCATAACTTCTTCGTCATCACCCCAGCGGTCTATTCGTCACCTTTCATAACTGCACCTACCGTCACCTTCCTTTTCTCTCCATCACACCTCTCGCATCTCATCCCACTATGTCGTGCTGTGAGACGCCTTCCTCGGACATGGCCGCCCAGGTCACCGAGATTCCCCAGTCCAAGAATGCCGTTGGCCCCGGCTACGCTGTCAAGGGCTCCGAGGAGATCCGCTACAGCTACTCCTTCGTCGACAATGTCTTTGACGCTCAGAAGGAGGACCTCGCCGAGTTCTACAAGAAGTGGGGCCGAGTCCTCATCGTCATCGACGACATTGTCCACGGCATCTACGGCGACGCAATTGAGCAGTGTGAGTGCAGCGAGGGAAAGGCAGTCCGATCGTTTCCTGTGCGCAGAGCTGACCCTGTTGCGATGTCGCACACGCAAATGCAGACTTTGCCGCGTACAAGATCCCCGTCACGTTCCACATCTTCAAGGGCGGTGAGCTCAACAAGAACATGGACACATTCGAGGGCATGGTTGATGCCTTTGACCAGTTTGGTCTGATCCGCAAGGAGCCCGTCCTTGTTGTCGGTGGCGGTCTCGCCTCCGATGTGTGCGGTTACGCTTGCGCCTCTTACCGCCGCAACACGAACTGGATTCGTGTCGGTACCACCCTCATCGCTCTCATTGACGCCGCCATTTCGATCAAGGTGAGCAGACGTGCGCCGCTGTTCGCTTACGGTCTGAGAATTCTGACAGTCCACTGTTCGCGCTCCTCTCGCGTAGGTCGGAATCAACCACGGCAAGCTCAAGAACCGCTTGGGCGCCTACCACGCACCTATGCACACTTTCCTCGACTTCGACTTCCTTCGCACCCTCCCAGAGGGCCAGATCCGTAACGGCTTCGCAGAGATTGTCAAGATCTCGCACGTCGCCGACAAGACTACGTGGGACCTCCTCGTCAAGTACGGCCCTGACCTCGTCAAGACCGGCTTCGGCCGCAAGGAGAAGGATGCTGCGTACTCCCAGGAGCTCAAGGAGGCGGCTGACGTGATTTGCCGCCGCGCAATCAAGGTCATGCTGGACCTTGAGTCGCCCAACCTCCACGAGATTGGTCTCGACCGTGTCATTGCTTCTGGACACGCCATTTCCCCGACCCTCGAGCTTGCGCCCTTCCCTCCTCTCCGCCACGGTCACGCCATCACCGTCGACATGGCCTTCTGCGTCACCCTTGCCCACTCGCGCGGCGATATCAGCGATGCCGAGCGCGACGAGTGGTTCGACACGATCATCGGTGTCGGCCTCACGGTCGACCACGAGCTCTTCGACTACGACATGCTCCAGCGCGGAATGGCCGCCATTCTCAAGACGCGTGACGGCCTGCAGCGTCTCGTCCTGCCCAAGCCCATCGGCAAGTGCTACTTTGCCAACGACGTCTCGGACGACGAGTTTGTCAAAGTCCTCAAGACGCACAAGGACTACGTGCTGCAGCGCTTCCCGGCCACCAAGGGCGGCAACGGCGTCGACGCCTACGCTGATGCGGGAGACCTCGGTGCTGACCCGGAAGTGCTCAAGCAGAAGCAGGAGGAGTCGTTGCGCGAGACTGGTATCGGGCGCGCAAAGAAGGCTCAGGCCAATGGGACCGCAAATGGATCCGCAAAGGCACCGCTCAAGTCGACGCCTAACGGCATGCCCGCCGTGGGCAACGCTGCGGTCAGCGCTTCGGCGTAGGCGTGGGTTGAATAGCAAATGAAGAACAAACTGTAGAATTATGAAGCATCAAAGAGACGTGCCTGCCTGTTTTGTGAAGGGAGGAGGAGGAATGAGCAGAGCGCGGTTCATATCACCACCAAATACGATCACGTCTAATCTCCATGCCGTGACGCGCGAGGCTTGATGTGATGACATTGACAGAGAGAGAGAGAGAGAGAGAAGCGAGAAGCGAGGAGCGAGAAGCGAGAATCTAATTTACAAGCACAACAGAAGCAATGACGGTCCACCACACGCGCGCGCGCGCACGTTCACAACCCATAGATGCTCTTAAGCTTAGCGTAATCGGGGCTCCCCAATCCACTCGCAATATCATATCCCCCAGCCGTAGAGTTGAAGCCATACTGCTGCGCAGTCGCCTCTGTGCCGGCTCCACACTTCCAGTAAGATCCGCCCACCTTCACGTCATTGAACGCTCCAGGGTTGGCGTAGAGCATCGGGTTCATCCACCCTACTGTGGCCTTGCCCGCATTCAAGAGCGCATCGTTGAGCACGGCGACCACGGCGCCGAAGACGGGCGCGCTCATACTGGTTCCGGCCTGGAGATAGGCGGCATTGTTCAGCACAATGGGGAAGTCGATACCATTGGTCACGACGTCGGGGTAGGCTCGACCTGCCGAGTTGAACTGGCCTGAGGTCGCCTTGTCGTACAACGCATTGCTGGCGCTCAGAGCCTTCTTGAGGGCGTCGGCTTGCCACGACGGGGTGGACCAGCGACGCGAGAAGCCTGAGCCGGAGGCCCACGACCATTTCGTCCCCGTGAGGCCAGAGGGGGTGTTGTAGTAGACGGGCTGCTCGTTGGCGTCGCCCCAGCCAGCTGTGGCGCCGACCGTGGTGATGTAAGGGCAGCCCACGGGGTAGGCGGGTCGAAGGGACGGGCAGTACCCTCCATTGTCTGGGTACGAAGGGTTGAAGGCGCGAGCGACAGAGTCCGGTCCCGAGTCGCCCGAAGCAAAGATGATCGTCGTGCCCAGAGCAGAGAGAACCTGCGCTGCATTGCACATCGCGTCCGCCGTTGCGCCCATGGAGTCCTCGTCGAGAATGCCGTACGAGACGGCTACGACCTGCGGGCGGATGCTTGCGTCCTGGTCGATGAATGTCTGGAAGGCGGTCAAGAAGATGTCGCCGTCGTCTGCTCCTACGGTGTTGCCGTTGGAGTCACCGATGTTGTAGTAGGACGTCTGCAGCGGGAAGGCCATGCCTGCGATGATCTGGGCATCGAGTGCCGCCTCCGATGTCGGATTCGACGCATTGTTCGAAGCGCCAAAGAGGTCATTCACAGTCATCTTGTACTTGGAGGCATTGGGCTGGTCAGGACGGAACTGCGTCAGAGCCTTGGTGAGGTCGTTCTGCGACATGTTCTCGCCGAGGTAGCCGACGACGGCGAGGTCATTGCGACGGCGCAGGGACTTCTTGGGCACGGGCAGGCCGTACTGGTCGATGAGGCAGCGCGGGAAGCTATAGACGTGGCCGCCAGACGAGTAGCAGTTGGAGGAGATGTTGGCAGAAGCGCGAGACACCAATCTGGTCTCTTCCTCCTCGTCGAGGCGACGGCGGCGAGCGCGTGGTGCAGGGTCTGGGAGAGACTTTGCTTGGACACTAGCTGCGGCCGCCGAGGACGAGTAGTCACCGAAGGCGAGGAGAGTGCCGACCGAGTAGACGTGTGCGGCAATCGAGGCTGGCAGCGTCACGTTGGTGGCTTTGGGCACAGCGTCTTTGCCGTCGTGCGAGTAGCTCGAGAGGGTGGTGCCGAGGAACTTCTGAGCGAGAGCGACCGTCGAATTGATGATGACACGATCCTTGAGGCCCGAGAAGGAGATGTTGGCCGCGGGAATGCCAGCGCCAGTCAAGGCCGAAACGACCGTCTGCTGGGCAGACGTCGTCGGCGTGACATACTGAGCGAGCTGGTCTTGCGTGAGCCACTTGGCATTAGGATCTTTGGAGATGGCCGTCATCTGCGTAGCGAGACCAGCTCGGTTGGGCGAGTTGAGGTAGAGGGAGAATTGCATCTGCTCCTGAGCGGGCGCCGTGCCGACGTTCTTCCACGATGAAGGGACAGAGGCGGCCTTGAGCACTCTTGGCGCCGCAGCCGCAGCCGCTTGCGAGGCCGTGACTGCCGCGAAGAGGAGCACGAGGTGCGCGAGCAGGATCTTCCATTGTGAGAGGGACATCGCGCGATCGATGGATGAAGAGTTGGGTGTAGAAGGGAGGGGGTCTTGTAGGAGCGGCTGCTGACTTCTACTCTTCACGATGGCGACGACGACGACGACGTGCCCAGCAACCTGCCTTTTGAGGCAGGGTCGATCGGCCGTCCATCCATCGTATAGTATCATCGCCGGCGGCTCATCACCGGCTCTCGACCTTCTCGCCCCGCTCTCGCCCCCGAATATTTTCCTCGGTGTATGCCTGACATGCTTGCTTGCTTGCGTGAGCGCGCAAGGGACGAAGGCAACGATCGTGATCGAAGCCAAACTCTATCTTTGGGCTAGATCACGGTCGAGGTCTTCCATTCCAACGTGTCATTTGAGACCCCAGGTTCCAATTTTGATGCTCGAGGACGTGGGTGGCTTGGCGTTCAAGTTGAATGCCCACCCGCCGCCGCTGCAAGCACGGCAGCCTGTACCACTCCGCCACCCATCTCGAGATGGATGCGGTGCCCGACAGCCATGCTAGAAGTTAGGCTTTCGCCGCCATGGTGGTGGTCGTCGCAGCGGCGGCTTCGGCGGGTGCGTTGGGATGGAAAGCGTCACACAAGGTTCGTCTCTCTTGGGCCCCGCCTTTGCTTTGCTGGGCCTGTCTGACTCTAATTTGAGTGAGTGACTTGAATTCTATTCGCTCCGATCACCGGCAGACGGACGAGCTTCTTTTCCGTCCAATGGGCACTCGTCGAGTCTGGCGGGCGGGCGGCGGGCAGGCCGCACACACCAAATTCAAGTGGCGTCGCGACGTTCTTGACTCTCCGCCACCATGATCTGTCGAATCCGGACGCTTAATCGCACGACACCCGGCCACGGCCACGGCCACGGAAGCCGACTCCAGTCGTCACCCGCTTCGAGGTGACGTCGACGGCTGGCGACTGAGACCGTCGGTGGGTGTGGGAGCCTTATTGAGATCAACCGCATCGGTAGTCGTGGTGGAAATCAAGCTCTCAATGCGCTCAACGCGCAGGCATATGCACCTGTCTCTCAGCTGTCAGGCACTGACAGACGGCGATCAAGCGGTGGAGCATCCTTGAACCTTGAACTTCTTGGGACACACACGAAGCAATCCTCATGATCGGTCGCTCACCGGCAGCGGGGTCTGGAAAGAGCAAATGAGATGGAGGGCGATACCTGCCCTCGAAGGAAGGCAGCTTGATCAGTCAGTTGGGCTGCTGCGATTCGATTACGGCACAGTCGGGGCCCGAAGGGCTTCCGTAATTGGTCTGTGGCCTTGCGAGGATGAAGATGGCATATCCCTTTTATCCCGAAGTCGGCGACGTAGGATGGCAACCTGTTCCCCCCAATCACCATCCATCTCGACGTCTTTGCACGTCGCCCTCGCCCGTCCTCTTTGACGATGAGGTCCACGCTCTTCCTCTTCATCCTCGCCGTCCTAGTGGCTGCGGTCGCTCAGGCAGCGCCGCTAGCCACGACGACCGAGAAGCTCGTGTCTTCCTCCAGCTCTACTTCTACGTCATCATCGAGCTCGACGCCATCGGCCCTGGTCCTCAAGACCAAGAAGTCCCTCTTCCGCGGGGAGCAAGCGTCCTTCCAGGAGTTCAAAGCCGTCAAGCTGGCCGCGGTCTCGCCTCTGACAAGCTTCTGCAACCGCTTTCGCTCGGGGTGCTCGAGTGTCTGCAGCAGCAAGGGCTTGGCAGTCGCGGCCAATACCTGCTCATCGGCCGGAACCCTCTCTGGCGGTCGATCCAAGTTCAACTTCAAGTGCGTCTGCTCGCGCACGGACTACACTCCTGCGGCGCTCGTAGCTGCCGCTCAGCCGGCGACCACTAGCACTGTGGTAAAGTCGGTCTACTCTACATCCACAGCGACCGACACTGTCCTCTCGACGGCGACGTCCACCAGCGTGGTCCTGTCTACGAGCATCTCAATAGCGGAGAGCACCTCAACGCAGCTTATCGAAGTGACCACGACTCAGCCCGATGCCACGGTAACGGTCACTTCTCGAGTCACGCCGTCAGCTGTCGTAGCTTCAGTTACGAGCCTTGTCACCCCTCCTGTGGCAACCTCGACGCGCTACTCCACCACGACCTTAGCACCATCGACCCGAACGAGCGTAGTCACCGTGACCAGGCCAGTCCCAACCACGACTTTGAACACAGTCTCCGTCGCCACGGTCACGGTCACCTCCACCGCGGTGGCTAATGCACAGAATGTCAAGCTTGCCCTCGCCGCCTCTACCACGCCGATCCTCAACAACGCAGCCGTCATCAAGACGACCGTCCCCGCGACTGTAGCTGGCTTCTGCGGCCTCTACTCGACGTCGTGCTCGACCAGCTGCTCAACGCGTTACGGCGTTGCATCTCAAAGCTGCTCTGCCCCGAGCACCAACGTGTACGTGCTCAAATGCACCTGCTCCGACGGTGCGGCGCCTATCCTACACTCGCTCGATGCCATTCAGATGCCAGCCGCTACTGACACCAGCACAACGACGCTGGTTCGCCGAGCTACGAAGCGAGTGACGAGCACGACGACCGTTGTAGTGAGGGCGACACAGGTGGTCAAGCAGGCGCAGCAGAAGCTCGCCACTGTTCAGTCGACGAGCACCGTGACTGTCGCGGGCCAGACCGTCACCCAGAGCGCGCTCTTGACGCTGCCGGCCTCGACGGTCACCCGTGTCACGACATCGACGCTGCCCGTGCAGACCTCGTACGTTACTTCGCTCGTCACCGCGACTCCCTCCGCCGTCACCGTCACGTCGACAACGAGCGTTGGACCGTCCTCGACGGTGACCAAGTACGTCACCTCGACCTCGACGACGACAAAGACGGTGCTCGTGACGCCAACGGTTTCTTCGTCTTCGTCCTCGACCTCTAGCCCCACGCCCACGAGCTCAGTGGTGAACGTCAGCCCCCTTGCAGCCAGCGTGACCCTCTCTGTCGCGCCCGCAGCCGCTGCCGCCACCTCCGCCACCCGCGCGAACCCCACCGGGTCGATCATGGTCACCGACGTCTCTTCATCCAAGACGCTGGGCTACGTCTCGACTACGCAGGACGAGAGCGCCTACGCCTACCTCCTCACGGCTGACTCAGACTCGGCCATGCAAGTCTCGACGCTCGCAGGTGCCTCCCTCTCTGGCTCCCTCATCAGCTTGAACATTATCAACGGCGACCTCTCGGCGCCATTCACCAACTTCGGCCTGGAGGTCCAGTCAATGAACGACGCCGGTGTCCAGCCAGTCAACTACGAGTTCCTCCTCGTCACGGACACGGCTTCGAGCACGACGAACCCGTACCCGCTCACCGAGCACTCGGACTCGGCCGCCTTCCTCGCCAACGGCGTGGCGTGGTCCCTCAACAGCAAGAGTGGAGCACTGAGCGCTGTCTGGACGAATCCGAAGGGGTCGAGCCCGACGACGTCCGGCATGTCGATGTTCGTCATCTGCACGGATGCGACAGTGGGTTCGTGCTTCTTGACAGCAGCGGCCAGCAATGCGACGTGGGCCAACTTCAACACCGAGGGGGTCACCATCAAGCAGGTGGCTCTCACCTTCGTTGCATCGTCGTGAGCGGCAGGCGAGCGCAGCGAACGCGGCGAAGCGATAGATCTTGATGGACTTTAGTGTTGTTATTTTTTTCGCGACTCGATCTATGCTTGTATGTACGATATCTTTTCCTCCCCTTGTTCATTCTCTCTCTGAAATATACGTCAGCGTCAGCCGTACCAAACGTAGCAGCGAGCATGGTGAGCGTTGTGAGTGGGCGGAAAAAAAAGCCCGTCGCCCCTCACTCACGCGGAAGACGATGCAAAGCAGGGCGTCAAACGAACGAGCGGAGCTGGTTTTTGGTCGTCTTTGAAGCGACTTGCTCCTCCTCTCCCCTCCATCCCCGCTCGATGCGAAGTCAACTCGCGAACTTGACTCTGGTCCGTGAGAGCCCTCGATGGGCTGAGGGATGAGGAGAGGGCAAAGGTACCGCCTGCATCGAGACGTGCTTGTGTGATGCCGAGGGGAAATATGGAGCGGGGGGGAGAGAGAGAGAACGGGCAGTAATTGTCTAGCGATCGATGTCGCACGTCGCCGGCGGACCGCGATCGTCGAGGAAAGAGGCGGCCTTCAGGAGGTCGATGAACGATGCACTTGACTCCGTTTCCATCCTCTCTTCATCTTCACTTCCCTCACGTCTCTTCGCCCTTACTCTCACACGCACGCACGCACGCACGCTACCGTCATGCCCTCCCTCGTCCACAAGGTCATCGACGACTATGCTGCGCGCCGCCTACGCAGCCGCGAGATGGCGGCGTTGAGGCAGTGGAAGCTCGACCAGGTTCGCCATCAGATGGGGCAGAGCCGCCACAAGGGGACTGCTGATCCCGACCTTGTCGCCGCGGTAGAGAGCTGGAGGATCACCGTCACGGAGCAGAAGCAAGGCAGCCAGTCACCCATCGTCTTGTCTACTCCGCCGTGGCAGGCGTCACCCACGACAGCACCTCGCAGCGATAATGTCGAGCGCTTTCTCCCCATTCAGAGCCATCGTGGCCGTGGGGAGCAGCTTTTCCTTGACACGAGGCTTTTCGACGTGCCCGTGCAGAAGGAGGGACGGGAAGATGGTCAGAGTGGTGAGGTCGCGCAGCAGCAGCAGCAGCAGCAGCAGAGGAAGGCGAACGAGATGGGGCGACCAACATTGCCTGGCCGCGAAAGCTCGCTCAAGGAGGAGGACTGGCTGACTCGACGAATGATCGAGGAGCTCAGCGCACCAAGAAGAGGGTCAGACTGCTCGGATGCTACATTGGTGTGGTGAGTGTGCGAGACACGCGCGATGCCAAAGCTCGCAGATACTGACCGGGGCTGCTTGGCCATGTTTGCGTAGATTACCTCAACAACGTCCCGATTCCTCGTACCATGGGCCCGTGTGCGAGCCACTCGGGCTCTCTTGTCACCAACTTCCTTCCTTCCTTCCTTCCTTCTCATCTGTAAACATAGTTCATCAATCAGTTTAGACTTGCTTCTTCTCTCTACGCCTCGAGATAAGGGCAGGCGGGGCCGCGAGCGGCGAGGGGCGGCGTGTGGGAAAAAAGTACCTGGCTCGAGCGGGGCTCGCTGCATGAGAGCGTGCGAGTCGAGTGAGCCTGTGTTGGTTGTCTAGGCCTCGTCGTCGATTGATAAGGAGGTGGCAGCATCCCACGCCGCTCCTCCCTTCATCTCCTCCTTTGCTTCCCATCTAGACCATCCAGTCCTTCATACCACCAGCATGTCCATCACCCTCTCCCCCCTCCCCGCACAGAATCTCCCAGGCGCTCCAGCCCGCGACCTCGACCCAGACTTTGGTCGCATCGCCTCGGGCGTGGACCTCTCGCAGCTCACGCCCGAGACCTTTGCAGCGGTCCGCGAGGCTCTATACAAGCATTCTGTTCTCGTATTCCCCAAGACGAAGCTGAGCCCTGAGAAGCAATACGAGTTGACGCAGCTATTTGACCCGAGCTCGACGAGCTATGGGCATGGCAACAAGGGAAGACAAGAGAAGAGTGCGTGGCCGGTTAGAGGCAAGGGAATATCTTCAGGCTACTGACCGAGACAGGTGCTCAATTGCTCTCACGCAGGCATCTTGCATCCTGATCTCAAGACAATCCCACGGCAGCCGCAAGTGCAAGTCATCGGCAACGGCTTTGTCAAGGAGCACGAGGGCTTGAAGGACATCCAGCTCAAGCACCCGCATCACGCCACTTTCCACAAGACCAAGATCAGCGACGAGGATGACCATGACTATACGAGGTGCGCGCAGCGAAAGGCCAGCAAGACGATGGGCAATGTGACTGATCCCACAACTCTCCTCGCGCGCCCGCAGGTTCTATCGCTGGCACATTGACTCGGCCCTGTACGACCTCTCGACGCCTCGCGTCACCTCCCTCTACGCCATCAACGTTCCCAAGGGACGCACGCAGACGCTGCGATACGACGATGGATCAGGAGACGAGCTGCAAGTGCCGCTGGGCACAACGGCTTTCGTCTCTGGTATCGCCCTCTTCGAGAACCTCCCGCCAGCTCAGAAGTCTCTCGCCGTCCGCAGCAAAGTGCGATACGCCCCGCATCCCTACGTGAGAGCGACGAGACCACCGCGGGGCCAGGAGATTAGCTACAGCTACTGACGGTCCCTCACGGCTCACTTCCCCGCAGGTATGGATGAGCAAAGCGAAATCCAACTCTCTGGGTCTCGGCCTCGTCAGCGAGGATGCCGAGCTTCCCCTGGACCAGCTCCCCGCCTGGTCAGAAGAAAAGGTCAAGGTCCTCCCTATGCTCTGGAAGAACGATGTAACAGGGAAACTCCACCTGCAAGTGCACCCTTCCGCCATACAAGAGCTGCTCATCTCTCCCATCCCATCCGGCTCACCGAGACCGGAGGACGCCCTCTATCCTGATGGGGCGCACGTTACAGATTTGAAGCAAGTGCGAGAGATCGTGTACGGACTGCAACGCCCCGGCTTTGCCCCACCCAAGGTGTATGCGCACGACTGGGCAGAGGGGGATATGTGTCTCTTCCACAACCAGGGGGTCATACATAGCGTTGTGGGGGCTTTTGCGCCTGATGAGGTCAGGTGAGTAAGCGTGACCTCGTGGTCCGAAAAGTAGCGAGCGAAGGAAAGAGAGAGAGCTGACAATCAAGCTGCCTGTCCTGCTTTCTTCTTCATCATCATCGCACCCCGCCCAGAATCTTCCGACAGTGCAACCTGGCTGCGAGTAGCGATCCGGTCGGGCCGAGCGAGGAGGATGTGAAACGTTGGGCATGAGACGTGGTTGTGTGCGCGGCTGTGAATACCATACGATGGCCGAGCGCTTCTGCTTCTTCGCAAGATTGAATAGGCTTTCCCCGCACCCATTACCCGCTCGCTCGCACGCGACATTCACGGCAAACGCCCTCGCTCCGGGCCGCGGCGGCGTCCCACCTCGCCGAGAGGAAAATCTCTTATCTTTCGGGCACACGGCCAGTCTTCCCCACACGACGTACGAGGATGTACGGGCGACATGAGGTGGCCTGGGCGGGCGGCTGCAGGACTGAAGTGAGCCTGCAGCCCCTTCGCCGAGCGTGAGCGTGTGAGGTGAGCTCACTTTTTTCCTCAGTCGCGAAGGACAGACACATCGATGGTGTGATGAGAGTGGGGAGAGGCTAAGCGGGGTCGGTCGTGCGAGTAGCGTAGCTGCTTTGACTTCTTTTGTAACTTCCCTTTCGCGCACACTCTACCTCACGTCCTACACATATTCCATCCTCGTTATTGCAGCCATGTTCCGACCAAGATTGACCACTTTCGCCTCCGCGGCTGCCGCTGCCAGCAGCTCCCCCTCGTCCCTCATGCTGCGTCGCACCCTCCTCACCACTGCTTCCCTTCGTGGTCCTTGGTCCGACCCTCTCCCGTCCTCCTCCTCCTCCTCAACCCCACTCAAGCACTACATAATCCTCGCCGAAGACGTAACAGAGAATGGCGAGGGATTGCGTCGCCGTTTGTCCGTGCGCTCCCAGCACCTGGCGGATGCGCGCGAGGGGAAGGAGAGCGGGCGTATCGAGCTCGGCGGTGGGCTTTTGGGCGTGGACCACGCCGAGGTGGGCAAGGATGGACCGGCGCAACATCTCAAGGGGAGCTTGTTTGTCGTGCTAGGAGAGGTGAGCGAACGAGCCAGCGAGCGAGCGTCGATGTTGTCCAAGTAGCCGTAGCTGATCGTACGCTCCTCGCGCCAGTCAATCGCCGACGTCCGCTCGCGCTTGGAGCAGGACGTCTACTTCTCCTCTGGCGCCTTCGACCCTTCCAAGATCCGCATCTTCCCTTTCCTCAAGGCTAGCCTGGGATCCAGCCCAGCGGGCGCCGACGCCGTGAGCACCTCGACCTCTGCCGCGGGAGGTGCTGCTGCTGCTGCTGCTGCTGCGACCTCTGCCTCTGAGGCTGGAGAGGAAACAACAACCACGACGACAACGACGCTTCGTCGCCCGCCTCCCTCGTTGGGGGAGCTGAGAGAGGAGGAGATGAGCAGGTGGAGGGAGAAGGCAGCTAAGAGCTTGCAGTGGTTGCGGGAGGGGAGGAGCAACCAGAGTTTGGCGTGAGGTGGGCGAGGCATGAGCTCAGCCTGCTTAGGGCCTCATTTGCTCTACATTCTTTTTCTGCTCTTCTACGATACGGATGAAGGGCAAGATGGCAGCTTCCAAAATTGGGCAGGGCAGGGCAGGGCCTGCGCAAGAGCGTCGCCTGACGGGCGTCTCGAGTCCTCGAGCCCGTCAAGAAGCTGCGCAAGGCGCCGCCATGGTGCCCATCAAAAGGATGCACTCCCGCAACCACATTCTACGGCTACTATTACAAGCTGCAAATCTTGTCACTTCGATAGCCTGTGCTCGCGATGAATGATGATCAGTCGCTGCTTTTCATCTCTGCCCCGCCTGAACCGTAGCTCCCTTGACGCACGACCGATGGGCGAGAGTGGGGAGGGCGGGGGGACGCGGGGCGGACCGTGTGAGCGCGAGTGAGCGTGAGGCTGAGGGCCGATGCAGGTGAGGCTGGCTGAAGCTTGCTGCTGCTGCCCTGGATTCGAGACGGGACGACTGCCGCCTTTGTCTGCGTTCCAATCTCGCACGCCGACTTCCTCGTCGCCCATCACATCACCATCACCATCACCGACGCTCATCTCGCTGTCATTGCTGCTCATCCGTCCAGCTACATCAACTGTGCTGTGACAGAGAGCAGTGCAGGCGTCGCAGCCTCGCAGCCTCGCAGCCTCGCAGCCGTGCTTGCTGCATACAGCCATCGTCCCTCGCTCCCCGCACCTCCTCTGATTCGCTACCGCAATGGCCAAGATTCCCAGACATCATCGTCACCTCTGGCACAGGGCGGCATCGACGCCGACATCTTCGAGTAGGAGCGTGGCCGTATCGCGCAGGGCAATCGTATCGACGTACGCCTCTCAGCCGCACACATCGAGACATGCGACGCAGCAGCAGCAGCAGCGCGATGAGGCAGGACCGGCAGGGGCTGATGAATGGGAGCTCACATCTACCGCTGCTCCAGCCTCGAACGATGTAGACCACCTCGTCGCATCCACATCAGCCGTCACACTCGACGACAGGCCTCGAGCATCGCGGCCCGCTCCAGCATCAAGGACTGCTCTGTACAGCATACCAGCGCCAAAGGCCCGCTTCCTGTGGTCAAGCCCCGCCCTCCCCATCACCTCATCCTCCTGCTCCTCGTCGCCCTCCCACGCGGCGCCCTTCTCTAGCTCAGCCCCTGCCCGCATCACGCTGCAATGGCTCGACCCCAACCCACCGGAGATAGTTCGTACCTGGTCCCAATCTCGACGATCCACTCGGCCTCCTTCCCCGCCAGATCGTACCCTCCCGCCCGCCGATTTCGATTTCGCTCATCACGACCAGTACTCTAGTAATAGCTTCTACCTGAGCGAGGCAGACGGCCTGAGTGCCGCAACTTTCGCGGCCAGCTCGAGCTATCATGGTGCGAATGGCGGGAGTGGGGCGAACGGTGGGGGATCCTCTTCTTCGTCGTCGTCCTCTTCATCGGATGGAGGTGGTCAAGCTCCGGGCGATCTGCCGCCTTCCTTCACGTCCACCACGACAAACGGTCAGCCAGGCCGTACCCATACGCCCACATCCCCGCACGACCGGAACCAAGCGCACAGCAAAGCTCCACAAGCTCCCGCCGTCGCGCCCGTCCCACTCCTGGCCTCCTCCTCCCTCTCAAACCCCTCCCACACCAGCATCGAGCTCTCAACAAGCCCCGCCCAGCCCTCCTCGCCCCGCTCCTTCTCCATCCAGCACGACCATTCCCCCCTCCCCCCACTCTACGAGTTCAGGCATGGCGCCTATGGGATTCCGAAGCGACACCCTCTAGCCGCGCAGCAGCAGGCCCCGAAGAAAAGGGGGAATGCCAACAGCTCGACCGGCAGAGGCGTATTGGCTGCCGCGGCTGACTTTCTCGCTGGGCCCGTCCCACCACCGCCGCCGCCTCGCCCTTCATCCTCCTCTGCAGCTCAGCCCCCAAAGAAGACTTCCCCACCCTCAACACAGCCCGCGCGACTTGATCCCGACACACTCCGCTCAGTCCAAGTAGGCGAGGATTCCTACTTCCTCCGCTCCGACTCCTTCGGTATCGCCGACGGAGTGGGCGGTTGGGCGACGCGACCTGGTGCGAATCCGGCCTTGTTCTCGCGCTTGTTGATGCACTTTTGCTCCGTGGAGCTGAGCAGATACGATGAGATCATGGCGCGCAACAAGCAGGGTGATGGCGTCGCGAGGGGAGAAGAAGAGGCGGCGCTGAGGGCGTTTTGGGAGGTGGACCCGGTAGAGGTGATGCATCGCGCTTGGGAGCGTTGTGTGCGAATATCGCGACGAGAGGTGCGTGTGTTCGCGCGTCGTCGCCATCCACTTCCCTCTCAACAGCAGCTGATCTGACCCTCATCCCGTCCACCCTCGCTCGTACAGGGGATCCTCGGCTCCTCGACGGCCCTCCTCGCCATGCTACGTGGCGATCAGCTGCGCATCGCCAATCTGGGGGACTGCGTGCTCCTCATCGTGCGGCGCGGCCACTTACTCTTCCGTAGTCAGGAGCAGCAGCATTCCTTCAACTTCCCGGTACAGCTGGGAATGATGCATCAGCGTGGTGGCACCGAGCAGGATGCGGTAGACCCCGTCGCCTCCCATGCGAAATCGTCGACCAGTCCTCCTCCTCCGCCCTCAGCAGCCGCAGCCGACGAAGATCTCGACTCTGTGGAGCCGGAGTCCCTCCTCCTCGAGCAGCGCCGCAAGCACGACGAAGCTGCCGCCCACGCCTCAGCTGCTGCGCGTCGCTTCGAAGAGGAAGAGGCGCAGCGCGAGCGAGAAGAGCGTCGACGTCGCGCCGAATTCGAGGGGAAGGACATGAAGCTCTTCGACGCCGAGCTAGAAGCGGGACAAGCGTTCGACTTTGATCCTCAAGCTGGCGCGGCGCGCACGGCGAGCAGCCACGCTACCACCGCCGCAGCCACGCAGCAGCAGCAGCAGCAGCAGGGTGGGCTCGAGGATAGTGTACACAGCACCGGCGAGGGGGAGGCGCGCAGCACTGTGTATGTAGGTTTCGACGACTCGCACCCCTGGGACGAGCCGCGTCGTGATTGTGGGAGGTGGACCATCCAGGTTCAGCGAGGGGACGTCATCATTCTGGCATCGGATGGGCTGGTGGACAATCTCTTCGACGACGATATACTAGAGGAGGTGCAGCGTTTCGCTCCTCCTGCTGACGATGTGGAGCATGAACAGCACGAGGACTATACGAGCGATGCGGCGGAGGCGGAGGCTGAGGAGGAGGAATGGCCTCCGCTCAACTTCTCCCCGCAACTCCTCAGCGAGGCCCTTTGCTCGCGGGCCAAGTCCGTCTCGCAGGACTCCAAGGCCATTATTTCTCCCTTTCAGCAACGGGCGACGGAGGAGGGTCTGCCCTATGTGGGTGGCAAGCACGATGATATTAGCGTGCTGGTGGCCGTCGTTGTTGGTGAGGACGGTGGAGACGGGAGGCGGTTGAGGTTGAGGCGATGAGGAGGTGGGGGATGTGAATACTGGAAGACTCGGTGCGATTCGTTCATTCAATCATGTACAACTAGAAAGAGACTCGTGGTTGTGGTGCATTTGAACAAGGCTCAATTATGACTTTGGCGAGCTTGCTGATCGGCATTTGATGTAGGGACTCGCCCATCTCGATGAGTAGACTCAGCCGCAGGTCCGCCTCATCAGACAGCGGGCAAACCAATTGCCGGCAGGCTGAGCCGTCGGCACGGCAGGGGCGCCGCTTCGATTGAGACGAAGGAAGCTCAAACTTGTCCGTCGAGATGAGACGTTAGACTAAGTCAGGCTTCACTCTGCTCCTCGTCACGTCACTTGCGCCATCATCATGTCTGAGCTGCGCCCGACATACTCGCGCCAGGATACGGCAGACGTCAAAGTCGCTCCTGAAGATACCACGAGCAGCGCAGACCAGAAGCTGGATCCGTCTTCCCTCGCAGACGAGGAAGCTGCTCATCCTGCCCCTCTTGACTCCGGTTCCAGCTCCTGCTCACCGTCCTCCGCCTCGCTTCGCAACGCCCTCCTCGTCTCCCCCGGTGGGCGGGATCATGACGATGCGGAGGAGGACTCCAAGTGGACCACGACCCGGCCAGAGCTGTGGAGCTTCTATGCCTACTACGTGGGCAACTCGGGACTCTCACTCTACAACTTTGCGCCTATTGCCCTGCAGAACTTGCTCACCTTGGCCGCCACGTCCCCCACGCCAGACGATACACCGCGTCTCCGTTTCGCCGGCTCAGACCGCACAGTGAACAGCATCGTCCTTCTGCTGAACGGCATAAGCTTTGCTGTGCAGGCCTTCCTATTCCTCACAGTAGGCAGCGCAGCTGACTTTGGTCGAGGGCGGCCGTACATCCTCATCGTCTCGACGACGATCAGTGTGGCGGTCGGTTTTGCATGGCTGGGCGTCACCCACCCCTCTCAATGGATGACCGCTGCGGGTCTGTACGTGGTGGGCTTGGTCGGGTACCAGATTTCCCTCACCTTTTGGACATCGGCCTTTGTTGGGCTCGCGAGGAACTTACCCTCGGTGAGGGCTTCAGCCTCCAAGCTGGTCAGAGGCGAGACGAGTGCAGAGGCTCACGTAAGCTTGGACGTCATGGAGCGCAACCGTATCTCCAATGTGGCATTCTTCGTCTGCTCCGTCGGGGAGCTCTTCGTGCTCGCGGTGATACAGGGCATGCTGGTGGGCGTGGGGGCGAATCGCGATACAGAGACGAACACTCGCGCTCTCACGTACGTCATCGCCTTTGCCAGCGGGGTGTGGGCGCTAGTGGCGCTACCCTGGTTCTTCTTGGAGAAGCACAGGCCGGGCCTCAAGATGCCGGAGGGGATGAATATCCTGACCGCTGGAGTCATCAATGCGTGGCAAGCGCTGCGTAATCTCTGGACGCTGAAGCAGAGTTTGGTGAGTTGGAGGAGCAGGCGCACATCCCCCTCAATCATTCACGAGCTGACCACCCCCCTCTCTACCATCCCGCGCAGCTGTACCTCGTCTTCTTCTTCCTTATGAGCGATGCCCTCAACACCACAATCACACAGATCAGCATTGTCCAAGCCACTCTCATCTCGTACAGCTCCACCACGTCCAATCTCCTCCTCATAGTAGGCATAGCCGCCCAAGCAGTCGGCATCGGCTCCTTCTGGCTAGTACAGCGCCGCTTCCAATGGCACACCTTCACCCTCCTCCGCATCGTCTGCGTTTTCATCGTCCTCCTAACCGCCTGGGGCATGGTAGGCAACTGGACCTCCCGCTTCGGCTTCAGGAACAAGTACGAAACTTGGCTCTACCAGGCCCTCTACGGGATCCTCGTCTGCCCCTGGTTCTCAGTAAGCCAAACGGCCATCAGTGAAGTGGCGCCCAAGGGGCTGGAATTCCAATTCTTCTGCCTCCTCAACCTCTCGGGGAAGAGCGCGAGCTTTATTGGGCCGTTCGTTACCAGCGCCATCTCCAATCGCCAAGGGGCGACAGAGTCCACGCCGTTCTACTTCTTGTTCGCGCTTGCCCTGTTCAGTTGCGGGTTCCTCGTGCCCCTGGATGGGCGCAAGGCAAGGTTGGAGCAGAAGACCTTCTTGGATCGCAGGGCGCGCATGTAGCGTGTGGACGGACGTAATGGATTTTGCATTTTAGTCTCGAGCCCACCGTAGCACGCGCTGCGGCGGCATGCCCGCGCTTCCCTCGCCCCTTGTGTAGCGCATCTCTACCTCCTGCCATACCTCGCTGACCTTCACCTCCTCGAAGCCCAAGCGGGCAAAGAGCGCTCGCGAGGGGCTGTTGGAGAGGCCGACCTTGACAAAGAGGTTGAAAGGGGAGAGGAGCGGGCGCTTCGAGGTTGGCTGCTCTTGCGTGACGTAGTGCATCAGAAGTTGGAGGGCCTGTGAAGCCAGACCGTGGCGGCGCAGAGAGGGTTCGGCGATCATGACCTCCATTTCGCCCCGTAGCTGCTTCTGTGTCCTTGCTCCCTCATCTTCTTCCTCCTCCTCCGCATCCTCCGAGAGGAAGACGTTAACATCTCCCGCCATCCTACAGCGGGCCAGCAGCCTCTCCACGCTCTCCGCGCTCTCCGCGTCCTCCTTATGGAGCACAATGAAAGTCAATTTGTCCTCATCCAGGTGCCACTTGGCCTGCATCTCGTACTCTTGTTCTAGCGTGAGGGGCTCAGAGGCCGTCTGCTCCTGTAGGATGGGGGATTGCATCCATTCGTGGTACTGGGGAACATGCTCCTTCCTGATCAAGCGCAGAGGAGACAGGCACTACGATGAGTCCCGAGGTCATCCCTTCGACCCAGCTCCACGCCGACTCACCTGTAAGGCACCAGCACGACCGAAGAACCTACAAGGACCGTCTCCTCGTTGAGGCGCATCGTGGTCGCGTTGCAAGCCACACCTCGCCCGCCCGACGATCAAAGCGAACCGTAGGAAACGTGATCCTCAGCGAACGGCGGCCCGGCGGTTGCTGAGTTTCTTCTTTCTGATCGAAGGCGGCCGGCAATCGCGAGCAAAGGCGCTTGCTTGATTGACGAGGGCAGAACGTGCAGGCTTCAGGGCAAGAGAGAGAGAGAGAGCGAGGGAGGGGCGCAGTGGAGGCTGGCCTGGCCTGCCTGCCTGCCAGTTTGTTGCGCTCTGCTGCAAGAAGAAAGTGTCCTGGGTGTCGTCTGTCCGTCCGTGCTCGATTAGCTCTCCTGAACTGAACGTGATCAACCAAGCAAAGAGCACTCGGCAGCACTTGCCTCTGGGGCCGGCAAGAAGTCGGCACTACAGTACACTAGAGTAGTGGCGGCTGATTGGATTGACGAGCGTCCAGCTTTGTGCGTCGTTCAGGGCAAGCGATGCGATGATGCGAGGGCGAGGGCGAGGGATGAGGGCGTTGAAATTGACTCAGGAAGCTTCCGAGCTAAGACAGAGAGTATAAGAGGGCTCCTGTCTAGCTCGTCGATGCTTGCCCACTACCGCAATACGCTCGCTCGCTCGCTCACGCAAGATGCGGTTCCTCTCCACGCTCCCCGTAGCACTCACCTGCCTCGCGGCCAGCGCCTTGGCCAACCCCATCTCCTTCGACTTTGCCCTCGAGGAGCGTCAAGAACCGGCTGTCAACGCGAGCGCCTCCGCTACCTCGTCAAGCAGCGCGACGGCCTCCTCGTCGGGCTCGTCGGCCTCAGCGAGCTCCAACAGCTCTTCTGCGAGCGCGGCATTCCCCACCGATATTGGCTACCTGGGCAAGACCCGCCAGGGCGCCGTCCCCTTCCTCGCGAATACGGACAAGCTCGCCGGGTCTCGCGGTAACAGTCCCTACGAGAATCGCTTCAACGCGACGGATGCCAATAAGGAGCAATTCGACATCTTCAAGTCGATGGGCAACATCTCGCCGTACCACTCGTCGCGCCTCTTTCCCGAGACGACGGCGAAGAAGGTACTCCCCGACACGTGCGAGGTGACCAACGCCATGATCTTCCACAGACACGGCGCTCGATACCCTACATCTTACAGTACCGAGGGAGCGCCCAACTTTGGTGCTGTGCTTGCCAACGTGACCAAGGCGGGCAATCTGACTGCGAGCGGTCCGTTGGCCTTCCTCAAGAACTGGAGCTACGAATTGGGCGCTGAGCTGCTCGTACCCATCGGCTCCCAGCAGCTGTGAGCTTGGCTCGGCGTCACGACCCATCCTCGTAGCGCACATGCTGACCTGTTCCTCCACGCCCCGCTCCCAGCTTCGACTCGGGCGTCTACCACTACATGCAATACGGCAAGCTCCTCAACGTTTCCCTTGGCCACAAGCCCGTGGTTCGCACCCCCTCACAGTCCCGCATGATCGACTCTGCCCGCTACTGGACTCTGGGCTTCTTTGGGTGGGATGCCCCCGACAAGATCAACCTCGAGGTCATCATCGAGGGGGATGGCTTCAACAACACGCTCGCTCCTTACGACACGTGCAATAATAGCAACACCATCTACATCGGGGACGACTATCTGCGCAAGGTCTGGGACCCAATCTACCTCGCCGACGCAGGCAAGCGATTGCAGCAGTACACGAACCTCAACCTGACGACGACGCTGCTGTACGGCATGCAGGCCCTCTGCCCCTACGAGAGCGCGGCGCTGGGCTACAGCCAATTCTGTGACCTCTTCACCGAGGAGGAGTGGAAGGGCTTCGAGTACGACTTGGACTTGCAGTTCTCGGGCGACTACGGACCGCTCTCACCGAGCGGGCGCGCTCAGGGGATTGGGTACGCTCAGGAGCTGCTCGACTTCCTGAGCAATTCGACGTTCGAGGGGCCCGTGACGACGCAGAATACCACCTTCGACGAGAACCCGGCCTACTACCCTGTGGCTCAGCCGTGAGTACAGGCGCGCGTCGTGTTGACGTGGACGTGGACGCGGACGCGGAGGCGGACGCTGACCTCTCCTTGTTGCTTTCCCCCCTGCCAGCCTCCAAATGTCCTTCACTCACGACGACGTAATCGTCTCAGTCCTGACAGCCCTCAACTACACGCAATTCTTCGACGACCTCGACCCTCGCAAGCCCGACCCATCCCGCAACTTCGTCCTCTCGGAGATCACCCCCTTTGCCGGTCGACTGGTCCACGAGGTCATTCGCTGCTCGCACGACAATGCCACGTACGTGCGCACGCTCATCAACGAGGCCATCGTGCCCATGGATGAGGGGCAGGGGTGCAGCGAGAAGCGCGAGGATGGGCTTTGCAGGCTTGATGAGTTCCTCAAGTTCCAGGAGGAGAACGCCGTCAAGGCGGCCAACTTTGATTACGCTTGTGAGTGTGGGCGCCGCGCCTAGGAGCCAGCATTGGCGGGGGACGATTGCTGACCACGATGCTTGCTTGATCCTACGCTCAGGCTTCGGCGACTACAATGTCACAGGGGCTGGCCAGATCAAGAACGGTACGATTGGCGTTTGAGAGTCGCGGGAGGGAAAGCAAGAGATGGAAGGGAGGAGGAGACGTCATAGATTTGACGCTGCGACGGCTGAGCGGGCCAAGAGATGCAATTGCATGCCTATCTAGATGTGCACGCAAAGAGGATTGGAGTGACGTTGGCATGATTGGCGGAGATGCGGCTTGGACGTGGCGCAGCGTGGCGTGGCGGCGTGGTATGTCTCGGCGGAGTGAGTGATGAGACTCGTCGATCCATTGTCCCGCTCCCACGCCACGCAGCTCCCTATTCTCCGAGTGAGATGCCGAGAGGGTGTGAGAGAGATCTGGATCTCACCGAAACCCCTTGCCTTCAATCTCGCCCCCATCTCAGGCCCCACTGTAGACGCTTTACACGGCCTCTCTACCACACCACGTCGATGCAGGCGGGGACATTGCACCCATACGTTGCCCCTCCACCCCCCCTCCCGCCCCGTCTACATTTGCCCCCGAAGGCCTAGCCCAAGTTGTCTCACCGCGTCGCCACGCTACCATTTGCCTCCGAGGCCCTCGTGACCGCTACCATTTGCCTCCGAGGCCTGCCCGTCGTCTATATAAACACCCCTCCCAGCGCCATCGACCTCTTCCCTTCTTTCTTTCCTATCCATACCTCTGATCTCGATCAAAGGAACCACGCATCGCACTCTTTCGACCTGCTCGCAGATCCAAAAGCGCCCCAACTCGTCAAGCTGTACATGATCAGCACCCCTGCTACCCGCACTTCCACAGCTAACCAGACCGCCGAGAAGCTCAACATGCTCGCTCACGTTACCAGTCCCCTTGGCACTCGCGCCGTCCCTACCAGACAGGTTGGTCTCGGATCCCCCCGCAAGGTCATGAGGCGCACCATTCCCAAGTCATCGACGGTGGTTGCGCCGCACAGCGGTGCCCAGGCGACCAGACAGGTGAGTTTGCAGTTTCGAGATCGTCGATCGAAAATCGTTTTTTGCGTTTTGCGGGATGAGGAGGAGGCGTGGTGCTGTGGTAGCTGCGGAGATCGTCCGCTGTGGTGGTCAGCTTGCTCCTGAGCAAGTCTGGCTGCGCAGGGGCGAGATCTGGTGGTACTCGTCACCAGGGGCCGTGGTAGCGAGGAGCCGTCCGTATCGTGGAGAGGATGGTGTTGCTCGCAGTGCTGGAGTGGAGGCAGCGCTTCCGTCTCCTCGCACGTGGCTCTTTCCGCTTTCCGCGCCGCGCCGCGCCGACTACGTTCACGTGGTTTTTCTTCCGCCCCGCTCAAACCACGTGTTCCTTTCCGCACGACGCTAATCACCGCCCCTCTCCGCCCTTACCCCTCACCCAGGGCACGCGCGAGGCGTTCAAGAACATCAAGAACAAGCCTGCCGTCGCTGCCAACACCAAGGTAGGAGCCACGGAGACCAAGGTCAAGCCTGAGCGTGTCGTCGTTCCAGTCGCTGTCAAGAGCAAGGTTGTCGCCAAGGTAGCCGGTCCGGAGCCCAAGGCTACCAACGTTGTCCGCCGCGTCCTGCCTCGTACGGCTCTCAAGACGCCCGTCAAGCCAGCTACCACAGCAGCTCATGCTCGCGAGGTCGTGCCGAAGAGGGTGACACCGCGCAGGGTCCCCTCTCTGACGCGTACTGTACGCCTCGACCTCGGCATCATCGAGGCGAGCGACCTCAGCTTCGACGCCTCCATTGATCTGATGGAGAGCTCCCCTTCCTTCCGTGCATTCGCCGAGGGAGGTAATGGCCTGGAGCGATCCGCCTCCGTCGACGTCGTTGATGACTTGATGGGCTCCACGCCTTCCTGGGAGAAGTTTGTCGCTGCGGCCGACACCACTACGGAGATCCTGCCCCGCGCCGAGTCCTCGCGCCTGTCGCTGAGCGGCGTCTCCACGGCTAGTGTCGACCTTATGGCGTCTACGGATTCATGGAACAAGTTTGCCGCGCCAGCAATGAAGAGGACATCGCGTCTGCCCACCAAGCTCCCCAGCTTCGACGTGCTCGCCGAGTCTACGTCGGAGTGTGAGGACCTGCTCGCCTCGACCAAGTCGTGGGAGCAGTTCAAGGCGACGGCCAAGAAGATCAAGACCAGGAGGAACTTGCTGCTCGCTCAGCTACCCAGCTTTGATGCGCTTGCCCA